GCTATTGGTTGCCCTCGGGGACAAGTAGGGTGAGTTGCCATATGCCGCTGGTGCGGTCCGATCCTCTCGCTCCACGATCCCATGTGGTCGGTACTGGATGATCTGTCCATGTGGAACTACTCCGTACAGGGTTTCTGGTAACAAGACAAGACGGGTAGATACGAAGACATAATATCCGATGGTTCTTCACCTTGACCAGAGTACGGAATAAAGAGTACATATTCCTGAATGGGAAGACCTATTGGTTTGGCATAGACAAGGTTGAATGCGGGTAAAACAGGGGTTATCTGCTCGCTCACACCCATCACAGAGACAAGTTCATCGAATCAAAGCCCCGAAGCATCACTTTCGCTAAATTTCTACACACCCCAACACCCGCAATATTGGTTGGAAGACATTTATCTGGCCTTCTCGTTCGCGTAATTCTAGATTTGAAATATGTCTCTCGCGTGCAAATGCTATATGCTCACATAGGCTTTGATCTGCGTTCCTCTTGGGTGTTCATGAGTTCGTTTACCCCTCAATAGCCGGAAAAACATGCCCAATCAGCCACCTACCCGCTGGCCACTGACGACACGATCGATGCAAGATTGGCTTTGCGGTTTAGAGCCAAGCTACCTTTCCCAATCAAGTAGGTCTTGGTCTTCCAAGTTGAATGCCTGATTCAATAGGTCTCGCTGATTGGTAACTCCTCTTCGCAGATCAAACATTCTGGACTCGTGCTTTATTCCCTTTTAGATTAAGCGTGTATACGCCGTACTCCGTACATGCATCTACATAGTCTTTATCAGTCAATGTCGGCGTCTCAATGCATCCAATCAAAAGAAGTCTGGAATGTGTTCCGCACATTCCTTTCGGTCGCGACTAGTTGATTTAGTTACCGATGTACATGTGAACAACGGGGCTATTGATTAAATGAGAGCCAATGGATACTCGTAAATGAGGCATGAAGCTACGGAGTACATGTAGCGAAGAGATCATATACCCGCCCTTGGCTCTTGTGGTACATCGGGGACCAAGTACCCCATACGGAGTACTCCGTACTCCGCTCAGATTACCGTGTAGAAAGGTAGCATCTCAAGCACTGACAATAGCCGGGGGAATCTCGATGTGAACCGCTTTGGGGGAAAACCCCCATTTAGTCTACATGGTAAAAAGCATTTCCCACGCAACACCAGCGAAGCGGCCAGGGGTTCCGCGGGAAGATTCCTCGCGTGCGTCAGACAATTCGTGAGCGCTCTGGTACAAACATGGAAGTGTCAAAATTAGCCGATCACACCGTCAAGCAACGATATCGCGTGGTACGAGCAACCACGAATATCGCCCTAGTGGCCATGGTGAAATCGACTAAAGAAAATAGTCCATCAAGGCTTGTTCCTTGATCAAAACGCAAAAGACAAGAGGGTCCACGGGTCTCGCATATATTTGCACGATCAAGCCTCTATACATTACAATGTACAGCCTGGATTCCTGATTTCCTTATGATCGACGCAAATGCAGTGACGGGATCTCGGGAACTAAATTGATTGCAATGCATTCCGACAGTCCAATCGTTGGAGTGGATTCAGAGGCGCATCCACCAATCCATTCTGATGTGTCAATTTGATTGCTCTTGGCATGTCGATCCCGAACAAAGGCGAAGTGACCACACGATGTTGAAAGATATTGTGCACAATCGTGCAGAATACGACTCCGTATTTGGGAGATTTTTTACGATGGCCCAAAGATCCGATTAATCGACATGTGGATCACATCTCCACTAATTAATTTGTGAGAAATTCCAGGGCTTTGGCTCCGTTTTCCCGCATTTCCCTTTTACCCATATTGTACGGAGGACGGAGGGACCACTCCGTGTTTACTCCGTGACTGGGCCCTTACGCAGTGCCCCATTCGACTGTGCCACATTGCGAATCCCCTCTCTAGCCACGCTTTCCTGAAGGAGTTAGGGTACTTCGCTCTCCCCGAAACTGACGCACAAAGAGATCCACCCGGGTGAGGCGGTGTCACGATCGATGACTTTTTGCACACCCGGGTTTCCGAGAATGACGTTGGGGTGCACAGCATATCGTCGCCTGTCACTCCCGTGCGATTTGACGTGGAGTCGGGCGTTCCGACGCATTGGCCTTAAGAACTCGCCCAATTATCGCTTATGTGATGATCCAATGGGTATGAAAATCATCAGGCAGTTGGTTTGAAGACTTGTAGTGTGGGACGTGTGTCGATAGTGGGTGATCTGGTCGAAGTTTGGACTCTTTTGGTCGCAGGATCAGTGAATCCGGTTTTCACAAATAGGCTCGAGGGTTGGACGATCTAGTAACTAGCTTGATTTGCTGTGATGCAGATGCACTTGGGGTGATCGCACCTGGGGTGATCACCGTGATCACCGTGCAGGGTCCGGCTTTTCACTTGCTGGTCACTTTGAGGAAGCGCATATACCACCAGGCACTCCTATGAGATGTTTTGGATCGACATTTCGCGTATAGTGATTGAGCAGGTACCACTCCGTACATCGAATATGTGCTCGGTTGATACACAGCGTGCTTTCTGTGTGGGGAACCGCTCCAGCAGTCTTGACTGGCGATGATTCGCCGCCGATCTATAATTCTGTTAGCTCGTCTACAGGCATCGACCTTGCTTCTTTATGATATTTCGATTTGATATCGAGCTCAACTAACGATATTTCCCATGCAAGTACGTAAAAGCTCCATTCGACTCAGGTCTGAATATATATCAATTACGTAGTCGATGTTGGCATTTGCTTCTATCGCATCACACCAGTCATTGGCATTTATAACAGTACTGCTAGAGACCAGCGCCCAGGTATGAGCTTTGGAGTTCCGTTTTTTAAATTTCAACATGCCCCTTGCAAAACCAGTAAGCATCATGCACCTCCAAGTAAACCAGGATCATCCTGAAACGCTATCCAAGGTTTGCCCAAGGAACAACCATGCAAGACACCCCCGGGGCCATACATAAAGTTTTACTACGCAGGTTTATTCCCTACTTATCGACCTCGAAAATATGCATTTCCCGACTAGGTGTTTTGTCGCGGCCCGCGATCAGACTTTCGCTTAGAACCTAGCCCTTGGGGTGACGCAGTGTAACGACGAGGCAAGGCGTAAAACACAAGGAGCTTGGTCAACGCATATCACCTAGGCAAGATTGTGACTTAATCCATGGATTCGAGCCAGTAATATATTCCATCGGATTGAGAGGTGAGCTTCCACGGTTATCACTGGTGGACATCGATGTTTTGCAGCGCTTGTCGTGGACACATATTCGCCACATTACCCGACTCTCGAATCCTACAGTCGGCCCTGTCCAGGCGAAGATTCCGAGCGAAGGATCCAAGAACTCAATAACCCAATAACGTGGGGTATCAGCAATATTGTCCACGAGTCAAGTTGTACAAACCAAACTTGGAAAAGCTAAGAAAAGAATACCATTACGCCCAAAAAGGAGTCTGATCCAAGTTGAAACAATAATGTTGTACAAACCACTCCCACAAGATCCAGAAAATCCGAAAACCAAACTAAAAGCACCCCTCGCAGAAACCTTGAGACCATGAGGGAACGGACATATGAGAGTCAGCAGTTCAAGTCCCCTTTCCTAAATTGTGCATGTTAACCGAACGCCCTCATGGAACGAGGATAAGTGTTACGCAAAGATACCTCGTGCTTTTGTTCGACTTTGTTCGAATTTTGCGCCAGCTTGTACAATCTATATGCCAGATTGGTTCCCGATCTGCTAGTTCGAGTACAGAGTATAATATACAGAGAAAGACTCCAAGGTGGGAGGTGGGAGGTGGGAGGTGGGAGGTGGGAGGTGGGAGGTAAGAGACATGAGGTGCAGTTGGCCTAAAAAGCGACCGAATATCTCCGAGTAATGTCGATGAAAATAGCATATCATCAGAAGATAAAGAAACTATGTCAATACCCTTATTCTTCTTTCCTTTTTTCTTCTGTGCATGAGTTGAATTGTCACCGAGCCTGCCCAGACCTCATTTCCAGCAGGGTAAAAGCCAGTCAATATTCCACAAAGTATAACGCGGAGACGAAGAGAGTCAAAACACGCCAACCTCTCACTGACTCAACCTCACCCACCCCCTTTCCAAAGTTGTGCTGTGCAACCTATAAAATGCACCATGCACACGTACACGTGAGCAAGCCGACCAAAACAAAGCACCCCGTTTCAAACATCGAGTATCAAATCATAGACCCGCCCAACAACCTAGGAATCCTCCAACCAGGTAGCTCTTGTATGTGATATAACCTTAGATCGTAGGTGACCGGATAGGCGTACTGCACGGCTCTTTGATCTAACCTGCATGAAGACCTGGTACTTACATACAGATAGACTTTCTCGAACCCCGAGGCTTTCTCGCCAAGTACAAGTACCTGAATCACCTACATGGCTGCTTCAGTCAAGCTCATATGGGCTATATGTGCATTGGAACGCATAACGCGTCTACATGTACGGAGTACATGCGCTTACATATGGGTCGTCGAAACCATGCCCTGAAACCCATGGGACTCGGGAGGATGCTGAGCCTCTGATTCCATGGTGGAGGGTTGCACAGGGGTTTAGATCTGGTGTGGATTGAGACTGAGTGTGGGTGAAGAGCTGGATGGGTTGGGAAGTTGGATGGGTCTGTGGGGTGTGTCTTCCTTTGCGTTTGGTTGGTCTGGTGTTTTTATTCTTATATCGAGAAGATGGTCAAATTGATTGCATGGTCCACTTCATTGGCAGAGTTCACGGATGTCCGAGGACGGAGATTGGCGATGGTTTGGATTTGGGCTAGATAGGCTTGAGCAAACATTGGACTTGATCAGGACATTGTTTTGATGTCCAGGTGGAAGGTGGGATCGCCACTGGTTGATTTGAGAGTCGGACTGAACCGTAAAGATTGCGAAACATAGCGAATATTCCGATGATATTGAATATCTTAAATAAAATATGTACAGATAGATCAGATAACTATATTGAAAAAGCTCAAGCCCCTAAGCAATCGCACTCTGGTTCCGATACAGATCGCAACCATGGGGGTTCTTCAAACACCACTTTGGCACAAGAGCATTGGCCAAAACACCATTCGCAACGAGATACTCGCGGAAGTTGAGCAGTCTCTGGGTCAGCTCATTGGTGCGCTTGTGGCCGTCCTTATCGCGGTTACCAGACCACACCAATTCACCCAGCGCCGCAGCACGCGGCCAGAGCTCGTTCGAGATATTGATATCGTCAACCTGCTCTGACCAGAGTGGTGCCTCGGCGCCGATAACGTGCTTCGCCTCAGACTCCGTCAGGTTGGTCGTGAAGTCATAGTCGTAGATTCGCTGCCAGGTCTTGTACGGCGCACACCACGAGCCGCCGTTCCCGCCGTAGTTGAAGTTAACACTGCCGTCGGGGTTGGACTGCTCGTTGTAGCGAGGGTCGTTAGTGACGAAGCCACCGTGTCCGCAGTCGAGGTACATGAAGTCGGCGGATGAGACGACGGTATCATAGCCGGCAGAAGTGAGCTTCTTGATGTTCTCCAGGCCGTTGTTCCAGCTCTGCATGACAATATCCTTGGGCACATCGTGGGCGTTTTCCGTAGAAAGAACAATATCTTCCCACATCATGATACGACGGTTCTCAACTCCACGGAAGATCGGAACGGCATGGTCAATCCAGTACTGCGCAAGATCATTGTACGTGCGGGACGGGTCTTCAGCAAACCACTCGGTAACATGTTTACTGTAGTTGTAGCAATTGGCTTGCAACTCGTCGGCACCGACGTGGAAGAAGCTGTCACCGAAGATGCGCGACAGATCATGATACACGTTCTCCACGACCTCGTAGGTCTTGTTGTAGATAATGTCCAACTGGCCTGGGTTGGGTTCCACCGCTGTATGGTACTCCCACACGTCATTTGACCACCATGAGTTGGTACATGTGACGATCTCCGGATCGACCTGCTGCCAGCCCGACGCGGAATGTCCGGGCATGTCGACCTCTGGAATAACTCGGACACCGCGCGCACGGGCGTAGCCGACGACGCGACGCATGTCGTTCTCGGTGTAGACTTCACGCGGCGAGTACGCGTCCTTGGTCATCTCGGGGTACGAGCGCATCTCCATTGGCCAGGATTGAGCGTCGTCCAGGTGCCAGTGGAGGACGTTCAGTTTCGACAGGGCCAGTCCGTCGATCTGCTCGAGGATCTTGCGCACCGAGATGAAGTTGCGGCCTGTATCGATCATGATGCCGCGGTGGGGGTAGAGAGGCGCATCTTGGATCTTGACCGGTTGCTCGATGATGAGTCCACCCTTGCCATCGGAGATGATCAGCTGTTGGAGGGTGGTGAAGGCGTGGAGCGCGCCCCAGGGGGTCTTGGCGGTGATGCGGATCGCGGGGGCATGGTGGGACACTTCCAGGGTGTAGGACTCATCCACACCGTGCTGGAGGTCGGCGTGGTGGTCGTCGATGTGGACCTGGACGGAGTGGACCGAGGCGGGCGCGGCGCGTTTGGCGGGCGTGGCGGTTGGGAAGGGCGGATACGAGGAGATCGGGGCTTCGACGGCGGCAGGGACCCAATGGAGGGTGCTGATGGACTTCCAGGCCCGGGCCCAAGCACTGTTCAGGAGGGCGCTTTGGTTCGTCAGGGTCAATTCCTCCACGCGAATCGGACCGGACGATCCCCAAGTGATGTTGCGGGGAGCGGGAAGTGGATTCACTTGCACCGCGGAGGCTATCGTCAGAGCCCCCAGGGTCGTGAACACGGAGGCGAACTTCATGGTGATGGTTGAAAGATGGAAAATCGTCCCCAAAAGGAGAGTGTTTTTTTATTTATCTCCACGATCGACCGCCGATCATGCTCAGGAATGGCCGATGCAACCTACTACACACATAACAAACAAAGAAAATCCCCTTGTTTCAGGTTACATTGCAATCTTGAGGAAAGCTAGACTCTTTTGGGCATTTCTATAGATTATGAAGTACTGAAGTACGACCTTTATATACGACTGCGGAGAACGCAGAACCTCTGGCTATGTGACACGGGAGACATCAGATATTACACCTCCAGTGATTTCTCCAATTCCATCCCCTCACGGAACTCCTCATGAATGGCCGCCACCTCCTTTGCAGAAGGCACCACACATGGCCGTCGAGGAAGCCCACCGTATCCACGATAAGACTGCAATCCACTCTTGACCGCAATGAACCCCCCGTGGATCGCGGCCCAGTCGGCACGGGCAACGATCCCCTGCAGCTTCTGTGCCTCAGTCACCTTTCCGGCGCGGTAGAGCTCCATCACCCGCACACACGACCGGGGGATCATATTAGCCACACCGCCGATAATACCAGCACCGCCCGCAACAAGTGTCTGGAGGGTGAAGTCGGCTGAACCTCCAAAGGTCAGGAACTCTGGTTTCCCCGCCGCCACACGAGCCAGCTTGCCCGTGTTGCCGCACGTGAGCTTACACCCAATGATATTGGGGTGCTCGGCCAGGGTGAGGATATCGTCGGAACTGAGGTCCAGTCCGGATTGCACACCGGGGAAGTTGTAGATCAGGACTGGAACGGGCGAGGCGTCGGCCACAGCGCGGAAGTGCGCGCGCATCGACTCGGTGCTGACCAGCGCCTTGTAGTAGCTGGGTGGGAGGACGAGGACCGCATCGGCGCCCGCGACTCCGGAATCCTGACAGAATTGGATGGTCTCGCGGGTGGAGGCGGCGCCGCAACCTGCGATCACGGGCATGTTGGGGTAGCCGGCGGCGTCGACGGCGCGGCGGGTGGCGGCTGTGATGGCTTTGCGCTCCTCGCGGTCCAGGTGGACGGCTTCTCCATTGCTACCCTGGGTCACTAGGCCTGTGACACCGCTGCGGGCGAGGTAAGCGGCGTGTGTCTCGACGGTGGCCAGGTCGACTTCTTCATCGGGCTTGAAGAAGGCCACAGTGGGGACGTAGACTCCGTGAGGGAGGGGATTGCGTTTGGAAGCGGATGCAGTCATTGTGTGTGTGTACGTGTATGGTTTTGGCAGCCCCCAAGTGAGTGCAGCTTCAACTAAATAACGGAATTTGATGATCGTCACCCCCACGTCCCCCGCGCTGAGAGCTGTTCGCAAGTGAAGACCCCGCGAGTCCCCCACGTCCATGCGGGGTTCGGATATTCCTGATTTTAACCGGGGGCATCCTGGTCGGAAGTACAGCGTCGGAGAGATCTCCTTGTGTGAGGTGTTGTGCTACGATCTGGATATACTCCTGGATCTGCCTATTCAGGGGATACTTGATGGCTGCCAGTCGGCAGGTGCCTTTGTGGATGGTCTATGACCAAACGGCCCGAATATCAACCTCGAATGAATGTCAATATGTGTCAGTATGTGTCAATTGTCTACGTTGTATTCGGTCTCAATGGAACGTCCGACACTTCCCCCACACGTTGGCCGTGGGGGCGACGCATGTCATTTTCCGACGTGGCGGTCTCTTCGATTTGGGCTCCTTGGCGAGTATTGGTATAGAGTATAGAGGGATAGAGGGACATTGACGAAGATAGAGAAGGTGGATATAGATATTCACTGGGTAGAATAAGCAGAGTATATGAAATAGAGTATATGAAATAGAGAATATAGAATAGAGAATAGTCAGGTCTGTACTCCGTATATAAATCACGCCCAGGTGTATATTCAAAGACACCCAAATTGAAAATCGGACACAAAAAGAAGAGAGCAGTCAGAAACAGACCAGGTGTATCAAACAAGAGAAAAAAGACATCAAAAAAGAGAATAGACTGGAGAATACAAAGAGCAAAGAGCAACGAAGAAACAGGAGCAAACCGAACGCCAAGAATCCTTTCGCATCAACTCCGCACTCGACCTATCCCTACCAGGTCCAACTCGCCACAACAATGCCCGAGTGAATCTCCTGGAACAATGGCCCTTCTGTCGCGGCCTTCCCTCCGTTCTGTACGACGGCCCGACAGTCCCCCGAAACCCCTCAGAGACCGTCGCAAGAGCTCTCCAGACTGCCTCGACACCACCGCCGAACCCCGTGTCAGTCCCTTGAAGTCGCGACGCGCCCGCGGCGTCTCCTCCTCGTCCATTAATACCCCAGTCTCTGGCCCATTCGCAGGCCAGAACGGAGCCAGTCGCGCACGCCGTGAGACCGCTACCCCCTCAGCGGATTTGCTACGCGGGGTCCACGAGTCGCCCGACCCGCTCGATACGATCTCACCTGCGCTCAAGCAGCGCGTCTTCACCCCGACAATTGCAGACGAGATCGAGCCTCCTGAGTCTCCCGTGACGCGGCCTCGTCGGAATGATCGATTGCGCGCGGACGGCGCGTCTGCGACAGACCGTAAGAACGACGCGGAGCAGACTGGTGAAAAGAGCACGGGACGACGGTCGCTTCGTTCGACGGACACCGGGTCGCGATGCAAGAGCGAGCTCGCTCAGTACTTCCACAATTATGAACAGATCATAAGTCTGGAGGACCCTGAACCGGGTGAGTTCTTCGGCCCTGATATGTCCCAGCCAAATGGCACGTCTAACGCCACACAGAATTCCTCGCGGCAAAAACCACACTCACAATCATTGACAACCTCACCCAACCGCTTTCAATCCCCCCGCCGAATCCAACCCCCTTTGGCAACCCCCTGCTCAATCCCTATGGCTGTGAGAGGCTCTCACTCCCAACTCCTCCTCCAGATCCCACCGCTATAGATCCTCTATCCGAGGAGACTTACTTCCGTGCACATCGCAAGTTTGAAAGACAAGAGAAGCAATTGCGCAATATCGAGCGCAACCGAGCCCAACATGAACAACAGGTCTTGGAACGTCTGCTCGACGAGCTCCGGGGCCATGAATGGCTACGAACGATGGGCCTCCCCAACGTCCACGAGTCAGAGAAGAAGAACTACGAGCCCAAGCGCGAGATTCTGATCCAAGAACTCGTCACACTAGTCAACAAATTTCAAGCCTGGAAAGACGAAGAACGACGTCGCAGGCTTGAAAAAGAAAAACCAGAAGAATCAGGACCCCGGAAACAATCTCGCATAGAAGATGATAGTTCCCCCGCTCCTGGTGATTTGCAAAGTACCCCTGATCCCAATGACGTGGATGCCCTCGCTGCAAGGCAATTGCATCAAGAGGCTCGCTCAGCGGGAGCCAAATCCCGCAAGCGAAAGCCGACCAAGCCCACGGCCCCCGAAGAAGAGCCCAAACCAAGCCCCAAGCGTAAAAAGCCGAACCCTACCCCTGATCCCAAACCCCCTCCTGCTCCTACACCTCCCAAAAACCTCAAGCAAGCTTCTCTCTCCTTGTTCTGGGCTCCTGCGCCTCGCCAAGGCCCTTTTACGTCCTTCTTTCGCCAGCGCCATGTGCGTGACGCGGCGATCGCTGCGGCGAAAGGTATCCGACGCAGTGGTTCGCGATCATCGCTTGCTTTTGGGCATCCGGTACCTGAACAGTCGGAGGTGGAGTTCGAGTTACCTGGGGAAATCTTGACGGAAGAGGCCATCTTACAGTCTCAGCGCAAGAGGCGGAGGTTGAAGAGGAGAAGTCTGGGATGATGGATATTGGGTCTGCATTTTTTCCCCTACTTTGTTTTGATACCTTGTATGATAGCATTTGGTGGCATGGCGTTCTTTGTTCTTTGTTATTCGGACTGACAAGTCCTGGCGTGGGCGTTGGGGTGCAGGCTGAGGCCTTGTACAATTGACCTGTCTGGGGATAGGTATGAATAGACAATCATTCTTTAAAAATAGTGATGATCTTGAAGAAATGTATGAAAAAAAAAGCCACTAAAACATTTGTTCCCAAGGCCAGTATCAGCTTCAGCATTTGTAGTTGATAGTGGAAGGACCTCAAGTATGGTCGAGGCTACACATCCAGCTTCAATGGACATTCACCAAGTCCACAACCTTCAATTGACACCATGTCTCTGTTTGAAGGTGCAAACAGTTCAAATCTGTATTGCTATATGCTGACTTACGGGTGTGGTTTTAAGGGCGAAGGAGTAAGTGGTTCAATGCTGCACTGCAATATGGCAGCGCTATGCAGCGCTATGCATACATAGCCACATCCACATCGATTGGAACCTTGGAGACAGGCACAGACCATGAGTACATTATTAATGACACCAAGCTCAAACACTGACTTGTTCCAAATTGGCCACCGGAGCCATCCGACTCCGACGAGCCGGCGTTCAAGTGTCATGGGCAGTGATATCATAGACCTCCAAAGTCCATTGATATACACTTTGGTACTAGTAACCCTGCAGGTCAAAAACAGACTAGCTTGAGAAAATAAGCTTATATCCCGCCACAAATCGACAAACAGCTCAACTCCGCTAGAATTTTCAAGGAATTTTCTAGCTGTCTATCGAGGAATCTGAACAGATCTCGTACTGTACAGGAGGCCGGCATCGGAGCGAAGTTTTCAGACTTCCCCAGTTTTCACAGGAGAATTGAAGTCAGAGACCCAGTCAACTAGAGCCTTTTTCAGATTTTTATTACGTCGCGCCGAGATGATTCGTCCTCTCGGTCCGCGTCTCGGCGGCCCACTTCCGTTTTGGGTGGCGGATTCTTTATTTCTTTATTTGACTCGGAGCTTTACAATGGGCTTTTTTTTTCTCTTGTCTTTTTGATAGATGACTCTCTGAAGATCTCATTTCTGTGCATGTTTATTCTTTAAAGTTTTGGTCTCGGTTTTCGTGCGTTCGACGTCATATCCAATCGAAGTATAGACCCGTTTTTCGATATCCCCTTTCACTATGAGCTCTCCTCCCGAGAGGAAGAGCTTGGATATCACTCCAGAGTCAATCGATACTGAGAAGTCTCTCGATGTCCCACAATACAAACAAGATGCCTTTGGTGACGAGGAGTTCGCTGAAGTCAAGTATAAGGTGCTGAAGTGGTGGTATGTTTCAACCTGACCCTGGACTACATAGCTCGACTAATGCTGATGGTTATCTCTAGGCAATGCGGTTTATGTATGTGATCGTCCATACACGTCTTCGAATCCAATCTAACCTCCTTCCAGTAATGGTTGCCGAAACTGTGTCGCTGGGCGTGCTTTCATTGCCCGCCGCCGTCGCAGGTCTGGGCCTCGTTCCGTACGTATTAACATAATCCAACCTTGCTACGCGCCCGAGAAGCTAACAGAAGCTAGTGCTATCCTCGTTCTTCTTTTCCTGGGCTGTCTAGCCACATATACCGGCTACGTGATCGGACAGATGAAGCTGAAATACCCTCACATCTCAACTATGGCAGATGCCGGTGAAGTCATTGGCGGGAAATGGGGTCGGGAATTGGTCGGCGGTGCTTGGATCATCTTCTTCATCTTCATTATGTCGAGTCACTTGTTGACTTTCACTGTTGCCATGAACACGATCACCAACCATGGCACTTGCTCGGTGGTCTTTGGCATCGTTGGCATGCTCGTGTCTTTCGTTCTGTCACTGCCTCGCACCTTGGTCAAGATGTCTTGGCTGTCTCTTGTTTGTATGTTTGACTATTAAATTCTGATTTCAAACAATATGCTAACGTGATCGACAGCATTCGGAAGTATCATGGCCTCAGTCATCATCGTCATGATTGCAGTCGGCATCACCAAGCCCGGCAGCGGTGTCGTCGCAGTAGTCGACACAGACCTATACCACGGCTTCTCAGCCGTATGCAACATTGTCTTTGCATTCTGCGGACACGCCGCTTTCTTCGGCCTGATGGCCGAGCTGAAGAACCCAAAGGACTTCACCAAGTCCCTTTGCCTGTTGCAGGGCATTGATATGGGTCTGTACATCACCGCTTCTCTAGTGATTTACCGATACGCCGGAAGTGACGTGACCTCACCGGCGCTGGGATCCGCTTCACCCGTCGTGGCCAAGGTGGCTTACGGAATTGCCTTGCCTACCGTGAGTTTTTTTCAGACGTGGATCCGCCTCGTTCTCATACTGACATCGCTCTAGATTATCATTGCAGGTGTTATCAACGGCCACGTCGCTTTCAAAATGGTCTACCTGCGCATCTTCCAGGGTACGGATCGCATGCACAAGCGTGACTGGATCGCCTGGGGCTCGTGGGTCGGTATCGCCCTCGGAATGTGGATTCTTGCTTGGATTATCGCTACAGCCATTCCGGTCTTTAGTAATCTTTTGACCTTGATCGTATGTTCTTTCTTGATACCCAGCATTTACTGTGTCTCAATACTGACGTTGAACATAGACTGCGTTGTTCGCTAGTTGGTTTACCTATGGTCTCAGCGGTGTTTTCTGGCTGTTCATGAACAAGGGCTTGTGGTTTTCCTCACCGAGAAAGATTGCGCTCACTGCTTTGAATGTGACCATCGTCGCAATCGCCGCAGTTTTGGTATGTGTATTGATTAACTTGCTTCTGGCCCTCGCTAACCTTTCGCCAGTGTGGTCTTGGTCTCTGGGTCTCCGGAAAAGCTCTTCACGCCGACTCGAGCACCGCAAGTTTCTCTTGCTCGAATAACGCTTGATCGCATTCCCTATAATTTTTGATCAAGAGTTTCTTGTTTTGCACATACTGCATTGGGTATACATGCGGTACGGCGTTTGATCTTGCATTCGGAGCATTGATTTTGATATTCTCTATACCTGAGCTACTGCTTGGGGTTTGTTTTTGCCTTGCATAGATACCAACATCACATAGATTTCAGCCCAGCTGTGATAGATAGACATGTACAAATATTCGTGAATCAACATTTTTTGAACATCTTGATTGGGAATTGTCGTGCAATTAATACGTAGGCATTTCGGCAAATAGCGAAGGGAAACGAGGAAGAGTTTGCGGATTGATTTGCTTGTTAACTTTGCTGATTCAAACAATCTACAGGGATTCAAACAATCTACAGGACAGTCTGATCTGTGAAACCCTCTCACCATATTCTAAGTCAACTTAAATTGGTCGCGTTGATCCTTGTACACGATGAGTGGTGATCGCCCGCTTTGGGGTACCTGGATTGCTGGGGGGATAAACATGTTTAGGCTTCAGGCCTCGCATACCATGCACATACTATCAAAGCAGCATTCGCGTAGACCTTTTGAAGACGCACCCAAGCAGCAGGCAATGGCTTGAAGATACCTACGAAAGTCAACACTGTGTGGGTTCATTGCGAGTTCGGCGGCTGGAGGTAGATGTCTGAACTGATCCACATCCTGTCAGTAATAGTTCAACTAAGAACAGGATTGTAGAAGGAGATATATTGTAAACAAAAAAGATTGTTGCTGTGTCCATCAGGCAAATGGTGAAAGTTGTCTCATGGCCCCGAAGAGCTCTGAAGTAGCAAATACGTTTATTGCAAACATCACGCGGACACAGCAACGAAGTGGGTTCATGTAAAGAGATTTGGTTTCGACCACTCACCTCGATGTGTTTATGACCGTGCGAAAGCTTGGCTTGAGCAGAATAGAAGAGACCTAGAAATCTGATATTTGGTCAGTATCATGGCCAAACGAAAGAGAGATAAACCATTTGTTTCTGTGCTATGCCCATCAGGCAAAATGTGGAAAGTTGTCTCATGGCCCCGAGAGGCTCTGAAGTAGCAAATACGTTTATTGCAAACATCACGCGGGCATCGACACAGAAAGGAAACCAGATATCGAAAGAATGCTTACCTTGATGAGGGTACCCAGGGCAATGTCGATCTTGTGAGAACAAAGGCAAGGCGGGATGACTGACTGCTAACCTGGAAAACTGATGATCCGTCAGTATCTTGGTCAAATATCGATGTAGCAAGTAGGTGCAATTCGATAAGCCCTCAGAGAGAAGATTATGGTCGCCAATGCCTCGCACATCCGCAGATGGTGTGGCTTTCCGGCTAAGGATGATATACGAAAGTATTCATCATAAACGGGCATAGGGATTGCAGAAAGAGATAAACTTACGGTTCGACCGATCTCGGGAAGAGCGTGGGCGATTGGTTCACCTTTGTTCGCTCGGGAGTCTCATGGGGGAGACTGAGTGTTGACCAGTGGGCTGGGCTTGAGGCGGGGAATACTTAGAAAGTGACACCTTCCCGAAGTGATCAGTCATCATAGGAAATTATCCGCCGGCCTTGGTATGGTGCTCGCGATATCGGTGGGTTTGCTGTCGGGGGTGGGACATCAGCGGGCTTGTCGCCATAATCCAGTGGCACTGCAGTCGCAGCTTCAGCTTCAGCGTGATGCATTTTGCTTCCCCGCCGTTTCCCCGGCCGATCCTCGTGATCGGCGCTGGAGCCTGGGCTTGTCTCAGCATCGAGAGCTCTTTTCTCTGACACGGTGCCTTTGTCTGGCTCTTCCTCATGCGCCGATAGCTTGGCCCGGGCCTCGTACTCGGCATTTTCCTCTTGGAGCTGCCTTTTGCGGAGCAGAGAGTGAATCTCGCTGTGTCTAAACATTTTGATCTGCTCATCTGTGAGCGTTCGCTTTACTCCGTCTGGGTAGTACCCGAGATCGTCATCTGTGGTCAGGTCATTTTGCTCGGCGGATTGATGTTGGTGGTCGCCGAGGAAGTGCTTGGATTGGAAAGCCTGGAGGTCTTCCTAGAAGAGAACGGTTGATGAGCAAGAGTTTCAAAAAGGAGAAATCAGCATTTGATAAGACTCACCAAAGTTACGTTGGGAACCTGCATCGTGGGCAGGTGAAGAGGAAGAAGAAAGCAGAGCTGGGAAAGACGCGGTCGCGTTGGTAAAATTTCGGTAATTACGTGATACGGGATTTGTCACTAGTAGGGGGTCTTTTTCATCTGCGCCTGTCCGTTTGTACCCAATGTGAAATTTTCATTATGATTAGAGTACTTCAATTTCGATAAGATAGCCTTAGCCGCAAGATGTAGAATGCGATATTATAATTGTGAGGGTGCCCTGGTGAATCGAAAGAAGCTCTCAGCCCTGCCCGGAGCTTCCTACAGCCCATCAGAGGAATCTTGCCGACTGCGAACTGGGTCCTTTAGGTCAAGCTTCTGTCCAGCTCGATGTTTGTGACATTGTTACCGATCTTTGCTTTGACACTATCAAACCCGATCTGAAGATCTTTCAAACCCTGCAGGTCAATACCCGCAACTTGATCACGACTCTTGGAGCTGGGCTCCTCCAAAGTCCAAGCAAGAGATATGTGAAAGCACCCAGAGAAGTCGCCAGACTGCTCTTTATCAGAGTGCGTACTGGGCGACACAGGGTTTTCGTCCCCCTGGGCGCGAGAGCCTGCGTAGAGTGGCGGCTGGCCAAACTGGCTCAGTGTGTTGTTGGACAGTCTGAGCAGACGGTTCAAATGGTCCTGTGGTGGTTTTTGGACGCTAAAGACCAGGAACCAACGTGTCTTCTCATAATTCGACGCCCAGTAGAGGGTATTGGGCCGTACTTTGAATCTATAGAACGGTCAGACCATATGTGCCAAACAGCTCAATCAACCAATACACACGGAGAGACATGAGATTGTCGAATAGAGTTCTGCAACTTCTCAGTGAATGAAGCGCGCTGCTCAGTGCGAAGAACCACTGGTCGAGACAAGCTGATGTGAAGCGGTAGCTGAGCACCAAGATCGCTATGCAGCAGACTATGCACGTCGTGCAAGCTATCAGCAGACGATTTGTCGATTTGAGTGATCAAATTTGTAAGAAGCGACAATTCTTCTTTTGCTGGGTACCCTGCCAAGGACTTTCAGTTGCTAGTCCGGGGCCAAGCTAAGGTCTGGACACTCACATTCAAGGTAAAGATGCGTTGGCCAGTTGCCTTCGACATGGGGGATTACGCGTTTCCGGCCACCATGGAGACTAGGATCATCTTGAACGCTCACGCGTGTGGTTGATGCATAGAGGTCGTGAAACGCCGCAGGAAGAGGCGGCAGCGATGGCTGGGGATCGTGGCGGGGCCTTTTCGCCGGGGGAGAAGATCTAGACTCTGATTCGGACTCCGAGTCAGAATATTGAACAAGGGACATCTCATTAGATCAAAGATGAGTTGTTGAGAGTATCTTGCTTTCTCGGCCCCGGGGATGGCTGATAGTGGAGAGCTCCACCCTCCACCACCCAATCACCGCGCAGGTGTCTCTACTCTGACCTTTCAAGTTTGACATTGGTGTTTTGCATCATGCCTTTTTCTGTATTATCTGTCCTGGTGTTCCTTTTGATATACCATTTGAACCTTTCGGACTGACGGCGGAGGTCTTGGTTTATCTCCCCGCACTCGATCGTGTTACACGATATGAGCTAGGGTTAGAGGTGTTGCAACGTATAGTTGACAGCCAAAGGATATGAGACTCGCACAATTAATATGTCTGTGCGTAAAAACTATGATACATCCTTGCTAGAGGTGACGTCTTGCAGATCCAAGATTTAGCAGAAGGAGCAGAATGATATGTCCTGTTCAACTTGACATTTCTGCTTTTACTCCGAACGGTTGACCTGGACACACCAACCGCAACTCGATGCACGTCAGACTCTTGGATGTGAATAAGGTGTTACACATGCGCTCAATTGAGTCCCAGGAGTTATGGTACAAGACCCACAGCTAGCTTAACAGGGTACCTGAAAGCTCCGCCACCTGGACAGGAAACAGGCAAATGAGATATTTGCCGACGAACCGTTGAGGAACTCCTTTTCAAGGTTGTCTTGGGATATCTTGGAATCTGTGAAACGGTCACTTGACGTCTTATGCACTTTTGAGAATTATGCAAAATCGCTAGGCCTGCCCCTCCAGTTGCCGTCCAAAATGAAAAAGCGAAAAGAAAAGCCCGCCCTCCCTGACTTTTGCAAAATGACCAAAAGGTCAAGAGGCCCAATCCAGAGCATCACAATTCACTGGATGAAAAAAAGCGATGGACTCACGATAGTGCCACCTGTATAGCAGTACTTCATTTTGGTCAAAGCTAGAATCGACATCAGATCCAAACCTCAATGATCCTGGTAGCATGTCGGAGGAAATGAGGTAATCCCTCAATTAATCGGTTCAGGCATCAGGGATTAATGAGTGTAGGTATGGAGCTGAGAAAGATATTCAAAAAGGACTGAGATCCCCCCACTTGTTGAGTTTTCCATTTTCCAGGAAACCGACCACTCCAAAACATCTACTATTCCACAAGCATCGTTCAATCAAACCTGGTAAGATTCGCAATACTCGTATATAGCATCAATATTCACTAATTTAAAGAGCCATAGCCAGCTAAGCTAAGATGAAGTCAATTTATGGAATCCTTCTTCTCGGATTCGTGCTTGCTGCCGCAGCGAATTCTGTCGAGGGTGAGTTGTCATTTGGACCTTAGTATACTATCCAGCAATTGAATATTTTGGTGTCAGGTGGAACTATTGTTGATCGTGATGTGAACGCTGCTGCCGATAAGGAGGAAGCAGAATATGGCCGACCCCAACCTGGTTGGTATCCTCCTCCTGGTAGACCCTGGGGCCCTGGTGGAAGACCTAGCCATTCTCATGGATGGTAAGCTCTGGATGATGGAATCATATGCTTGGATTCGAGATGGCAGTGCTCGCGTTTTTCGTTTCGATCAATGAATTTCATGACTGTGGTGAGAGATAGTGGTGAGGCATGCCAATAATGGTGCGTTTATGATTTGTTTATGATTATCTCACATTCGCTACCGAAGCATTTAGCTTATCTGAAGTTGTGACATCGGGGGATCTTTCATAGTAGCTGATTCATTCAATCAAGAATCTCTGCGATGGTATTGACTGATATGGCCCTTGTAAGGTGATCTGCGGATTTCTGACAGCCGCCGCCCGTAGGTAGTGGAACAAAGCATATTCTCCCCCACTTTTATTCCCCCCACTTTTATTTCTTCTTATGCAAAGATAAGATTTGCGTAGCCAAACGAGCGAATTAAGCCGACGGTTTGAGCTTGAACTCGTTCACTCATTGTGCATTCGGGCATAGGTCGTGAGTGTCTTCTTTCGTCAGATAAAACTTGTGGCGCTGCAAGAGTTGCTTGTCTGAAACCCTCGATGTCGTCCTAATTCAGAGATGACATCCTTCGCGAAAGTCTCCGGGGGTTGCTGTGACGCAAGCAGCGTAAGGTCTTTCGTTGATGAGGCTGAGGCTTTCCCGTTTAGGAAATCTTGCTTCAGGCACAAGGGCTGATAGCCGATGAGGAGCACGGTCTATCGAGCAGCGATATATATGAAGTGATAAAATTGTATGATGGGCGAAGAGAAAAGAAAAGAGAGAGAGAAAGAGACAGAGAGAGAGAAAGAGAGAGATCTATGGAAACGGTAATGGAAGCCATTCCACATCACATGACCCGCCCTGATCTCTAACAACTTCCCTTACAAAAAGGTAGCATTGTTTTTGGGTCTAGTGGGCCTACCCGGAGGCAATCTAGCGACCTGTGCAAGAGTTGCGACGTCAAACGCCCTGCAGCATCTGAAAACTCAAGTGGAGCTGAGGATATTGTTGAGGTCGTCAAGTGTGAGGGAAATATTCGACGACGGGACGATTCAGAGCTGGCTCCGTGGCATGAGAGACATGTCAAACTTGGCCTTATTCGGAGAGACGTGGGTGGCTGTTGCCATGGTCTCCACGTCGTCTGGAGAGTAGAAAGCTCTGGTTGATGAGACGTCAGGTTGTTTGAGGGCGTTTGTCGCGTTCGCCTGAGCCTTGATACCCTTGACCGTTTTGGCGTAGTTTCGAAGGTAGTATCTTTAGTTCTGGTATTCCCTTGCTGTTGACTGGATATGCTGTGCCCACTGGTGTTTGATCAACTTAATCTTCACCCTAAGGATATCATCGGCTGCTTTTTTACCTTGAATGCATTTAGTCTTTTCCTTTTGGGAGCCATGATGCCCATGGACGTGATAAGAAGGAAAAGAGGACTGAAGAATGAGGCTGGGTGACAACGAAAAGTGAAGTGAAAGAAAAATATAGGCGGCTGGTGCCAGGTAAAAAGAAGTGAGATGAAACTAGAAGGCAAACTACCCGTGGACGCCTTACTTGTGGCAGAGGGAAAGTAGAGATGGTGTTGATACCTGGGCATGCTACGTATAGGGATGGAAAAGCATACAAATGATAAGCAACAGCCCTAAAAAAACCAAATAAATATCATCTGCCGCCTGTAGATAGTTGAACAAAGTATTTTTATCCTCCCTCTTTTTCCTATATAAGGTTTCACTTACATCATGTACTGTATCATGTAGATGACTCTAAGGATATTGAGGTTGCTTGCTGTCCATAGCTGACTTATTTCGGATCCAAGAAGTTGCAAATTTGGCTCAGGAATATAGTGGGCTATAGGCCTCCGGGTGCTCTGTACCAGGGATAGACTTGAGCTTTTCATATTTCCGAGATTTCGCAAATTTCTCAGGCTCACCACCACCAGACACTTGCTCTCGTTCCTTTTTCCCACTTGTGACAGAAAACATGAAGTCATTTTCTCAAATTTGGCCTCCATTTCCTCTGAAACATGGGATTGATTGTCTGACCTCGAAACTTGTCAATGTTCGGGCCCCAATTGCGAGAAACCGAACACGCCATTGATATGAGTGACCTGTACTTTGTCACTCTGTGTCCCGTGGTTTGGAAGTTATTTATACAAAGCGATCCCTTCGAAACATCAATTGCCCAGGTGAGCATATTTAATATTTGTTAGATACATCATTTGCAAGGTACCAGATATTACAGTTCATATGCATTGACGGTATTGGCTAGATGTGTGGGGATGGAAGTAGCATACTCCGTACGTTGTCGAGACCTTTTTTCCAATTTCCTTTTTCCTTTTTCGTTTCATTTCTCAAAGAAAGAATTTAGTGTTGAGAAAATTCTCCGGTTGAAAACGGGGTCATAACCCTTGAAAGCGATAGAATCATTGACTTTTCGGAAGAAGGGCCATAGGGTAAGGAGTTACATCGATGGTTGGAACGAAACGCTCGACCCGTCCCAAATGTAAAATTTCCACTATTTGCGCCCTCCTACTTTCAGGTAAGCCATTTATTGAGTCCAAACCGCATTGCATGAGACACTGGTCAATTTGAAGCACACTTAGCAATAGCTCAACACCTACAGAGCAGAACGAACGCGTGGGGGAATAAAAACGTAAGAGTAATGTAGTAGTGTCTAACATGAAGCGGTGAAAAGAATGACACACCTACAAGACAGCGGAAGTCTTCAAGATGAGTAAGGAGTTATAGTTTTCCGTAGAATCTAGATCAAGTCAGGGGTGTCACTTAGGTTAGACGCCATCGCGGCACTAGGTGAAACCGCCCGGGCGCTATCCCTAGTTGATGAGCTTAATTATGAACGAGTCATCGGGAGTGCCGACCACGGGTCGGGAATTATTAGCCGGATCAGCTCTAAAAAATAGCTAGAATTTCACTGGAATTTTGGATCCTATGACGATGGCAAAAATCAAAGAACCAGACAAGGTGAGAGGAAGTGGAGGTGGTCCAAAGCAATATCGTCATAGGAGTCGATCCATGCGTGGAAGTCTCGGATGCCCAGTGGATGCAACATCGGCCTTGCATATTTATTTTTTCTTTCACGGTACATCGTGGGGAAAATATCAGGGTGAGATCTGGAAAGTTGAAAAAATCTCTATTCTTATTACTACATTAACTACATTAGATGTTCTAGCCTTTCAGTCGATAGGGTTTCAGGGCGGATGAAAACTGGGATGATATCACATCCATGAGGTACCGGAGCCCTGGGGGACCCTGACCCACACAGTCCGGGGCGTCTAAGAGTCTAAGCGCTTGAGAGTCAGGTGTCTTTTAACTTTTGGGTCATTAGGGCATTAGGCATGGCGTACGCAAGTCGTCACGTCACGGCCGCAGCTGCCTCTATAAGCTGCCCGATCCTTCTTTGGTACATTTTCTCTTCTTTGACTTACTACTCTCAGCCGCTGTACTCCTCATACTCCGTACTCTGTACGAGCTACCCTGCATCTCTGCTCAGCCCCACGTGTTCCAGTATATTAATACTTGACTCAGTGGCCCTCCCTGCTCGAGTGATCTACCCTCTCTCTGCCTAGTCTTGGATACCTTCGTACCCGTGGATAGTCTCCAAAATGACTGTCGATTGCATTTCCATGGCCTCGCGCCACCACCCCCATCACCCCTTGAACAAGCCCAATATAGATCGGCACGCCACTGGGACGTCAAACGTGGGCAGCAATAACCCTTACGCCAGACACATGTCACCAGCTCCCTCGACTCATTCCCGAACATCGCGCGCTGACTCCGTGAGCTCCGCACCGTCAGTCTGGTATTCCGGCACACCCGAGCATTATCCGGTGGAGCCGAGATGCCGCCATCCGTCTGCTCCCCGTCGCCGCCGCACTACTCATAGATCCTCCCGGCACTCGCAGCTTGTGCAGCCAGACATTATTGACCAACTGGACAATGTGACTGCATTCTCCTACCACCATGAAGGCCCGTACGACGCTGCTCGTCCGGAACGGAACCGCATCAGTCAGTACAGCCCACTGGAAGCTGTGAGAGAATCCAACGCCGAGGCTTTGCGGGCAACTCCGCAGCACAAGATCGCCGACGCTTTGAACAGCCACAGGCCGCTGGATGGCGTCGCATTTTACCCACCTGGAACTACGGATCGCAATGGCCAAGAGTACTCATACGAAGAAGGCTCCAACATGATGAACGATTTTTCGGGCAACTTCATGCGTCTTCCTGGCACGGTAAGGTTCATGCTACTTGTTTTGTGTTACATTTATTAATTTGAATTCAGAAATTCACCGACGAAGATTTCAAGAATGATCCATTTTACAACCGCCCTCCAGTCAATCCATTCTCGCAAATTCGAAAGAGCATCACTATGCGATTCAAGAAACGCCGCAGCACGGCTTAAACCGTTTCCTATTTGGACAACTTCACGACTTCACGATATGCCCTGTTATGATTTTTACACGATTTGACATTCGTTGGATAATGTCTGTAAGACACTTGGGGTTCGGGGTTCCTGTTTTGATTCATCTTTTTTCGGTGTTGGTATGTTTATCTGCTGTTTTTCCGGGGTCTTGTGACTGTCCGCCACCAGAGATGGTGAGCTTATGGTTTTTTTAGGGGGCGTTGGATATGTGCCTTTCTCCTTTCTTTTTCGTGTATACTATACTACTGCATGTAACTGGGCAATAGCAGACCGATTTCTATTTTTGATTGGCGGTCAATATGATCCAGCACACCCTCGGCTGGAGAAAACGAGAACATCTCGCCTAAACTCCCCTCCCATTCGGATTCTCACCTTGGCGCTCAGAGTATACGAGGAATGTCACCTGTTACACAGTGCCGATCGGCACCGCGCAGTGTTCCCCCTCGCAGATGCAGATCACGAGTTTTCCATGTCATCCCCAGACCCCAGAAATAATGCCAACTCCGCTATGGTGATTTATTGTGATCGAGTTTATCTTTAATATGGGCCGAGGGGAAAAGTGCTGTTGACTGGCTACTCGGCTCACGCTGTTGCCCAACGAGGCAAACACCCTCGTGTTTGACGTGAGATGTCCACCTTGCTTTCAGATCACCCCACCTTCTGGCCATGCTTACTTTCTACTTACTCCGTACTCCGCACAGTGCAGTAGTCTTACTCCTTACACCATACCATGTCTTAGATGTACGGAGCACTTCAATATTCGTGAAGCATTCTGTTTCTGAAAGACATTGCGCAAGATCCGGCTTGACGAGCGCAGCAAAGCTACCCCATCTTCATTGTTTTGCGCTATCTATTCTCACAGTCCACTCACATTCTCCTTGGCCTATTTGGCTTGTCATGGGACTGTCGCTCGGCTTCGGAGAAAAGACCGACTGATGCTATCGCGGCGACAGGGGTTCTGAGCGGGGAAATTAGCCGTTGCTTGGTTATCACTTGTGGTGCGTGTTGAAATGAGGGAAATAAAAGGAACTATTATCGAAGCTCTTTGGGTCGAATTCCGGCCTTGATTATCCGAATTTCACTTTTTGATTGCTTTGAGAGTTTGTTCGCCGAAGGCATGTTAAACGGGGCGTAATTTGCTAGCGACCTGGGATGTACTTAATAGGTGTGAAACCCTCCAATCAATCTGAGCACATATACACCCAAATATTGCTCAGGAGAAATGTTCTACTTGATACGGAGTAGCGAAGGTAATTAATCAAGTAAAAAAAAACCCCTCGGTAAGCTCTCAGTGGCATGCGGTTGATGATCGAGCGGGTCGACGGGTGATCCGAGGCTTTCCGCTGGCGTAAGGTACCATTTTCTCCGCGCCAATCTGTCTGGCTCTGCTTTTTTAGCGACTCCTTTGATTTCACACTTAGAAAACGTACCTCGTACGATGTGAGCAGTCTCTTGCACTACAGTAAATCAATTATTTCAGAACATCGATTAACCTCCGCCCTCTGCTAGGTACTAGTGATCTGACTTATCACATGGGCAAGGAGAACTCCAACCGAAGCACACGAGGCTTTGGTGGAGTCTACCTACTACGGAGTACGGAGTACTCACTGGTATATTACTTGATCACTCTTTATCCACAGACATTGTGTTTTGAGAGCTTTCTTCTGCAATTGAGAGAAATATGCCCCTACTAATGAGTAGGCAACAGTATTCAAGCTCTTCAAATGCAAGGAGTGGATCCAAATTGTCAATATAAGTACGGAGTACCCCGTATAATCGAAGGACTCCGTCGGGGCAAAGTGAAATACTCCGCCCAACTCTTAAAATCAAGAAATGACGACATAACCTTTCATATCACCTTCCTAGTTGCTCCTCGCGAGGTTACAATCTCTACCGGCCCTCCGAGCCCCCCCGCTCCTGAGAGCGAATGGTTGCCGTCCGATGGGTCCCACTAACCGAAGCTAGAGGCGGCTGGCAATCACATTGGCAAAGCTTGGTCGCTGGCAATCTCCACTTGAAACATTCCTGTTGACGATCTGTTCTAGATAGTGAGCGATGTTTAACGCAGGGAGGGGAGAAGCGGAGTGAGTGGAGGGTGTATAAATGGGGGTCTGGGGCCTTTCTCTACTGAGCTCCAGCACCCCCTCTCACCTTCACAGCTCTCGCCATGCTAGTGTTGGGTCCGTTCATACTGCTGGTCGCAGCGGCCACTGCGCTCCAAAACCCCCACCGCAAGGCTGCATCCCAACATAATGTGAAGTCCTTGCGCAGAAGGGAGCTTACTTCCGCTCCCACCACGCATCAGTATCTAAACAAGAAAACAAAGAGTATGGATGAAATCAAAGCGATCGAGAACCAAGATTACTAATTATCGTCCTGTAGAATTCCAGGTTAATGGAACTCACTTTCCCCAAGTGCCTTTCGATATCGGTGAAAGCTACGCTGGTCTGTTGCCCAATACGCCCAATGGAAATTCAAGTCTATTCTTTTGGTTTTTCCCTTCCACCAATCCAGCTGCCGACAAAGAAGTGAGTACTTGATCCTGTGAGCATTTGCTGAATGTAACCTAAAACTCTTTCAGATCACGATCTGGCTGAATGGAGGTCCCGGGTGCAGCTCGCTTGATGGGATCCTTCAAGAGAATGGCCCATTCCTCTGGCAGGCGGGAGTCTACGAGCCCGTGCGAAACCCTTACTCGTGGACAAAGTTGACAAACGTCGTTTACATTGATCAGCCTGCCGGCACTGGCCTGTCCCCTGGACCAGCTACAGTCCAAAATGAGATTGATGTGGCCAACCAGTTCAACGACTTTTGGAAAAACTTTATTGAGACTTTTAGTATGCAGGGGTACAAGGTCTACATCACCGGAGAGAGCTATGCTGGTCAATATATTCCATATCTGGCTGCGGGCATGCTGGACCGCAATGACACCAAGTATTACAATCTCAAGGGTATCCAGATCAACGATCCTTCCATCAATGAGGACAGTGTTTTGATCTACGGTAAGCTCGGATCCGTCATTCAAATGCCCATGATTATACTGACAAATATCCCAAGCACCTGCTGTCGCGGCATTGAACCACTTCTCCACAGTCTTCGGCTTGAACGACACATTCATGCACGAGATCAACGAGCGAGCCGATAAATGCGGCTACACCAAGTTCCTAGATTCCGCTTTGCAGTATCCACCGATACCAACTAAGAACTTCCCTGTCGTGCCGGACCCCTCCACGCCGGGTTGCGATGTGTGGGACCAAGTCGTCAAAGCAGCAACTTATATCAACCCTTGCTTCAACATGTACCACCTGACAGACTTCTGTCCTTTCCTATGGAGCGAGATGGGCTTCCCATCACTAGCAGGTGGGCCGAACAACTACTTCAACAGATCCGATGTTCAAAAGGCCCTCAACGTCCCACGGACCAACTTCGACGTCTGTGGCGGCGACATTTTCCCCAACGGCGATGGATCTGTGCCCAGCGCCCTCGGCCCTCTTCCTGGTGTTATTGAGCGCACGAACAACGTGCTGATTGGTCACGGATGGTACGATTACCTGCTATTCCTGAATGGTACCCTTGCAACAATCCAGAACATGACTTGGAACGGCGCACAAGGCTTCCAAAAACCTCCCATCGAGCCGTTATTTGTTCCGTACACAACTGCGCTGGACAAACTCGCTAATGGTTATCAATCAATTCCTTGGACCGCTGATGCCGGAGCTGGGATTCTTGGAACCGCTCACACTGAGCGTGGGTTGACCTTCAGTTCGGTCTATGGCTCTGGTCATGAGATCCCTCAGTATGTCCCTGGCGCGGCGTACAGACAATTGGAGTTCCTTCTCGGGAGGATCAAGAGTCTTCAAGAGAGAGGAGAATACACTGCCTTGTAGGTATATGAGACATTGTTAGACTGGCTTGTTCGTGGAGGCATGTAGAATGAGCTTCCGTCAAATTTTGACCTAAATTAGCATAGATTTACCACCATTGAGAGAGACAAATACAAAAACTGGACATTAATAGGAGTACCTAGGTACTATATGACTAGTCATTATCAAAGATACTCGTCCAATGATCGATACTGGGTTGAATATTCAATGGAGATGAGACGCAGGAAAGAGCTTATTACAGTAAAAGCACAACCATTATAGATCAATCCATTGATATTATTATCTCATCTAGATAGACTTGATGAGTGTCCAGATTACATATATCCTTCGACATCCTGATTACCAAAGTAAACGACCCATGAGGGTTGATTGTTCGACTTCTCCGAATTAAATTTGAGCCTCACCATTAGTGGCGTCTCTTAGCGGCGGCAGAGCTGCTAGCGGAGCTGGAAGCAGATGAAGTGCCTGCAACGATAGAGGAAGTAGGTGTGGCATCAAGAGGACCGATTCTCAAAGAACCACATGGGCTGGAGGGAGCCGTGAGGCAGTCGCCGATGTAAAGACCCAGGCTACCAGTTTCGTTGCGAGTTGAAAGAATCTGGGCTGGTGGGTACGCTCCAACAAGGGAAGTGGCATTCTGTGCAAAGAAAGTTGAGTTGACCCGGCTTCCAATCAAAGCAGCGTGGGCGCTGTGGGAAGCAGCCAGACGCGCTAAGAGGAAGGAAACCTCGGGGGACTGGGTGTATCCGGCAAGGCCAATGAAAGCACCGGTAACAGTCGCCTCGAAGTGGTAGGCATACAAGGCCCAAGCCTGAGTGGTGTTGACCTGGGGGTATTTGAATTGGCAGTCGGGCTCGCTAAAGCCGGGTGTCTTTTGGCCGACCTTCTCGATGGCTTCGCTGCCGAGGGTATTTTCCTTCTCTACGCCGTAGAGAACCTTCTTGTAGGCGGCAATAGTAGCATTGCTGGTGGAGGAGAAGGTAGAGTTCACAGTAGAGTTGTAGTAACCGCCGATGAAGTCGGAGAGACCCCAGGCAAACTCAAGTACGTTCGCATCGGATGACGAAGGCGCGCAGCTAGAGTTTTGTGCTGAGGCAGTGACTGCGGTCAAGAGGAGACCGGCCAAGCTGAAGAACTTCATGTTTCTTGTGTAGATCTAAAAAAATTATAGATTCGAGTATATCGTGCAAGTATTCGGTGGAAAACTCAGAAAAAAAAATGGCCTTTGCGGCGGCGACGCGCCTTTTAACACCCGAGAACACGCAATCTTGCGACTATGCTCCTGTCATGATCCCAATAGAGACGCATGCGGTAGTAATCGGATGAAATTAACCAGAAATCTATGCAAATAACCAGTAATCCTCTCCATACTAGCGTCATAGAGCATGATTTAGGGCTTTGCGCATAGTAGATCCGGGGATCCACATTTCCGTCGCTATGCCATGACGTCTACCATTTCACGCCTGTTAGCCACTCTTCAATGATCGATATTGGGTCTATAACAAGTCTTTCAAACTAAGTTTGAAATTCCAAGATTGAGTATCTGAAAATGTTCGGTCCGCCACCCGTCCTTAAGCGAATCGTGGCGTCGCAGACAGCCACACTCTTATTTTAATTGAACCTTCCCGAGGTCATTACAACCCTGGAACGTTGTACAATACAACCTGAAGCTTTTAGGCTCATGAAAGGGAAGTCTTAAGAATTTCAAGGTTTGTCACCGAGAGCCCAAAGTGTCCAGATTTATTTATCCCATCTCGGCTTTCTCCGGGCCTCTATTTCTATGCCGTCATCAACTCTTAACACACTCTCGACTAAGATCAATACCCGTGGACTTGTTGGTCCTAACGTAAATCCTTTAAACTTGATAAATTTTTGACAGCTCTAGGTAACTAGGGCTGCAGATAAGATATAACCTTATGGCCTTTGAAGTATGTGCGGTACTGTTAAAAACCTTGGAAATCTTGTACATTTGAGAGCCGTCATCACAAAATATACATCATCAACAGCACGCCTCGACCGAGCTTATATAAACTTGAAATGATGGGCAAATATGCACAGCCCACTCATAAACGCACTGATTCCACCACACATAATGATAAGACCATACCCACTACCATAGGCACCGATCGCATGATCCTTCCAGTGGTCGGCGCTCAGCAAAGCCTCGCTGAACGGACCACTGACAACGTTGCCAATACCTCGACCGAAAGCGATAAGTGCAAAGATCATAGTGGAATCTGCACTTGGAACAGCTCGTGCAACCTCCCGTGTTATTCCCGCCCACGTGGCTGAGTAACACCCGGCAAACAAGCCGTATGCGACAGAGAATACCAGCAACGTTGGCATAGTCGTAGCAAAACCCCACAGAAAGAAGAGGGATAGAGTGCTCCCAACGGTCGATATTGTGATGCAGGTGATTGCATGATATCGGTCTGCCAAATGACCCATAGTCACGCTTCCAAAGACTGATGCCAGGTTCAGAAGGGTCACCGTCAGCGAACTGACGAAGTCGGAAGCACCAATACTGCGGGCGTGGGATGGCAGATAGATTCCGGGTAGAAAGAAACCAATTGCTTCCATGATGTTGCTGAGCTGGTAGATAATGAACACCTTGTTGTATGAGAACCGGAAGTTGAACCGAGTATAGGCAACGGATTTGGAAATCGGCAAACGGGGCCGATGGAAGTATAAGAAGGGTGCCGCGAGCACGAACATAATCACTGAAATGATCCGGAGAGTCGTTTCAAATCCGTAAGTCGATAGTAACTTCTCCAATCCGATCGGGAAGATTAGACCAGAAACCCCCGAGCCAGCCCAGGTGATACCGAACGCGAGTCCCTTCCGGTTCACGAACCATTGATCCATGTACATGATTGACGGACTGTATGCTATACAGCCGCCGACTCCGAATCCCACTCCTTGCGAGAGGATGAGGTGAGTGACATTTTGGGAAAACGAGGCCAGTGCAAGGGAAAGACACATCAAGATCAATCCTATGGTTGAGAACCAACGGCCCATCTGGGGAACCAGGATCATAGCTGCAATAACAAGTGGACAGCTCAGATAAGAAATGCCCTGAAATGGTGTTAGCCATAGAGAACGTATCTCAGTCAATATGTTTGAGTACTAACCGTAGCACATGTACCAATAACGGCGATCATGCTCGACTCTTGGAACGATTCGTAAGCATGGTAATATTTTTGAAAGACTCCGAACGTAAATGCGAACCCTAATGCACCATTAGCATCTTGCCGAACTGGTGAGGAGTTTTGAAATTACCCCATATCAATGCCTCTAGCATCACACATGCTCCTAGGAACATCCACGCATGAAACCCTCCATCAACAGGTGGTAACTTCCGCTCCTCGGCGGGCCTCTCATCAAGCTTCTCCGGACATAAGCGTATCTGGGCTTCACTGCCAGGTGGTGAATTGCTGGAAGAGGAACGTCTACTCTCCATGATTGTGTAGTGTGGAGTGACTTGATTGTAACATTTGAGACAAGAGAAAGTCTGAACGAGCCATCCTTACATTATAACCAATGAGTCTTTGAAAGTCACATTGTTTGATTTCCGCCAAGGGAGATTAAACGTCGGAAGGGATGAAGAAAGCCTTGTTATAAGTCAGCCAGGTGACGGAAGGAATTTCCGCGCGTAGGTTTTTGTAGGGCTGGCATGCAAATGTTGAACACCGAGCGGTATAATCGCCACTCTCGCTTCAAGATCAGCAACCACCGGTAGTTCATGATCAGTCACGTCGGTAATCCTAATCAGACAGCGGAAACATTCTTCCCATCTTCAGTTTGACCAAGATATAACACATCGCCTCGATATACCGATGAGGCTTGACCTGGAGCGCAGCCCCTGCTTAAAGCTCCCTGGAAATCGAAGTTCCTGAAAGGCCGAAGCTGACGTGCTTTGCGTGGGGAATAGAAAGCTCGCTCGGCCTGCGACGGAGGATTGTGAGCTGGAATAGCAAAAGCAACGGCTAGGGGCGGACGTGCGAAGGGATTGGAATGTATAGCTCGATCATTACCGAATAGGGTTGCAAACACCGGAGAGTTTTTTTCGATAAGGTGTGTGTTATGATATCACTGGGAAGGTTCGGAGCTTTGACAACTTCCAAACCCCTTGCACTTGAGCTATCTCCGCATTGTGCCACGTTGACAAGGTGTAGCAGCAGACCCCGCGGCGTACAGCTTGAGCATCAAGGGGCCTGAAATGCACCAATCATTTCGAGTTCAATGCAACATAGCACGCAACATGACAAAAGTGACGTGGGCTCCCAGCCTCTTGTTATATCTATTGCCCTCGCAGCGAGATGACTTACTGGGTGTGTGACTGAAAATGCACTCTCAGGCTTTCTAGTCACATTCCATCGCCCAAAACTTGATCTTTCCCAAGCAAGCTCTTGACACGTTCTGCATGATGAATCAAGCGTTGGATCATCGGGCCTGAGGCTAGGAAGCCAAATTCAGTGAAGGTTGGAGCAGTTTGAAGACGCCCTTGGGTCCGTTGTGCGCAGATTCTTGGTAGGGCTGGACTCTCCATCGGACCGAAGCCTGCATGTGTCTACCTTTCCCCATGTGGAATTAGGTAGTGTGAAACTATCACCACTGATCCAGGAAAGGACAACTTTCTACTGAGGCGAGATAACTTACTTCTCCAAAGGCTCAGCACAGCGAGAGTTCGAGATTTAAAACTACGCCAGAAATGTTCGTATTTCCTCTTTTGGATCGAAGCAAATATTATTGGTAAATACTTGCATACTTGAAATAGACGCTAAGAGATTGTCATTGGGAGTTTCGTATCAACCAGTCAGCTTCATGGCCGAATAAATAACCCGGAGACGAGCTGTCGCACATCTGGGCCCTGGCTAATTGGCGAGCCAGATATTTTGGTCCTGCCCGTAGCCATACGCAATCCATGAATCCTTGAAGTATCTCTGCAGGACAGTCTGCTAGTAGGTCATATCATCGACACAGTATCCGCCGCCAGTTGGTCCAATGTGTGGGCAGTGAATTTCGGGCCGGTATGGTACCATGTGCTCATGAACCTCACGACATAGCAATGTGTTGCGACCGAGTTCATAAGCCTTGCCAAATCGAGTCTTCTTCATCAAGAACTCGTAGCAAGAAGCGTTGTCGGTGTATTGTTGGTTGGGGCCCAGGCAGAATTTATCGTGCGTTTCACAAATCGTTTTGGCCAGTATATCGGAAACGTACGTGACGACTTGGTCAGTCGAAGTAGCGTTAATCTTAACGGCCAATCTCTCTAGCAAGACGTCCAAGGAGTTTGCGAACCAGCGGAATGTCGCGTCGTACTGGGCAATTTTCCCATCTTCGTTCCATTCAATCCATGTATCAATCGCGTAAGGGGCAATGACACCAAAAGTGGTTATGTTGAATGTCACGACAGTGGTGGCAGAGGCAACGTTGTCATTCGCAGTAAATTGAGTGATGTTGTATCCAATGGGGATACCGGTGAGGCTGACATGGCTAGGATCCACGAAAAGACCGAAGATGTATTCGCGGTTTAGTTCGTCGCCGTCGAAAGTACGGGTGACATCGACACGTCCTTGGACCTGTGGTTGAGTTAGCTGTTAGCTCAGAGTAATATAGCATGGAGAAAAGCTCACATCAGTTGCAAAGACAGTAGAAGTGTTACCCTCAACCTGCTTTTTGTTGGCAGGATAGAGGAATTCGTCCCAGAAAGTCTTCTCAAGATCCCATAGTTCGTCAAATTGATAAAGCGATTTGTTGCTCTTGCTGGATGAGACGTCTGCTGATGCAAAGAGTGCGAAACAAGCAAAAGTGACCAAAGCCCAGAGGGCCATAAACAGATGCATTATGAATGTTGAAGTTGATGGAGTGGAAAAGACGAGAGAGGGAGAGAGTAATATCTAGCGAAGAGCTGTTGGGAGGTCAGATGCCCTAGACTAGATAGCTCTCTCTCTCTCCTCTTCACTACCTCTCTCCCCCTCTCTCCCTCCCTTCCTTTCCCAAGTCAGTCAATCTTCGCTTTGGCAGTCTGAATAAACCGTTTTCCCAGCAATTCCTGGCTTCTGCCAGTAGACAAGCTCTGTCGTCAAGAGCAGACATAATCCCCAGTTATGCCAACTTGAAAAATAGAGACTCCGCGGTCTTAGGAAGCCCCCCGGATGATTTATTTTACGAGAAGGTCGCATTGTTGTGAACAGCCCGACAATGTAATCTCCCCATTTTACGAGCTGCATGCCGGAGCGCAGCCCACACTGGACGCCATGCACCGGAACGGAAAAGGCCTACTCTGTAGTACTCTAACAGCTGGGCATGATATTTAAATGACTACTCCGTGAGGGCCTGGTAGGTAACTAGAACAGTTACTTAGGCGTTAAAACTAGCCCTACTCGACACTCAATTTACTGTCACCTTGTGTTGTGGTGTAAAATTTAGATACGTTCACTGCACTGCTCGTTCTTCATTTGTATGAACCAGACTCCTGCTCTGTCCGTTTATCAATACCCCCCAACATGGAACTTTCCATGCTGCCGAATATCTCTACTCGAGCTACCCACATAGACAGTGAAAGTCCCCTTTGGTACAACCCATTTCTGCTTCTTGACATCCCAGTAACTTAGATCGCGGCGCGTCAGCTGGAAAGTTGCCAACGATGTTTGCAGAGGATACAGCGATAGCTTTTCGAAACCTCGAAGCTGCTTTGGGGGAGTCCCGGGGACAGAGTCCGGTAAACCAATGTAAAGCTGCGCAACTTCAGCACCGAGAACCTCGCCAGTGTTCTTAACAAGCGTAGAGATTGTGCCGACAGATTCGAAAAGTTGTTCAGCTCCACCCGGGATGATGCGCCCATCCAGAGGGCCGGATGTAGCAGCGACATCGATCGAGAGTCTGCTGTATTCGAAAGACGTGTACGAAAGACCAAAGCCAAATTCATACCGAGGGGAGATTCCGTTCTTGTCAAAGTGGCGGTAGTCAACAAATAAGCCCTCGCCGAAGTTATCATCCAGCGATGGGTTCCATCCAGCACCGTAATCGGCGAACTGTTTTGCAATTGTGTATGGCAGCTTGCCACTGGGAGACCAGCTTCCGTAAAGGACATCGACGAGAGCGTTTCCGCTTTCTTGACCAGGGAGTCCTGCCCAGACGATTGCTTTCACTGATGGTTGAGCGAGAACGGTCTCAAGAACAATGGGACCGACGCTGTGCACTACAACAATGACGTTCTTGTTCTTGGCTGCGACTGCTTTGACAAGCTCGTTTCCATTGTGCCAGGGGTCAAGATTGTTTCTGTCCCCGGCATTCCCTTCCACTGTGATGTACCTGGCCTGAGAGTCAGTATGGGTCTAATTTGCGCAAGTAAATTTGAAGTTAAAAACGGCCCGACTTACCCTTCGCCTGCGTCCGAGTTGATAAATACAATTGCCGTGTCGGCGGCAGCAGCAGCCGCCGCGCCTTCAGTTGGATTATCGGTGGTGCTTTGGACAATCGAAGTGCCATCTTTACTGGCTTGTGCTTGGATTGCACTGAGGGGATCGACGAGGTACTGAGATGACAAGATTAGATTCTCTGGTTGTCAAGCCTCGAATATTCATGCAAGCACATACCGGGAACTGTGATGTACCACTACCCCATCCCATGGCCAGTGTACCATTGTTACACCCATGATCACTACACGCATTGGCACCCTCTGGATTGACAATAGCATCCAGTCCAATAATTGCAAGACTCCGAGGCTTCTTCAGAGGCAGGGTCTTGCCCTTGTTTTTCAACAAGACAATCGAATCGCGAGCTCCAATCCGGGCAATGTCGATGTGATTCGGCAAAGCTGTCACATTGATGCTAGCCTTGCCGCCATCCCAGGAGCTGAATTTCACATCAGGATATCCCTGATCTTGATCGAGGAGATACCACGCCGCTAGGATTCGAGTCACCATGTCATCCAATCGTGATTGAGGGACAGATCCATTGTTCACGGCCTGGACAAGATTCGGACCCCAGAATACGCTACCGCGAGGGGTCGCAAAATCGCTACCAGGCATTGTCATATCAAGCCCAGCTAAAGCACTGTTCACGCCCGTGTGCTGTGCGTTCCAATCACTCATGACGTAGCCCGGAAACCCAAGTTCCTTCTTGAGAAGCTTGTTGAGAATTGCATCGCTTTCACAAGCCCAAGTCTGGTTGAACTTGTTGTAAGAACACATGACGGACGCGACATTGGCTTTGACGGCATTCATGAAGGGCCATACGTAAAGCTCGTGAGTTGCGCGATCACCAATGTTCGAGCTCATGGTTTCTCGATTGTGTTCCTGCTCATTGCCGAGCCAGTGCTACTCGAAGTGTCAGCTATCTTCAGGTCGCAACGAAGTATCCATATCTACCTTGGCGCAAGCTTGGACACCCGAGTCTTGCATTCCCTGAATAGTATGTTCCATACCGACTCCACTCAAATATGGATCCACAGAAAAGCCTTCCCAGTTTCGACCACCATCTGGGTTCTTTCCTAATGGGCCAGCGACAGGGCCCAGCTGGACGTGCACGCCCAACTCTTTGGCCTCTTGGCCCATAGCAGCTCCACGCGCATAGAAAACATCGCGGTCCCAGGTCGCACCAGCATTGATACCTGCTGGGAAAGCTGACACCGGGTTGGCAAACCGAATACCTAACGGTGAATCTTGGAGGCACAGAGAGGGATAATCTATGGACTCGGGTGCATAGGTGTTACCAACGCAAGGGCCCCCTTCCCAAGTGACGCCGGTGGCAATGCCGACCTTTTCTGTTTGATTGAGCTTCTGAAGAGCAATTTTTGCTTTGGCGTAGGCCTGTTCCCAGCCAGCGCTTCCAGATACATATGCATCGGCGGCGGCGCTGAGCGACAACGCCAATAGAAGATATTGCATGTTGGCTCTTGCTGTGAGTATGCACTGAAACCGCCACAGTCCGGACATGCAATGTGGGAGACAAACCCTTTATACCCACCATTTTGTGGGGTAAGTTTGACTCAGTCCCTGAGAAGGAGATTCTTTGGCTTCCCCGGTGGCGGTCTGGGCGCCATGCAAAATGTCAGGATTGATGAGCATCCCATGATCAGGTAGCTTCACTGGTGCTGGGCTTGGCTACCAAGGCACAGCTATAGTGCTGCTTGGGAAGTGACACAGGGTAACAGTGAAGCATGAAGATGCACAAGGTTAAACGATACCCCTCGGACCTCTTCGCCAAAATCACCCCTGATTGGCACGCGGAGTCGCGGAATGCAGGGAAGCAGGGGTGTAGAAAACATAGCCTAAAGTATCCATGGCTTTTGAGCCGAGAACCCCGCAAAGCCTGTATGCTTCTCCCAACCCCGCATATTTCGCTTTTCCTTTGTTCAGTATGATTGAAAGGCCGCTGAGGCCCTGTGTGGTGGATTGTTTATCGTTGGAAGCGTTGGCTTTTTCGAGGGCGGCTTATGGTCCATCAAACTGAATGGAACTATCCATGCTTTAGCTAGGGCATAGAATACTTTGCACAGAACTTGACTTTGTTCCCCGAGGGAATAACTGAAGGGTGATGGCGATGCTTGAAGACTGCGGGCCGTGATGGATTTGGCTAGTGGTCCGGTCTCTGGGCATTTCCCCGCGAATTCCGACCCGAACGGGGAAATTTAGCTCTGGCTTCACGTTTCCGAATCACGAAAAAGAGAGAAACAGGGGTCCAATAATTGGTCTCAGATGGCACAGACACGTTCGTGCCTACTTGGCCGGAAGGTTTAGAGAGGACGTTGGGAAATGTTTCAGGGGCAGGTCTGTAGCGGCCAGGGTGAAGTTTGTTATTTCCGATAAAATTTCCCATTTGGTATTAAGCCTGCGGAGTATACCCTTAGGTCCCCTCTTCAAGTATCTTCTTGAGGATTCTTGCAAGTGTCTTTCGACATATTGAGATTAACCCTGGCCGCTACAGACCTGCGTACTCCGTACAAGGGCGAGAGAACCCCTATTTGACATTTTGATTTAATCTGGATTCCTTCGAAATCACGCCATTTCAACAATTTAGATACTCTAATTTCGAAGGACTCGCTCAGGGGTGTCTAGAAAAATGCCTCGGATCACAACACAATTATCGTTTTAGCGAACAACCTTGGAAGCAGCGCAAATCGCCGAGCCGCGAGTCAATCCCTCTACGAGAACCCACAACCTTCCAACCTTGGAATAGCTGTCGATTTAAAGCGAGCTGCTTTCATACTTCTTGACGGTGCAACAGTGGCTCGATTGGCTCTCTTATTGGTTGTCCGGCATATTACTTCAACTTTATTTTATGGAGCTCGGCAGAGAGTGTTGACAGACTCTTTCCTGAGACAGGGTGAAAGATGTCTCATGTAATTATTTCTTATAGTCCTATCATTGACCAGAGAGTATTATGCCGAATCCTTCGCCAATCGATTACCGAAAGCCTCCTCGCCATCAAAAATCAATGCAACTTCTTCCAAACTGTAGCCCTTGGTTTCGGGAAATCCAAAATATACAATGCCAATCTCAACAGCCAGAATGCAGCAGTAGACAACGTAATATCTCCAGCTGATCGCATCCATCGCCACCGGGTTCGTATACCCATTGAAAATCAGCGCACAAGTAGATGCGATTTGCATGATATTGGTCCCCTTGGCTCGGAGATGGGTAGGAAGGACTTCGGTGACATACACCCAAGGCGGCCCGTTGAGACCGGCGTTGTAGCATAGCTGATAGAGGAAGATCATCACGACCACCCCAGTTCCAAGCGAACTATCCGTGAAATGTCGTTGTTCATTGATTGCAGAGAGTATTGTCCAAATAACATAGCAGACCAGCATACCGATTGTCGAGCAGAGGAAGAGTCGGCGCCTCCCGGCCCATTCCATCAGTGATGCGAGCGCCACCGAGACGATAAGGTTGAATACCATGAGACCGCCGTTGATGCGGAGCTGCTGTGGATCGGAGGTGAATCCAATAGAGTTGAGGATCAGATGCAGGTAGTATGAGATCAAGCCGTTGCCAGAAAGTTGCATCATGCAGGGAACCGCAATGATGATGAACAGGCGGTGTAAGTTTCCACGGGTGGTGAGGAATTCACGATAGCCTGATTTGGAGGCTTGTTTGGCTGTTTGGATTTGTAAAATGATTTCCTGCATCTCGAAATCCACCAGAGGCGAGGTTTCATCCCCGCCAGCGTGGTACTTTGTCAAGATTTGACGGGCTTCGTCGTAGCGATCTTGTTGCACTAGGTATCGCGGTGATTCGGGAAGTAGATAGACGAAAGCAACTTGAGCCAGTGGGAAGAACCCCTGAAGGAGTGATGGTATTCTCCATGCCCATGATGTATCTAATCCCATGAAATATGTACCGTACGTGACCCATGCGGCGAGCAACGCCCCCAAATACCACGCATTATTATAGTATCCCACTAGCACGGGACGATGAGTTGGATACGCTAGTTCACTGACGAGCATCGGTGATGCCTCGACGGCAATCAGACCCCCAAAGCCAATGACCATGCGTGAGATCAAGAACATGGTATAGTCCTGGGCTGCGCATTGCAGAACGGCGCCGACGACCAGAAGAGATGATCCCAAGAAGATTGGAAATCGACGTCCTGTGTGATCACACAGCCATGGTGCAATCGGAAATGCCAGGATCTGGCCGAAGATCACCCCGTTCGAGAGGGACCCCAGTCGAGTGCCCGTCGGCGAGCCGAAAAACCGCTGCCACTGAGTCATGGACTGGAGACCGTTCAGCATCGACCCGTCGTACCCATTGGTTGTCGAGGACAGATAGGGAATGATCATGCCGAGATTGAGTAGCACCAGGTGACGTTGTTTGTACCAGGGTCTGCCGGTATCTGGTAAGACATTCTGCAGGACCCATCCATCGGAACTAGTGGCGCCGTGATCGCGATATCCGATCGTTGGACTCTTCTCACTATCGACCATCGCGGGTTGTTTCGAGTGACTGGGTACCGGCGGTGGATGGTGAGATGACTCGGTAGCTTCTGTGTAGATCTACACAACGCCGAGGAGAGGTCATGCTCGTGCGTAGCGCAGGGAGTAGGGAGTCCCGTATGGAGACCCTCATTTCGGCTCGAGCTCGTTTGTGGCGCGGGCGTTTTAGACAAACAGGCTAGTGGCCGTCAGCATTGTGCGAGGCAAAAGAGCCGAGAGGAAATTTCCCCGCAACATCCCCAGACGTAGCGAATCCTTACCCGCTGGTAAATTGCCTAGCGGCCGACAGACACGGGATGTGACTCTGGAAGCATAATGTAACACCCCGCTATCTCCGAGATTCCGCTGAGCGGTATTTAGGAGACACGATGTTGGAGAAGAGTGTGCAGAGCTGAGGATGGAGACGGTTGATCTGCCGGCACAAACAATCGCGGATCCCACCGAACCGGAAAAAGAAAACGTTCTCGGACCGTCACCTATCCGCGCAAACGAGCTGCTCAGGCCTGCCACACTTGCAGGCTGCGAAGGACCAAATGTGACAATATTCGTCCGGCGTGCGCTTCCTGCGTCCGATTGGATGCGGAGTGTGTCTACAAGGAGATAGACCCTTCGTCGTAAGTCAACACTGGGAGCATCGAGGCATGGCGCGTCACTAACCCGCGACAATAGCTTTGATTCGGCGAGTCTGGCGATATTGAAGCGAATGGATGATTTGGAAAGCTTGATTCAATCAGTGAGCAACGCGCCGCTCGTGGTTTCGCCGGCTGCCTTTTGTTCCACGTCGCCCAGTTCCCGCGATCACTCAGGGGTTAATGCCCAAGAACATCGAGTGACCTTTTTGGTCAATGCGGAGGCTGTCCTCAGATGGCCAGTGTTCGAGTCGATTTCTATCCAACCGAGTCCTTATCAATCGTCAGCAGCGCAAGATGATTATCATTCGCCAGGGCTGTCGATCCCGGTGGATCTCGATCTGCAATCGGGCGGTCATTTCATCGAACGATTCTTCGAAGACGTCCATATTTTCAACCCCGTGTTGGAAGAGCAAGATGTGATCGAGTATCTGGGAGAAGTTCAGCGGAATGGAATAGGATGGGATGCAAAGTCTTGTCTTATGGTAACCATCCACCCCTGCGGATATCCATATTTGCTTCCCGCTAATCCAATCCTAGCTACTGATCTGTGCTCTTGGTTCGATATCAACACCGTTCGTGAACCATCATCCCGTGATGACATCGTGCGACTTCCGCCAATCCCACAATTTTTCTCGCGCCGAGTCGTTTTTTCTAAATGCACAGAAACGCCTGGGAATGCTGCTCACTGGGAACGGGGCCATCGAGGCTCAGTGCTTTTTTCTCGCAGGTGTATACCTGATGACAACCCTACGACCGATGGAAGCGTGGCGAATGTTTGTACAAGGTCTAGCCTGTTGTCAAGCCCTTCAAAGCCATGACATTGATCATGCTCAATCGGAAGCTGAGTGGAGCCCCCACCAGCGGATTTACTGGACCTGTTTCAAGTCGGAATTGTGAGTTGCCCAGGTGCCTGGTTTGAAGAATCGTGTTGATGATGACGATGTGACAGGGAGTTGCGGTTAGAGTTGAACCTACCACGGCAGAATGGGGTAGATTTCAGTTATCCTATCATGTTTCCGTCGCCGCCACGTGGACTCGAAACTAAGAACGAACCAGCATGGTACTTCTACTTGGCTGAGATAGCTCTTCGGCGACTCAAAAATAGAGCACTGGGCACACTGTATCGGATTGACAACGCAGGTCAGGCTATAGACAGAGAAGAAGCGGCTATGGATTTTGAGGAACAGATGTATGCGTGGTGAGTAGGTCCCTGTGCTACATGGCACCTGTGAATTCCTTGACCTGATATCATAACCTCAGGTATCGATCTCTACCCGAAGCCTTAGCTTTCAACCTCGCCGGCGATGTAGGTTGGGCAGACGCATATGAACCATTTAGATTTATACTCAAGGGCCATTATCTTGACTGCCAAGAAATAATCTATTGGCACGCCATTGTGGGCGAACTAGGTCTTCCATCACGAAACAGCAGCGATACCTTCCTGGCAAAAGGCCTGCAGCTCTGTGTGAACAGAATAAAACACAACAAGCAAGGCTTCTATCACCGTCATCACGGCACATGGCTGATGATTCGATCTTGCACACGAAGTGCACTGGTATTGATCGCTGCGTCGAAGTGTGATGACCTCGACCAACAACTGCCCTACGGCTGGGAGCCAGCGATATCAGATGTGATGGCCATGTTGAGCTTCTGGAAACAGGAATCCCCGGATGTGTTTAAAGCGTTCCAGTATCTCCAACTTCTTCAAGCCACAAACTGAGACGCGCGTCCGCACATGATGGCCGTTAACTTTTACCGGCATTTTTCAAGTCCCTCTGTGTTTCCATTGACCCTGTGAAACCAGATCAATTTTCTCAACGACAGCTCCAAGTTAAGACCCAATCCAGCTACCTCATCGCCCTCAAACAAAAATTCTGCCTCAATTGGATCACTGCCGCCTTCAACAGCGTCTACCAGTTTGGCAGTGTATTTGGTCTGGTCGGAGATGTGATGAAACGTGAGAGTGAATCCCATAGCGCGGTCTGAGGCATCAACAAATAATCGATTGTCCACTATTTGAACTGTGATTCCGCGATATCCCGAATTCCAGTAATGCCCAGTATATTGATGAAGTGGTTTCACTTGCGGCTCGACTTCATCATCAGGTTGAGACATGTCGGGCTTCGTCTTATTTGCGTCAGACGGCCGATTGCTTTGGTGTTCTGGTTTTGAATTTTTGGGTGGCCGGCTCCGCTTTTGCTTTTTCTTCTCTCCTGCCTTCGTGCTTTCTGAAGGATTGACCCCGACTTTACTCACTCTAACGCCAGCTGCTTTATCCGGCTCCAGAATCCCCAGCGCATCGTCAATGAGCTCGCGAATCAAGATCCCGGCCACGATTCCAGCCTCTGACGAGTTTCCCATCACCACAGCTCCAAATTTGATGCTGGGGATGAAAGCAAAGCGAGCTCCAAACCCAGGGACAACCCCGTTGTGCCCAACGACCATATGGCCCCGATAATAGTATATATCAACGCCAGCCGCATAGAGAGGTGGAGATGTGAACGGTTTGAGCCTAGCGGGATGGTAATTTGGAAAACTGCGCGGCCTGACGAGCCCCTGATAAACCTTTTGGGTGATTGGTCCCTCTTGGTTTACTAGAGCCTTCACCCACTTGATGAAGTCATTGGCACTTGTGATAACTGAGCCGGCTCCCTGCCCTTCTGGGCAATCGGCGCATTGGCACTCGCGGTATCCGCTCGTTTTATTCCAGATGTAGCCGGTCGCGATACGGTCACCAAGACCCTTGGCCCGGGCATTGGCTGGCTGTAAGCTGCTGGAATTCATGGCCAGTGGCAGAAAGATTCGGTCTTCTAGAAAATCCGAGAATGATAATTTGGATTTGACCTCAATTAGATGTGTCAGAACTGTATACATCATATTGCAGTACAAGTACCGCGATCGAAGAGGAGCAGCAACGGCCAGGTTTCGGAGGTTTCGGGTGACTGATGCGGCATTGTCTGGGCACTCGGCTTGAGGACCGAAGTAAGAATTGTCATGTCTGTGCTAGAGTCAGCAACAGCCAACTCTCGGGGTGAAGACCGCTTACGGAGCCATTCCTGTTCTGTGGCTCAGTAGATCTTCCACCATCACACCCTTGCTATGCCCAGGGCATGACATGACAAAGTCTTCGGGGAGAAGATTCGACATGAGCGCGTCGTACTTGATTTCATGGTAATCCTCATTGTCTTCAACGAGGATGGCAACTGAAGCGGCTGTTATGGATTTTGCACACGAAGCCACATCGAAAAGTGTGTCCGCTGTGCATGGTAACGGAGGCTCAATGGATGCACTCCCAAAGCCTGCAGATGTCACTTGATCCTCGCTCAACACGGCGACAGAGAGACCAGGAACATGGTGTTTTGATATTAATTCTTCAATACGCGAGGTAAAGTCGCTGAGCAACATTTCATGAATGGTGAAGGTTCCCGTTTGTTTGGGGGCCAGAACAGAATATGGCGCTTCACAACTTGTTGAGGATAAGGGTATATGGGGGAAATATGATATATCAATCAACAGCTCTTCAGATAATATTCTGTCTATATTCCGTAGAGGCTGTGAGCATGAGTGTTTGATGGCAAACGAAGGGGGAGGTGGTTACACCACCGCCCCCACATGCTCCTTCAACTTCACCTGCGCGCAACCATGTCAGCTGATTCAACCTCCACGGACCAGCTCCAGACCCAAAATTTACAACTCCTCGACAAAATCGATGAGCTACGTGCCATCGGAGTCGGAGGGTTAGTTGAACTCCCTCAGATTGTTGTTTGTGGAAGCCAGTTGAGCGATAAGAGCTCTGTACTCGAAAGGATTTCAAATGTGACCCTTTCAACCATAAGACATCCCTGCGACAGGCTGATCACCGAAATTGTATCTCGTCGAGCTTCTCATGAAAGGGTCAGGTTATGCATTCGCCCTGGCGACTCTAGGATCAACGGGGAAGGGCAGCGGGGACTACGACATTTCACCTCGGATGAGATCGACATAAGCTCTACCCCCTTTTCATTCAGCAGGAAGCTCAAGGAGCTTTTGGAACGCGCTAGCAGCTGCATGGGATTATCCACTACAGCTTTGCAAGTCAACGATGATGTGCTCAGGGTCGAGGTTTCCGGCCCGCAGCAGCCAGATCTAACTCTGATAGACCTTTCCGGCCTGTCTCTCTTTTCAAACACCGTTCAAAACAACGAGGAGAAGGAACTTATTGATTCAATCTTTGAGAGGTACCTCAAAAGTTCTCGGAGTTTCGTCTTGGCCGTCCTCGGTGGGAAGAATGATTGCCACGATCAGAGTATCTTGAAGATCATCAAGCGATTTGACCCAAACCAGGAAAGACATTTGCGCATCGCCGCACCGCCGTGCCCCACAGACCTCGGTTTGGGCAAACAAGATCCATATCTCCAATTCATCAAAATTGAAGATGTCAAATCGGAGTCGGGTTGGCATGTCTTACCCAATGGATCTGCCGAAAAGCAGCATACCCCTGACAACAAGCTGGAGGTCCACGAGAAAGAGCCCTTCGACCATGGAAAATGGGCATCGCTTTCTCCAGATCAAGTCGGAATCGAGACCCTGATAGTTCGCCTCAGCAGCATTTTACTTTGTCTGATGCGCCGCAATCTTCCAGATCTCATCGACGACATCCAGAACAAAATCTGGGACAATGAGCTCGAGCTTGAAAAGATGGGCGCCCCTCGAGCCACTATTCAAGAGCAACGCCAGTATCTCATTGACATCAGCAGTCAATTTGGACGTATCACAAATCAGGCTCTAAACGGTTCATACGTGCACCAATTTTTCGGTGGTTTCAGGGAAGGGACCACCACCAGGACAGGCGAATTTGAATTCCAGCGCCTGCGTGCAGTGATACAGGAGATGAATGAATCATTCGAAGAAGCTATGACCATTCGCGGTGCTCGGCGAATCGTTCAACTCACAGGCGCCACGATAGATGTGGACTCTGAAATGAAACGCCCCAATCCTTATATGCATGGGTGGACGCCTGTTTACATCACCCAAGGCGATATGGAACAAGAAATCGAAGACATGATGCATCGAAGGGGGGTAATTGAAGATACAGGTAGGGCAAACCAACTGGTTGTCGGTAGTTTGTTCCGTGATCAGTGTGAACCTTGGGAAATGATCGCTCGGGCTCACGTGCTCAATACTTGGGGTGCGGTTGAATGCTTCGTTCAACTCGTTCTTAAGCATCTGACAGATGACCATACCCGCTCCTCTCTCACTGGAAGTGTGTTCAGGTCTGAACTGGACAAGATGAAAGTGTGCCTCCTGGAAAAGCTTGGTGAACTGTGTCTGCACTACAAGAGCAGCCATCCAGTTCCTGCTGGAAGGTCATTTCTTTCCAGAATCCAGAGCTCAAGAACCAAGCGACAGGTCTCCGCTTCGAACAAAAGCACAAAATCGAACACTTCGCCCCAAAAGTCGAATGAACAGCTCAGAGCAGCGGAAATCATTGATCACATGCAGGCCTATTATAAGGTGAGTCCGGTTTTCGACTCAAGAAGATATCATTGTCTTCTCACTAATAGGCTTTATAGACTGCGATTGATACCTTTGTCGACAACGTCATCATATTGGCGGTGGAGAACTGCCTTCTCCGCAAACTGGAAGATATCTTCACAGGAAAGACTGTGATCGCCATGGACGATCATGAAATCGAGAAGGTTGCAGCTGAGCCTCCGAAAACTCGGTACAAGCGGGACCGACTGGAAGACGAGGTGTCAAGACTCCACGAAGCGATGCAGAGCTTGAAGGTCTTTGATAGGGATGATTCAATGATGCGAGCCTTTCGTGACTTGGGTAGTGTCGTCCAAATGTTCCAAGCATCGCACTTGCCAGCTGACCCAGATGCTCTTGCAGGAAAAAACAGGAACAGCCCATCTGAGCTGCACAAAGCGAAATCAAAGCGGGCTAGTAAGAGCATTGAAGTCAAAGGTAAGTTCAAATAACCCGGGGGAAGCTCATAAGGGACTCGAAACCCACACGAAGCAGAATAGTCACCCCAGCCACTTGATACGTCAACAGCTACCAATGGCAGCATGGAAAGCTCTTTTTCTCTGGCGTGCAAGCATCTGTGCCGCCGAAATGTGTCTGCAGAAGCCAGTACAGCAAAACTGAACAACCAAGTGAAGTGTCTAGCAAAGTGTAAGACTGATCATTCTGCGATCAAAGGTTATACCACTAGCTTGAGCTTCCTACATTTCATAGCCATTCATAATTCAATCAACCCAGTTATTCATGAATTAGACATCAATCAATCTGTCAGAATACACCCCCAAATCCAGGGCCGAACGTCTCTCGGAAGAATTCCGCGAAGCCCTCACCGGTCAGGCTTCCCTCTGTGGACAATGCAGCTGTCGTCAAGAAGGGGTCATAGTCGGAGATGAGAGAAGCATGCGTTTCAGCAAAGGGTGACCGCTGCGAAAATGACTCAGTTCCGCCATCAATGCGCGTGTCAGCATAACCTGTATTCGATGTGACCTGACTAGAATCGATTGGGCTTGCGAGTCCCACTGCCTTCGACCTCAAAATTACCATGAGATGCTGTCCAAGTAATGCTGCAATCCCAAATCTGTGCGAAGGAGTTGTGCCTGCCCGCTTCAACTGAATGGCAACTTGGCTGAGAAGAGCAAGCAATTCCACGTCGCTTCCCGCGCGGTGGCCATACAAAGCAGGGAATAGCTTGAGAGCTAATACGGCCGCGTAAGCAATCATGGCCCAAGTGGGAGCTAACATGCAATATAGTGGCTCCCCGATAGTATCCAAATCACGCACGGCGATCTCGCAAGCATTGATCGCGGCTTCGAAACAATCCGTTCGAATTGCATCGAGGTGCTGATCCCTGTTTATCGACCCATGGAGTGCAAATGATAACGTCCATAATTTCCCGTGCAAGTAAACATAGCGCAAGAAAATACCGGACAATCTTTCGGAGGGCGAGTTCATGAGATTGTGTGATGTGTGCGACATCCAAAGTTCGCACCATGGCCTTAAAGCTTTGTCCACCATTTCACGTACCCAGTGAGAGTCGGCATGGTGCGAAGGAGCCCGATTTCGAAGATCATTTTGGAGCGATGCCAAGATTCTTCGCAGGCTAATGAATGCACATGTGTGCTTATCCGTGGGATCTGCCAAGGGGTGTAGCCACCAACTGTCGATGCGTTTTGTCAAGTTTGTTTCCGGAAAGACTGGTGTTTTACCACACGCAGCACTATTCGCTCGTTCCCATAGAAGAATTCTCAGCCATGTTCTCTCTCGGTTTCGTGCCACGCGTCCATCGTAAGTGCAATCGTCTGAGGGGTGGGTAGAGTTCAGAGGTCCATCTTTGCCACGATAATTTTGATCAAGACCCAACTCCGCTGCTAGTCCAACAGCGTACATTGTGTATAACCATGTGCGTTCCTCTGCTAGGGTTTCTGCGGGATTGGCCGACAGTAAGGAAATATAGTAGCCCTGGACAATTTCAACGGACTTGAAACCAGAGGTATGAACGTGGCGCGATAGTTTCTCTCCGTGCAAACGTAATCTTTTGGCAAGTGATGCCGATACGTGATCGAATTGAGCAGTCAGTGCTAATATCCAAGTGAACAAAAGAGCCGATCGGGGACGGACAAAGCTCGGCGTGTGAAGCATCGGGTCTAGGATGCCATTGACTGGGTGGAGGCGGTTGAAATATCTAGACTTGATCAGCGCCCTTCAAATTTTCAAACTGTAGGACTCATTTACTCACATTGGAAAGAGAAAATTGGCCTCATCCATGGTCACCAGGCCAAGGTCCACAGGGTCGACGTCGGGGCCAATATCACGCCTAGGTAACTGTGAGGGCGTTTTGAAGTAGTTTGAGTAAGTTTCTGGGCACTCGGCATTATGTATGAGAGCATCTATTCCTGCCTCTAGTGTAGTTTTATTCAAAGTTAAGCCGAGGGACACGTAGCCAGGTCGGTGAAGGACTTCTCGGCTCAGACTTGGTCTATTCGAGGCGCTGGTCGGTCTGCTTGTCGTTGAAGGCACGTCATGAAAGCTCGACGAAGTGATGAAAGATACTGGGGTTGGCTCCAAGGGCTCGAGGGCACCTGAAGCATCTGCTAACAAGGCCAAGGGATTGCTAACGGGCTCGTGGCCGGGCTGCGAGATCGCGTTTTCCGGCCTTTGATCAACATGGACATCTTGAGCGTCCGAACCAAATTCTGGGGTATAGAATCTTTCTTCCGCGTTCTCGGAAGATTCATGCGTAGGTTCAGTTGTCCCGACCAGGTCGTTGGGGATAAAATCCAAGGTTAGCTCTTCGCTTGCGGCGAAATTGGCCATATTTTGGATAGCCTCGTCTGTACGAGAGCTTCTCGTCTTTTTCAACTCTGATTGTATTTTCCGATAGGCCTTTTCAATGCCGTGATATCGACCTGTGGCACCTCGCCTTCTCCCAAGCTTTTTCGGTTCTGGAATCTTGCACACACGGTTGGCGCGCTGACATCGTTGGCACGGCTTTGTCGTATGATCATTTTCATCTGGAGGCGACCGAATGCATTTCATCTAATATCCTTTATAAGCCAAATTTAAGTGTCGTAAGCATAAATTCGAGCTGATACCTTCAATTTCCGGCACGCTTCGCACGCGGGCGCGGTCGCAACCCGAGCCTCCTTCGAAGTGTCACTACCCCCATGACGCGAAGACATAGTGAGCCCGAGGACTCTGTCAATGATATTGAATCATCCGTGAAGGCAATAGACACCATAGAAAGTAGGAAAAAGTAAATCGCTCTAACGTTGCGGATGGAACCTTGGAAGTTTCCCGAGATCGGCTATTTTGATTATATTTGCGATTGATTCGCCCATTTTGAAAGTCGTTCGGACACCACCTGGCCACTCTAAAAAGAGAAGGAAAAAGAGAGCAACTATCATGTAAAATAGGTTGCTCCTCGGGACTGCCTGTTCCTACATATAATTTTCTCAGCGGAATCGCTGGCGAGTATTGTCACCAAATCATCCCTCAGCCCCAGGGTCGTTGTTGCCGCATAAACGCACTTCAGCTAGGTTAAGTAAGAGGTAGGCTCCGTGTACCAAAGACTTTGTAAGGATTTTTTGCGCCTTCAAGGGGGATTTTCTTGAATGTCAGCCCCTGATAAGCCCAATGACCTCCGTGGCGTACATCATGAACCCAATTCAATCACAATCTTCCGACGTCCCGGCGCCAACGAAAAGGTCCACGGCTCTATTTTCAGCCGCCTTCAGCTCCAAGGTTGCTCTGTTGAGATATTGGCGTCGAAGTTATGTTTGGAGACTGCGGTTGTGACGGGGCCCACCCGGTCCATTGATTTAAGCACCGGCGCCGAGGTGTTTTGACCACGAGATTAGCGGACCACCGATTGTTCGTATAAGAAGGTCAGTCCAATCACTCCACGGGGTTTCAAAAGAGAATTGATATAGTCTTGCACTTGATCCATTCACGTTTTCTCCACCATGGAAACAATTGACGTCGACGTTCTAGTATGCGGAGGAGGCATGTCAGGCATGGCGTGTGCCGCCTTTGCCGCGGGTTCCGATGCAAAAGTCCTTGTTGTCGAAAAGCAACCCGAGATTGGAGGCTCCTCCAATTATTCTGCTGGCATGTTGTAAGTCATATAATCGAGCTTGGTGGGAAAACAACATATTGATAACATGAACGAACAGTTGGGCTCCACAAACATATCAAAAGCTGAGAGATTGGGTTCCAGAGGGAGATCCAGAACTGCAAAAGGCATGGCTCAAGGATTACCTGCCGGCCGTTCAGTGGATGCGTGAAAACGGAGTTCCAACTGCAGACCGATTCGACGGTATCATGACTATTGGTAAGAAACACAATAGGAGATATCCCAGAGGATCGACGCTGATCAACCACAGGGATTGGATTCCCTGTGAAAATTCCACATCTTCATAGCCTTCACCGAGAGCGTATTCAGTCAAGCAAAACACGTTCGGAGATTTTCACAAACACCTCGGTGGTCAAGTTGAACCAGCAGCAGCCCGAGGTTTCGGGTTCGCGCGTCACTGGCGCTGTCATCCGTCGCAAATTTCCCGACTCCTCGGCTGTGTGCTATAATGTTAACGCTAAATTGGTAGTGTTGGCTACGGGTGGCTTCCAGGGTTCTTCAGAGCTAACAGCCAAGTACCTCGGACAAGGCGGCGACAATATCTTCGTCCGCTCGAATCCTGGTTCAGTGGGTGATGGGCTGAAATTGGCCATTGAAGCAGGCGCGGGAACCAGCAGGGGCATGAGCACTTACTATGGCCATCTCTTGGCGGCGCCACTGCGAGTTGAAGATGTCAATCCAAAGGACTACCTTCCACTAGCTCAATATCGTAAGTCGATTTCCCGATCATCCGTGCAGAAATCACTGACCAGTCCGCAGAAAGTAAGCACTGCTTGCTGCTCAACGAAGGGGGCAAACGATTTGCGGATGAAAGTATGGGTGATGAGATCGTCAACCAATATCTCGCCAAACAGGAGAAGCGTCGTGGGTTTATATTGTTCAAGTAAACCAGTCCGCATCAGTTCCCGAACGGGACAAGTCTCTGACTTCTGACCATAGTGAGAAAACGCGTGTGCAACACTGCATCACTGCGCTATTTCCCAATGCAGGTGACATCGATCGTCTTCAAAAAGCGCGCGAGCACGGTTGTAACGTTGGAAGTTCTCCGACGCTGACTGGTCTGGGTGATATTCTTCATGAATGGGGCGTAGACCGCACGCGAGCGAGACGCACCATTGAAGATTATGATCAAGTCGTGAGGCTAGGAAACAAAAGCATCACCCTCGATGCACCTATCGGTCGTGGTGGCCCCCCCACCTTTACCTCTGGTCGATGGAGAGGGGCCCTTCTATGTCATGGAGGTCCAACCATCGTAAGTTTTCTTTCTCACGTCTGCGGCCTCTCTCTTTCTGACATTCGATAGGATCACTTTCACTTACGGCGGTATCGCGATCGATCAAAAGGGACACGCTTTGACTGCTGATGGATCTAGCATTCCGGGGTTGCTTGTCGCGGGTGTCGATGCAGGGGGGTTCAGCAATGTTGGATACGCCGGTGGTCTTGCTCTCGCTTTTGTGACTGGTCTGTGGGCTGCACGAGAAGTCACGCGTCAATTGGGATTACCTGAGCCTCGCCTACCTGCTGCCGATGCTCGAGATGGAGGAGAAATGCCTTCTCGAGGTCGCCTTTGAGGCTATTGAGGGACAGCTCTCATTTCAAAACTTGGATGATTTAATTTCGTACTTGGCTAGAATTTATTTTCCAACTTTTGTTCTCATCAAAAGCCTCCGGAACCATTTACTTGAAATCATCGAAATAACATCGAAATATCTGTATTCGCCTCCGATGCTAAAGCGAGTCCTATCAAGAAATCAAGAGCAGAGTACTGGGCACCATGCTCTTTGGTGGGGCGTGGACAGTGATGTCATCTATCAAAACCCGGTCATTAAAACAACGACCCGGTCTGCGGGGGTGGGGCACTAATCTGACGACAGGAACCCCCGGCTATTTGATCATCCACGCTTCTTATAATGTCGTGACGCGACCTCAAACAGTGCACGATATCCAGAGCGCACATCAAGGCAAAGACAATATGCCACCATCCTGGCCTCCCTCAGGGGCGAACGAACTTGGTATTGCAACCTTGTCCCTCGGCAACTGGAGAGAGCACCGGCTCGCACCACGGCTGGAAGCAGCGGCTAAAGATGGCTACAAATGGATCGATCTATTCGACGAATGCTGGGCCGCATATCTCGAGGAGCATGGATTACCGGGCGATCAGCTATGGGAGCCCTCTCCTGAGAACCTGGCAGTCGCCCATAAGCTTGGCAACCTGGTGAAGTCTCTCGGCATGCGCATCGCCTGCACACAGCCGCTCCGGACGATAGAGGGAGTCAAAGATCCGGTCGAGCGACGTGCCAACTTCGATCTGGTTGCAAAACGTTTTCCATTTATGCGTGCCTTTGATACCGACCTCGTGTTTATGTGCGCCAATATTCGAACCGATAGCGGTGTCACGTCCGATCTGAAGACTGTTGCACGCGACCTTGCAGAGCTTGGTGACATGGCGGCAGAATATGCGAGAGCAGATGGTGGACCCATGCTCAGGATTGGTTATGAGGGATTGTCTTGGGCGATACGGAATACTTGGTCATCATCATGGGAGGCGGTGCGCTTCGCGAACCGTCCAAATGTTGGCTTGATTGTCGATGCTTTCAATGTGTTGGCCGTCGAGTTTGCGGACCCTTATAACCCTGACGGTCATGGTCGCATATTTTCTACACTAGAGGAATCTATTCAGATCCTCACTGACTCGATGACAGCGCTGGCTACCACCGTTCCTGGCGATCGAATCTTTTTCTTCCAGTGCGGAGACGCAGAATTGGTAAATCCAGCAAAGTTTTTGCCTCCCTCTGATCCAAACACTCCGGCTCTTCTGCCATGGTCGCGAAGTCATCGCCTCTATCCTTTAGAGGAATCACGAGGTAGTTATATGCCGGTGGAAATTGTCGGAGCTGCAGTATTGGCAACGGGTTATCAAGGCCCGGTCTCGCTTGAGGTATTCAATGCATCTTTGAACAAGCCCGGAAACGAGACTCCAAGGGAGCACTCTAAGAGAGGAATTGTCGGTCTTCAAAAGCTCATGAAAGCCGCAAATTCCTTGCCTCCCTTTTGGAAAAGCCGCGAAGATGCTCGGCAAGCCATGGCCCAAGTTATTGAGCGCCTACAGAGTCACCCTCGATCTTTTGAAAAGCTTTAGCTGTACCCATTGAATGAAGTTTGACTCTCAAAATATTCATATTTCCTTGGTATATCCTTTCGGTGATGGATGTAGTCCCGTAGCTAGTTCCAAGATTCGTCGTTCATTACGGGTCGGGAACTTCCAGGTTCATCCCGAGGTCAGTCACCGAGATTTCAGGCCTAACCTTGGAACTAGCAGGAACCTTGGAGATCCAGGAAACTTGCCTGTATTTTATTTGATGTCCAAGTGTGGCACGCACTTAAATTCAGCGACTGGGATCCAAACAAGCGGCTGGTTCCAAAGTTGACTTTTCCGAGTTCCAAGGGTACTACTGCTCGGAGTCTCTTGCCCGAAATATACTCCTACATTATAGCCAATTTTGGCAACTGAGCTCTCACAAGCCTCTACAAACCACAAATACTCACACAATGGATATTCTTCGCCATTCGTACCAATATGGTACCTCCCTTCTGGGATCCTCATCACGCTCCGTGCCCTACAACGCTTACTTGTTTGGCGGCGACATCTCCCGGTCTTTATCACCACTCCTTCATGGAATCCTCTTTCGATCAGTCGGCGCATCTTGGGAATGCCATCTTTCCCAGACGACAGAGAAGTCCAAGTTTTTGGAAACTATCACCGCAACAAACACGATTGGATCATCAATCACCATGCCCAATAAGATCACTTTCGGCCGGCTCCTGGACGACTTGACCGATGAGGCCCGAACAATTGGAGCGACTAATACAACATTTGTGCGTCTCGATGCCACTGGGAATCGCCGCTATATTGGAACAAACACAGACTGTATTGGAGTCCGGGACGCAATTCTCCAGCAACATCCGAACGCCCTCGCTTCCGCAGCGGGGAAACCTGCGATGGTAGTGGGGGGTGGCGGGGCAGCCAGAAGTGCTATCTATGCAATTGGGAAGTGGTTCTCGCCATCTGAGATTTACATTACAAATCGACTTGAATCGGAGGTTGATGATATCGTGAACCACTTTACTGCCGCAATGCCCGATGTCAAGCTGCGGTACATCCCGGATGTTGCAACCGCCCACAAACTACCAGACCCGTCGATAATCGTTGGCACAATTCCAGACTATCCACCCTCTCAGCCAGGTGAGCTTCTAAGCTGGCAGATCTGCGAGGCAATCCTGGCGAAAGCCGACCGGGGGCTGTTGGTGGATATGTGCTATATGCCAGTACCGGAGACACGACTGGTAAATGCCGCAAAAAACGCAGGATGGGAGGTGATTCTAGGTACAGAGGTCTTGGCCAGAGTCTGCGTAGCCCAGCAGATCTTGTGGTTGGAGTGCGAATCGAATGAAGAAGGGGTGAAACAAGCAGTAGCAGTGATCGCGCCCTAATGTACGTCTTCTTAGTGAATTGATTAGATGAAAAGTGACATTGTGAGCTCGGTCAAATGATTCTCACACATATTTCAAACAGGATAAACAAATGCAACCGTTAGTATATCGAAACGGGGAAGTTCAACCGGGCACCGTTGCAGCCAGGGGAAGATGAACGCCGATCGCGGCCTCTCCCAAAGTGGAACAACAATCCCCCGAAAGTTAATTAGAGCAAAATATCTTCGACAAACAAGTCAACATTCCACTCTGTCGCGAGATTTTGAGTCATTTGAATTCTTGTGCCCAGCATCAGTCGCGCCTAGGCAAATTACAGCGCCGACCGAAGGCACGCGACAGTTGAGTCTCCCGTGGAGCCAATCTAGGAGTACTCCACCAAAGACCGCACCAATCAACCATGAAGAACCTCATCGCAGCCACTCTGGTGACAGTTGCCGCTACAGCAACGGCGACTGGCACCTCTGCTCCAGCCTCGGGCCCAACCGGATCCAGCTATGCATCTGGCTTTGATATGACCAAGAGCTGGGCCAATGCCAGCCCCTATAAGGATGCCGACAGTTTCGGTGTCCCCAAGGGTGTGCCGCAAGGCTGTGAGCTTTCTCAAGTGCATGTGCTGCACCGCCATGCTCAGCGGTTCCCAACAAACTACCCGCTGGACGGCGAGGGAATGACCGACTTTGCGGCCAAATTGACCAATTACAGCAAAGCAAACCCGGACACGACCGTCTCTGTTGGTCCTCTGAAGTTCTTGAAGAACTGGGAGTATGTGTTGGGCGAGGACACTCTTATGGAGAATGGTGCCGCGACCGAGGCAACTTCTGGAGCTGAATTCTGGATCAAATATGGAAGACTTTTGTACCGCGCTGGGCGCGAAAATGTCGCTGCTTGGAGCTCGTCCCTGAACGTTTACAGCAATGGCACCGACCGCCCAAAGCCAGTATTCCGAACTACTTCCCAAGCTCGCATCTTAGAAAGTGCCCGTTGGTGGCTCAGTCAGTCTACACCTTCACCCATTTCTTCCCGGATCTCCAGTTAATTCTTTCTTAGGTGGCTTCTTTGGAAACAGTGGTGCCAACAGCTCTTACGATCAATATGATCTCGTCGTGATCCCCGAAGAAGGCGACTTCAACAACACGCTTGCGTCTTACGAGACCTGCGACGGCGATTATCTAGAAGGGTGAGTGGTCTCATGATAATATCAGAGCCCCGATTAACAAATTCTAGTGACAACGCTGCTGCTATCTTCATTCCCCGATACACTAAGAATGCTCGTGCCCGTCTTTCTACCTTCTTCCCTCCTGATTTCAATCTGACCACCATGGATGTGGTCGCTATGCAGAACCTCTGCGTGTACGAGTACACCAGTCTCGGTGGCTCGTCTTTCTGTTCTCTCTTCACCGAGCAAGAGTGGAAGGACTTCGCCTACCAGATCGACGTGCAATACTACGGAGACTATGCCTACGGCTCCCCCACTGGCCGCGCTCAAGGTATTGGCTACGTTTTGGAACTCGCCGCTCGCCTCGAGAAGAAGCTCATCACCACGAGCGATACCAGTATCAACTACACCTACACTGACAATACCGATCAATTCCCCTCTCGGACAGCCCTTCTACATGGACATGTCTCATGACGATATCATCCTGTCCGTGATCAACGCGCTTGGTCTCGAATACTTCAACTTCGGACCCAAGGGTCTACCAGTTGACATTGACCATGCGCCCGAGCGTAAATTCTCTCTCAGCCAAATGACCCCCTTCGGCGCCCGTTTCATGTCCGAAGTCTGGACTTGCCCAAGTGACACTTCTTTCGAGGCTCTGGACCCTGTTCTCTACAGCAACCCCAACCTTGAGTCCACTGCGAACACTACGGACTACATCCGATTCGTGCTTAACAACGCCCCTCTGCCATTGGATGGACTGGCTAGCTGCAAGGGTTCTAAGAATGGTTTCTGCGAGCTCGAGAAGTTCTTGCACGACGTCCCTGCCATGAAGAACAAAGCACAGTTCCAGAAGGCGTGTTTCGGTAACTACACCAAGGGAAGTCAAGTTGGAGATGGCGCTCCTGAGTCTTGAGCGAGCTAAGGATGTGGAGGATCTTGAAAGTTCCCAAAACTCTTAGTTTTGTACATATATCGCCCTGTATATAAATTTCACAGCATTTTGAGATAGAAATGTTATAGAGCCGCGCCGCCGATCTCAGAGAATAGACCCTCGAAATTGCGCCGTAAATCGACCCGCCTCCAGGGCTCCGTTCATCGAAGGCTGACTGGGCAATTCTCCCACAGGGGCTTGACAACATGTTCGAAGAAAGATTCTCGGAATGCCGTATCATTCCAGTCCAGATCTGCAGTATTGCTAAAGAATGTACCTTCAACGCAACGTGTTACCACAGTCAGGTAGTATGGGAGGACTTCGTCTCGACTTGAATCCAACCATCCGCGTGCAGCTTCATATCGAATTGCGAAAGAGTCAGTGAGCGGCACGTTCACTTCTGCGGCGTATGTGACAAAGGTTCTAGAATGCCATAGCTCGAGAAGCAGGATACCAAGCTCAAGAACTCCTCGTCGAACTTGGTAAGGCTGAGGCTCCCCTGAATCCGGGGAGAAGGCGTGACTGATGAATGGACGAATTCCTGATCCACCATCACCGGATACAATATTGATCATGTCACTGGTCAGAGGCCGGTGGAGCCACTTTGTCAAGTTCAATTGCATGACAGAAGATGCGATCCGAAATGAGAGTGCCATTCGGGGATTGAGTAGCAGCCTCATTGGGGCTGTTGGTTGCATGAGATCCTTGAGAGAGTAAACAGAGTCCTTGGGGTTTGATAGCCGTGTTGTCATATTTTCAACACCTTGGTGACACCACAGATGATTGTCCTGGCAGAGAAGAAAGCCTTTAAACTCCGTTGTTTCTGAAAGGTGCAGGCAAAGGTCTTTGACAACGCTTGGCCCAGAGATCTTCTGGTGGCCCGGGTCATTTATCGTCATTGCAGAGCTATTATAGCTCTCATTTGACATATTTCCATCATGGGACAGGCGAGGAGCATCGACCGATGGGTCGTATGAGATGCGAGATGAACGGCGGTTTGACTCAAGTCCTGTACTAATGACATGTTAGATTATAACCTCATGGCACAAATTAAATGCACCCACTGAGAAGGTGAAAGCGATGTGTCATTCTCCCACGCTTTAATTTCCATAGCCAAATGAGAAGGTTGGCCGTCCGTATGACCAACAGGATCAAAAGATAGGGTAAATGTGACAGGCTTTTTCTTCATTGCTCGATGTTTCCTGTCCAATAGGTCGGCCCTGCTTTCGAGAAAAAGATTCGCACCGTGCATTGGGTGACAACCTTTTGTATAAATGACTGCAAGCGCCGAGTACAGGCGCCAGGCGTGTCTCCGTATGGTGTCAAAAGAGGATACGTATTTTCTTCCGCTTGAGCCACTGGAATGGACAACGATCCCAGTCCGCGACGAACTGTTTTCGCGGATTCGACTCAGCATCTTGGTCGCATCATCCAGACTGTTGATCTTCTTTTGCAAGTTGTCTCGGTCAAGGGCAAATTTGATTTTCTTTGTGATTTCATATGAACCATTCCTCTTCGGATAGGCTTGCACAAGAGCACCCAGAGTCTATTGGAGCAATTAGGAATTTGGTCAAGGAGATGGCCATGCTTCGTACCTGTTTTTCTGATTTCAAACCACTGATATTATCGGCTATCCCAGATAGAATCTCCTCGCATCGCGATAGCGCAGCCTTGTAGTGGGTATACCCATCACCAAGATATTCTTCAATTCGGCTTGAAACCTCCGGATCTTCGAAAAGGGTCGACGATGCCTGCGTAAAGTCGGGAATGGACTGTACAAAATCTTGACCAAAAGTTTCCTTCAAAATTACCAGGATATCAGTCTCCAGGAAGAAATTCTGCGTCCTCAGTGACTGGATAAGTTGATCGATGTAAGGTTCTTTGTACCGAAACACCTTGTAGATCCGCTTGGAGACACGGTACTGATCTATCAATGATGTAATTAACGGCAAAGCACCCAGAACGACGCCAACAATCTCGATCCCACTCATTGTTGAAGAAGTGAAGACGGATCACAGCTGGAGCTGATGATGTGCAGTGGTGGGAGGGGTCGGCGCTTAATCCGCAAAAATAGCGCCAGGCCTGAAATTACACCAAACGAGTCCTTGTCTCTCTCAGGGAGTTGAGAAAAATCCGTGTTGTCTTCAGTCAAAAAGTATATAAAAAAATTAACTCTGTTTTCTAGCATCCGTCCACGCGTGTCGTAGGGTTTCGCCAACGGTCGCGAAATGAGATGCTTGGTGAAGGTGACGTATCCCAAGACTGGCTATTTTTTTCATTGCCTCAAGCTTTGACGGAGTCCAATGAAGCCCTATGTATATCTCACAAACATCCGTCAGGTTGCCTATACTAGTATGCCTTTTGTTAAGGGGAGGTGTTTGATTCGTTTTGACTGCATTTTATAAGCCTGCCATATATTTTGAACTGCTAGACATATGTCATGATCAGGCAAATCCTTGCAGATGCCGTGACTATCCCCTTCTCTTTCTAAAGTGGAACGCGTGCAGATGTAAGATGGTCCCAGACATCGATGCTCTGGCGAGGGTGGGGGAATGGGACGGCCCGGCCCCCGCCCTCTAAAATATGCCCCTCCTGAGACTTACACTTCTTCAATTTGAGAATGCAACATCCAGACACCCTCCGCCAAGCAGGGTGGGGCATCACCAATGATCTCACTTTGGTTCAAGCATTGGTCAAAGACGATTTAGGGCACAGATCGGCCGTTGCGAATGAGCTACAGCGCTTTGAGCTCTGGGCAACAAACCTCGGACTTCTCCACACGGGACATAGCTCCTTAGATTATCGCTTGAGGGATTCAAAACTTGTGTTTGACTATGCGCTCTTCTTGCTTGTCGATTTGGAGCGGGCTATTCAGCAGTGTATGTATTCAAGTCCTATACACTTTCTCTATCTGACTATCAGCCGTCGCAGTTCACAAGTCATTTGGTGAATACAACGGGGCATCCCAGACACAGCAAGATGACACCAGCTCCCCTGGTGTTCATGACGCAGAGCTGTTGAGTGAGGAAGATTCTGACGCGGAAGATCTCTCGTCCTATCAAACAGAGCCCCCCACTATATCCTTTTTTCGAAACATCGTCTCGACCATCGACAAGCTATATCGTCTCGCCTTCAAAATCAGAAATCCTGCCCTACGATTTGGATTTTCGAAAGCAGTCAAATACTCTCAAAAGGATCCTGAGACTGGGCGAGACCTCATCGAGGAGTATGCGGCATTCGATCTCCGCCACATAGAGGAGATATTTCACTCTTTTGGTGCTGAACATCATGAAATCAATCAACATCGCTATCTCATTGAGCGTTTGGCGAAAGCCAACACACGGCGACGGCAGCAATTTTTTTATTGGAAGAAGCGGAGGGCAAAGTACGAAGCATACGAGCGCCCTAAATTGAAGGGAATCGCCATCTCAGGCACACCGGAACAGCCAGCCGAATTGGGAGCAGAATCGTTGCCGGCACAAACGATTCCTAGCATTTCCAAGCCATCAACTGCAACATGGTTGAACCCACAAAAGGTCGACTTGGATGAAAGTGCATCCGCAATGTCCTCATCGAGTACCATATTTTCCATTTCAAAAGAACAAGATGGTGACCAAATCATCATTCCACCAGCACCGACTCTGGATGCATCTGTCAAAGAGTTTGAATGTCCTTTTTGCTTCACCGTGTGCCCACGAAAAACGACTGAAAAAAGCTCATGGGAGTGCGTATCTTTTCCATATGAGGCTAATCATAAATGAACACTAACTTCTACTTTAGAAAACACGTTTTTCGAGATCTACGGGCTTATATTTGTACATATGAAGATTGTCGCAACCATGAACAACAATACGACAGTCTTCATGACTGGATCGAACATGAGGTTTTACACCACTCATCGTCAGATACTGGATGCCGAAATATATCCAACCCTCAGACACGGGACTGTCCAATGTGTCTCGTGAAGAACGTTGGGCCATCTCATGTCGCTCATCACCTGAGACGAATAGCCTCTTTTGCTCTACCGCGGCTGGCTGGATATGAAGACGATCTTGATTCTGGGAGCCAAATCTCCGATGGAGCTCGCGTTGACTCAGATAGCACTGGTGGTCCATCGATTGGTAGTTTATCTTCTGCTGAGGCAAACGAGAGCAGCGACGAGATGAATCAGGGTGAACCTGCCGAAGACGACAGCCTTGGTGACCCAGGCCAAGGGTCTGTGTCTAGTTCAAGGAACGCAAACGATGATCATCTACACGAAGATGAGGATCAGTCGGATAATCAGTCACAGGATGACACAGCAAAATATAAACTTGCGATGTCCTATGTGGACAGTGATGACCCAGATCAGGCATTGATTTTGCTTGAGGAACTGGTCACTACAGCTTCGAAGACACTTGATAAAGCGGACCCTCGTCGACTCAAATATGAACATCAACTTGGAAAGATACTCTCGGCCGCGGGAAATCCCCAACGGGCCTTGGACCTGTTAGAGAGTGTCATTTCTACTGCAACCACCACGCTTGGAGAAGAACACCCCGATTTACTTCGATATAAGCATGACCTTGCAAACACTTATTTGAGCACCGGGGAATTTGCTGCTGGTGTGCAACTCTCAGAGAGTGTGGTTGCTATCGAAGAGAAGATATATGGTGAAGACCACCTAGTTGTGTTGGCATCCAAGCATGAGCTTGCAACGATATATCAGGCCAACGACGAGCACAAACGTGGCATCGAGCTTCTCTCAAGTGTTCTCACCAGGCTAACAGCTCATCTTGGTCCAGATCATCCTAAGGTTACGAATGCTATGTGTGACCTTGCAAGCATCTACCATGGCGACGGACAAAATACCAAAGCTATGAGGCTGCTTGAGGAAACCGTCATTGTTCTAGACAGATCTCCAGATGGACTTCACAGCCGAATGGGAGCTCACGCCCAGCTATCAGAGCGATACCGACAAGATGGCCAGATATCTAAGATGATCGCGCTAAAGGAACGTATTGTTGCAGTACACGAGGCTGGTCACGCCGAAGATCGACTTCGCTGCTTGACAGCTCTGAAAGATCTTGCGGAGGCATATCGCGCTCAGGGAAATATGGATAAGGCGAAGGAGCTGCTGGGTCGTGTAATTGCAATCCAAAAACGGACACAACACGATGGACATCCGGACTTATTGAAAACCCAGTCAATACTCGCCCAGATCTCCCAGGAAAGCGGGCAGGCAGATTGACCCGAGAGTTAAATTGAGCATGCGTTCGCAACGCAAAAAAAAAAAAAAGAAAAATTGGACTCAGGACTCTAAATTATCACCATTTTGTATTGTGTGGTTGATGCCTTTGTGTCCCCGATGCCCATTGTGCCACCTTTCTTTGACTATTCTCGAACAAAACCCCATTAGAGATAACCCTGAAAAGCATTGTTCAAAGTGGTTCCTAGGCTGGCTTTGTAAACACCCTTGGATCCCTTTCCAGTACGCTTTGCTAGGTACCTGCGTCCACGGGTGTATATATTCAAATGGAATTTCCACGAAGGGGTAATTGGTTTTTCTGCACTCAGGACTACCTCAGACAGGCTTAACAAGGCGAAAAATAAAAGAACCCCCGAACTGGGGAAAAACCCCCTTTTATTGAGGCACATCATGTCTACAAGAGCGAAATTGACATTCGGTGTCAACATGACTAAAAATGATAGGAATTTGCAGCGAGTGTGGACGCCGCTCAATCTAGGCAATCTGCAAAACGAACAACAGGAAATTGACCGTCTCATTATTCTTGATCTGATTCGGCAGATCTATGATCCTTTGTTAGCTGCTTTCCTTGCTATACCAGGCAATCTGTGGAACCAGCAATTTTCTCACGGGGGAACCAGACGGATGCAGAAAAAGTTGCGCAATCTTCAATTTTACATGCCAGCAGCGGTACAAAACATTGAGAAGAATGATCTTGGCTTGTATCTTTTTGATGTACTGAGATACTACCGATTCACTGCTCACAGCTGGAGGGCACCATTACCTCCACCAGCACCCGAAGTTGTGGGGGCTCCTCACCCTGAAGCTCCTCGTGTCGTTCCTTTCACTGCTATCAACACGAAGTGGAGTGTCACTAACCCTCCGATCCTTGACTTTGCCGGTGATGCCCCTTCCATTGGGATCCCCGCTAACTTATAGATAACAGCAAGGAGGCTTAAAACTATAGTGAGTTTCCAGAATAGAAATTAATTGATGACGATTTTCTTTCCTATTTTGAGAAATTTACTTGTTTGTTGACCAGCCATTCAATCACAAATTTATAAAAAAAGGCATCCATGGATATACAGAAGGGAGATCAGGGAAATGCAATTAATTGATTCGATACCGCAAATGTGTCCACTTGGCATGCAGCCTGGTAGGTTGTAAGGTATCGTATTGCTGTACGCCTGGAAATAATATCCATGCCGTGTAACTTGGTATCAAACAGGCCAATACCAGCCCGTAACACGACTAATGATTCTGCACTGAGGATCTTCTGGATCCTCCCAAGGTCCCAATCGTCTGGTTGAAGACTCGAATTTCAGCGGGGCATACTTGTTCACCGCTATCAAGTTGTATTTTCCCTTGAGGGCCCCGCAATATTGAAGTTTCTTCATCATTTTCTCAGATATCCCAATTTCTCTCAAAATGTCTAAAATCTACATTGGGTAAGTTACGTCTGCCCCGTGATAATGCGGACAGAGCTAACATATTGCAAAGTAACCTGCCCTGGAGCACTGGTGACAAGCAGCTTGAGGAGGCCTTCATCGAGCACGGCCAAATCACTGACCACGTATGTGAACTCCCTTTTCATATCCATTGGTCTATTCTTCTTTTGCCTTTTACTGATCCTCTTCTAGATTGTCATGACTGACCGTGAGACCGGCCGCTCCCGTGGCTTTGGCTTCGTCACCTACTCTACCCCCGAGGAGGCCGAGACTGCTGTTGCCGCCAAGACCGACTTCGAGTGTGTTTCAATTTCCCAAAATTGGTTTTGCCATTCACTAACACTCTTTCTTCTAGACTCGACGGCCGCCGCATCACCGTCAACATGGCCAACCCCCGCCCCCAGCAGCGCGGCTGGTAAACTTGCCATGATGGTGCACGACGGTAATGGGAAACGAGACAATGTGATATCGTGATGCTTAGTGTTTATACAATGCCTGAGAAATCAGCCGCGCTGGTGACTTTCAGACCGAGTAATGAGTGCCCTCGGTTATTCATATACCCATATCTTTATATCTTGACGACATTTGGAATACCATTTCATCGCCGATTGGATCGTGCGCTAATTATTTGTCTCCCACGTGGAATCATCTTCTGCGACCGTGGTTGACTGAAATCAACCCTGGAATGTGCCGTTCATTAGAGTTGCTTGCCGCACTTCCTCACAATTGTGCCCTAATTCCATTCAACACCCAGGGCTTGTACGGAGTATAGTCACAACATACCTCAACACACGTATAGATATCCCTGCATCTGCATAAGCTAAACATCCCTGCTAGTTCGACCTAAAAATAGGAACCTCACCAAGCTCCCCCATTGGCCAATGGGTCGACGCCGTGCCCCGCGGACCCACCGCCACATCGCGCCCGCCTGTTGACCTTCAGCTTGCGACCACTTTCACTTGTAACCATTTACACACTCTTACAACCTCACACTACAAACATGGCACCACACGAAGGACTCGTTCATCCCAAAGAGTATGACATCAAAGATAGCAACGTGGAGCTAATCGGCTCCGACCTGGACCACCGCGTCAAATACAACTCCGCAGCCACCGAGCCAGCCTGGAACAACAACCAGATCGGCCAAGAAGCCGGCCTCTTCATCTGGCGTATCGAAAACTTCCAAGTCATCCCCTGGCCCAAAGAAAAGTACGGCCAGTTCTTCGATGGCGACAGCTTCATCGTTCTACACTCATACAAGCTGGGTGATAAGCTCGGCCACGACATCTTCTTCTGGCTAGGCAGCAAAACCACCCAAGATGAAGCGGGCACTGCTGCTTACAAGACTGTGGAGCTAGACGAGTTCCTGCATGGTGCGGCGACTCAGCATCGTGAGGTGCAGGCGCAGCCTTCCGATGAGTTCCTTGCTCTATTCCGTCACTACGCTATTCGGTCTGGCGGTGTACGCTCTGGATTCACGCATGTTGAGCCACAGGAGCGAGAGGAGGTTCTTACTCTTTTGCGGATCTTTAAGCACCCTGGTATTGCACGGATTGATTCTCTTATTGTGCATGAGGTTGAGCCTACGTGGAAGAGTCTTGACGAGAATGATGTCTTTGTCTTGGATAAGGGTGAGAAGATTTGGGTGTGGCAGGGAAAGAAGTGCAGTCCGATGGAGAAGGCCAAGGCTGCGCAGGTGGTTAATGATATGACCCTTGCGAAGCATGTCGATGTTGAGGTTCTGTCACAGCTCGAGTCAAGGTCGAAGCTCATTGTTGATTTGTTGGGTGGGAAGGAAGAAGCTGGATCGACCCTGGAGGCGCCTCGTCCTGGTCGCTTTGCGAAGAGGGGCGGCGAGGAGACTAGCCGTCCTCGCAAGCTGTTCCGACTCAGCGATGCATCTGGAAATCTGTCATTCGATCTTATTAAGGATGGGCAGCAGATTAGCCGGTCTGATTTCGATGGCAAGGACGTTTTCCTCTACGATGTCGGCAGCAGACTCTGGGTTTGGCAGGGCTCTGAAGCTAGTGCCAGCGAGAAGGCTCAGTGGCTCAAGGTTGCTCAATTCTATGTTCGCAAGATCCAAGAGAGCCAACAGTCTGCCGAGGCCCATCTCACGCCGATTTCGAAGGTTTCACAGGGATATGAGAGTCCTGCATTCCTCAAGGCCATTGAAGCCTAAGTCTGTATGAATAATGAACACATATTGCACAAATAACAATTATCGTACATATCGTCAAGCCTCCACGGTCATGCGGTGTATTCCACATTCTAATGTTTCCCTGAAGTAAATGTCGACGTTTCCAAAAAGATGAGGATCAGCGACTTGTCAGTATGGGAGTACCATTCTAGCCGCACGGTGCTTCGGTTCCGATATAATCGCGCCGTCAACAATTTCTTGCTTCATAGACTATTTTTATACAAGACCAGAGCTGTGGTCTCCCTTGTCAATAGCATCAGCCTGCTTTCGCAGCAAGTCCGACCGGAATCTCCGGAACGCGGTCTCGATTCTTCGCTTGCTCTCCGGCTCAGACGAGATGCCCCGAGTAGCGTTCGCCGCACCGCCAGCAAATCCTATTTAGTTTATAACTGTCAGAAAAACCACACACCAGCCAATTCAGCACATTGAGTTCTCACCAAGTTCTCCACCCAAGAGCAGTCCACCAGCCGAAGCAAAGAAGTAGGTCGCGAAATCCCCCAATGTAGTCGGCTTCAACAACGGCGTGAGATCGGGAATTGATTCTGTATAGATAAGCATTAGGACTAGGATCCCAGATTCCACTTCTTGCTAGAACGTACCAGTCCGTCCATCCTCGAAAACAACCTTTGTAGGCCGTTCCTGAGCCCGGATAGCCGAGAAGAATGCCCTGCGCGTGCTGCGCAGACGCATAGCCGCAAAAAGACCAAGACTCACACCAACTGCTGATCCAACGGTGGTCCAGAGTGAGATCGAGGAAGCTGCCGCTTTGAGCTTGTCGCGGTCTTCCGGTTGGAGATCATGCTGGATGTGCTCGTCAGCGAGCTTGGTGAGCTCGTCGGAGCGGCGTTGGCGGAGAAGGGCAAAGGATTCGGACATTGTGAATTGAATTGTTTAGAGAAGAGAGTGGAAAAGAGTTTAATGCAGGTACGCAGCACATTTGGGAATCTTGGAAAGCTGTTCGAGATGACGTCATAGATGCGCCAGCTCCAGACTCTTGGCATTTCCCAATTCGGAATGTGCTTAGTCCCAAGTCCTCGAGACAGTCAGCGGGACGCCTGAATCCCCGCATCTTCTCAGATCCAGCTCGTACATGTAGACATTCTCATCCACGCCCTTTATCAACACCTTATGCTCGCACGAAACTGACACTCCATTAACCAACCGCTACAATGCCCCGCTTTCTAACAGACTCCCGCAAAGCGCCCGCTAAAAGCCAACCCCTGCTGGTGATTGGCGCGGGCCTTCCGCGAACAGCAACATCATCTCTTCAATCAGCGTTAGAAATACTAGGCTATGATCCTTGTCTGCACATGGCGCATATCATCCCACACGCAGAGCGCCAGCAAATGCTTATAGATGCCTCTCGTGAGCCCGACAAAGAAAAGCGCCAAAAGCAAGTACATGCTCTGGTTGACGGATATGGCTCTGTGGTCGACATGCCGGCAGTCTTCTTCCTCGAGGACCTGGTGGAAATGTACCCAGATGCCAAGGTGGTTTTGAGCAGTCGTCCAAATCCAGAGATCTGGGCACAGAGTGCATCGGATAGTTTGAGGTTCTTCTTCACGCGGCGCTTTTACTGGGTTGGGATGCTGTGGCGCACTGATCGGTTGTGGTATAGGCTCAATATGCGGATTGTTGAGTGGTGTCGCGAGCGCTTGGGGGAGGGTGATATCTTTACGGCGCCCTTTGCGGTCAAATATGATCAGCATGTCAGGGAGGTTGTGGCGGCTCGTGGTGGTGAGGTCTTGGAATTCCGTGCGGAGCATGGGTGGGCTCCGCTGTGTGAGTTCCTCGGAAAGGATATTCCTGATTCCCCATTTCCCAGGGTTAACGAGAGGAAGACTTTTGTTTTTATTAGAAGGATCATGATTGCAAAGGGGCTGGTGAGCTGGGCGGTGCTGGGCGGCGTTGTGTGGGCTGGTTGGAGATATGCGAGGTCTTGATGTTTCACAGTGCACTGATCAACATGAGCCATGTTAAGGCAGTGTCTCAGTGCAGACTTATCAGTCAATCTAATTTACATGCTCTAGACTGCTTGGGTGCGAAGCATGGAAGATTCTCTGCATAAAATCATGGAGTTCATTTCATCGCTCGCGATCTATGTTCTTTTAGCGAAATATACACAGGAACAATGGTAACTTGAGCTCATCGGAGTTTAAAAAGATAGCCGTCAGACGAGCATCACAAATGCGAAGCTCACTGTTCAACATTAGTAATCTGTTAGCCACTTGGGAGACATGTAACTTACACAGCACCATTTGAGTAATCCAATGTAGACAGCTCACCTGGCCAGCCAGTCGCAAACCATCACTTGTTTCCGTCGGTTGAGCCGGAGCAGTGTACGCAGGCAAGCTGGGGTCACCGGTGCTGTCGTCAAGTGCCTTTTCGCGAGCCTTGCTGATTGTGCCATTACTCGTAGAAGTTGAGGCCGGGGCTGTGAGGAATCCTTCTTTCTCGGCTTCTTGAATGGCCGCCCACCAGACAGACGCCATTTCCTCGTACCCGGTAGCTGTTGGGTGGATTTTGTCAACGAGCTGGGTTGATTTGATGAATGTGCTCATCTCAGCGAGGATAATGCTGTCGTTTTGCGAGCGTCGCTTGGCCACCAGTTCGCGAAACTGGTGGCTGATCGCGCTGATCGGCACGGGCTTTTTGCCATTAGGGATGAGAGTAGAGAGAATGATAGTCGTTTCAGGAACTGCGTCGTAGAGCTCAGTCAGCAGGGAGTCCATTCGTTCTCCTGCAGTATCCACTTTGTAGTTCTGTAGGCCATCATTGGTGCCGGCGCTGAGTATCATGCGTTAGTGGAAATTAATTGCGCCATGTGGAGGCGGAGCTCACTTGATCAGAATCAAATTGGGCTTTTGTGCAAGAGTATTCTTGACGACCTTTGCCACTTGGTCAATTCTAAAACCGATATGGCCCTCGTGGTCCTAGGCAACGCAGTCAGATTCCATCCCGCGCGGAACGATCGCATCTCAGCGAATGCGACCTACGTTATCGTGCATGGTGCCTGATTTTCGACTCCCGATCATATCGACCTCCCATCCCGCATATCGGAGTTGCTGTCGGAGCCATTTTCGATACCCGTTGCCATCTGCGGACTTGTAACCTTGAGTGATGGAAGCGCCGAGAGGTAGCACACGCAGCATGAATGGCTTGGTACCGCGGGCGTGAATTGTGGAGATGTCGGTGCTGACATCTGGGCCCGAATTTGAATTATCGGGTAGTGAGAGAGTGGTCGATATCAATGTGAGCCAGATGAGACCAGCCCAGACAGCCCAGCAAACGGGCGTCGACTGCCTCATGGTTAGGAAAAATTGAAAAACATCAAACGGGGGATCATCGTTAGCTTATATTAATGGGTCACTTCGCCCGTCAGAAGTGGACAGAAGAGTGTGCTCTCCGGCCGTTGTGATTCGACGAGATCTCTCCCAATTTATTGGCGCTCAGGGGCCGACCTGCCGACCTTTCAGGCTAAGCCTCATTGATCGGCTCAGGTACCTGGCGATCTTGCATTGCCCACGCCTTTCAGTTGTCGCTGATGAGCTACAACAAAACGCTGTCAAATTGTTGATCACAACCGGATCGGTCGGAATTATTTTATTAGAGTCGCACCGTCCCCCGCTATGCCTGTTTCGACATGGTGAGATAATACTAACCTGGACATCCTGGGCAGTGTCCTTTACAAATATCATGTCACAACCCCTGAGACCTCCAACCTTGGAATTTATTGGAGATCAGGGAAAAATGATATATGCTGCGAAAGAGACTATACGGATGTATACGTCAACCTTGGAAAGTTGCACAACAACGTTGAACTTCACGGAACAATCCAGCCGAACCTTGCTGCTTGAATCGGAGCTAGTTTCATTTCGAAGCAATACGGAGTAACCCCCATCGGGATTTTCTTCAGTGCCGGATAATGTTCATTTGACAAGCATAACTTCATATCGACCGGATATTGTCTGGCACTCAAGGCACTGGTAACTATCGACGAACCGCGACCAGCACATCTTCTTTCGAGGTAACTCTCCATCGCCACCGAGGTTGACCACCTTCTACCACCTCAGGCCTGAAATTGAGCTAGGCTGAAATGGCCCCCTGAATCCAATCAAGATAAGCCGCGGTGCTAGCATAAACGCCATCTTGGCCGTGCCTTCCACATCCAAAGCCCCATGAAACAACACCGACCTGCTTCTTAGAGTTGGTATCAACAAGTGGACCACCGCTGTCTCCCTGACATGAATCCTTTCCTCCGCCTTGGACACCAGCACAAATCATGGAATCATCAACTTCATGGCGGTCCGCATATTCCTTCGCGCATTTCTCGTGGTCAACAATGTTGACATACGCAACCAAGAGGTTGGAAGGGAGGGAGCTACCTCCATGAGAGGTAGATCCCCAGCCAGTGACAGAGCACTTGGTCCCTGTCTCCGGCGTCTCTTCTGCTGAGGATGGAAGTTCCACAGCCGAGATGGAAGACCCAAATTCCAGGCTCGAAGCTAGACGGAGGACGGCGATGTCATTTTTGATGGTCTTCGCGTCGTACTCTGAATGTTGCGTGATTTGGGCCACCTTAACCAACTTCCCACCGGAGGCGTGCTGGTTCGAACCTGCGCGAACTCTCAATCTTTCTGCGGATAGGCCATCCGTGCAGTGAGCGGCAGTCAGGATGTGATCTTTGTCGATGATCGATCCACCGCATTTATGGGAGGAGGTTTGAACGGAAACTTGGTATGGGAACTCTCCAGTTCCGGCGACGGATCCACCGACAATACCTTCCTCGGCAATGGAAGACCCTGCGATGGATAGCAGGAGGGTGGAAAGGAAGAGTCTCATGTTTGGAAGAGAGTGAGCGAAATGTTGGATAGATAGCCAGAGAATTTTGGGAGTGGAATATTTATAGGGGACAACACCGGGTTCCCAACAGTAAACAATGCTTGGTGATCTACACAATTACCCCCCACAGTGTCTTACTCCGTACGGAGTACATATTGATTGATTTCAGAGTTCGGCACAGCTCATTCTTCACGCTAAGATTGGGGATAAGATCCCCCCAGCCAATTGTAGTACAATGATCTACGATTCAAAGGTGCGATCATGGCGCTATTGAGACCCCTGCGGGGTGTATCGCCGATCTGAGATCTTTATGTCGATGATCAACATTCCATATCTCACACATCTGCATGTCGACCCACTCCGAGCTGAACCGAAGATTCATCTTTTCGGTCTTTTCGGAGTATTCTGTCTCATATTCTTCCGTGTCAAGCCTCAGCCCAGACCTCAGGACCGTCGTTCCTGGATTACACTTACGGATTATGTGGTCACTCACAGATCGGACGAAAATGAACAAGAAAACTGGTCATGGCCATATTTCATCGATAAGCATTATAAGCTCGTTCTCTGTTATGCGTACTTATTCAAATTTGGGCGTCCGATCAACAATAACCTGGGCAGCTTTTTCGAAATCGGCTTCTACCACCAAGTGCTCCAACCCTGATTCTTGGATCTATCCACAACGTAAGCTTCGACTCTCAACTTCATTCGCCATCAATCAGCTCACCAACTTTAGTCCCTTGTCGGAATTTGTCCCCTGTAATCTCACCACGACAGGCATTTTAAACCCTCCAATGTCTTTGGCGGCAGCGATAATCGACTCGGCGATCATATCACAACGAACGATACCTGCAAGAGTTTCAGCATCAAGCCAGTCAAATACTCTTGGAACCACACTCACCTCCATAAATATTGATCAAAACCCCCTTTACCCTCTCATCTCCCCACAAAATTTTGAATGCCCTCACCAGGCCTTCCCTCGTCGCCCCACCCCCAACATCCAAGAAATTAGCACAACGCCCACCAACCAAAGTAATCAGATCATTAGTCGCCATCGCAAGACCAGCCCCATTCACAATATTCCCAATATTCCCATCAAGCTTCACATACGAAAGTCCCAATTTCTCCGCCTCCTTCGCCTCCTTCTCCCCATCCCCTTCCTCACACCCGAAAAGAGCCTCCTGTCTGAACCGAGCAGAGTTATCAAACTCAAACTTCGCATCAATACAAACAAACCCCTGCGTCGTCTTCACCAGCGGATTCAACTCCAGCAGTGTCGCGTCCTTCTCCCGAAATAGCCTAACCATATCACACAGCAATTGGTGAATAGTCCCCATCTCGGAATCAGAGAAACCAAGCTCGGCTTGAATATACGAGTCGATTTCAGGCGTGATGCCAGTATCGAGTTGGAACCATAGCTGGTGGAGTCGGTTACTGGTTTCGATGTCGACGCCGCCGGAGTCGGAGATAAGGATTATGGGTGAGCTGCGACGGCGGTCGAAGGTCATTGCTAGATAGTATTCGTGTGTGATGTCGACGGCTTTGTAGATGTAGAGTTTGTGTACTGGGAGGCCGGTCGGTGGGGTTTGTTTTGTTGTTAGTTTGTGGTTTAGCATGTTTAGGGCGGATTGGTAGGCTTCGCGGGGTCTGGGCTGTTAGATTGGGATGGGATGTGGTAGTTGGGGGGTGACGGACGATTTGACTATGCGGACGCCGCCTTTTTGGTCGCTGTCGAAGGTTCCTTTGCCTCGGCCGCCGGCTAGGATCTGGGCTTTGATTACGGAGGGTGCATCTGTTTGTTAGTTGGATAGCATAATTTGTGGAAGGGAGACCAACTGATGTTGAAGACGACATCTTCGGCTTCTTCGGGGGTTGTGACTAGGTACCCTTTAGGAACTGGAAGATTGAACTGGATCATGTTAGTATTGGATGCGGGAGAACGGGGCTGTCCTACGTCTTTCAACAGCCTGTGCGAGTGATGCTCGAGCAGACTCAGCCGCCGAACTTGCGTTGCGAGTAAACCATACTTCTGGTACTTATTAACAAGCTGTAGGTTTGGAAGTTATGGACCTTCGTGATAGCCCACCTGGGAGGTACGAGCTAGACAGCGCCAGGTAATCATGCTGAAGTAGAAAGTCGTTATGGTATCTCCTCAGTCATGCGAGGTTGTTCCATATTTATGGAGGTTGAATTTAATTGGGTCATGACATCAACACAAATTAATTCGTGGGGTTGACTTTCGGAAAGTCTAAAATGACATGAGCATTGGAGTCAGCCCTACCACACCTATTGTACCGTTTGCAGAGTCCAAGTACATATGGACACGCAGTAGACTCATCCTCAAAATGACCTCTGATGATACAATTTTTCTGAGAATTGGCTGTCTTTGAGACCATCACAGCAGCCATGAATTCTCTCAAGATGGATCCCGATTAGGACAGCAGCTGACCTAAATAGACTACACGCTAGACCACATCGGTCCAACACTAGTCCCAAATCGAACTCAGCCTCAAGCTTAACCAATAAGCGTCCATGGAACCAAAGTCCAAGATTCAATACGGAGTACAATCATAAATGCTACTTTATACAGTCCGGCTAATAGTTAGCCGGGTAGTTTCCATGCCATCGCACAGAATCCTGATCATCATCATCAATCACAACCACCATCCATACACCGATCTGCCCATTATTCGCCAGCAATGGCGTACAATGAATCCACCGATACCGACCCTGATCACTGCTGAACTTCGTGACCCACTTGATGCGCGCGGTAACACTGCGCCCCGACATCATGGCGTTGAGAATGTGGTCGCGCTTGGCGCCTGAGTCGCCGATGCGGTTCAAGAAGGACGATTGGAGCATTCCAGGGATTTGGAGGGAGGGCGACGTGAAGAGGATGCGAAGGGAGGGATAGGGGCGGACGAGGAGGTACTGACTTGGTTAGCTTTGTTTTTCTTATCAGGGAGAAAGGGCGACTTACGTTTCTGTAGACGCCCGTCAGAGACAGGCCGGCGCTGGGTTCAGGCACCGTGGGCTGATGCGAGGAAGGCGCGTGGTGTTCACTCTCTGTGTCGGAGTCTTGGAGGAAGAGACGATGATTGGGATCTTCGTTGACGATTGGTTGGAAGAGATTTCCACCGTGTTCGCGAACATTTTGCAATTCACGGGGACTGAAGAGTTCGCCGAGTTCCTGGAATTCGGACTTGGAATCTTTGGGTGCAGGTTCGGCCGTTTCGGGGTTTTCTTTTTGCGCTTGGAGATTTTGTAGGGATTCCATCTGTGCGCCCTCCATTGCGAGGCCTGAGACGTCGACCTGAGCACCGATGAAATAACGGATGTTACCGCGGCTGTCGCAGAGTGGCGACATTTGGAGAAGGTTCATGAATGGGGAGCCGTCACGGCGACTGATATGGTTAGCTTTGGCAAGAACCAAGTCTGATCTGACAGAGCTTACTAGTTGAGGAAGAGCTCGGAGTGATGACGTCCGGCTTTCAGTGCTTCGCGAATGCGTCGCACGCTGTTGGGGTTGGTCTTGGGGCCTTGCAGGAAACGACAGTTTCGACCTAGGACGTAGTCCATGCCGTATTGTGTGGTGCGGTGGAATTCTAATAAGGTCAGCGCGCTGTCATATCATCATGGCTCAAATACATACCTCCAGAGGCAAAGATGATAGGGTTATCCGGCCTTGAGGGATCCGTTAAACAGAACACCTCGGCCAACGCATCGGCCGTTCCCTGGAATTTGTCAGGGAGGGTACCGCGTACCCGCTCCTCCACAACCTTGCCGGTGATATTGATACAAGTCGCGGTGATGAATGCGGGCAATTCCTCCGCAGTAAGGGCATCCAGCGCGGCTTGAACGCGCTGTTCAAGCGCCATGTTCACTGTTGGGCCGACCGGCTTCTCGGCCGTCTCAATTCCCGCAGTCGGCACATCGACTGCCAAGCGCACGAGCGCATTCGCATACTCAATGGCCTTCAACGATTTCGAGGCATTGAGATAGTATGTTAATGTGGAGAATGACCCGGGGCGCTCTTGGCTGAGGAATTCACGGAATCGCGCGAGATATCGTGGGTTACTCAGGATCGCCAGCATATGCTCGGTGCAGAACATCAGGTCGGCTTGGCGTTCCAGGGTGTGAAGTGGAGCTGCGTCGCCCTCGTAGGGAGCGACCAAATCGTAAGAGGCTTCTTCATTTTCTTCGAGAATCGGATTAAATTGCTCGGAGCCTTCGTTTGGATTTGTTTGTTGGAGAACCGGGAGTTCATTCACCACGGAGTTTCGTCGGAGTGATTTGTTTGAGGAGGACGGATGGAGACCGGTGGGGGAAGTTGGAGATCTGCATCATTAGCAAGGATTTTCGTGGAAAAAGCAAAAAATTGGGAATTCCTCACGAGTAGTAGCCGCCCGGCGGGCCGCCGATTGAATGATGTCCTAGAGACTGATTTCCGACGGATTGTTGGTCAATGGAGAGCCCACCGATTGATTGCTGATCAAAGTTGTTGGTCGAGATCGAGAGGCGTTTTTCGCTCCGCGGCGGTAGTTGGGGCTGGCCGATCGAGTGGTAGCCGAGATCCAAAGTCGCGTTTGATTCTGCGACAGATGCCTGGTCAATGGACGGTTTGCGACTCGGTTGTTCTCCTGTGTATCCATTGCCACTGTAGCCATTCTGGTAGGCACTCAGCGAGCTGTGTGGCCGAGATTGAGCCCGCGATTGCGTTGATCGCTGTCGGGGGGCCATTGGCGGTCTCCCGATCGCTGGTTGACCGAATGCCTGGGGCTCATAGGCTTGTCCAGCAGGTGAGCCGGATCGCAGTGAATTTTGCGACGAGGGTCTGAAGGCCGGACCGTCAATGTCGTTCATGGTGTGAGGCATGGTTTTGTGAGGGCGGTTGTCAGGAATACTTGGAGGTTCCATTGCGCCAGTATATGAATGCCGGCACTAGGGAAGCATGGACAAAAGATCATCAACTAGTTGGGCTCGGGCCCCAGCGCTTTTTAAAAAAACATGAGGTCACTTCTCAGCGGGCTCTGCAGCGGGCCACGAGGCCGACCGGACGTGTTTTTTCCAATAGTCCATGGTTCCCGCTGAGACTCGAGCGAATGAACCATGAATTCGACCTGAAGCTGCCCGACCGTCCAGTGAATGGCCCAGTAGCTGAACTTCGATCGGCATTGTCCGTACAATATGCGGCCTGCGCACGCGATCGATCGGTCGATCGCCAGGTCCGATGAGGGTTCTTGCGGGAAATCAGGAGCTGAGACGGGGCGATGATGTAAGAAGCCCACCGCAGTGGAGTCAACTGAGATTTGAATTCGATTTGGACTCGACGATCTGCAAAAGTCTCGACTTTCAATAGTTTATCTTCCGGTGTGATCCTTTTTTGGGGATTTGACAGTCGAAAGTGCGAGGAAGAGGTCCATTGTGCCTTCACTCCGCCAATCACCGCTTTTGGATCGCCGAGATATCTCCTTCAAGTCCTTTACAATGACGACAAATGTGTCTCTCGTGAAATTAAAGTGTGTTTTTGACTTTCCCCTTAGACTCTATTGGCCGTAAAATGGTCCTCATCTTCCAATAGTCTCCTTTCAAGTCTTCCTTCAACCTCGGGAATACCCCGCCACATGCAAAGTCATTCCTCCCATAGGCCGAAAGGATCAATTCAGGATCAATTCAGGATCTTTCTCAACTCAGGATCAAACCCCGACTCTTCACAATCTAGGAAAGACTAGCAACAAGCTTGTCACCCAATTTCTTGATGCTCTCCTCGAAAGCGTTGCGATCTCCAGCCTTCCAGTCCGCGTCACTGCCAGGGGTAGTCCCCTTTCCAGTGAACCCAATGTACAAAACATCCTCCTCGCCGTGACCATTGTTCCCATTGATCCCATCATCGGGGAAACACATCTGCGCCAACGAAATGGAAGCCTCGCCAGTTGAGTCTTCCCCGTTGGTGTCACCCCAGATTCCATACAACTAAAGGTCGATCAGCCTTGATCCGCGATTCATGTCGATCAGGGGCCACTCAACACCTGGTTGTTACAAACAACCGCCATAACACTCAATGGCTCCATGCCATACTGCTGGGGGTCGAAGTCTGTGTTGCCAAACACGACATAAGGGTGCAGATTGGCATCTAGGTCTTCGATCCCATACTGGTTGAGCTGGTCTTTGAACGCAGTCTCACCCTGTCCAGTCTCGTCGGCGTCGCAGTCACCGCCCTTGTCATTTAATCCGTCACAGTCAATATCCATGTTGTCGTATTGGCCGCCATTGGCCGAGCTGTGCAGGTAGATGGCGTTGGAGATGTCTCCGCAGTAAGCGAAGGTGTGGGCGCCGTTGATGCCGTCACTGAAGCCGCCCGCGAGCTTGTTGTTGCATTTTCCAGACTTGGCCGTTAGTCAGGTCGTCAAGCTGCCAGGGGTGCATGACATACCTTGTGGCTATCGTAGATTTGCTTGAGGTTGTCTGGGATGTCGTATGCCGAGGCGAGGCCTAGAGAGAGAAGGGTCGCTGCGATAAGATGCATTGTGAATGGTAATGGTAATCTGCTGTAGAGGCTTGCTTTACTATTCCCGATCTCTCGAGCATTTGATACTGTTTATATAGATGTCTTCTTCCCCAGCTACATGACCTCGCACTCACCTACTCGATCGAGATAATGGGGTAAAGGCACTTTAACCAAAACATACATTTTGGACTCTCGTTCTGCATTATTTCTTCAAGCGCAAATGTGGAGCTGCACATTATTTTATTCAAGCGACCATATCGCCTTTTGGGTAAATGATCCTACAAAAAGGGGTCCCGTGTCGATCCCTTGTCACTTCAGGCGTAGCACCCGTAACTGCCTAGACGCCTGCACAGTCAAGTCGAGGGCTCGTTTGTTAGCATACTCTATCTTGTGCACTCCATGCCAGTATGTACAACCTCCCTCTGAGCCAGCGTTCAGGTCTGTTTTGCCTGTTTGTGGTCGCTCATCCCAGCATACCTCGTGAACAGTACTCCAAAAATCCATGGGTTATCGTTTTGTGACTTGTATTAGCAAGAAAATACTACTTAAAATGCGCATTGGGGGCTAGCGCGAGTCAATGCTTGTTTCATGCCGGGACCCTGCATGTTCGCCACTGGGGGCTGAATACAACCTTGGAAATGTGCCAGCCTTAGAACGGGATGTGCTAGCGTAATACGGAGTATTCGGAAAACTCCAACAAATTGTCCTCCGGGGTAGCCGGTAAACATCAAGTCACGCTATGTTCTCTACCGTGGATTCCTTGGGGTCGAAGACTTTGACCTCGGGTGCTAGCCCTGAAACCCCTGGCGGCTCATCACAAACGAGGGGCTGCGTAGGAACGTATAATCATTGACCTGTTTTCTCGACTTAGTACTTTCGCTCTCAGAACTTTACTGCTGCAAATTGACCATTTATATTATTTCGCAACACAAGTCGGGCGATGTCAGCTTTGCCTATTGGATATTCGAAGCCGTAAGCAATTAGCCTCGCACAAGTTGGCAGCATATGGTGAAGATCGTCGGATCCACCTATGGGCTCTGCAGAGCCATCGGCGATCATATGCTCCATAATGAAGTTCTAATCTGGTGTAGTAGTGCGAGGTGGCTCTGCACTAATTAACCTGCTACAACCTTGGGAGGTGAACCAGTATATAATATGGAGTGGTTCTCAGATTGCCCTCGGTGTGTAAACTCACAATTGATTTTGAAATTCCAACCATAAAGAATGAAGCTCAAATCATTCATCTCTCTTCTGGGTAGTATACCCCTAGCATCAGCCTGGCTGCCTACAGACGAAGGCCGAAACCTTACAACATTTGACAAAACTGGCACTTCCAAGATCCGAGGCGTCAACTTGGGTTCCTCATTCATCATCGAGAAATGGATGGCGAGTGGCGAGTGGAATGATATGGGGTGTGGTGATTACAACAGTGAGTGGGGATGTGTGCAGGGTATCGGCCAAGATGCAGCCAACACTGCCTTCAAAAAGCACTGGCAGTCTTGGATCACCAAGGACGACATCACAAAGATGGTATCGTACGGTCTGAACACCATTCGGGTAAGCCTGCTTTCCCATCGCGATGTTCTTTCTGGCTCAAAAGAACATTTTAACACGATCAGATCCCGGTCGGATTCTGGATGAACGAAGATCTCATCGCGGATAATGAGTACTACCCGCGCAACAATGCCCTCGAGGATCTCACCAATATCTGCCAGTGGGCCGCTGATGCGGGTATGTATGTTGTCATTGACACTCATGGCTTGCCTGGTGCTCAACAGGCTCAGCAGCCTTTCACTGGACGTGTAAGTGTCACTTTCATGTAGTGGCTGGGGTTGAATTGACATTTCTCAGTATGCCAGCTCCCCTGAGTTCTATCAAAATGACGGTAACGCTGAGCGCGCGTACAAGTTCTATGAGTGGATGGTCGAACAGATCCAAGGCAGCGATGCGTTCAACACTGTCGGTGCCCTCGAACTTGTCAACGAGCCTCTGCAAAATACAGAGAATGGAAACACGAACTGGATGGTTGAGCACTTTTATCCATCCGCCATCGACAGGATTCGCGCCAAAGAGAAGTCCCTGGGCGTCTCTGCAGATGATGCGCTGCATATCACCGTCATGGTAAGCGTTTTCTTTGGCTGTGTCAAAGAACGATACTGACATGCCCATAGGACGATAAATGGGATTCGGGTGGTAATCCCACTCGCTCTTTGAGTGATGATCAAAAGGATAGGCTTCTCTTCGATGACCACAACTACGAGATTTATCTCGTGCGCGATGCCCAGTCAAAGGCTGACATGATTCAAGATGCCTGTGGGGACAATCGTCAGTCCGATGTTAGCCCCAAGGTCCTTGGGGAGTGGAGTCTGGCGTTCAACAACCAAGGAGAAAACTTCTTGCCGATGGCTGACCATGCTTTATCATACTCGAAATGGTTCTCAGCGCAGCAGAGACAGTATGAGGCATTGGGTGGATGGATCTTCTGGACTTGGAAGACGGATGAGAATCTGCCTAATGTCGAGCAGTGGAATTATCAAAGTAAGTTGCTTTCTTTCTCTCCGTTGCGACGAATGAGATGTTAATGTACTGCACAGAAGCTGTTGAGGCTGGTATTATCAACAAGGACCTCAATGTCCAGTTTGATCAAAACCCATGTTGAAGATTTATTCACGTCACTATAGGAATACCGACGTCTGGAATATTATCCATAGAGAAAGTTCAATATCACATATAATGAATCATCGAAGAAGCCTGTCAGGTGTTACATGCTGCCCTTATGTCAGAGGTAGCCTGGTTGAGACGATTGATACGCTCTACAGTAACGAGCAAACAAAGAGGTGAGTTGACGTGAGAGGAAAGTCGTCGTGGATGCCTCGTCGTCGTCACGTCTTTTTCACGTGCCTCCCTCTCAAAGTCAACACTTCACCCAAACACTCTCCACAACTTCCAATTCCATGCCATCAACTACCTCATTTCAAGCGTTTTTCGCATTTCCATCAAAGCATCCGTGTCCTCCACCCACAATCCCCCACATGCCGTCATGGACGCCGAGCGATCTTCAACCCGTCCCCTCCTCGCCTTCCAGCACTGCCGCGGTGCCTTTGACAACCTCGTTGCAACAGGGCAACTCATAAACAATCCATCTCTCGATTCAGGAGCGGACCTCCAGGGCATAGTCAACGGGCTGGATCATAACCGCAGATGGGACTCGATCCGTACGTCTCAATCTCAGAAACCAGCTATCGGCCCGAGCTAACCTTTCCAGGCCCTCAACTCAGCCATGCACAATGGGAAGTCTGCGAGGGTTACGGCGGATGGACTGCGTTTGTTGATCACTATGGTCTCCGGCGTCCTTGGGAACAAGTGCAGATTGAAGAGGGTGTCAAGATCCTTGATATTATCGCCCGCCGCATAGCTGATTTATGCCCTGAGTCTCCTCCTCGTACCGCCACCTAACTGTTGCGGGCTACCTAACTGTTGCGGCTCCTGATCATGTGTTGATGATTCTTGGAATCTCGGACTTCTTTTCTTTTGCAGTTTTCACATTCTCGGTCGACGGGTCTCGAGCTAGATCACAAACTGATTTCGACTTCATGAGGTCCTCCTCGCCCTATATATCTCCGGTTGTGGGTCATGCGACCTACTTCCTAATGTAAACCATGTGCATAACTAAATATACAATGTTCATTAGAACGTGTCCAGGAATACCTATCTGTTTAAGTAGGCATGGGATAACTTGGAAATTCACCTAGGCATATTTTCAACAACACCAAAATAGGTCAAGGATATAATACTATCATTTCCAAGGTTACCATGAAGTCTGTCTTTTTTCCACACTGCCACCACCTACCCCGGTGGGTAATATGAAAACAGAGTTCAGCCAAGAAATCAGAACAAGCTGCTTAAGCTTATACACTATCAAGCATAAGGTCACATCGCAAATACAACGTCAAAGGACACGATCGTCGGTGCGGGGGCGGCACAGCATTCCTAGCGCTAGAGCATTCTGCATGCTGATACGTCGCTTCACCCGCAACCCCGGCTATCTGACCGGGGAACACGGCAATGTGTCCAGAATGTCCGGAAGACGATAAGAGCTGCATGTCTCGCAGATAGTAAGTTTGTACTTAATCGCGGGCCTTCTTGTTAGAACCCCTCTTCCAAGGTTCTCCGACAACGTCGAAATCTTTCCGCATTATGGGTGAGATCACCACTGTTTCGGCGCAGCCGCAAGCTGCAGAGATGATCAAGGTCCAGGATGAAGATGAGTTGCGATTGGCTCAAATGGGTTAGTTCAGGATTCGCTTTTTGGTGCCTCTGTGGCTCGGGTGAATTAACGTAGTGCAGGCCATAAGCAAGAATTGAAGCGGCATTTCTCTGTTTGGAGCCTGGTTGGGCTGGCTGCAAATTGCACAATCTCTTGGACTGGTGGGTGATGTTGTGTTGTGGATGTGTTGCTGAGGGAATGGTGTTGACGTATGACGGTCGCAGGTCTTGGACTAGGACTAATCACTGCCATTAATGCCGGTGGGCCTGGCGCATGTGAGGAATCGATCTATATCCGGATTATTAGCAGTGTCTAATGGCTTTGCGTTACTAGTGATCTATGGCTTTATCCTGGTTTTCGTTTTGCAATGCTTTGTCGGTGCTTCGTTGGCAGAGTTCGTGTCTGCATACCCAGTTGAAGGTGGTATGTACCATTGGATCGCGGCAATTGCTCCAAAACGATACAACAGTCTTTTGAGCTTTGCAACGGGGTGGTGCACTGTATTTGGATGTGAGCTTTGACTTGTGATAGCTCACCACGATGATACTTACCTCATGCAGGGATCTTCACGACGGCATCAACAAATTTGATTTACGCCACAACTGCCATGGCTTTGATTGCCCTTTACCACGACGACCTAGTTGTCAAACCATGGATGACGTTTGTGGCATATCAGATCCTCAACATTGTCACGTCGGGAATTGTCATGTTTGGAAACAGGTTCATTCCAATGATAAACAAATTTTCTTGTAGGTGATCCCTCCTTTGCGCTTCCATCTGACTCACCGTGGTGTAGTGATATACTTGCAACTGGCGTGGTTCATCACAATGGTAGTTGTCGCAGCCTCGGCGCCAGTCCACAACGACAGCAAATTTGTGTTTCGCACGTGGATCAACAACACTGGGTGGGAGAACAACGTCATCTGCTTTATCACCGGCTTGGTCAATCCGCTTTACTCACTTGGAGGTCTGGATGGGATCTCGGTATGTCTTGCGCATGTCACATGGGAATTCCGAGCACAATGTTGACCAATTTGCAGCACATCACAGAAGAAATGCGCAATGTGAGTCCGAGAACAAACGCCGGTTCGTTCCTCTTTTGTCATTAACAATCTGTCACAGCCAGGGAGAAATGCGCCGTTGGGTTTAGGTAAGTCTTACCGCCGTTCACGCGTTGTTCCATGGATCAAGACTAATGGAACCACCAGCCATCACTCTTTCCATCGCCTTTGTCACTGGGCTGTCGTACCTTCTTAGCCTCATGTTCTCCGTTCAAAACTATGGATCGTTAGCCGATACTAGTACCGGTCTTCCGCTGGCCGAGCTGTTTTGGCAAGCAACGTCAACCCGTGGAGGCGCATTTGGCCTTGTCTTCATGGTTTGGGTTGCCCTGGGTCCCTGTGTGATTGGATCCCAGCTGAGTGAGTACCCCCATGAAATGAAGGTAGCTTTGCTAACACCGACAGGCACTGGGCGGGTATTCTGGGCCTTTGCGCGCGATGAAGGTCTTCCTTTGTCAAAGGTATGGGCTCGGGTCAATCATCGACTTGGATCACCGTTCAATGCCCAACTCTGTGTGGCGGTCATTGTAGGCCTTCTAGGCTGTATATATCTGGGATCGAGCACGGCTTTCAACGCAATGATGAGCTCGGCAGTGTATGTCATACGTGCAAACACGGTCAAAACACCAATGTCGCTCGCTAATCACGATGCAGAACGATCAACAATTGTGCGTACCTTGTACCAATTCTCACCAACGTTTTGCTCCGACGGCGGACAATGCACCAAGGTCCATTCTTTATGGGTCATGTCGTTGGAATGACTGTGAACGCGGTGTCTGTGGCTTGGCTGATTTTTGCCATTGTGTTTTTCTCATTTCCATATGAGATGCCAGCGACAGCGTCCAACATGAATTATACATGTGTCGTCGTTGGGGGATTCCTGATAATTGAACTGGCCTGGTGGCTAATCGCAGGGAAAAGATATTCGGTGACGGTTCAACGAGCTCGCGAAGAGGGAAGCGACGATTCAGTCGCCGTTGCCAAACCCCATCCGACCTCGTGATCACAACATTCATATATCTTCATTGCTTTCTTTCTGCCTTCGCTTTCTTCTACTTTTTCCCGCATCATCCCTCCCATCATGTCGAGCCTCACGGCTTTCAACCTCGATGCTTCGCCTCGGCCCACGCGTACGCAAGCAGACAAGCTGCCGCCCTACAAAGAACTGATCATTCCGAATATCAAAAGACTCTCCACTGCCAAGGACATCTATCTTTGGGGAAATTGCATCGAAATCTCTCTTTGCGCCCGCCACCTCAACTGCTTGATCTCTGATACTCTGCCTCGCCCTACCACTGACCACCCTGGCTACCAAAACTGGCTGAACTGGTCCCGCCTGATCAGCAAGTGGCTCGTCCGCAACGTCGATCCGAAGTTCACACCCCACTTCCAGAATATCCAGGCGCAGCTTCAATACGCAGATACCACCTACAAAGAGATCCTCGGGTTGAAGATTCCCAAGACCGACCAAGAAGACCGCATGACCAAGGCGCTGATTCAATTGTGGAATACGCGTCGTCACAAATACCCTGGAATCGACGAGTATGTCGATGCTTGGCGCAATCAGGTTGTCGTCTGCCAAGGTCTCACTGTTGGTTTTGACTATCTGTCGGCTACGAAGATCATGCTGCATGAAATGGAAGGAGATAGTCCGGTTCTGGCCAAGTTCATCAGATTCCAGCTTGAGAACCCGAGTCAACCCAGCGATGCCCGTTTGCCGATGACCTATGAGGAGTTTGATCGCCTTGTTCGTGGAATTATCGGGGCAGTGAAGAAAGATAACTTGAGGCCATCGTGATGGGCCTACCAGCCAGCCAGCAACATGTCGGGACTGGCATTGAATACATTTCTCTACTCTTCGACAAATCAAGAAGTACTCTGAATTGAATGACACTTGAAATTAAACCATCACACATCCTTGTAAAGCTTTTAAAAAGGTCCCTGGAAATATCTCTAGAAAGTCTACTGGGAAGATCATAAGCAAGATCGCGAGATAAGTCATAGGAAATCCATTCAAATATAGAAAGACAGATAGGATTCCCAACTTGACGAAACGATCCTGGTGTGTAGTCTTTACGGATGGCTAGAGACCGTCGCGAGAGACTTTTTGGTAAGTTATTGCTTTCGTGCCGCTTGCAATTCCTTCCTTTGTTCCGCTTTTGAGAGAGATTCCACGGAGAGTCATGGGTCTCCACTAAAAATGATATCATTTTTCGATGACGAATCAAAAAGAGAGGAGTGTCGTTGGGTATATGAAGAGATTGATATGAGAATGGCATGCGAATAGAAATCCTGAACTTCAACGTATTGGTTGGTTGAACAAACATCATACTTCAATCTCAGTCTGAGGCGAGCGCTGCTCTCATTCCATCGCCTTGCGTATTAACATAATGCGCACTCTTTCAGTTTCCATCAGCTGAGTCTGTCTGTGCCGGAGGAAGGCTCCACTGAAGATACACGGTATCAAGCCTTGAAGTTGATTAGTTACCAGTAACCTCATGGAGTCATTGCCGAAGTCTGTTGATTATCGCAAACTCACCAACGACCCATCTTCTTCCCGACGCTCTCCAGGCGTCCTCTGTGCACAAATCCCAGCGTATTATACCAATCCCTTAACCGAATGCCCTCGGCAGGATTCTCAGGGTCAAACGTCATGATAGCAATGACATTGTGAACAGGCGAGGTGTTCACCACCTCGAGCATGCTATGAGCCCCAATGCGAGCGACATCACCAACACGCTCTTCGCAGCGATGCTGAACACCACCAGACTGAAGGAATCCCAGAATCTTCTGCATCAAGAGAGTTCCGTAGCCGAAGCTCCGTTGGTCAGCTCGCATGAAGATCGACAGCTCAACGGTCGACGCATAAGAAAGCAACTCGCCTCGCCATGGCGAAAGGTAAGCATAGCCAAGGACTAGATCTGCGCCATCGTCTGACTGGCGCGTGTCAGAGCCAACCACGTAGAATGGCAGTTGGCGTCTGTTGAGGTCCCGCAATAAGTCTTCGTAGTGGGACACCGCTGGTGGGGTAGTTGTGAATGTGAAACAGCTGTTCAAAATGTACCAGTGGTTGATATCACGCACTTGGGGGATATCTGCGAGAGTAGCAGGCCGACAGGTAATCATTTTGGGTATATTATCGGACGAGTCGCAATCGAAGGTAATGTACAGGGCGTAGGTCAGAAGAAGTGATGTCTGTCCAGGCCCGCCGAGATGGGATGACAGTTCCCTGTTTTGGCTTAGCGCTGTGCACAGGCACTAACCATAATGCATTTAGCGTCAGTCTAAGCGCCAATGAGAGTGTTGAAGTATAGAATCACGAAACTCATCGTGAAAGTAGTTGTGATGTGCAGTAGGTTGGTTGTTTTGTTCTGATGGTGGTAGTTGGCCTACTCTCGAGGCAGGAGCTTCATGTCTCCCACCCTCTGGGGCGCTTTTCTCCTGCTCCCTTCGTGTCTTTTTCTCTTCTCTCTCTCTCTCTCGCCCCGCCACTCAGGCTTTCCAACTTTTCATCCAAGTCATCATGCAAGATCATCCGAAGCGCGCATCCAAAAAGGATAAAAAGAAGGATCAGAACAAAACTCAACCTCCAATGACTCTTACCGTCATCATCGAGTCCAAGTCCAATGGCAAAGCCTCCGGGGAAACTGCTGCGGACGACGATCCCGACGAATGCTTGTTCCAAACCACCGTCGACCTGGAATCGCCAGATGTGGCTGGAGTTACCAATGAGGTCATCGGACAGTTTTGGTTCAAGCACTTTGTGAGTACTCAAGTGCATATTGACTTTGATATTTGCTAACATTCCAAATCAGAACGATATGCTTGGCTTGAGCCCCAAACCCCCAGCTCCAGCTCCAGCTCCAGCTGTATCTGTGAAACACTGCGTTGAGGAAACCAATCGAGTTTTAGCCCTCGCCGATGCCCTTGTCGTTCAGCAAAAGGAGTTGATTTCGGATATGCAAGAGATCAATTTCAACTTGGATGGGGCTCTCGCTCGCGATGAGGATTTCAAAGATATTCTGAACAATCCCTACGCCGACAAGACAATTGTCGACGCGCTCACTCGGCTTCGTTTTGGGCTTGGATATCTTGGGACTCAGGCTGAGGCTCTGAAGTGAATCTTTCCTGCTTCTTTGGTTGTGTTTTTACGCCATTCACACCTTTGTCTCCGCGTGGTACTTATTGCGATGCTCGTTGGGGTCAGACACATGCTATTTCAATCTCTTCTAGCATTTTCGGGTCTTTGTGATTTGATGATATACCTGACAGCGTTGCCTGCGAGCTCAGTTCATTTCTGTTTTCTAAATTCGGATCGAGATTACTGATCAAAATACATCTGATTCAATCAAAGTTGATGGAAAGCACAGCCATCTTTCATGATTGTCAGTACGTCACACAATTTGACTTATTGGCTGGCCTGTGGCATAAGCCCTCATGGCTGGAACGGTGTTACATTACTGCCTGTTCGGGATTGCCGAGTGATCTCCAGGGCTGTGAACACTAACCGCCGGGTGCCTACCTGTCTACGCCTAAAATAGAGAGATATGTGCATAAATATCTCATCAGATCAACTATGAGAGTCCAATTTCAGTACGGGTTCCGCGGACCGCGTGTAGGCAGAAGTAATCTCATAATTAAATCGAATGATTCCGAACTAAGCAACAAGTGCCCGGGGAGACCCACCGTACCCTGTAGGGCAGAGGTCTAAGTGAGCCTATACGGAGTCTATAGGCACCAGCGTTTTAGCAGCGAAAGTTCTGCAGTCGTCGATCTACGGTGGCCCCACCCGAGCCAATGGTCCGACAAGGCTTATACTACATAACCTTTTTGATTGGTTCACTCGTCTACATTTGAACCATCTTGGGCTGACCCTGAGCCAGGGACTAAACCGGGGGAGCCAGGGACCGATGTGATCATTTATGTCATATAGGCAGGTGCGGTCATTCTGCGGTACTGCGGCTTCCTCCTCTGTCGAGACCTCCCTTCGTGCGAACATTTTACCCTCCCGTCATGGATACTGATACCAGACCTCGTGAAACGGTACCGACGCCAAAGTCCCGTCGTACGCGAAAACGTGATGCCATTGATCTGGGAAAACCGAAGAAACGGTGGTTCTTGGAAGAGATTGGTGACGGCTTGATCGAACAGCTCTGCACCAACACAATATACGGTGACCACATGGATGATCATAGCTCATGTTTTTCCGTCCTCGATCACTTGCGCAGTAATGGGAAACCAGGGACTGTCTCTTCGGGCAGCTCATCAGGTTACAGCTCCCAGGCACGACCCGGATCATTTTCCACCCCCACAACGAGTCTTGATAGCCACGATCCTTTGAGATACACTACCTCACAGGCCCCGACAGAAGTCGGAATCCCACTTCCAAAACCAGAATCCATATCAAAAGATGACAGAGATCAAGCAGATGTCTTCAGCCTAGATGACTTTGTGACGATGGCAGCCATCGAGCGCCTCGCCGCAAACTACGGCCGCGTAGCCCACATGGGCATCCTCGACCGAAGCTACAGGTTCTTCGTGAACAAATCTCGCACAGCAGCCCTCTCATTCAAGATCCAGAACTGCGTCGCCGTCATCGGTGGCGATCCCCTCTGCCATCCATCCGCAATCCCCGAGCTCCTCTCCGAATTCACAACCTACCGCAAACGCCATCACTGGGGCATAGCCTTCATGGGCACCAGCGAGACCTTCCTAAAAGAACACGCCCAACCCAACAACTGGACAACCATTCGCTTCGCCACAGAACGAGTCCTAAACCCACAAACCAACGAAGTCCTCCTCGAAACCAGCGGGAAACGCATAACAACACAAAACCGCCAACTCCTCAACAAATCAAAAGCCGGCCTCACATTGCACGTCTACGCTCCCGCCGTCCACGGCACCGACCACCATCTCCAATCAACGCTGATCTCCATTTACGATACCTGGCGCGCTCATCGAAACGAAACCGCATCCCCCCAAGCATTCATAACAGTATACGACCCATTCGCTCTCCCGTCGCTAATGACCTTCATCTACACGCGCGACAGCCAAGGTACCGTGAATGGCTTCGCGGCGCTCCGCAGTCTCGGCTCGGATGGATATCATGTCGATCCATGCATTGCAGCACCGGGATCAAATAAGGGAATCAGTGACCTGCTCCTCATCGCTGCCATGGCATTGCTGAACAAAGCAGGCGTTTCATACTTGGGATTTGGGTTTGAGCCGCTGCATGCGCTTTCACGGGATGATGTCGTTGGCATGCCTGCGCCGCTTCGCGCTTTCACGCGTGAGCTGTATGGACATGCATTTCAGCGCTTGCCGATTGGTGGAAAGAAGGCTTATCATGATAAGTTTCGACCTGATCCGAAGTTGGATAGGGGGCTTTATCTGGTTTTCCCTTCTGGGGTTCCGGGGCCTAGGGTTTTGATGGCCATGACTCATATGGCGAATATCAGTTTGAGGACGATCTTCTGGGCGGATGTGAGGGGCTGGGTGAAGAAGAAGGAGGGGATTGCGGGTAAGGGCTCTGAGTCTCAGGTTGACACTGTGGTCACTGAGAAGCAATGAGGTCCTTCGGTGTTTTCGCTTGGCTCTATTGGCGTGTTTGAATATCTGATGGGACTGTACTGCATTCTTTCTGCGACTCTGTACTCCGTATCCAAGGTCATGGCTAGGCGTTCTGGTTGTGTTTGCTTTTTGTTGGCTTGTTAGCCTCTTTAGAATATCCGTTTTAATACATTATGTTGTCCATTCTTGTGTCGAGGCAGCATACATAAACCCACACGATTGAAGACTGTGTTCAATTTGATACTGGTCATACCTGACTCGCTACGATTATTATCAAAATTACGAAGAGCCAATATGGTTATGGATGAAATACAATGCAAATGCCATGTCCAGGAAACGCCAACCCCCCATAAACGCGAATATTGCTAGCAAATACGACCAAATAGGAAGTCTTTCACGATAGGTGATCCCGAGAACTCAGGATTCAAAAGTATACAGCTGGAGCGAGATCAGAAACAGTTCGGACGAATATGAAGGCAATACTCACTTGAGGAAGTACTCCAAGCCCACGCGCCGGGATTCGAGGAATTTGGGTCGGAATTTGACTGGGTATATCAGCAAGATGAAATGCGCTTGGGGAAATTTCAACATACAAAGGACACTCTTCGGTGGCAACGCAGGTAACGCACTTCTTGCATGGGGGAAAGAAGTAACGAGCCTCTGGCGCAAGTCATCGAATTCGGAGTATCTAACCATCATCAGCCCAGGTCGCCCCACAGGAGCGCTCTATATTCACTGACCTCATTCGAAGAACAATAGGACCCCCCTGATATCAGATTAGCATGGAACCTCGCTCGAACACCCTTCGCTCCATATTCCACTCACATCCAGCGTTTGGATGGTGCAGTTCCAAACCACATACGATCCAACACCCGTCATTCCTCGCACAACGACATGGTCATCGATCGCGACACTGCGCGCCCACAGTCCACGAGTTGTTTCTGAGTCTGGATCGGCAGTGTGGTCTTCGAGGGTGATGCCTCGGAGTGAGGATTGCGAGGCCTGGGAGATGTTGCGGTCGTGGCGGCGCCAGTACGGCGGAACCACGCCGGAGATAGGGCGCGAGACTGTGGATGTGGTACTTTGATTGTCGGTCTCTGCGTGTGCGGGGGTCGACTCGGGGTTGGATGGGGAGTGCGGCGGTGCCGCTCCGGCCTCCTCAGGTTCTGGCTCCATCCATTAGGTTAGGAGATGTGCGAGGGATTCAAGAGTGGCACGAGGGAAGGTGAGACACGGGGTATTGTGCAGTGTATTGCAGTGTTCTGATGTATCGGCGAAAGTCAATTGGAGTAAGACAAAGGTGGTCATGCGGAGAGTCGGCTTAGCTAAGGGAACTTTGGACTTGGGCAACTTCTGCCCACCTCTTCTATCTTACACACATTCTCATTCTCTCCCTCTTGCTACTCCGCACTCTCTTTCTATACTCCGTTTGATCACCCTTTTCCAACTGACTTTCACTTTATTACACTATTTCTCAAATCTTTGCTCAAAACTAAATAGTATCAAAAACCTTCAACAGATTGCCCCGGCACACTAACCCCAACTCGGTAAGCGTTGCTGATCGGCGTTCCTCCGGCTTTTCGCTGAGACATTTCGCTGTCGGTATCAAGCCAACTCATGTTGCTCCAATTGCAGCGGGGACTAGTCGGCAATCGAATGACAGGTGGCATGTCAGGCAAACGGCCCCTCCGTGCTCTCTCTCACAAGAAACAGAACCTCGCACAGTCCAGTCCCACTGATCTCCCCGGATCGACAGATCTCAAGGGTGTTGCCCCTATAGCGGAACCTCACACCTCGCTTCCAAGGCTCGGCACCTGGGCACTGGGACATCCGGCACTGGAATTACGACAGATCAAGGGTCAAATCCAGAGCAGATGTACAAGTGGCACTAGTGCGTGCCACCATGCAAACTAGCTAGTACATTCTATACATAGAGCATACATAGTCCTGTGATCATTGCTTTTTCCTTTATGAACTCATCTCTCCCTTGCGACTAATTTTTCCCTTTCTCTTTACACTTCGACTGTCTATTGGTTTGGCCGATTTGCATTGTAAACCATCTCGATATACTTGACATCCTTCATTCCGGACCTTGTCTCGAAGGTGTTCAGGGTTTCAAGCTCGGTAAGTTCTAAGACATGTTCTTCGGACTCCTTCATTCCAATCACTGTCCTCCTGGTCTATATTTGGCTTGGTCGCGTTATACAAAGCTGCTGGAATTCTCGGGGCTAATATTGAAATTGAAATTTAGTCACTGCTCGTTCATTCTCAGCCTCTTCAACTTTCATCATGCTGTCCAAAACCCTATTCATCATCGCCTCGGCTACCTTGGCTACCTGCCAATTGGACCCATCATCAGTTCCCTATGCTACAAGAGGTTGGTCATCACCCTCTTCCAGTAGCATGCACTTGCTCACGTATCTCAGAGGCTTGGTGTAACTCCCAAACATCCGCCTGTCCTCTTCTTTGTCTACAGATATCAGGAGCATCGGGCTCGCCGACAACAAACACTTGCTCAGCTGTAAGCCTGACCTCGACACTTCTTTATTTTATTTTATTTTTCGATGATCTAACTGGTTTCTTCAGACCTCTCTCGATTACAATTGTCTATGTAGCAATGGCGTGACTCCCAACGCTACAGAATACTCTCAAACAATCCCCTACTACACCTGCACCGAGACCAACAATCAATGTGTCACCAAGTGCAACGGGAATTCAGACTGCCAATATGACTGCCGCACCAAGAACCCCTGTGGTGCTCAAGACCCCAAACGCGTAAATGCGACCACAACTACCGCCACGGCTGCTACAACTACTGCGACAGAAACACCGCTCAATACCGATTCAACCGGCGCGGCCCCACGCTTAGCTGATATGAGCCAGGTTTATGGACTATGCGTGGTCGTGGGCGGATTTGTGGCTGGTTTGGCTACACTGCTGTAGGGGGGCTGGCTCTCAAGTGTCACTTTTGGAAATGAAAATGGCTGGTGAATATTTTTGGGTTTCTTTTTCTGTTTTCGGCTGGGGACTGAGATGCATGGTGGGGAGATCTGCCTTCCTACCCTAGTACCTCGTCTTGGTCTCTTCGTCTCTTGGGCTGTTTTGGAGTTGCATTAGCATTGAGCGTCTATTTTGGGGATTCTCGTTTTACGTTTCATGGGTTCTGGAGTCAATTATTTATGGCTAATACATTTTTCGCTGATCGTATTTCCTCGGAAACCCTGTGGGAATCTATTATGCAAGCAGATGACTGCATATACATACAACTAGCGCTTCCAGAAACGCGGGCGATCCCCCTCTCGCCATATCTAGATCTTAGCCCGCAATTTAGTGCTGTCCATGCGCTGCCCCTCATCATCCTGCTCTGCAACCTCAAGCACCGGGAATTGGCTCGGCATGATCCGGCGTGGCGTGGACCCTGGAATCACCGAATACTTCGAAAAGTCAGAGACGCCGCATTTCTCACGAAGAAAATCTTCGTCCGTATCCAGCAGTCCGTTCACCACACGGTGAGGGGCTTTGAGCATAGCTAAAATGGCATCGGAAAAGATTGTCTAAAGTGCATCAGTAGAGATCCGAAGCAATGACGTATCAATATATGCATACCGGTTTTCTCAAATCTTTCTTATACGACTTGTCAGATGCCTTGTTATGCTCTGTAGCTGCAGACTCAATCGACTAGCGAACATCGTCAGCTTCGCCTCCAAAACATAAAATAATGCACATACCGATGCTGGCCAGATACTCGTCACCGCCATTTCATTCCGGCCTTGACGCACAAAATCCATGGCGAGGCCTTTGACCAAGACACTCATGCCAACCTTGCCTACATACACATCACATCAGTACACGGTTTCACTTGGCAAACGCGAAACTCACCCATGGCATAAGCGGTTTTCCCCCTAAAGAACCGCGAATAAATAGGCGGCGAAACCACTATGATTCGTCCTTTCCATCCGTTCTTTTCGAAGGCTGGTAAAACGGACTGCACAGTCGCGTAGAGTCCTTCCGGGTTGACTTGCTGCATAAGTCTGAACCGCTTCAGCGGCGTGTTCTCGACTGATGACCACCAGATCGCTCCGGAGTTGTAGACTAGCACGTCTAGCTTGCCGAATTCCCGGATCGTCTCGTCTACGGCATGTTGGATCTGTGCTGCGTCTCGGACATCCACGGCTACGGTGCCGGCTTGGCCACCTGCCTCGCGAATCTCGCGCGCTACTGTGTTGATGGTTGAAAGTGATGAGTTGGGATCTGGTGGGAAGGGTGTTATGTTTGCATCTGACGTTGTCTTTGCTGCCAGCATCACTAGATCTAGTTAGTCTTGGGCTGGGGCTGGTATGTTCGTTAGATATTACCAGTGTAGTTGTTTCGGGCTAAATCAATGGCAATTTGCCGGCCAATGCCACGGGAGGCACCCACTACTAGAGCAACTTGTGTTGAAGACATTTTGACGGCTACCGAGCTGGTGGTAGGTAGCTCGGGTATGTTGGAGACGAAGTGGTAGATGCGATGGACCCCTCGGGTTTGCTTTATCGTTATATACTTGAGCTGTTTCCTTGGAGCCGAGCTTGACTTTTCAGATTGGTTGTTTAGACGATCTTCGGCACGATAGAAATTATAATCAAAATATCCCCTGGACAAAGTCGAAGCCGAGTGCTTAATTTCCTGATTACTCAAGTTCCGAGGTAGTGACCTCGGCCTGGGAACTACTTGATCTGTGTTGGCCACTGTCCAGACAAGCTCTGTGGATACATGCAATCCAACAATGTTTCCAATTTATAGTGGAAAATTCAGAGCTTCTCATAATAAATGACATCTTCAACATGGTTCAAGTGGCTTGACGCGCAGTCAGAACGTTGATATCTCGAAGGCGGTGGGAGAGGCGGTCACATTCTGCCACATATTCAGCATATCACCTTGGACCCTCACGTCGATGCTCAGCTCTCCGGACACTCTTGTGTACCAGATTGAACTCCTCTTTTCATTCCTTTTAGACTCTCTTCTTGGATTTTGCCATTTTTACACTCCTCCACAGCTACTCATCGTTGTTTCAATCCCGCCCGTCGAAACAACCCAGCAACATGGACACACTATCAGACGCTGGCGGTTCATCCCAGGTGGATGTGGACGCTGCTCATGCCGCTGCAATCTCGGAGGGCACTGCAGCTCAACTCAGACCTCGCGCCAAAGCTCCAGTGCGGGTCGAAGGTACATCTACCCCCAGGGAGCTTGTCTCCGCATTGAAGCTCCCCCACCTAGGCAACGCTGACACTGATTGACGGAATAGAAATTCCCAAGTTTGATCTCGACACTTACATTGCCAACTACACTGGTAGGCGGACATCTCAATTATTGCGGTACACTCGATACTGACTTTACCAGGCCGCACCCGCTATGATCGTCTTTACCTGATCGGCACGTGTTCCCCGCCGCTCGCAGTCGACGCCCTGAAGGCAGCCATCGCCGAGGCCAAAACGACCAAAGACATTTTGAGATATGAGAGGGCAGTTCGCGCGCTGGCGGAGGTGGCACCCCAGGACCCTGAAGCCTCTCTCAACTCATTGTGGGTCCAGGAAACTCAGCGATCCGTGGCGGCTCAAACCGAGCGGTTGGAGCATGAGCTGAAGGGATACAAGAACAATCTGATCAAAGAGAGCATCCGAGTGAGTGATGAGGGATAGCGCAATGACGACGCTCCGCTGACAATCATAGATGGGGAATGAGGACCTAGGAAATCATTACTACGACACTGGAGACCTGGCAGCCGCAACCAAAGCCTACTCCCGCATGAGAGACTATTGCACAGCCCCTAACCACATCACCTCAATGCTATTCAAATCGGTCAGCGTCAGCATTGAACGGGGTGATTGGTTGTCCGTGCAGTCTAATGTGCATCGTCTGCGCAACTCCCAATCAAAGCCCGAAGAGGCGGCAACAAACGAGTCCAAGATCTCAGCCGCGTGGGCACTCTCGCAGATGAACCAAGGCTCATTCCTCGAGGCCGCAAACTCTTTCTTATCAATCCCCACGAAATTAGGTGACAACTACAATGAAGTTATCACCCCCAACGATGTCGCCGTCTATGGTGGTCTTTGTGCCCTCGCATCCATGAACCGGGATGAACTACAAAGCAATGTGCTTGATAACCAAACTTTCCGAAACTTCCTTGAGCTCGAGCCTCACATCCGTCGCGCCATCGCCTTCTTCTGCAACTTCAAATTCCGCTCCTGCCTCGACATCTTGGAAGCTTATCGGCCTGATTACCTCCTCGATATTCACCTACAGCGCTTTATTCCCCAGCTGTACAAACGCATCCGCACCAAATCTATCGAACAATACATGGTTCCTTTCAGTCGTGTCACACTCGTCTCTATGGCGAAGATTTTCGCCCCGGAAGTTGTTGGCGGTGAAGCCCGACCTACCGATATTTCCTCGCCATTTGTGCAAGAGCTGATTGGCCTCATTCGGGATGGTGTGCTGGACGCGCGTGTGGATCTCGAGAAAGGGTTACTTATCTCCAACCAGTCTGATCTCCGTGCCGAGGTACAGCGGACCACCCTGGAAAATCTCCAGGACTTCAATCAAGAGGCTCACTGGCGACTTCTCCGAGCTTCTGTCTTGTATAGTGGTCTGGAAGTGAAGAGCGACAAGGAGGCCGCTGCCGCTGCCGCTGGAGCTGGGTCGAGCAAAGGGGCGAGATTGACTCGCGGCACCCACTTTATGGGCACTATGGGCACTATGCTTGATTGAGGTGCGACTTCGCAGCTATGAATGATGAATTAAGATAATACCCCGATGCTTCTAATGCAGATTTACTGTATTGCTAAGAGAACCTGTGCGCTTCCGTAGCAAACTCTGTTTCAGTCCAGCCACCAATCTACACCTTTCATACATTCGGGGAGCTGATATGGCTGGTAAACGCCTTGTCCGACCTTTGACGGGGGTACTAATCCCGCCGGTCCAATCCGGTCGTTTGACGCAGTGAAACACCACTTCGATGCGGTGGTTTTCTTGAACTCCAACCAAGCGAATCGTCATAGACTGGTCCAAAGGCAATCAATAGACTATGGTTGATGTCAAGGTCACAGTAGTACTATGTCTTTTGTCCTCCGCACTCGGAGAAAAGTTGAGAGATCGGCAGGGATTAGGGCTCGGCTTCCTGCATGTGGCCAATCTCCCCCGTCCCCTTGCCTTTGGCTACAGCCAGTTCTTATGTTGTGCTGGGCAAGATTCTCACTTTTTTGTACAGTATAGAACACGATTCTGTTATGTCCAGGTAGTTCTTTGTTCGCCTGTGGGTTTCCAAGGTTAGATCGGAAGCCCATCTATCATCTTGTTTCCCGAGAGTTTCCTCCAAGAACGCGTCGATTGAGTATCCCCCGTGCCCGATTTAAAGACGCCCAGAAATTTCAAGAGAATTGGAAGGTACCTAGGTAAGCACATGCTCAGTATGTTTCCATTGGTCACTATACCCTGTTGCGGCAATACCCCGACCCTCAGAAGGCTAGATGTTACACCATAAGACTGAGAAACCCAAAGAAACCGCTTACAAAAGAGAAGTCTCCAAATTGTTTGAAACCCTCGTACCTGAAGTATATAATTCCTGAAGTACCCTTGAGTGACTGCGGTTTCCCAAAACGGGCCTAGCTTCCTTCCAGAACAAAGGTGGAAGTGATTGTTGCTCTATATCTTACTTGGTATTTCCTAGGAACGTCTCGGTGTCTAACCTGAGAGTCCAATCTCAAGTGGCCATATCCTAGCTTTCGAAGGCTGGAACCTTGAAAGGTTGTAGCATTTATCATGGCGTTGAAACTTTCTATTGAGCCTTTGGCCTCCTGCGTCCCCTCCAAGCGACGGTTGGAATCGGATTTCGATATGCTGCCAGTCTCCAAGGTAACTGTTGGGCCATCTGATCGGATCCAGAGAGATGTTTCTTCCATCGGTACTCCGAAACCTTTGGGTGATGTTGAAACAAATACCTTCTCTCTCGATTCTGTTTACGATTTCACACCTTCCTCTGAACTGAGCCCTATACAAGAGGAGCCAGCTGAGTCCTCGGGCAGTACACCACATAAATTTCTTGCCTCAGATCCTCGAGTTCCAGACTCCGAGCCAAACACCTTACCCTTCTTATTTGATGACGGCTCGCTTGAATGGAACGCGCTTCTGTCACAGCCAACGCCTCCAGAGGCACGCACACCGAGTGTTCAAGACACCGAATCCAGTCTCCCAGCTCCATTGGAGCCCGCTCAGCTTACACCTACTTCTACACCAGCCACGCCAATTCAGTCCACACATTCTGTCATACCGGATGACAACGACGAGTTCAACACCGAGACCTCTGATGCTTCGTCCACTGAAAGCTCTTCCGTGTTTGAGGAAGACACCACATCCACATATACGGCTTCCTTGCTGTCTGAGGCAGAGGACTTCACGTACGAAAACGGAAGACGATACCATTCATACCGCGAAGGCACCTATGTGCTTCCAAATGACGAGCCTGAGCAAGATCGGCAGGATCTCCTCCACCACGTCCGGAATTTAGTTCTCCATGGCCGACTCTTCCATTCACCGTTGGAAAAGAACATTCAAAGAGTCCTGGATATTGGCACGGGTACTGGGATATGGGCCATAGATGTTGCAGACTCGTTGGCCAGCGCTCAGGTCATAGGAATCGACTTGAGTCCGATCCAGCCTGCTTGGGTGCCACCCAACTGTCGATTTATAGTTGATGATGCGGAGGCGGAGTGGCTATACAGCAGATCTCAGCCTTTTGACTTCATTCATGCCCGCGATATGGGCGGTGCTATCGCTGATTGGCCTCGGTTGCTGGCTCAAAGCTTTCAACATCTTCGTCCCGGTGGATGGATTGAATTGTGTGAATTTGAGGTTATGCTTCAATCGGATGACGACTCAATTGCTCTCGCACCGACCTTGTGTGAGTTTCTCGGCCATTTGGATCAAGCCAGTGCCCGGTTCAATCGGCCTATGAATATCGCACAGCATCATCGACGGCATTTGATTGAGGCTGGTTTTGAAGAAGTTCGCGACAAATTATTTAAGGTGGGACCCTGTCTTCAACGTTGCTTGGTTTCGAACTGACATGTGTGCCAAGGTGCCCTCGAGTACTTGGCCTACAGATCCATTGGAGAAAGAGATTGGTAAATACAACCTATGCTCTCTGTTACTTGCAGTTGAATCATACTCGTTGGCCCTCTTCACTCGAGTCTTGGGATGGTCCAACGAAAGAACTCAAGTGTTCTTAGCTGGGGTGCGTCATGACCTCAAAAATCCCAATGTTCATACTTATTGCAACCTGCACGTCGTCTACGGTCGCAAGCCGTCACACCAGTAGGCCAGTCAGATCTTCAACTGAACTGTGATCTTCCCGAGTCCACTCGGAGTATTTCTCTACGGTGTATACATTCGAGTCTGAGCTAATTGTAATTAGTTCCTGACGGAATACCCAACATGTTTGTACAACCCTTCATTCTGTCATTGTCTCCCCTCGCTTGCAGTCGCTATGCCCTATTCAGCGTTTTGTTTGCTTTCTTGCTCTTTCAAGTCCCACTTGATTATCTACTTGTGGTCTTCAGCCAGTCAAAGGCAACCAAATACCGCCCAAATACATCGTACTAATTATCTCCAAAAAACAGTGCATACCTATCCAAGACATGATCGCTATTAGCTTCATGTCCTGGGTCTCAACCCACTGGTACACAGCTGTTGCATGCCTGGTAAGTTGCATCCGTGCACCCTCGTCTGCATGAAGTCGCTTCATAGCTTCGTCGAAGCGCTAATCAGCATCAGCCCCTGATCTGGCTGACTTACAGCATTGCCTGCGTCTTCTGTTCACCCCTGCGCCATTTCCCGGGTCCGTTTCTGTGGTCTGTCTCGCGTATCCCGTCCAGCATATCCGTTCTCCGCGGCACAAACCACCTTGATATCTTGGCTCTGCATGAGAAGTACGGCCCAGTCGTGCGTATCGGTCCTAATGAACTAGCCTTCAATACTGCTCAAGCTTTCCGCGATATCTACGGTACCCAGTCAAATGGCACTTGTTTTCCAAAAGATCGGAGCCATTATGAGCCCCCTGCAAACGGCGTCGATCATTTGGTCTGTGCGGTGGACAATGCCAGCCATGCGAGACAAAGACGACTTATTGCACATGCTTTCTCGGAAAAGGCTCTTAGAGACCAGGAGAGTCTGGTTGCAGGCTATGTCGACACTTTGATCACCAAGTTACGAACTGGTATCCGAAATGGTACATCTGTGGTCGATATCAAGGCATGGATGAACTTCACGACCTTTGACATCACTGGGGACCTGATGTTCGGTGAGTCTTTCGACTGCCTGAAAGATAGCCGGCTGCATCCTTGGATTGGGATGATTTTCAATTCAATGAAAGCTATCGCTTTCATCGGTGTGGTTAACCAGTTTCCGGGCGTGAAGGGACTTTTGAACAAATTGCTTCCACGGGAAGTCAAGCGTGTCGGTCAAGAGCATTTCGAGCTTAGTGCACAAAAGGTCGACCGCCGCCTCAATTCCAACATCTCTCGCCCTGACTTTATGTCTGCAATGCTGCAGAATGGTCTGAGTGAGGAGAAGGGCCAGTACACTGATAGCGAGCGTATCATGACCAGGGCGGAAATCCATTCCAATGGTTTCATGTTGGTCTCTTCTCTCTATATCTTTGCACTTATCTTGGGCTATATGTTGGCTGATGCTGAACATTGTGCTAACATTCATCAGCCTCATCGTTGCTGGTAGTGAGACTACCGCCACTCTGCTATCTGGCTGCATCTATTATCTGTGCACAACACCACACTCGATGGCTAGACTTACCACTGAGATCCGATCAGCCTTTATGCAAGATGGTGATATGACATTCCGCTCTCTGGGGAACTTGAAATATCTCACTGCCGTGATCGACGAAGCTCTACGCATGTATCCACCATTCGTGACAAGTCTGGCACGTCGTGTGCCTAGAGGCGGAGCATTGGTAAACGGCCAGTTCGTGCCTGAAAATGTTTGTTCAAGGCTTTCAAGTGGTATACTGAGAAGCAGGAGCTGATAGATATAGACAACTGTTGCGTGTCATCACTTTGCTTCATATCGCTCAGAGTCCAATTTCCGTTGCCCTGGCCAATTCATTCCTGAACGCTGGCTGGGTGATCCGACATTCGATCAAGATCACAAAGACGTCTTGCAGCCTTTTAGTCTGGGACCGCGTGCTTGTCTTGGAAAGCAGTATGTTCACATTCTCCCTCCCCTCCCCCTGTTTTTGGTCGTTCTTGCTTTCTCACTGCATTTAGCCTCGCAGACCGTGAGATGCGGCTTATTCTCTGTAAATTGCTATTCAACTTTGATCTTCATCTTCAGCCCGAGTGCGTGGGCTGGCCAGATCAGAAGGTCTACTATCTCTGGAGTAAGCCTCCGCTTTTGATTTCTCTCGTGGATCGGTTTCCAGATTTGGATCTTTCGAGGGTTCATGACCTGTTAGGGTTGTATTCACGCTAAGTTTGTGTATTTATGACTCGGCAAGACATCAGGGTTGGCAGTCGTTGAACAACCCAAGTATCATGAGATTGACGATGTCTCTCATACGAGTCCAAAAACCGTCTTTCGGGTCTGTTTGTTTCGGTGGTTGTTTGGAGTTCGCGGGGATTGGATTTTTGGCTTTATTACGGTGGCCTAGCTGGGCTGTTCTATTTGCTACCATGCTTAGAGACAGGGCCGGATATTTATGAATGATCAAATGAAATACACCTGTCATGATACCTCAGTGTAAACTTGCTTGTTGAGGTATGTATCACAATTGTAAGTCGATAGATCCTATACTGGCAGTCTGTAGAGCTGGAACAAGTCTCATTTCATAGTTATTGAAAGAGCCTGAAAGACCGGCCGGTGCTTTCGTATACATCCATCTATCTTAGTATTTTCCAAACAGTATTTCGAATTGGTCGTCGACGTATCATTCATAATTAACCTTTGCGATCTATCATATGCCAGGCACAGTCCCGGCATTATCTGACATGAGCCCACAGAACCGCCCTTGCGGCATTGCATGCCATTCCATCGTTGCAGTGGTTCAATCAGAACGAGAATAATATTCCCCAAAAGATCTACTGATCGACGCACCCTTGCAGGATTATTCCCGAGGTCTGTCGTCGTTTTAATAATCATCGATTAACTCAGCGAGGGCCGTGCTGGCTTGGTGGATACACCCAAAGACAGGTGGGCTGAGACATATCTGTGCGTGATATTCAGGGGTGGAGACAGCGATAGGGCTGGACGAAAAGTACGTGGTGAAAATCCGGGGAAGATATACATGGAATTGTGTATATAAAAAGGGCAAAAAAAGGTATATTCAATAGCTGAAGATACAAAGTATAAGAGACGCTAGATCGTAGTCTGTCGTGTAGAAAGGTATCAAACATTAATGAAGATTAGATGAACACAAATATGTGATATATGGGTCCGTAGAAAGCGTCCTATTCCGTTGACAAAATTGCAAGCCTGCATATTATGAGATGTGGAAACATCTATGCGAAAGCGCAAGCCAGAGCCATGAAGGCACCGCCGACGGTCCAGAAGCTGGTAGCGACCTGGCCAGCGGCGTTGAAAGCAGTGGAGGAAGCGGCGGGAGCGCTGGATCCAGAGATCACGGCTCCAGTGGTGGGCGCGGCCACCAGAGGGGTGGAGGTGATCAAGTGGGAAGCGGAAGAAGAGGCGGCAACCGAGGAAGACACCTTGGGGGAGGAGATAGCGCTGGAGCTAGGAGTAGCGCTGGAGGTGGAGGTCTCGAAGACAGTGCTGCTGGGGGTAGCAGTTGAAGTCGGGGTAGCAGTCGACGTAGGAGTCGGGGTGCTGGTGGAGCAGGGGCCGGTAACGGTCACGGGCATCCAGTTCAGGCTGTCAGAGTTGAGAGTTCCTGAGGGAGTCACGGTGCCAGCAGAGGCCTGGCAGGAGGCGTAAGTGGTGCCAGCAATGTTGCAGGACAGGGTTCCAGTGCTAGTCTATGTTAGAAGAGGTTCGTGGGGTTGGGGCATGCGAAAGACTCACGTTCCCTGCAGGTTGATGTTCTTCAGCTGCATGGAAGTCGGGGCAGCGATGGCGGTCATACCCTCACCAGCGATTCCACAAGCATCGGAAGCGACAGTCTGGGGGCAGGTGATCTTGTAGGTAGTCGCGTCACCGTTCTGACCTATGTTAGTAAATTTGCTACACGATAAGACACGCGCACACAATGCGCGCGTTGGATCCGGCACTTACAGACTCGACAATACCAGCCTGCAAGTCCTTGCCGGCAAAGCCGGGCAGCAGAAGGTTGGCAGTGTTGCCAGCAGCCACGGCAGTAGCGCCGGTCAAGATAGCGACGGATTGGAAACGCATATTGAAAATTTGGTGGAAAACCGGTGGTTGATATAGCGTGATAGCGGGATAGTCAAATTGGAATTGCACAAGAATTGAGAGTACACAGTACTGGGAGTAGAGATACTCGATAAAAGAAGGACTGGAGTTAACGAAAGACTGTCAAAGGACGAAAAGAGTGTGTATGGACCGCTTGAGCCTGAAGAAAAGAAAGAAAGAGGAAGTGTCAGAGCGAGACACCTGGGGTTTAAGCGCGCAGAACCGGGGCGTTGCCATCACACTTGGCATTAGCGTACATTTCGTACAGCGCGTGCCAAGTTCTGGTCCAAGCGGACAGGCACGTTAGCCAGGAACACCAGACACACCAGGAACACCAGGGGGTTGGTTAGAAAGGGTTCGTTTCGAAAAGGAGTAGATTGGCTTATGGGGAAGTCGAGGGACACTAAGCCCTTTTGGGTCTTATAGCCCCCGTTAGTGGAAGTCTAAGATAGGGCTAGGCTGATCCGGGCCTAGGGGCCGAACGGACCCCTGGGTCACTCGCCGGAAGTGGAAGGTTGTTTGATGCTCTTCATTAGGCCGAAGACTAGCGAGATGAGATCAACAAAGCAATTTGGAAATTTCAGTCGAGTTCGTGTCTAGATCTAGTTGAAGACCACATGCGGAGTACAATTCTTTCATCTAGTTCTGCTAGTACGGAGTAGAAGACAACTCTTGCCTGTTGAAGCAGTAATCGCATGGCCTCTCCACGGAGTAATCTCCCCTAGGTCCCGCGGTTATGGCTGGCGTCCACTCGCAACCCGAATACGCCCAGCCGAGTTCACAAAAATGCGCCGCTATCATTTTAATTAATGTCGCGAACCATTTTCTTTCAGATTGATTAATTTACTGTTTACCCACTGGTTCCCGCCATGTAATATATTGCGCCGGGTCTTTTGCGACGCCAATGATTCAGCGGGCGTTTCCAGCAAGGCTGAAAATAATTGGATCCACAGCGATGACACAATTTTGTCCCTCAACAGGATCATTCTGAAACTTCACCGACTTCGCCCAGATCCGAGATGGTTCATGCCCCCGCAAATGAGTCCCGTGACGAGCAAGATTCCATTGAAGCCAGCCATGATGAAGAACGGTGTGCTCGTCGAGAGCTCGTCAAAGAGCAATCCACCCACTTTCGTCAGCAGTAAGATTCCTGCCCCGCCGTACAACGAGTAAACCCCGGCAATGGAGCCTTTCAGGTGGGACAGATGCTCTAATCTCCGGTTGACAGACCCGCCAAGAAGAGACTGGCCCTCGTCGGGCTCGTTCTCATCCCCGTTGGCGCATCGTTCCTCGTATAGTTTCCTTAGGGTCTCGTCATCGATGCTGACTCGAAGGATTCCGTTGCTCAACACTGCTAAGCTACACACAATGGCTCCGATTTGGCTAATCCCGAGCAGAGCCATCACCACGAATACCCAAGGGCTGCCGTCGGGTTTCTGGAAATGAGGGGCTGGAAGCATTGCAAAAACAACGTAGCCAATGATTCCCACCAGCGCAGCGGACAGCAGAGGGAAGTTGTATCGGCGCGACTTGTCAGTCAGGTATCCAAATACTGGTGCTGCAATCAAAGCAATCAGCTGTGATGATCCGGTCAAGATGGATGCAACGATATATGCCCGAGGGCACGCTTTTTTGATGTCGCCTAGCCCGGATCCGGATACCGGTTCACGGTCTTCATGGCACAGGCCCGATGCTCGATAGTAATGGTTGACAGCGAGGGGAATGAACAATGAGATCCCAACGGATGAAGCGCGTGCCACAAAGCCTCCAACATAACCCAGTCCAATGCTGCGGTTCCGGAAACCGAGTGTCAAGGCAGTCGTTAATTGCTTCCAATAAGACAATTTCGGGCGCTCGACGAACGAATCGTCGTCCTCATCCTCTTCATCCGTGTCAGAAGTCCACAACACACTCCAGCTTTTACCCTTTTCACCGGGGAGATCACGAAGCCCAATGAAACACACCAAACTGATGGCAAGGGCTACGGCAGCAACCACATAATAGCTGCGTTGGATCGCCTGAGCGGGCGAAAGTCCTATCCCCTCAAAGCGCGCTGCCAGTGGCAGGAAGATGGTCAATGCCACGAGCGCGCCGCAGCCGGCACATGTGCCGACAAAGCCTGAAAGTCGGGCAGACGGGGATGCGCCCGCCGTCGGGGTAGCTTGGCCGTTCCTGACTCGCTCTGGCGTGATGGTCAGTTCCGAGGAAACAGATACGCGGTATGCTTGGGCCTTCGCATTGCCTGTTACGGTTGGTAGAACTGCAGTGACCATGGTCGATACGGCGGAACCACCGATGCTGAACAGCAATCTGCCTAGTAGAAGCTGAGGGTAGATATTCGTGGCCTGCACGAACACGACTAGCGCAAGCGCTAGAATGGCATAGCCTGCTGTACAGACCTAAAGACAACATTAATAAGTGATCGGATACCATCAGGCCGGTAATTGTGCGTGTTCGGATATGATAGCCGCGCGGGCCAGTAAGGAGCTTACATGTCGAACGCCGATACGATCTGAGAGAACACCCCAGAGAGGGCAGGCGACCAGCGCCAGAAGCTCGTCTGCAAAGCCCAATGTTCCCACGGCATCTCCTTCACCATCTTGGAGTCCAATTAGATTCGTAACGACGAAGGAGATGGATGAATTGATGAAAACTAGGAACGCGATGGAGAAGGGGCACACCGCCAATAGGTAGGTGAGTGTTTGGCTGCGCGACGCAGTGAACAAGGCTGGCGATGCCATCATCGAATACTCATTGCCTGCGATGGAATTTCGCAATGGACAATATGCGGAGAAGTGAGGTCCAGGTGGTTACGTAGTTACGGAGCTGGGCAGTTCTGCAGATCAAGGCGGGCAATGTCATCACATGACGATCAGATAAACATGGGGACTCCACTACTTACGGAGCTCACTGTTACCAAAACCCTACACTTTGGTATTTTTTGCTATTCCAATGTTCCTCATGAAAGTTCTATCTCTAAGTAGATCGTTTAGGTCATGAGTTTAAATTCTTCTCATGATTCTTGCCAGGCGACAACCCATCTTATCCCCCCAGATCAGCCCCGGTGTCCCGGGGGCTTTAGTGTGACCTAGTGATTTCTTGGCACTTCACATGGATACACTGAAGCACTCCGTACTGCCTTCAAGGTTACAAACTAATGGTCTCGTGGTCAGATATCATTGAGGGGGAAGCTAATTGCTAAGCATAAATGTGAGCCATGGAAAAAGTCCCGGTTGGTGTCATAATGCTTCCTGTAATGATAGGGCATCTTGTGTGTATATACACAGGGTTACCCCACAATATCCATAGATTGACCTAATGATCAACAACCTTGAAATCTTGGAACAGACTGAGGAAATCGTTGATATCAATGCTTTTCTATTGCTCAGATACGCAAGAACCACATGGGCAGTCTATGCTAGATCAAATAATGACACCTCGGAGGATTCCGAGCTCACCTTGATGACCAGCATTGAAATGTCCTGAGTATATGGGGAGCCAACAAGATAAACCGAGCTTACACCCGATTAACACATTGTCGAGTCGAGGGCATTCCATCGACCAGAAGCCCTGATTTTAATGGAATCTCCAACATGGGAGTCAACCGATAGCTTGACATGAATGATGCAATGCTGTGTTTGTTTGTTTTTGCTTATGGAAATCCAACCTGATTAAATTTTGAAGAATTACATGGTGTTTCTAGTTACCAAATATAAGTATCTGTAACTGCCCAGGCAGAGAAGAACATGCTCTATAAGGTGTTCATCAAACCTGGCTACCATATTTATGAAAATTATGCATCGATATGCTACTGAATTGGAGTGAATACATAATTTTCAGGTCCTTATATTTAGAGGTATCGAGCTACCCGATTTGTGTCATTGGTGATTATCCCACTACAACATCCCAAATTACTTATATTTTCTCCTTCAATCCCAAATAATCAACATTGTGGTCAAGATGAGGCAAAAACAAGACGATTGGAATATAGTAGATGACGGCACGTGCCGGCTGACGTAAGATGCGGAGAGGCGTCAACGGGCTATTATGGAAAGCTGTCCAGATCAAGCTACCTCATCCTCACCAGCGTGCACTTCTTTTCTTCGCCAGATGTTACATTGAGACAAGGGATTCCCCCACGCTCCTTTTGGTCCATGACCCTCGGCTCGTCCGATCCAGTCAATAGCCATGAGACTGGCCGCTTATGCTGGGGTAAGTAGTACAACCGGTTGGGGAGGGGGAAGATAATCGCTAACATCACTGACAGGCCTCGGTGGTCCTGGCCACTGGTGTTCTACTTAAAGCTCTTCACCAGAGGTCCAATTTCTACTCAGCATGCGTCTACCTCTCTCAAAGTAGTGCGAACCTTATGGTGAGTTGTCCTCATCTGCCTCAATCGGGTCATCTTCTCACATTGCCCAATTTACAGATCCTCACGAACCTATGCCTTCTTATTACCGGATTCCTCCTCTTTTGGCTTCAGCGCCTTCTCTACGGACCCTTGCGACCAATCGAGACCGAGCAACTATACGAGCGCGCTTGGTTTGCCGTCACGGAGACATGTTTGGCCATGACTATCTTCCGGGGTGAACTCGGAGCATGGTTTTTGGTTATGTTTATCTCCCTGCTGGTTGGCAAGGTATGGGGCTGGATTGGGGAAGGACGGGTCGAGTTCTTGGAGCAACAACCCCCAGCAAACCCCAAGCTGTTCCATATTCGCCTGGCGTCCTCGCTTGCTCTGACCGTTCTATTCGACTGTTTCATGTTGCGATACTGTGTGCATACTGTGATAACCCAGGCACGCCCGGATATGATGGTTATGTTTGGGTTTGAGTTCGCTATCCTCACGATCTTGTCGTCCTCCACACTGCTAAGATACGCAATCGCTCTGACCGAAATTTCTATCACGCGCCAGCAGGTCAAGGCGAGAGTGGAGGAACGCAGAGCTGAGATTCGTGTTGCACGGGTCGAGGCCATCCAAGAGTCCGCCCGCGCGGGCGCGAGTTCCCCCACCCGCAGATCTACCCGATGAAAATGATGTGAATGAATTGGAGATTGATGTACCTGGGTGGGAGGAAAAAGGTCGCTGGGTCTTTTATCTGGATCTGTTGACCGACTTATTAAAGCTCGTCATTTACCTCACCTTCTTTGGCATATTGCTCACCTTCTACGGTCTGCCTATTCACATTCTGCGGGACGTTGTGGTCACTATCCGCTCTTTTGCTCGTCGCATCGTCGATTTCATGCGTTACCGCAATGCGACCAGAGACATGAACCAGCGATACCCGGATGCAACTGTCGAGGAAGTTTCTCGGGAGGATGTTTGCATCATCTGCCGCGAAGAAATGACCCCAGTTCAGCCGGCACAGCCTGCACAACCTGCAGAGGGAGCTGCAGAACATCCAGCGGCTCCCCCTGCCGCTGGATCCCGACATGTTCCTGAACGTCTGCGTCCAAAGAAGCTTCCCTGCGGCCACATCCTGCATTTTGCATGCCTTCGAAGCTGGCTGGAAAGGCAACAGAATTGTCCAACATGCCGGCGTCCCGTCATTGCGCCAAATAGAACCGCAGGAGCTGCCGGCGTGGGAGGAAACAATGCACCCGGCCAGCCAAACGGTAACCAGGCCGGTCAGCCAGGCGCGAATGGAGCCCCTCGAGCTCGTGTTCTTCAGCTCGGGCCACTTCGGGTTGCCTTTGGGGCTATGCGTGGGGATCTCTTTAATAACATGCATCATAGACAGATTCCCCAGGGCAACGCTCAGCAGCCTGCGGCGAACCCTCCTGCGGATGCACCTGCCGGGCAAATTGGATTTGGGTTCGGGTTCGGGCAGCGCCCGCAAGCCCCAGCCCCTACGCCCCCACATGCCACAGGCACGGGGGGGCTCCACAGCTTCCGACCTGAGTGCCCAGTTGCTCCAGATTGAACAAAGGCTCACCCATGAGATTCAAACCCTTCGAGCTGCCACGGAACAACTAACCCGTGTGCGCAATCTGCAGCTGGAACTGGATCGATTGCGCCAACAGGGAGCCCCTGGTCCCAACCCAGTCCAGTCTTCCAATACCCCTATCTCAGCCCCAACCCCAGGCCCGAACCCCTCGGTGTTTTCGGCTCGTCAATTTGTAGGAGCCTCAAGCAATTCTGTCATGAATTCGGGCGACGCGCGTCTACCCGAAGGATTGACCATTCCTCCTGGATGGACTCTTCTTCCTCTCCAGCGTATGGACAACAGTACTGGTTTAGCACAACCCGTGCCGCCAGTGCCTGCCACCTCCGTTACTACTGAGACCACACCTGCGTCGGCTTCGAACAGTGCCGTTCCCCTGTCGGATACCACATCCGCGCCCCATCAGGCAAACGGAGACGGTGCCGTTGCACAAGTTACCCCTGAACCATCCACAAGCAGTGCAAAAATCGACCCAAACCTACAGCCCACCCCCCACTGTTCCTACTCCTGCTCCTGATACTCGCGCGGACGAGGCCCGTGCAGATTCTCCCTCCCAAGAATGGACAGACTTAGCCCCCAAACAACCATTGGCCACTGGGTCCACTATCCCCACGACCTGGGGCAGTGGAGAGTCTTCACAGGCGCCGGCTTCCCCGGATGAGCGCTCGGAGTCTCCATCCAAAGGCAAAGGCCGGGCTGTGACTGTTGAAGAAACAGCCGACGAAGAGGCGGTATAGCGGATGAGATCTCGACTTTTGGCTTCTCTTTGTACTTTTCGGGCCTGCTCAGCCCTTTCCCCCCAAGCGTTGCATGGCGTTCGCGAGCAAAAGATCATACCCAGATTTCTTACGATTTTTTATACGGTTTGAAGTTCATGTTTCAGGCTACTTGGCCCACGTGGAAATGTGTACATGTATTGTGTAAATGGCAACCTCATGCTTTTTCTCTGAGCTGTGCTCCAAGGTTAGGAATGTAGTTCAGGTAATTTTCCTGGTTTGAAACATCTTTGACGTTCAAATGGCAATAATGGTCATCTTTGAGCACTGTACGGACTATCATGACTACTGAGCTTTGTTTCAAAGTATTATTGAAATCAATGAGAATTCGAGTGTCCTCGAGGCCTCTATAACGTCAAGTCAGGGTCTCCAAGTGGCGTCGGCCCCCGGCCCGCTGAATCAGGGGGATCGTCGGGGATTACGAGTATACAAATGCACATCTCTACATTTCCTCCCATTTTGTGACACTTGCACAGTTTATGATTGATATAAAGATATAGGATATAAATCCACTCCGTACTCTGTGTTCCAACACTTAAATAGAGCAGTATACAAAAAAAAAAAAAAGAGGTTAGCGGCTATGCAACGTCGATCAGGGCTTTCGTCATAGTAGTGCGCAGCCACACTCTCCCGTGTTTCATCGCCTTTTCGATATGTCCTCTGGCTACATTTTTCTAACCCCTTGACGTCCAATTCTGGCGATGGTGACATTTTGAGGTAAGGATCCTGGGAATTCCCCCGTCAGCGACAGAGTTGATATACTGCATAATCTCGGAACTTTCCACTGACCTGGTGTAACAGACATACATCCATTGCCCTACCGTCCATGCTTCTCCCACGGCGAGCGGTCCTCTTCCTCGGTGTCTTTTTCTTCCTCATCCTCCTCTTCACCGCCAAAACCCTCTCCCGGCCATGGAATGAGGTCCCCCAAGTCATTGGCTTGGGTGACCTAGTCTCCAGCCCCAACGACACAGCTTGGAACATCACACGCGGTCACACCAATAATGACCTCTATGCGCCCCCGCCGAATTTCATCCCGGGCACCCCCAAGCCCCTGGGTTACCAATACTCCAAAGTCCTGGTGGTAACGCGCACCAAGGAAGAAGACACAAGCTGGATCACCGAACAGCTCCCGGACTGGGACACCGCCGTCTATGTCGCAGACGACCCATCCGCACCCCTCCACCCACCAAAGAATAAAGGTCACGAGGTCATGATCTACCTGACCTACCTCGTCGACCACTACGACCACCTCCCGGACGTCGCGGTCTTCATGCACTCCCACCAATTCGCCTGGCACAACGACGCTCTCTTCGAGGGTGATGCAGCTCAACTCCTGCGCAAGCTGAATCTCAACCGCGTCATCCGCGAAGGTTACATGAATACCCGCTGCGGATACGGCCCGGGCTGTCCCGCTTGGATGCACCCGGGCGCCGTCGAAGCAGACGAGTCCAAGCAGGAGGAGATCATGCTTGCGCGGGCGTGGGGTGAGCTCTTCCCCGATCAGTCCATCCCATCTGTTCTGGCGCAGCCGTGCTGTGCGCAATTTGCGCTGTCGCGGGATCGCATCCGCTCCATCCCGAGGGCCCGCTATGTCTTTTATCGGGATTGGTTGCTTTCAACTGATCTCAGTGATTACATTACCGGGCGTATCTGGGAGTACCTGTGGCAGTATATCTTCACTGGTGAAGCTGTTCTCTGCGTTGAGGAGAGCGTCTGTCTGTGTGACGGGTATGGGTTCTGCTTTGGCGGCGACGATGAGTACAGAGCGTATCAGCAGATGGAGGCGGATAGGAATGATCTTCAGGATGCGTTTGCTGAATTGATCTGGCTGGCTGCTGAGGGTGGGCTCGATGAGTCTGATGGGGGTGTTAATGCGGATGGTTCCCCTGTGAAGCCTACTGATGCCCACACGCAGCTGCAGTTGAAACAGCAGGAATTGGCCTCGGCTCTGTTCAATGCTACGGAACGAGGGAAGAATCCTCGGTACAGGGCTGAAGAAGCTGGCCGGCCTTGGAAAGCGGGCGATGGGTTCTAAACTTGACTGGATCGAGTGAACCTATTTGCACCTCGAATCTCTTGACATGATCTATGACACCTATCTGCCATTTACCTGGAAATCTCTTACTGGGTCTATCTTTTTATCTTTGTTTTGATATTTATTTTGGGCCATTTTCTGTGATTCTGTGAGCTACTGTACTTGTATATATATACTTCCTTTTCTTACGGCCGTTTAGACATCATGTTATAGTTTTTGGAGACGAATAGACAAATTGAGTAATAGTCATAAACCCCCTAAAGTTATGATTCTTGATATTAAGAGTCACAGCAAACAATTGCCTGGGATAAATTCCGAGTGACACTTCCAAATGCTGAGGTGTAGTTCCCTGGGCACGTGACCCGGTCAACTCCCGAGTTTGCACTGTCTGCCTCTCCTTCAAACCACGCAAACATCAGTCGCGCCTCTTATCAGCCATACACTTCACAAGCTCGAGAACTCGCTTTCTTGCCTCAATTGTGCTTCATATTTTTAAAGATTGTGCTTCTCGCCCTCTTGGGTGTGACGCGCTGCGGATTTGCCCCCACCCCACGAGCGTTTACGCCTCTTGGTCCTTCATCGCGATCCACCAACAACAGAAGCTTTGATAAGAGCTTAAGGTTGCCCAAAAAAAAAAAAAAAAACATTGCGTCGCAGTCGCTGGAAAGCCCGGCTCGCAGTTTGACACTGTCCTCGGCAGAGTGGTCTTGTCGTGCCTGATCATCCAATCTCCAGTTTTGCAGTCCTTCCAACCCATCCATACCCTCTTGCCCTTATCACCTTATCGCGCATCACCATCCACCATGGCATCCAACAGCCAACATCCGCCTAGCTCCTCTTCCTCTGCCATTCCCAACTCTTCCGCTACTGCTGCTCACTCGGAATCGAATGCGCAGCTCGGAAACAATGGGTACGCACCTAACGACAACCAGCTTGCCGGATTGGTAGAAGCAGCCACTGCCGCTGCAGACCAAGACGTGTCGCAATGGGCTACCGCAGAAGCACTTGCATCAGCTGCCGGTGCGGCCGGCCATCACCACCAGCTTGAGGCCTATGGAGCTGACATGCACCTCGGCGACGACGGTTTCGGTGATGCAAAGTTTGACGCGAACTTTGCGACTCCCATGGGTAGCGCAAGGCATTTGAGAGCACCAAGCCAAACTGATCACCAATCACCCGGCCTCACACGTACCGCAACAAAGAAGCGTAAGCGCAATGACGACAATCTCGACCCAGCCCTGGCGGGTGCTGGCCTTACTGCTGCCCAGCACCAGGCGCAGTCCCAGCAAACCCCACATGGATACACCGGCGAGAGTATGGAAATTCGCACAGAGCAACCTCAAACACTGTCTGATGCTCGAGCTGTCGGAGTTCATTCTGCCGCTGCGCTGTTCCGTCAACCTTCCAGCAACAAGAAGTACACTCGCCCCCCAATTTCGAAAATGTTTAGCTCGCTCGAGATATCACCAGAGAACTTCTTGCATCTCCAGGCTGCTGCTAAGAACTACATGTTGGATGACGATCACCCAGAAAGACGTGATTGCGTTGGACAGCGCGGTAAGGGAGATACAGAGATGGTCAAGCTCCGGCTCTGGAACTGTGTTCGTCAATTCCTTGAAGCCGAGGGCAACGGCGAACGATTCTTTGGGGAAAATGTCCCCAACGAGGGAATGAATCCCAGAAGCTACTCCTGGCCGCGCGACCAGCAGAAGATCATTTCACTGGTCATACCCCTACTTCGTCGGATGGTCACAAACGAAAGACAACGCCGATATGCCATTGAGACTCGGAAAGGCGGTGGTCCCGATGACCGACGACGTCGCAAGACTGAAGAGTTCTCGAATATGAACGACTCCCGCTTCTCGCCTGATCAATCTATGATACAAAACCAGACGCATCGTGATGACTTGTCGCAATCAATGCCTCAGCACGCTTTGCAGCAACCAATTGATTCGTCCCAGCCCATGGACCTCGGTCTTACGGATCTCCTCTTAGATGGATACACTACTGACTGGGAAGAGATTGCCCGTTCTTACGACGCATACAACCAAGGCTTTGAGCTTGATAATCTGTGGTCCATTTCTGGTCTTCAGCAGCCCGATTGGCGCGGCTTCGTTGCTGCAGTCGATAGCCATTACCACGTCATCCACAATGGTGATCACGAGTGCCCACCTGCTTGCGAGGACGAGAACATCAACCGCATCATTCACTCCGAGGTTACCTCATCGCTTCACTGGCGAGTTGGTGGAGGTCGTCATATCGCAGCCCGTGATGAATTGTATGTTGCAGCCTCTTCTCTCATGTTTACTATTTCACTAACATCACAACAGTGCTAGCAGCATCGCCCGCGATGTCTCTCGCATTATTCGCGAGAACATCGCCGTTCGCCACGGCCACCCTCAACCAGATAATCACTTCCATCATGTTCCCTTCACCCCCTTGCCCGAGAACACCAACCCTCAACACCAAACATCCCTTCGTGTCAACATTGTCCAGGGCGGAAAACGTATCCTCCCTAGGTTCGACCTGCCAGCCGGGCAATACCCCAACATTGAAAGTCTCAAGCAAGCGGTCCTTCGTCGGTACCCAGGTCAAATCCCGGGATTGTTCACCCAGGAAGGAAATCCTGCTGCTCAGGAAGCGCGCGAGACTGCTGCACTCGCGTCCTGGAAGCTCAAGGTGTGGTTGCCGGATGGTCTGGTTCCGGTGGTTAATCAGAAGGATTGGACTATTGCGGTACTTTCTGCTGATACTGTTGACTGGATGGATGGGGACCTGAAGGTTCTCATTGAGGTTGAGTAGAGACTCGGTGTGCGTGTGTATGTGTATGTGCTATTGCTCTTTTCGATATCCCTCTCGTTTTTCAATTCAAACCATGTATTAATTACTAAAAGACGATTCCTTGTGACTCTTCATAAGACATATGGTGCATATAACATGTAAACAACTTACAAGGTTGGATTCCTCACCTGGGCACCTAGGCAGATTCCCGGTCACTGCCTATGTGCATCCATGGTTGTAAGTCAAACTTGGAAGTAGAAATCATCAAAGTTATATATGTATTGTAATAAGAAGTAGATACAAAGAAAGCCCATGCCTCATAATACAGCTTAAACCAAAAGTTCATGAGCAGGGTCTGGACTGATGCACATCGATTCTCAAAAACACCAAACATCATAACCGCTCTATACGCCGTGACCCAAAGAAAAACGCCCTCATTTATTATGCAACAACAGCGTACGCAAAGAATCCCAATGATCCGAGTCACCATAACTAAATCAAAGTCAGCGATGTTTTCCCAAACCAACATACAGAACACATACATGTACACCATACTACTCCGCAAACTCGACGCCAAAGTCTCCGGGTGCCACCGCCAGATATACATGACCATCGCCCAGGTCATGCTCGCAAAGACCGGGTATGCATTATCGGTCATCTTGGTGCGAGTCTCGGGTGTGATAAGAGAGGAGAGCGGGTGCATATTCGGTTGAATGGCGATCTTGGCAAGCGCAAGCATCACGCGCGCAAAAACATAAATGACGATCTGAAGGAAGTAAAATTAGCCCTCGTCCCAACAACACTTTTTTCAAACGGAGACCACGTACCTGCTGGCTAATACTGCCCGGCTGTCGTCCAAACACCGCATACCCGCCCAGCAGGCCTGCAAAGAAAGTATCATATCGACCCTCCTTCCCGGTTCCACCAGGGATATTCCGAAGAAGGATCATGGACGCTTTATAAATGATTGCGAAAGTCGAGAGGTTGCGCGCATGTTGGCGGGTAGCTTTGAAAACGAGCTTTGTCTTTTCGCGTATACTGTCATGCGATCAGCTTCGGTTTGTGGTTGTGATGCGGTTGCGCATTCGGACTGGGGAACGACTTACGTTCCGGATCTGAAGAGGAATATCATTCTATAGTTTGAAGAGGTGTTGGTCAGCTTTTAGATCTTTGCTCATGTCGGTTCGGTAATAACATACACCAGCGCATGCGGAAAACGGACTTTCGATCCGTAGACGATTCCATTGCGGGCGCCTTTCACTAGTGACAGTAAGGGCGCGAGTTCGGGCTTGAGGACTAGGGCGTCGAGTTGGGACTGCGGTTGTTAGGGTTGTGTTTGGCCGCGGGCTTGAGGGACTTACCAGTAGGGTATCCATACTGGACCTCGGTATGAGGTTGGAGTTGGATCGGGGTGGTTATCGCAACGATATGCCTGTAGGGTGAAATAGAGAGTTCAGAAGGGTCATGAGTAGCAGGATAGAAGCCAGAACGGTCGGAGTAAGAGGAGAGAGGGGACGGCACTTTTATCGGTTTCCGCAACGAGAAGGGCCTCGGCATGTGAGAAGCCGACGTCACGGTCACGTGGATCTATAGAGGTCCATGCGAGTTTGCAGCTGTTTGCTTGCATTTGATAATCCTATCTATAATGTTATGATGTTGAGATATTACTACTACTAGTACGGAGTACGGAGTAAAAGGGTTGTAGTAGATTGCTCCATTAAAGAGGTCAAATAACTTTTCATGTACCGGTAAGACAACTCATACAGGCGCAGAAAACGAAATCCCGTCCGGCCCAAACGCCTAATAGAAAATCATGCAAATATCTTAGTTCTTCCGTGCCTTCTTGTTGCTTGACTTTGGCTCCTCAACCTCCTCAAGCTCCTCAACCTCATCAGAATCAGAGATCACATCATCCTCCATCATATCCTCCATCGTGGGCTCCTCGTCATCAGACTCCATACCCGCCCGACGCTTGAGACCCTTCATCTTACGTGTCTGCAAGTCGGACAGATCCTGCTTGCCGAGGTGAACACGACCAATCTTGTCACCCATAGAGTCGGTAATGATGTTCTTCTTGGTGCGGCCCTCCTCGTTCGGACGCTTGCCCTGCTTCATAGCCTCCTTCTGCACCTCAGGAGCAGCCTGGCGTGTGCGGCCGACCTTGAAGTCGAACTTGGGTCCGACCTCCTGCAGCTCGACGCGGGGAAGCTTGTGTCCACTGCGCTTGGTGATGACTCGGTACCAGCGCATGTGAATAACGGGCGAGAGGCCATCTTGGGGCTCCTCGGCGCCGACCATCAGAACGTACTGCAGACCCTCGACGTCGATCTGGGTGGTTTCCTCGCCCTTGAACATATCGAGAAGAGTGCTCTTAAGGATGATGTGGGAAGTCGATGTGGGGTCGTCCCAGGGGCTACCGGTGAAGAGCATCATAGGACGGAGGCCGAGACCGACGTCCATGACAAGTTCGTTGATAGGCGGGATAACCTCGCCGTCCCGCGGGGGGAGCAGCAAAAGCTCCACAAGATCGAGCAGCTCTGAGTTGAAAACACGGGCGAGGGTGAGGCAGTTAGGGCGCTTCTTGTTGTGACTTCCGAATGCTACGAGGCCACATTCGTTCTTGTTGGCCAAGAACTCGAGGCTCTCCGAGTTCTCATATGGGTGCAAGTTCTCGTTCTTCTTGTGGAAGAGGATGTTGTGGGGCTTCGTCAAGGCGTGGAAAGTCTTCAGAACGGTGTCCAGAGGTTGAGGGCATTTTGCGCCGTGGAAAATCAGCGTCTTCTTCGGGCCTTCGATGAGTTGCGGCTCCCGAGCTTTCAGGATACGCGCAGTGCGCGGGTTCTTGGCTTTTCTGAAAAATGGTGGATTAGTTGGGAAGTTCAATCTGAGCGAGCGGGTTTAACTTACACTTCTCTCAACATATTGTAGAACCTGGACGGCAGAATGACTTGGGGTAGATTCTCACAAGAGCGAAAAAGTTTTGGATTGATGGCTTGGCGGGCTTATCGATAAGACGGGTCACGTGGTGCAAATATCTAAAGTCAATTGCTTGGCGTTTCTTGCGGACTGTTCTCTCAACACTGTAATGTACATCGTCTGATGTTTCACCCTTTTCAAACAATTGGGATGATGGCATCGTATAGCCAGACTCAATCTATGTGCATAGGAGCAATTTTCTAGTTCCTGGAAAGCTCCAGGCTCTTGATGTTACAAATGCTGAAATCTTCCATCAAGCAGTTTCGTGGTCTAGCGGTTATGATTTTCCGTTAACAATTGCCTTACAGGCGAGTGTTCCGGAAAGGTTCTGGGTTCGATTCCCAGCGAAACTAATTTTTTGCCGTTTTGAGGTGTTTGTGTGGACACTTGAGGTGGATACTCGGAGAACAGATACTTTCAAGAACCGGGCGTGTGTGGGAACTTCATATTGCCAAGACGAGCGTTGACGTGGTACGCAGTACTCCTCACATTGACAGCAATTTCTAGATGGGACCAAGAGCAGACGAAGGGGCAAAAATTCTGACATCTGCAGACCCTAGTAGTACGCCAAAAGGAACTTTGATAGTGTATGTTTGGCCTACAAACTTCCAGGCTGGAGCTTGGTTCGTTACTATCACATATATGGTCCCTTTGCTTTTTCCTTCTGAGGCTTGGGAACATTGAAATCGGAAATCATTGATATATTTTGTTTTAATCTAACAAGTAAGATCTACTCCAAGCGAAGCTTCTCAAACTCCTTAACCTGCTCTTCAAGGCGAGCAGCCTCGCTCTCAGCCTCACGGAGACGCTTCTCTTCCTGCTCACGCACCTCAGGCTTGACCTTCTCAGCCCAGCCAGGGCCGGAGATGATGCCCTGGGATTTGCGTGCGTTCTCCTGGGCCTTCTCAAGACTAGCCTTGGCCTTCTCCAGCTGCTCAATGGCAACTTCCTTGGGAACACGAAGGTAGACAGCAGCCTCGGCGCCGACAGAGGCAACAACGCAGCCGGAGGGGGGAGTCTTGTTCTCGGGACCGAGATGAGACAGCTCGCCGAGGTTCTTACCACCGAGAGACTTGATGGTGGTCATCTCCGAGGAGATGGTTGCTGAGCTGGTAGCATCGTAGGTCTGGATGATGATGTCGGCCTGGTCCTTGACGCCGTATTGGGACAGGATGGAACGGATGGCCTTAGAGGTGTCGAGAATGAGCTCGTAGGCGCTGGCGGCGGCGGGGTCGTCGAACTCGGCGATGTACTCGGGGTACTTGGCCTTCATGATCGAGATGGTCTCGTCGCCGGCGCGGCGGGGCAGGCTCTGCCAGACGTGCTCGGTGATGAATGGCATGATGGGGTGGAGCATGGTCAGACCGCCATCAATGGCTGTGTAGAGGGTCTGCTTGGCGGACTCCTTGGTCTCGGCAGAGGCGTCGTCGGCAAGAATGTACTTGGAGTTCTCGACGAACACATCACACAGCTGAGAGTAGAAGTATTGGTAGGAGATCTGAGCAGTGCTGGAGAATTCACGCTGCTCAAGAGCCTCGTTCATCTCCTTAGCGGCCTGGTTGAACTTGTGCAGAATCCAGCGCTCGGGGAGCGACTCGCGGCCGGTCTTCTTGACGCCAGCCTGGGGCTTGAAGTCCTCACCGAGCTTGCCGAGGACGAACTTGGTGGCCTGGTAGATCTTGTTACAGAACTTACGGTATCCGTGGATGACCTGAATATCGAAAGCAATATCACCACCTAAGGAGAATGGTTAGCAGAAAGTAATTAGAAAGAGCACTGGATAAACACATACCACCAGTGGTGTAAGAGACAAGAGCGAAGCGGAGAGCATCAGCACCGCACTCGGGGATACCCTTGGGGAAAGCCTTCTTTTGGTATCTGGTAGCGGCAACAATCTCCTTCTCAGCAATGTTACCGAGCTGGAGCTTGTCGTGGAGAGCCTGCAGCTGAATACCCTCCATGACATCGAGAGGATCGATGACGTTGCCCAGAGACTTGGACATCTTACGGCCATCAGAATCTCTGATAAGGGAGTGGCAGTAGACCTCACGGAAGGGAATCTGGCCAGTCATCTTAATACCCAGCATGATCATACGGGCAACCCAGAAGAAGAGAATGTCCCAACCAGTCTCGAGAACGGAGGTAGGGTACAGGTTCTCGAAGTCGTGGGTCTTGCGGGGCCAGCCCAGGGTAGAGAAGGGCCACAAGCCGGAGGAGAACCAGGTGTCAAGAACATCAGGATCGCGGACGAGGTTGAACTTCTTGCCGGGGAACTTCTCCTCGGCCTTCTTGCGAGCATCCTCTTCGGTGCGGCCGGTAACCCAGAGGTTACCGTCACTGTCATCACCATCCTCGCCTTCGATCTCGACGAAGTAGGCGGGGGCCTGGTGTCCCCACCAGAGCTGACGGGACAGACACCAATCGTTGAGGTTACGCATCCAGCGGAAGTAGCTCTTCTCAGCGCTCTCAGGGCGAATGATGATATCACCCTTCTCAACGGCCTCGATGGCAGGACCAACGAGAGTCTCCATGGCCATCCACCACTGGGGCTTGAGGATGGGCTCGATGACATCGTTGGACTTGGCGCAACGAGGCACCTTCATGGGGTTGTGCTCCCACTTGACGTAAAGGCCGGCCTCCTTGAGAGCATCAATGACCTTGTAACGGGCATCGAAACGCTTCATGCCGGCGAAAGGACCACCGTGCTTGTTGAAAGTACCATCGTCGTTCAGGACGGAGATGAACTTCAGGTTGTGGGCCTTACCGCGGTTGAAATCGTTGAAATCGTGAGCAGGGGTGATCTTGACAGCACCGGTACCGAACTCGGGGTCAACCTCGGGATCAGCAACAATGGGGAGGAGACGGTCCACGAAGGGGTGACGAGCGTTCTTGCCAATCAAGTGCTGGTAACGCTTGTCATCGGGGTGAACGGCGATACCGGTATCACCGACCATGGTCTCGGGACGAGTGGTAGCGATCTCAATGCGCTCCTTGGTGCCATCCATCTCGTAGCAGAAGTGAGTGAGGACACCGAATTCGACCTTCTTGTCGTATCCGGGGACATCGAGAAGGGTACGACCCTCGATTTCCTTGTTCTCAACCTCAAGGTTGGAAAGAGAGGTGTTCAAAGCCACACACCAGTTGACAAGGCGGTTAGCACGGTAAATGATACCCTCCTCGTGAAGACGAACGAAGGTCTCAGTCACAGCAGCGGACAGGTTAGGGTCCATGGTGAAAGCTTCACGGCTCCAGTCGAATGAACCACCGACTCTGCGCAGAGCGTTCTTGATGTTCTTGTGGTACTCGTCCTTCCAGTCCCAGATCAAGTTGACCATAGCTTCGCGGCCAATATCGTGACGGGTCTTCTTCTCCTTCTTCCACAACATCTTCTCGACGACGCTCTGTGTAGAGATACCGGCGTGGTCCATTCCAGGAAGCCACAGGGTAGTCTTACCCTTCATTCGTTGCCAACGGATCATGGTATCCTGGAGGGCGTTGGTCAGGGCGTGACCCATGTGAAGAGAACCGGTAACATTGGGAGGAGGAATGGGAATGACGAAGGAGCCTTCGGGCTTGACCTTGCCGTCGGGACCCCACTCGGGCTTGAACAGATCGCGCTCTTCCCACCAGTCGAGACGACCAGCCTCGATGGCGATAGGGTCGTAGGCATCGGTGGTCTTCTCCTTCTCGACCTTCGCCTTCTTATCAGCCTTGGGAGCGGCGGCCTTTGCGGCAGCAGCAGCAGCCTTGGCCGCCTGCTTCTCCTCAAACTTCTTCTGCTTTTCGGCCTTCTTGCGGTCTCGTTCCACTGATGAGATCCAAAGTATCAGCATGCGTTCTCTTGTCCAGAATTGCCAGTGTCATAACGTACACTCCTTCTCGGTCTTCACCTTGGGGGCGCCGTCGCCCTGGTGTTGACCGGTTGGGTCCTTTGCGGCCGCATCGGCGATCTGGCTGCGTGTCTGGTCGTCGACCTGGGGAGGTGCGCTGGTCACGGGAGCCGTAGGCTCACCCGCTGTCGAGTATCAGCATGGCGCAAAGTCATGAGTCATGAGTCAAGAGTATATACTCACTGGGGTTTTGGGAGGCAGAGTTCTGAGCCATCCTTGAGAATGCACGATATGTGGGAGTAAATCTCCAAGGCGCCGATCGCGCCACGAACCGCCTGATAAGTATCTTGAGGGATGAGGGGATACAAAGAGGGGTGGTTGTGCGAAATGCGGGCAATTAAATTTCCCACGCTGGATGAACGAATGAGAGCGCGGCACTCGGTGGGAGGCTCGGTGGAGTCAATCAGGCGCGATTTGGTACTTCGCCTCGCATTTGCTTCTTAATTGTCTGCCCAGTGGTTCAATGCGCGTAATTCAATGCTTCTTTGTGTTTTTGTGTTTTGCTCTATACTCTCGTAGATTGCCCTTTGCTCGGCCACGACGTTGCGATAACCTTTCACGTGATGCGCTGGAGCCAACGGGTGATCTGACAGCCTAATTTTATGATCTATACATCTTGCTGTTCTACGATGCTTTTGGGCTTGATCTAGGAATTGAGCTTGAGATGGTGATGAGTTGAAGTTTTGTAACGTGGATGGTTCATAACTGTTTCCAGTTTTGAAGATGTAGAGTGCATCGGAGGTATATGTACAGAGCACTACATAATACCTACTTTGGCCTATTTGACACTGGATGTACTACACTGTCAGTATGTACATGTTCAAGGAAACCTTGGAAGCACTATTCCCACAATTAAGCTTATCATGACTTATTTTTTTATGTTGTCTGTTTCATCCAACGTTTAATTCGTAAGGCAAAAAGCGTTCCGAGGTTAAGATGCAATGCGTAGTCTTAGGAAATCCCGAGAACATAGTAGGTCCGAAACACCAAATCAACTAAAAGAAAAATCAATTAGGAAACCCAGCAACGCTATACAAATAAAAGAGATCAACGAGGAGAAGTTCCCCATCTAAGACGCTGATTTATCACGCTCACTGACACGCCAAACGACCCAGGCGAGAAGGAGGTCGGAACCACCAGTGGAAATGTCATGATCTCTTGTCATCAAAGTCGTCTTCATTCAGATTTTGCTCGGTTGCCGCAGCCCGTGCGCCGAAGGGCTATTGAGAAAGATGGCGATTACGATGACCACGCTCGTTTCATATTTTCGATCGTCGTACCGTTCATATTGGCAGGGTTCAAATGCAAAAGGGAATCGTAGTGATGCGCGCCGCGGTCTTGACAGGATGCAGGACCTTGCAAAGCCGGGCATCGCAATAGGGAGATTAAAGCCATGATCATCAATAGTTCAAACGGATATTCAGGGCAGGGTGACGTTGTTGTGGCTGAGAGCCTGAGCATCAGCACGGACCGGGTCGAAGTACACGTGGGCCATAGCTTCCTGAGCAGTCAAGCGTTCCTGAAAGAAAAAGTCAGTCGATTGCGCGTTTAGGATAGGTGACACAACATACGGCATGATCATATCGCAGAAGCTTGTCCAGGAAGTCGATTGCTTCATCACTGACGAAGCGCTGGTTCTCAGCGTTGACAAACGAGGGCCAAGGCTTGCGGGGGAATCGGGAGAGAATGTCATCGTATTGAGGATCCAGCTCAATGTCGTACTTGTCAAGGTACTCGAAGAGCTCCTCGGTGCCAAGAACCTTGGCAATCTTGACCAGCTGGTCGGAGTTGCTGTTTCCGTGGAAGAAAGGCTCCTTGCGGAAGATCATTGAGGCGAACATGGCACCAAGGGACCACATGTCCAGAGAGTAGTCGTACTCTTGGAAATCCACAAGTAGCTCGGGACCCTTGAAATAGCGAGAGGCGACACGGACGTTGTATTCCGTGCCCTTGTGGTAGAATTCAGCCAAACCCCAATCAATCAGACGGAGCTAAAAAAAATTGAAGGTTAGACCAGAACCAAGGCTGCGTTGGACATTCGAGTCCAGTGCGAATATCGCATTTACTTACCTTGCGCTTCTCGTGATCAATCATGACATTGTGGGGCTTCACATCGCGATGCATGATACCCTTGCTGTGGCAGAAGTCAAGCGCCTTGAGCAGCTCGAAGACATAGAAGCGAACATCGTAGTCGGAAAAGCGGGGGTATAGGGTCCGGAAATCGGTGTTGTTGATGGCTTCGAAGACCAGGCTGGGAGTCTTGCTCTGGTTGTCGCGGACAACATCCAGCAAGGCGACGACGTTGGGGCCGCCAGCGAGGTTCTGGAGGATCTTGATCTCACGCTTGATCTTCTTCTTCTTGACAGGCTTGAGAACCTTGATAACACACTTCTGGTAGTTCACGACGTTGATGCCCTCGAACACCTCGGAGTACTTTCCTCGGCCTGTAAAGTGGTGACAGTCAGCACATATGGTCTGCAAACCCGATCATTACTCAAGATGTGGAGCCGATGTCGAGATATAGGCAAATAGGATTTGCTCACCAATCTTGCGCACGATTTCGTAATTTTCGAGAACGCCCCAGGAGATATTAACACTGTCGTAGTCCCAGTAGGACCGAGGCATATGCTCATTGACATCAGCATAGACACGCGCCATCTTGAAGGTGACAGGCGGTTTGCGAGTGCGCCCACAATTAAGAGATGTGCAGCGGGGTCACGAGGGGTGCCGTGTGACGGATCGAGTGGCCAGGCGGGGTACCGAGGCGAGAGAAAGCAACAGGCCAGCGATTCAGCCCAGACACAGTGCTCACAAGAGACTTGGAGCAATGAGATGGAGTGAGATGCTGTGGTGATGATAGAATGAGATCCGTTCCGCCTCGAGTCACGGGACAAGGGCTGTGGGGAGCCGATCAAATGCAGTTAGAATCTTCGGATAAATGGTTTTCCCGGCAGATTTTCTGGATTGCCTGTTTGGGACAGTTCGAGACCTAAAGGAAAGTCGTCAGACAGAGTTATCTTCGGGCGCGCCGTTCTTAAGTACACTATGTTCTTCGACCTGAATGTCCCTTACAGCCCCGATGACCCGGAGGTGCCCCACACACTGAACTTCCTTGCTGAAAGTAAGTCATTCCTTCCGGTCCACGGCACAAGATGCGCGTTCACGCACATGACAAGCTAACCTGACTCGTCCAGTCGGTTACACCACCGTTGCGCTTTCTCAAACAGTGAATGGCAAGCTTCCGGCGACCCTGAACCCGCCTCCACTTCCGACAAATGCGCCGAAATCCCTCCAACTGCTGACCCGGCTGAACCTGACCCTGGCCGATCCCGCGCAGAACCAACGCTTAGCTGCCCTGAGTCAAGCTTATGATATTGTCGCTCTTCGTCCCACAAACGAGAAACTGCTTCTGAATGCGTGCACCAATTTGGAATGCGACGTGATCTCCGTTGATCTCTCGGTGCGACTCCCATACCATTTCAAATTCAAGATGCTGTCCGCGGCTATTGCACGTGGAGTTCGGATTGAGATTTGCTATGGGCCTGGAGTCACAGGGAGTGGTCTTGATGCGCGGAGAAACCTCATCGGGAATGCGACTTCCCTGATCCGCGCAACACGCGGCCGAGGCATCATCGTGTCCAGCGAAGCACGACGAGCGTTAGGCCTGCGAGCCCCATGGGACGTGATCAATCTTGCTTGTGTTTGGGGCCTATCACAAGAGCGCGGCAAGGAGGCAATCTGTGAAGAGGCGAGAAAGGTGACCGCATTGGCCAAGTTGAAGCGGACCAGTTGGCGAGGCATCGTGGACGTTGTCCACGGCGGCGAGAAGCCCAAACCTGCGGAACCGACCCAGAAGGCAAAGGCTGCACCAAAAGTCTCGGCGCCGAGACCAGAGAAGCCCGCTCAAGACGATAATGCGGCAGACAACCTTAAGAGAAAAGCTTCCATCAGCTCTGAGCCCGTTGCCGAGGACCCCGACAAGCCTCTTTCAAAAAGGGAAATCAAAAGACGAGCCAAAAAGGCAAAGTTTGACGCCAAGGGGGAAATTGCTACTTGATTCAAGTCCACAGTGTTTTCGATCTCAATCAGGCACAGACTGTTGAACCGCCAGTACCTTCACGCGAACTTGTCACCTGGAAAATAACCATCCTATACATGGCAAAACCAAGACTTGCCTCCTTGGCAATCAGCAGATGAGCCGGATTCGCAAGAATGCTTAGCCAGTGTTCCGCCGGGCCTCTTCTACGCAAGTCTTAGAGCCTCAGATGCAAACCTCAATCAATGGATTGCACATCCACACAAAGTCCAGCTTTGGGCGATCCAAACCTGACGTTGATTGCGTTGCACCTTGAGCCATGCTCTATAATGGTTGAAGGCTCGGGGTTAAGATCTTCTTGACCCATCGCGGTCCAGCCCCAGAAGCTCTTTACATTAGAAACAGAGTATCTATAGCCCGGATGCCTGATGTGACTATCTTGCTTTCAATTCCATATCATACACCTTGAACCACAATCTTCCAGTACATCTTAATTCATTACAGTATCGGCCTACTCAATCGCGAGGCTAGACGCACACCGGGCCCAACGATCAATTGGCCAAGCACCCTAATCAAGACACATTTCTGACAGCAATCCTCACAAAACGCATGACCTGGAAACATGCGAAGCGATCTTTGCTTTCACCCCCACTGATACCTCAGCGTTTTAAGCTCTTAAGCTCCACTTTCCCTGCCGCTGAAGTTGCTCACTTCTGTCACTCAAGCTCTCACTTGACATTCGTCTCTCTCTCTCTCTCTCTCTCTCACTTGACAGCTCACTCGCCCGGAATTCATACCTTCATACCATCTATGCGAGTTCCACAGCTTGGTGCATGAATCACAGATCACTCAAGTTGCCCAAAAAGACATACAACAGCTTGCTTTATGTTCAGCTGTAATCGCCTCGACACCTTGCCTTGATCCTCGCTCACCTGCTTCTCTTCTACTCACTTACTTGGACATACTTCACCCACTTCGAGTCCTTCCCTTTACTCCAAACTCATACCTCCTTTCGATCTGAAGGTTGGGAGGCACCCACAGTCCTGTTCGTACCTTAATGATGATCATCCTTGCTTCTTTTGCTGACCTACTCCTTTCATCTCAGATCCATTGCACCATGAGTACCGTCAAGCGGGCCCATGAACAGGCGGACCCAAACAAAACAGCCCCCGCAAACAAAAGACTCAATCCAGGACCAGATGATGGGAGTACTGGTGCAAACAGGGTGTGCCAAATTGACCCAGATGGGGATCTCTTTCTGTACACCCCAGGACATCGTCTCTCGGCCGACGACGATCACGATGCAACTTTCCTCGTCTCATCTAAACATTTGACCCTCGCATCCGCATGGTTCAAGGCCTACCTATCAGATCGCTGGTACCGGGACCCGGTACCGGCAGATGAGGGTAGAGCTAAAATAGCAATCAAGGACTGTCGACCGGAAACCCTGCTCATTCTGTTAAGAATGATCCACGGATTCTCCCGAAAGGTCCCTCAGAAAGTATCGTTTGAGCAGTTGGTCGACATCTCCCTCGCTGCAGAGTTCTATCAATGCACAGAAGTCGTTGAACCGTACGTTCACACGTGGATGAGGGTAGACCAAGTCTGGAACCCGACGGACGAAGATCCAAACTTTGTCGCGAAATGTAACATTGTCGCTTGGATATTCAAAATTGAGCACGTCTTGAGTGTCGCCACGAAAGCCGCGACAGAAAGCAGCACCGATCCCTTTGAAGCACCAGACCTACCATTTCCTGCGTTCATCAAAGATGCAATCGACAACAACAGGACAGCTTGGTTGGGCATGGTTTTACGTGAAATTGAGACTCACGTGGCCCAATTGCTGTCAGCAAATTGTCTCCCAGATTGTGATGCGTATTACTTGGGGCGCGTTCTTCAGCATCTGGCAAGACACAACGTCTTCTTTCGACTGCCCCCCCAAACCTCTTTGCCATTTCTTGCCACTTCTGCTTCACTGTCAGGATTGAGTATCCAGAATATTCGCGATATGATCGAGTCCCTCAATTGCGATCCTTCTTACTCCCACAGCGGCATGTGCCTCAACAGACTGGCACCTTGGGGCCAGGACGTACCTGGTATTTCGCACTTGGACTGTGCAGAATTCAGGATTCCTCAGTGATTCCCACGGGGATGTAGCAGGTTACATTCCAAAATCGCGAGCGGAAATCGTGAGGCTTCATTCTCGTTTCTCCATAGAGCGACGTGATAACGGTAACAGAGCTGTTTAATATCTTGCCGCCCCATCCCAGAGAACATACAATCAGTCATTCTATGGCAGAGATTCAGTTAGGTGTGAAATTGAGAGATTGAGATATCTAAAGCTCCTCAACCTGGTACGCTCCATCCACGGATCTGGATGTTCAATGCATATGAAAATCCACTTTAGACAACCAGATCCTCGGGTCTTCCAATGCTTTAGTTGTTCATGGGATATGTCCGTAGTTGAGTGTCTTTGACTTTGACGATCTTCTACTGTATATGATATTTATGTACAATTTTCAGGGCCCTAGTCCAGCCATCACCTTAAAATCCTGGAAGAGTCCGAGAAAAGGGTTGCAAAACTAGCATCCGTCTCCCCAAACAGCGGAAATATTCCGTAAACGCTGCACGTTCACTATTCACAGCTTAGCCGTCCACAATCTAGGCTGATTCTCAACCCGACCAAGCTGACCCTTCCTCCCAAGATCAACCACAACACCCTCCCCAAACGCAGCCTCTTGACAATCCTCATCTCCCACCCCATTCACAAATTGCACAACCACAAAGTCCACCCGCCGCTTACCCAAAACAACCATAGGCGCATGCCAAGTGCCCACCCCATACGTCACGGCCTGACCGCCGCGCGCAACAAACGCCTTGATATTCTTTAAATCGGGCGGGTCCTGGATAGTCACCGTCTCCCCTTGTTCATTTTTCGCCGTGATAGTTTGTCCCTTCAACGTAGGCGCCACAACAACCAAAAACAGCGGTTCATCCTCTCCATCCCCGACTTTAGAATGCGCCGACAAATCAACCGGGATGAATGTCTGATTGGTGAACGGGTGGCGCTCCAAGATGCGCACATCAAACGCCTCTTTCTCCGAAGGACCGGAGCCGATACTCCGTAATTTGCGCGGGAAACAGCAGAACATAGTCATGCGAGCCTCGGAGGGCTTCCCGCTTGGACTGCCATTGTACCGGTCGAGAAGCGGGGAGATAGGACTGTACTTCAAAGCGGAGTTTTGATTCGCTAGGACCGGGGTGGGATTGTGTGGTGGGAGGGAGGAGGGCTCTGTGGCGACACTCAGTTCTCGTGGTAGGGGGAGACCACTGCAGTACCGAATTGGGCGAAGTTGACCGGTGTGAGCGGCTCTGGGGTGAGCGTTATTGTGGGGTTGGCGATGATCGGCGCCATGATTGGGTTTTGGGTATCGAGGTGTGTGTTGTTATCTCGCCACTGTGTCCCAAGTTATCGTCTTACAGGGAGAAAATCAGGAAAGAAGGAGAGAAGCAGAAAGCGTGTGTGGAGGTCTTAAGAAGCGTATGCGGAGATGTCGGCGGCCTCCGGTGATGGTTCGCCGATAAGATAAGCGGCCGGGGCCGAAGTATACCGTTTTTCTTTTTTCTTTTCTTCTGTTGACTCGCTTTGTAGGTCCATTCTTCATATATTATTGCTTCATGGACTGGATTGAGATCTCCAGTCCCATGGTAAATTCTACGGGCCCGGAAAAAGTAAGCTCCCCAAGCGCAATGCGCCAGTTCCGAGACGATTGAATTAAGATTGGTTGCACCCGCCCTGATTGGAACCAAGATATCTCCGAGAACCGGGCCTTGGGGTTTGAGAAACGGTGTTGTGATCGATGCCCAACGGAGCCGTGAAGATGGAGACCATGCAAGCTGTCAAAGTGCGGAGAACCACGTCCGATTCGCCATATTTCTCCCAATTGGTTGGATTTCAATGCTGCAATGTGCGGTCTAGGAGAACACATCGGAGTATGTATCCAGCGCGGTCAGCACGGGTAGATCTCATCCTTGAATCTGAAACCGTAATATAAAAAGACAGCGAGGTGTGCTGGTTCGCACGCTAGTCGCTAGGCAACTGCTGATCGGAATTACTATGTTGCATGTTTGTTTGCGAAATGAGGCTCTATAAACCACAAGATAATGTCTTGGGCAGGTATTGACATGCACATGCTTCGTAGGTCGGTGCTGGATAGTGCTGGACCTATGATATGCCACCTTATTCCACATGAATGACACGCATAGAGTACTGGGATCTCCGTTCATTGGCCAATGGGTTTAGTTGGACCCAGTGTGCTGGGTATACTACCTGATCTTGGGAAGATGTTCGAGCGAAACCTTGAAATGTACGATCTCAAATGACTCCAAGACTCTGATGGCAGGCCGATGCCGTGCTTGAAAATTACAGTTTAATCTAGCAGCCCTAGAGTGTTGCAACGTGTGGGCTTTTGCAGGTCTCTATTTATACTTCCAGGTTTTTCCAATTAATGAAACCGTGCTGGCACATAATTCTTGACTCGCCTTGTATTATCTCTTCATACATTCCAAGGCTCTATCGCAATGAGCTCCCCACAGGCCCATTCTTCCCAACCAACTATGAATAGCACCACTGCGACCAATGGTGCCGCCCCAGCTAGCTCCAGTCAGAGCTATATGGGGTCGGGGTCGGGGTCCAGCTCAGCCCAGAGGTATGTGATATAATTTACTTTATGAGCTGAATTTTCTTTTACAACCACCAAGCATCCCAAGGAAGCACATAATACTAACAAGGATACCCCTAGTAGCTCGTCGTTCGAAGCTTTCCAGCGAAACGTGGTCGGCATCGGCGGCTGGGTGCCACCCACCCTGAACAATTCGTCCCAGCTTGATCTCCAAAAACCGTGAAACCCTCAATGATTTTGGCATTGACGTCTGGATGACGGTGCTTGATAAGTGTGAGGGGGCGACATGCAGGACATGGTGAGTTGGTTCGCCCATTGCAAGGGATTTGCAAATTAACCAAGTCACTCTAGTCCGAACATAGCCGAGATGAACCACATTTAATACGACAGTGACGTTTGACAACGGAACTTGTATATTCGGGATATTATTTCCTTCGAGAAGAAATGCTCAATACCATGTGATAGAACTGCGGGGATGTCTTGCAGGAAAATTGGCAAATGGCGTATAGCAACGTTTCCTGCAGTTCCAAATGGCATTTGATCTTTTTAGCCGACATCGTCATGCACTTTCCCCTCTTTTGTTCTGCGTTTGGTACGTGCCGATCTTCGTATAGCCATTTGCGCTTGGCTTTTCTGTGAAAGTAATATCGGGTTGCATTCATGGATGTAGCTGTGGTCAGACTGGGAAGACAAATTGAACTAAGCTTGTAGCTAAGGTGGCAGAAGCCAAGAACTACGGGTCGGTTGGACAATTTGATAGGGCTGAATTTCCAAATCAATATCTTGTAACGGGGTGGACCTCGGCAACTTCGGCAAACACATATTAACATGACTCAGAGATTGATACATCGCTAGATGATCTGCAACTCATATTCTGTGGATTATAAACTATTTACTAACTCTTTCCTCTCCTGACCACGAAGACAAATGTGTATTGGTAAATTCCACCTCAGAAACACAGATTGTAATGAATTGGCAGGCTAATCCAAAGAAGGAATCTGTGGTGGCTTGACTAGATGATTGAATTTTCGACGTCGTGACACGCAGAGCTCCCAGGATGTTTTGCAGGAATGAACTGACCACGAGTCAAGATTGAAAAAGAAAATGTTGCAAATATGAAGAACGCCATATGTGAAAGTGCGATCCCACTGGGAAATCACTTCAAGCCCCTGGGCAGGAATTTTGGAATCTTGAGACCGGCCAGCCAGCCGTACAAACTTTGTGAATACTTGGGCTTTGACTTGTCTTTCGGCCAGAAAGTATCAGACTTGTTGCAGCACGCCACCTGCGAGGGCTTAACTTCCTTCTCAGAAACTCCCAGGCGTGGACATATCTTCGTTGGATAAAAATCTATTACCACCCCGGCGATAGTGTAGAGATTGATGTGGGCGATAGAGGTGGAGGGGTCGGAATCTGAACTTAGAGCCGGTCGTTTTTCAGGTACTTGAAGGTAAATACTTTTGTCCAACAATGTCTTGTAGAGTAAACCAAAGCACATGGCATCACACGCAGGGTCGCAATGGGCTGTCTTTCCCTTCATCAGACGCCAAGCCTGGGCCTCGATTATGCGCATCTTGTGTCTGAGGTAGGCTGTTCTAGTCTCATCGATGAAATCTGTGAGAACAAAATTAGCTTCCCACTTCTGGCAGATCTTCATCCCTCACTGACCTTTGATGGCCGCTGCGATGGGCAGATCTTCTGTATCAAAATCACTCTTCGCGCCTCCGATAGCGTCCCTGATCAAGTTGTTGAGTATGTCGGTGGCCTGGAATACCGAGGTAATCGTGATAGATCCGGCAAGTTTTGCTTCCAATCCATAACCCGCTGGAGGATTCCCAAAATAGCGCCCTTCATGAAATGGCCAAAGGCCGTCCATCCACATTTTGGCAAATGGCCCCATCACCTCATGGCAGTGAAGATAGTCAGTGACCACAGCGACCTCGAGTAGCTGCTCCCATGTCAATTTCTTGGGGAGTTGGCGGAACTTCAAATGGGCCACATTTAAGAAAATTTTGAGGGCAAAAGGGTGGGTGTCCTTCAGTTTGATCTCAACTTTCCCATTCGCAGCAAGCGATCTTCCTTCGTCCCAGCGGCTGGAAAGCATTGCGTTGAAAAAACAAGATGCTGTTTTGAGATGTTTTGAAGAAACAAGAAAGGAAGAAGTGGATTCATCATCAGGAGTTGATAAAGCACTTGGCACAGATAGGAGGACGTCCCCTTCGGGGTCAATGACGGTTCCCGTGGACCAGTCTATATCCATTTTCGATGGTGGATCAGAAGATGATCGGCTGATGATTGAAGTTGTGGGTGAGGACTTGCGGCGCAATCAGGTGTTTGAAAAGTCGAAAGTGAAGGGAGAATCTGTGGCTGCCTCGAGAAAGCAGGGAGTGAAAAAGGCGAGAGACGAAAAGAGAAAGAACCCCAGGAGCAACGGGAAGTGAGGCATCAAGATGGTGAGGTTGCGCGAGGCTCTCACCGGAACACGATGACCTTTGTTCTTCTCTCTTCCTTTTGTGCAAGTTTGTTGCTTGTGCAAGTGTCTTCTCCTAGGGTTCGTGGCTGATTTGTGGGAGTAGGAAGTTGATGAAGGGACTTTGGAAAAGGAGATATTTGATAATGGCAAAAACCAAAAGAGGGCGCACACACAGTCTCGGAGTCCAAGAACGGATGTCAATCAAGTTTGAATGATGTTCATCCAAATGTAGTTTCTATTCCTAGATGATGCCCAATTCGGGCCATTTAGTTGGCCGTGGATAGATTTCAATATTATTGTGTTTGACAACGAAACAATAACCTTGAACAATAACCATTGTGTAAAATGGGGGAGGCTGTTATACAATGTTTCCCTTCCCCAAAGTTCTTGTTCTTTTCATGGCCCATACAATAAGAGATAGCCCTAATTCCAATTTTGGCTTCACAGCAACCTTGAGGGGTGAGTTCCTTCGTTCAATATCGTGAAGTCAACAATTTTGGAAACAAACGAGATGCTTTATTACACAGAGGCTAAAAGAAGCAAACTTTGCCAAAGTACCTTCATAACTTCTAAGATTTAGCTTTGTTCATCATATCCTCATCAAGTCCCCCTCAGCTACTGGCAACTGTCCCACAGCGCTAAATCTAGAGATATCTGATTGACGGAAATTCAGACTATCTAGCCTGACCACCGGAAAAAGCTGTATCAAATTGAGCCATAGAGCAGGCGAGAGTCCTTCATCATATGTGTGATAAGAATCTAAATCCCCAAACAAGAAGAAGTTTCCAAATATCTGCACTTCAGCATTGTTATAGCAACCTTGGAAGGACAAGAAGGGAACACTGTATACCCAATACGATGACTCGACTTGTCACTCATGTCAAGCGGGCTCCAAGTTTATCTCAACATTATCCCGAGGTTTTTGGCTACATCTCTGTGCTAACTAGCCTTATATGTCAAAGGAGCCAGGTATGTCAATGGTAGCTAGTTTTCTGGATATCACCAATCCCTAATTCTCTGTTCAAGGCTTAGCCAAGACTTCCTTTACTCGGTTGAGGAAAAAAGACAGCCAAGTTATACATACTCTCTCGAGAGCTAAGGGAAAAAGACAGCCAAGTTATACATACTCTCTCGAGAGTTAAAAACACAAAAACATACAACAGTGAGGATTCGCTGGTGGTCACCCACCCAACTACTAACTCACCGGCGTGTGGCTTAAGTACGGCTGAGCGGACGGGAAGCCCTGTTCTCCACACCCTGTGGTCGTATGTACTCGGACTCGGAGCTGATAAAATTATATCGTCTTCAAATTGATTCCGAGTTTGGGCTGGGGGAGCTTTGCCGGACTGCTCATCCAAGCATAATCCGTACCTTATCATAATTACTTGACGATTAGTTAAAAAGACAGTTGAAAAGACAGTTGAAAAGAGGTCCCGAAGTTGATGATAGCTCTTTCGTTACCAATTGAAATGTGAGATTCAGCCAATACATAATTCCTCCTGTTTATGAACAACTGACAAACACCAACCAGGCCCGAGGCAGACATCGAACGCTTTTATGATCCGTCGTATAAGGCGGCGTATAGAGCGGTAGGAGCTCGGTCCCAAATAGGCAATGGATCCATGGTTTATGAAATCCTGGGTCATCGCCGCTAGAGACCTACACACAGTTTTAAGGAGCTACTCAACGAAGACTCCAAGAGTCTCTCCAGTATACAGTGTGCCATATACATAAACATTATTGGGAGTGTTGGAAATCGCAATCGGGAGAGTACTCGGTAGACTGGACTCCCCACCCTTTCCAATCCCCATCTTGCAACCTTGGAATACGGTAAGAAGTATCTCTATTGACTTGATGTTGAGAGCTGACCTGATTTATTTTAGCCAACACTTCCTAAGTTATCATGACTGGAAAACAGGAAATTTACGAGGTACCTGGTCCCTCAACTCTGCAGGCCATACCGGTCGAGCCAGCTGCTCCCGAACTCGACCCGAAGCAGGCAGATCAGATCGCTCCTGATGGGGACATCATCTTGTACACCCCAGGCGAGAAGCCCTCATCCTCTGGACCTCCTCAACTTGTGCAGACTGTTAGCTTTTTGGTGTCATCAGCCCATCTTAAACTATCGTCCAAATACTTCAACACTCTACTCTCTGATCGATGGTCTGGCGCACGAGACCCAACAGCCGGGGGCTTAATCACAATTGCAGTCGACGATTGCAAGCCTCACACCTTGCTACTGATACTCAACATCATTCATGGGCACACACGGAAAATCCCAAGGCAGGTTTCTTTAGACCAACTGACCGAGTTCACCGCAGCGGTTGACTTCTTTCAGTGCGTGGAAGTGGTCGAGCTTGTCGCGCAGATGTGGATAGAAACCCTCAAACCACAAGTGCCAGCACAGTGGAGTGCTATGATTCCCACGTGGATCATGATATCCTCGGTATTCAATAATAGGGAGATTCTGTCTCGGGTTTCAAAAATCGCTATGGAGGAAGGAACAGGTCCCTTGCAGACCAACGGGCTGCCTATCTCCGGGTTCATCAAACGTACGTCCACATGATTGACAGCTCCGTGACCTCCAGCTAATGTCTTGATCTAGAGGGGATTGACCAGAACAGAGAGGCGTACCTCCAGAAAGTTCTCGGTGCTGTACAGAACCATATCGGCACACTCCTTGTGACAAAACCTAGTTGTCAAGGTTCATGCAACGCAGCGTATTTGGGGGCTCTGCTGATTAAAATGACCGATCTCAACATAATATACTTGCCAACTTCTGGGATGAGATCCCCCACGGATACTTCCACTATACCGCTCGGGGGGCTGAGCCCCTCAATCGTTCGCTCTATGGTCACAGAGGGCAAGCTTGACGTACATCATTGCGGGTATAGCTGCTCAAACAGGATGTATCCCTGGGGACACAATTCCCGGAATCTTGCTATGCAGAAGTGTGATGAACTGCGGATTCCTAAGATCTAACAATGTCATCCACGCTGGACTTTGGATGCTTCTTATAATTTGTTTCGCATCCTCATTTCAATATACTTTAGTGCTGGGGATTCCAGAGCTTTTGTCAGAAGCGTCGATCAGAACATGATTTTGGAGATGATAGGAATGAAGGATTGAGTAGATGCAGCTGGAGTGCTTGATACCTAAAAAAATCACTTTGGACCTTGATTGATAGGTTGGGAAGTGAGAAATCATTTAGGACGAGTGAAATTAATATGAGACCTCTCACTCTCACTCTCACTCTCGCTTCACTTTCACTTCACTTTCACTCTCTGTCTCTGTCTCACTATCACTGTCTGTTCTCTTTTTCTCTTTTCTTCAGCCGAGACTTTCCATGGCGAAAGATATGATTGGCATCAAATTGCTAGCTACTCAAAAGGTAATGTTCTATAATAGAGCCATCTCTGGCTTATCCCAAGCTAATTACCAACTCGCGAGGTCACTTTCAACTCAACTTGTACTCAGATCAAGCTGACTCCAGCGTTATCTCAGTGCTATCTTTGGTTAGATAGAGCTCTATGCCAGCCTTCTATATATACTAGCAAAGACAGACGTGTTGACAGCAGCCAGTATTCCTAATGTATCAAATACTAAAAGCTGATTTGTCCATCAGAGTCAGCTCACTGACAATAGAAAAGCCTCTTCAAGATAGGCTGTGCAATGTATCAGTTCTATGTATCGAGATAGAAGAAGCTCATCGAACTCGGAGAGCGGCCTTCAATCTGACTTGCAACGTGAGTCTCCAAACGTTGACTGTGAATTGATCTCGACTTTCTTCTTCCTCTCTCTCTTCCTCTCTCTCCCCACCCTCTCTTCCTTTTGTTCAACTTTATGGTTGTCGCCATTTTCTCAAAAGTAGGAAAGAAATACTTCTATTTAGTTGACGTTTTGAGCTGACCCGCTTCATTGAAACCAGACTTCGTTATGTCGGGAAACAAGCGACCCTTCGAAGGACTTGATCCTGTAAGTCCGCAAGACACCTTTGCCGATAAAAAGGCAAAGACCGAGCCAAACCCACCTAGGTTTCACCCGAATAACGCCTACCAAATCGCCCTCGAAGGCGATTTGATTCTGTACACCCCTGGAGAGAGCCTCCGGGGTCCTGTGGCATATGCAGGAGACGCGAGCTTTCTAGTCTCGTCAACACACATGAAATTAGCCTCGCCATATTTCAAAGCTCGACTATCTACTCGCTGGCTTAGCGAGCAAGCCCCAGCAGCCGGCAGCTGGATGGAGGTCGGAGTTCATAATTGCAGCCCCGATACTCTGATGTTAATACTCAGAGTTATTCACGGGAAAACCCAAGAAATCCCTAGAGAGATCTCTCTGGGCGAATTGGCCAAGTTCGCTATAGCAGTTGACTACTTCCAGTGCGTGGAAGCAGTCGAACTTGCGGCCCACATGTGGCTTCGGATGCTCAAGCTCCATGTACCGTCGTACTGGACCCCGGATATCCCAACATGGATAATGGTCTCTTGGATCTTTCGAGAGCAAGACGCCCTCGCCCAGGCCCTGAGAGTCGCCACAGAGAAAGGCCCAGGTCCATTCCCTATCGACGGGTTGCCGATTCCTGAGGTCATCAAAGGTGTGTTTATACGATGAAAGGTTTAGTAAACACCGTTAATGATATTCCTCTCAATCTAGCCGGAATCGACCAAAGCCGAGAGGCATATCTCCAGGAGGTTCTCTGCGCCGTGGACAATCACGTCTCCAACCTTCTTTCCCAGCATGTTTGCTCTCGCCGCTCGTGCGATGGAGCTTATGTTGGGGCGTTGATGATAGAGCTGGCGGGTCTAGATATCGTCTTTCAACCGGGGTCTACAAATGGAAGACCACCAGTCACTTCAACAACAATCTCGCTGGATGGGCTTAGTCCGGCGGTGCTTCGATCTTTGATTGTTAATGCCAGGATCGAACCTCAATCTTCGTGCATTGGAGATCGGAACTCCAGATGCCCGCACCAGCAGAATCCTTGGGGCCCCAATACCAGGGAGCTTGCCATGAAGAAATGTGCCGAGGTACAGATCCCTTTCTTCTAAGAGGGTCATCTGTGTTCCTCCTTCGACGCTCTTTTTTTGGATATTCAGCAATCAAATTCGAATTCAATCAACGACTCTACACAGAATGACATATTCACAGTGAGGTCTGATCCTAGCCCTGAGAGGGCGCAGTTCGGGTTCCACACTTTGATCCTCAATCAGGAACGATACGCCCTTCTAGCCCGACACAACGATATCTCGCAGCATATCGAAGACCAAATGCAGACGGAGTTCGGATATGAGACTTTCAACTTCAAGGAGATGAGGGATTAATGGTAGGCAAAATTCATTCCTTCAGGCCCTTCGTTTGTGACCACCAACAACTAACACCCCCGCTAGAGTGCTAATGTGGTGGCTAGCAAAAGCGCCTGGTCAATGGGACTCGTACTGGCACCACCGGAATTTGTGCCACGGAATAGGCTCTGGGCAAGACAGCTCGAAACCCATGAAGGAAAGACCGATATGTGAAGGAACCAGCAATTCGTTGCCAACGTCTACCCCAAGGAGTCCAAGTCCACGAGCTGTGATGTCATGATACAACCTTCGATGTGGGCCAAGGAGAGAGAAGGAAGTGGAATGGGCCACTCTACGGAGTAGCAGGAGCGCGATTGGGTCCCGCTAGCCAAGATGAGAGTGTAAATAGTTCACCCTTCTTTCCATCCAATCAACCCTCTGGCGAAAAATCCACTTGTTCTTGTATTCCACTAGCTTTTGATAGTGGTCTTTAACTTCCCTACAACCACAACAGCTACTTTCGACCGCAGAATGTGAAATCGTTTGAATCTAACGTGTATACAGCGTTGATTAAAAACCTATTTATTACAGTGCACAGTGTACAAGAACCTCCTAGCCGAAAGAGAAACACCCCAAGCCCCATCCGTCGCCATGCTCGTATATCCACAATTTACTCATCAAACGGACAGTCAATGCTCTCATGGCCATCTCGCTCACACATAGCACACCACTTGGACTCATCAATGACACCGGACGACTTGCCTGCCACGGGAGCCATCGACGATCCGAGTCCTCCAATGCCTTTCAGACCTTCCATGACAACGTCCTTTCCGGTCTTTTGAGGCTCCTCATGCTCCTTAGGTCGGAGGGGCTCGGTCTTCTCAATTGGTTCCTCGGGTTCCTCAGCAGGCTCCTCGGTAGGCTTGTGCTCGACGTTCTGACCAGACCCGAACATGCTGGTGCAGTTCAGGATGTCGTGGCCGCTGGCTTCACAGATCTCGCACCAGAGGGCGTCCTCGTCGGAGGCCTGCTCGGACTCGTGCATGGTTTCTAGGCGGGACTGGGAGGTGTTGGAGGCTCCACGATGGTGGCGCGGCTCAGTGGGTGCATCGTGCCAGTCGGGCGGAACGACTGTACGATCTGAGAGGCGATGGGGGTTGTTGTTGTTGTTGTTGTTGTTGTTGTTGTTGGAGTGATTGGAGATGTTACCCGCAGAGTGAGTGGGTTTGTGTTGCTTCGGTGAAAGAGTGACGGTCGAGCTGCGCTGGCGACCACCTTGGAGGTGCATTTCTTGCAGTTCACGTTCGAGTTCTTCAATTCGAGAGTCCTTGTAATCTACGGTCTCTTCAATCTCGCGCATGCGCAGTTCCAGCTGAACGAGTTGCTCTGGATCGTGTCCCTCCATACCATGATGTTCTTCATCTTCGGCAGGGTTTCCGCGACTCAGCGAATGAATAATGGCCTTGAGTCCTCGGATCTCATCGTCCTTCTGGTCCAGGTCACTGCTGCTTCGAGGCGCGTCGCCGTTGCCGTGTACGTCTTTGAGTGCAGCGGCTGAGTAGTCACGTTCCTTCTTCAGCTCTAGCTTGGTGCGCTCCACTTCGCCACGCAGGAACTCGACCTCGGCCCGTGCCTCGGCTTCTCCGCGCCGGGCGTCCTCCAATCCCTCCTCCAATTCTGAGACCAGCTCTTCCAGTTGTTTGAGCTGCTGTGCGACGACCTCGACGTCTTCGCCGCGATCCTGAAGCTCCTTGTTCTGTTGCATGAGCTCATCCAGTCGCTGCTCGTAGACACGCTCGGTCTCGGAGGCCGCGACTTCCAATGTGTCGAGGGTGCTTCTGAAATCTGCGCGGTGGCCGTCGAACTCGGCCGTCAATTGGTTGATTCGCTCGTTGCGCTCCCGCAGCTGTGTGCGAATCGAGATGCCCTCTGAACCCTCCATTTCCTCCAATGTCCTCTGGAATTCGTTCAGGGTCCCGGACTGCTCCTCCAGCTGCCTGTCTCTGTCCAACAGCTGTTTTTCCAAACTTTTGATTTGATCCTTCAGGTCTTGGTTGCCCGACGAACTGGGTCGACGGAAGTCCGAAGGTCGGCCGTATGAGGAGTCATCATCGGCGGTGCTCATCCGCGACGAGGGCCGGTCAGATAGGCGGGAAGGCGCTTTGACGGGACTGCGCTGGGCACTCGTCAGTCCACTCCGGGACGCCGCCGAGGGTGTACGCAGGCCACTCAGGCTCAGTTTCGGAGGAGGCACACGCGGCGATTCGGGCCGAGGGAGTGAGGGCCGTCGCACGCGCGGACGGGGTGTAGTGAGAGCTGGACCGACAGATTTGCTGAAGTTGACGGGTCCTCCCCGCGCCGGGGTCACTGGGTTCGAGATGTTCGAGGTCGATCGTCGGGTGACATACTTGCTGTTGTTCATGGGCACAAAGATGCCCGAACCGGGGACGGAGGTTGCAAAGTACTTTCGGCCGTCGACGTCGCCATTGTTCTTGCCTCGTTGGGCATGCTCCGAGCTCAATTCGACACCTGCGAATCGACCAGGTTTCCCCGCCACCGATCCCAAGTATTTGATCGTCCCATACATACCACCGGGGACATTGACCACGTCCCCAACCTGCACATCATCGAGGGGCGCCATTGAGATGAATGTAAGCGCAAATATGCACGTAAAAAGAAGAATGAGAATAAAAGAAAGTTTCGGATATGAATAGCCCCTGGAAGGGTGAAGGGGAGGGTCTTAATGCAAGGACGTGAAGTACCCAACTCCCATTGCGAATTCGACGAAAAAGAAAGAGAGAAAGAGAGGTAAAATAGAGAGAGGACGAAATAGAGAGGGACAGAGAACCTCGACAGATCTCAGAAGTGGGATGTTCTCGAGATCTCAAAAAGATCTAAAAGAGAAAGGGGAGGGACAACAAATAAATGGGAGCTCCACCCGTGCGTAATCGACTCCCGACACTTTCTCTCTCCGCATGCGCATCGAGATCTCATTTGCAACACATCACACAATGGCGCAGTATTTCTTTGATCTCCTATACAATTTTACGGATTGCATGTGCTGCTTTCCTAGCTCTCCCCAGCTGAAGATCAACAACCGCAGTTTCAAGCTCCTGCGACTATTAGGCGAGGTAAGGCACCCAACGCCAGACGCCAGCTGGTCAAACTAACACCACCCAGGGCGGTTTCTCCTACGTTTACCTCGTCCAAGACAAAGCCACCTCCGAGCTCTTCGCTCTGAAAAAGATCCGCTGTCCATTCGGTCAAGAGTCCGTATCGCAAGCCCTGAAGGAAGTGGAAGCCTACAACCTATTCAACTCCCAATCGAACATTATTCACTCGATCGACCACTGCGTCTCCACAGAATCCGGCTCCAAGTTCCGATCCGATGGCGGCGATCCAGGCTCCAAAACCGTCTATATCCTGCTCCCATACTACCAGCGCGGCAACCTGCAAGATGCCATTAACGCCAATCTAGTCAACCACACCCAGTTCCCGGAGAAGCGGTTGATGGTGCTGATCCTGGGTGTCGCCGATGCCCTGCGCGCGATGCATCAGTATCGCGTGAAGAGCGGGGCGGCGTCGACACGTAAGGCCAAGGGTGTAAGGAGGGAAGGAGAAGAGGCGGATGAGGAGCGGAAGATGCAGATGAAGCCCAAGAGGAGGGCGAGTCATCGCGCAGATGACGAAGATGAGGAGAACGAGCCGCTGATGGATGACGAGGTCACTCGGAGTCAGGAGGGTGTCGAGGATGGAGATCTGCGCCCTTATGCGCATCGCGATGTCAAGCCTGGTAGGTCTCAGCGAAGGACGTTTTCGGTATTTCATGGAGCTAACGCACGAACAGGTAACATCATGATCGCCGACAATGGCCAAACTCCCATCCTGATGGATCTCGGTTCATTGGCCCCCAGCCCAATCGCGATCACCTCGCGATCCCTCGCCTTGGCGGTTCAAGATACCGCTGCGGAACACTCTACCATGCCATACCGCGCACCCGAGCTGTTCGATGTGAAGACCGGGTCGATTATCGATACCAAGGTCGACGTCTGGTCACTCGGGTGTACCCTGTACGCTTGTTTGGTCGGCAAGAGTCCCTTCGAAGCGCGCAGCGAAGAGACCGGTGGCAGCTTGAGCATGTGTGTGCTTGGAGGCGACTGGCGCTTCCCAGATGAGAAGTCTGGTGCCTCCAAGGGCAAGGCCAAGTCTGGTGAGAGTGAGGGGTCCAAGAGCGATGGTCCTGCGATCAGCGAGGGTGTCAAGGATGTGGTCCGCAAGTGTCTCGCTGTTGAGCCTTCGGAGCGACTTGACATTGATGAGCTGATTGAGCTCATGAAGGAGGTCATTGAGCAAATGCCCGAAGACGATGGCGCAGGCCCCTCGCACTAGGTTTATTTAACGGCAGGCTCCGGATAGTATATCATTGTACAGTATGAAGTCGAAGGCCTCTCAGGTCGACTTTCCCAGTTTCCTAGCGTGTTGATGTTTTGTAAACGAGATATCCTCCTATCCTTAGTTACGTTCGAGGTCAATCTCTCTATCTCCATATCTCATGGCAGCGTATTGCACTTGCATCTCGATCTCTCTAGCGTGTAATATTCAATTCCAGACTTCAACTTTCTTCCTTTATTAGATGTACTTCTAAAATTATCTGAATGATAGCTCTAGTGTTTTCTCTCATCTATTCCTGAACATTACCACCCACTCAAGTTCCAACGTCCAACCCGAATGCCGCATTTGTCTACAACACCCGTGGTGCCGTCAAACTTAACTTGCAATCATCATGACGACAAGATCGCTGCAACCATTTGCACCTCTCACAGACTTCAAACAATATAGTAGAATCAATAAATGGTCACAATGAGCTACACATTTGACGACCGAAGCACCGGGGCCGATATTACACGTCTCTTCCCAGAACGGGTCCGAGGCAAAACATGTAACACATCTATCCTTCCAAGGTTCACTCAACCCAAGGACTAACCTCTACAGTCATTCTCTCGGGCCTCAAGCGCGGCGATCTAGTCGCAGCAACCGCAGATGTCCTCGCAGCCGCCCAGGCCTCGACACTCATCTTCACAGGCCACTGCCAAAAGGAATTGCAACCTGTGATCGACCACATTAATCGAAAATTCAAAAATGTGAAGATGATCTTCGTCACCGCTGACACGGGCAGCCTGGCATCGTTCCGAGAAGCAGGCCATGCGATCAAGAGGATGAGAATTCCAATTGACGGGTTTATAGGGTTTCCGGATGTCATGGCTGTGCCGTGGGAGCAAACGAATGACGGATATGAGTCTCACTTCCAGAAGAACTATCTCTGTTCATTCTTGCTTGTGAATATCATCTTGGATTGGATGGCGCCGGGGTCTCGGATCGTGCTTGTCACCTCTAGTATGCGGACTGAGGCACCGGCGCCGACGTGGGTTGATGTTGGATTTTCGGTGAGTGGGATATGTGTGATTCTCGAGAATATGTCTGACTTGACCAGAATGGAGAGGACTATCACTGTCTTGATGGATACGCACAGTCTATGCTGGCAATCATCTTGTTTGTCAAGTCCCTATCGAGGATCTGTGAGAATCGATCGATTACCGCGTTCGCAGCGAATCCGGGAAGTAAGTCTCACGGTCTATCCATTGGCGGAGTGGTCTGACATGCGTAGATACCAAGACCAACATCCAGACGTACGTGACGATGGAACAGATAGAGACGTGGCTGGAGCGGAAGAAGATAGGTATGTTTATCAGACGAGTTGGCGGCACCCAATCTGACCTAACTACACTATCAGCGGGCGAGGATGTTCCGGTCTTGCTTCAGCAAGCTCCCAAATCGCTTTCGCAGGGAAGTGCGACTGTCCTGCGGGGATTGCTTGACCCGGATCTAGAAGGTGAGTTTCTGATAAGCAGCATCCAATGAGATCTGTTCAAGCACGAATGACTGAGATATGACATAGAACACTCTGGGGCATTCTTGGACCATTGCCAGGCGCACAAGTTGCCCCATCTTGACTTTCCAGCGGGCGAAGAAAGCGCTAGGGCGTTGTGGGAGCGCAGCCAAGGATTCCTCGAAGCCTTTCTTTGACAGGCCGAAATAGGAAAGGAATCTACGGTTATCAGTGGGATTTGGGGTAACCCCACCGGCTAGGGGGACTTCCAAGGTTGAGTACACACTAAGCCTTCTCTGATAAGAGCCAGGAGGAGCGGAATAAAGGCCGAGATCTTCTCCGCGTATCCGCATTGACCCCTTGTTGATGTGGTATTTGGTCGAGTTGACGTCCTGGGGGTTATTTGCGCTGGATTCGAGTCGTGCATTCATAATAGACAATTGGATAATACTTGAGGTTAAAGAAAGAGTTGAATTATACACCAATTGTGCTCAGAAAGGGATATAGCAACAAGTAATAAATGCCTCCCTCGAGTCCATTTTTATAGATTTGAGTTTGCGGGGAAGCCAAGATAGCAGCGGAGCTTATCTTTCCCTTTTTGCCTTTTCACATCTCCTCTCTTTGCCTCGGGTTTATATAGTAACCCGTGGACTATGAGAATGATCTGTCTCCTTGACTCTCCTCCCCGCTGTCTGCTGCATTCCCGAGTCTGGGCGCCACCAATAATTGAACCCTTGCATTCCAAGAATACCTGCCGGGTCTTGTGTGACCGCATCGCGGAAGTTCCATTACAAGACTAAACTAAGACACCAATCCAGATATCAGCTCCAGGATGGCACCTGCTATAGACACCGCTGCCACTCCCGGAACCGTGACACTGGTTGATGTAGACCATGTCATCGAAACCCGCCATTTGGCCCATGGAGATCGCGATATCGTTCTGGTCCCCACCCCGTCAAACGACCCAGACGATCCCCTCAATTGGAGCCCCAGGCGGAAAATGCTGTCTACAGCTTGTGTGAGCATGTAAGTACTACGGCCACTCCGGTGTCGACCCCTCGATGGAACGCTGACGGAATCAGCTACACATTATTCTCTGGAATTGCTTGCTCGGTCGTGTATTCGGTTCTGACACCACTGCACGAGGCCACTGGACTACCAGTCAGCACTCTGAACGAGGGGACGGGATATATGTTCCTATTGGCTGGATGGGGACTGTTGTTCTGGCAGCCTTTTGCGATGCAATACGGCAAGCGGCCCACATACATCTTGTCATTGATTGGAATTCTGGTAAGCTGCCTTGAATCCCCTGTCAGCTGGAATATCAATTGACATACTCTAGGGCGTGACTATGTGGGGGTAAGCTGAACATCATCATCGCAGACCAATGGCAATGAGTCAACGACTAACGTCAAAAAGTCCATATGCAAACACCAATGGGCAATGGATCGCCCGAAATATCGTTTCGGGCTTCTTCACAGCACCTGTTGAGGCCCTACCCGAGATATCTGTCACAGACGTGGTACGTCTGATTTCCCAGTTGACAAGCCAGGCGCTAATCTGTGGATTACCTTTAGTACTTCACACACCAACGAGGAACATATATGGGCCTATACGCATGCTTCTTAGCTGGCAGTAACTATCTGGCACCGGTGATATGTGGATTTATCGCAGAATACCAAGGCTGGCGATGGGTCTTCTACTGGCCCAGTATCTTCGTGGGATGCGCCGCCATCTTCCTGTTCTTATTCTGCGAAGAAACCAACTACGTTCGCGAGCATGTCGAGTCTCCAGCCATCGTGCGTGCCAACTCCTCTGCTACAAGTGAGCAAAGTGGGGAGCATGAGAAATCCGTTCCATCCGCCGATGCCGAGGTTGCCGAGGTCGGTGCCATGTATACGAAGAAGTCATATGCGAAGAAGTTGTCGCTTCTGGGACCTCGCCAGAAGCAAAATACTATCTTCCGCAGGTTCTGGCAGATTCTTTACTATCTTTCTTGGCCTGTCATATTCTACGCTGGGTAATTTCGGCATTCTAGGTGTTGCATTCTAGCTAATATGGACCAGTTTCTCGTACGGTTCCTATCTTGTTTTCTTCAACATCCTCAACGGCACTGCATCAATCATTCTTGGCGGAGAACCCTACAATTTCAAGTGAGTACCCCAAAGACAGTGGAAAAGAGCCCAGGCTAACCAACTCGCTCAGATCATCCATGGTCGGTCTGAGTTATCTGGCATGCTGCCTCGGAGTGGTCCTCGGGTCCATTTTCACCGGTCGTTTCAGTGATTGGCTCACGATCAAGCTCGCTCGCCGCAACAATGGAGTCATGGAGGCCGAGCATCGTCTCTGGCCATTCCTCGCGTGTCTCGTACTAGTGCCCGCTTCCCTGCTTCTATGGGGAGTGGGTGCTGCTCACGACATCCACTGGTTCGGCCTCATCGTTGCCATGTGCATTCTCGCCTTCACCAATACTTGTGGAATTACCCTGAGCGTCAATTACTTTATTGACAGCTATCGAGAGCTGAGCGGTGTTGCCATGGCTAGTGTGATCCTGGTGCGGAACACCATGTCCTTCGCCATCGGGTATGGCATCACCCCATGGATCGAGAACATGGGCTACCAGAACTGCTTCATTTCCGCAGCCTTCATTGGCATGGCTTGTGCGTCTGTGTTCCTGTTTATGCTGAAATTCGGCAAGACGTTCCGGGAACGCTCACGCGAGAAGTACTGGAAACTCGTTCAGGAGAACTGGGAGAAGAGAATGGGTCATTGATCGAGATTAATCAAATATGCAGTACCGAGTATCTATATCAGTATAATTATACAGCTAGATGAATATCGCCTTCGTCGTCATACACAATCTCTCTCATCTTCACTGATCTCAGATGATCCACTCCGTCAGACAGCTCGCAGTCATGGTAGAACAACCACCACTTGCCCTCAAACTCCGCAATCGAGTGATGTGTCGTCCATCCAAGTACCGGGTCCAATATCTTCCCCCTGTACGTGAAAGGGCCCAAAGGCGAACTTCCCGTCGCATAAGCCAGGAAATGCGTATCGCCCGTCGAATACGAGAAATAGTACGTTCCTCGGTACTTATGCATCCACGCCGCCTCAAAGAATCTCCTTTCATGATCATCTGCCAAGATCGGCTCCCCAGTCTCCGGCGCCAGGAGTCTTATCTCTCGAACGGGCGATGCAAGACTCAACATATCATCGCTGAGAATCGCGACGCGAGGACCGAGGGCTCGTACGTCTTCACCAGATGGCTCCTGGGGACCGGAGAGGGATTTGTCAAAGACAAGTTGCTTTTCATTGCCGTCCATATCGAGTTGAACGGTTCCTTCACCTTCGACCCAGCATTGTAACTGGCCACCCCAGATACCGCCCATGTATAAGTATGCTTGGTTGTCTGCGTCTGTATCAACAAAGACCGCGGGGTCAATGCTGTAGGAGCCAGTGATGAAATTCTCTTGCGGGGTGAATGGGCCTTCTGGTTTGTCGGAAACCGCAACGCCGATGCGGAAGATGTCTTCTTTGTCTCGGGCTGGGAAGAAGAGGTAGTATTTTCCATTCTTGGTTGCTGCGTCGGGGGCCCAGAGTTGCTTGGATACCCAGGGGACATCGCTGTCTTGGAGCGCGATGCCATGGTCAGTTACTGGACCTCCTACCGTGTCCATGGAGAGGACATGGTAGTCGGCCATGTCATATTGGTCACCATTATCGTTGAAGGCAATGGTTGTCTCCCGATCGTGGGAAGGGTAGATGTATAGTTTGTTGTTGAAGACGTGGGCAGAAGGATCCGCCGTGTAGATGTGGGAGACCAGAGGCTGAGGCATGTTGACTGTTATGATTTATAGTCGCAGAACTGCCGACGTGAGGTGTATTTATGGATATTCATGGACTCGGTTTAGCCTATGAACGAACACCGCTAGACGGTTAAAGTCAACGGCGTCAACTCCGTATTAGCCTAATAGGAAGATTGGAGTCTTGGAAGATGCAATAGTCTCTTGGCTGTATATTTCTATAATATCTATAACTCCTGTCTATTATTTCTGACCCCAACGATGACCTTCATCTCGCATGGCACGTCTAAGTCCCTCTTCCCACTCCTCCTGCATCTCCTGCAATGCTTCGTCCATCTCAACATCCCCGTCCATTTCCATCCCAGCGTCCTCGGCATCTTCGGTATACTCGGCATTGGCCATCTCACGATCCTCATATGACTCGTAGATAGGTGACTCGCAGCCACTAAGACCGATAAATTGACCAATCCGCCTGCGCTTCGTGTCAAGATCCATCAGATCCTCATACTTCGATCCAATCCATGGCCGAATGGGCACTGGGTACTGACCGGATTCCTTGACAGGGGGCCAGACCTGGTGATAGTGACCGCAAATAGCATCGCATTGCTCGTGGGTAAGTAAGTTGTAAGCCAGCATGGTTGCAGGGAAGTCTGGGTGAGTTTTACCGGTGTCGCAACTGACCAGTGGGGAGAGACGGGCCTCGAGGTGTCGAAGAAGAGCAAGGAAATCAGGGCGGAGTTTCTCAGAGTTGGGGAAGTGGAGAGGAGTCCAGTCTGACTCGTCGTTCTCGTCATCGGACTGATCGTTGGGTTGTTCTTGGGTTTCGGTGGCGATAGACAGACTTCGCTCGGTGATGCTACCGACTCTTTCAGTGGGGGAAATGGGACTGGTAGGAGGGAGGGGGTGACAGAGCTGATAGAGTTTGAGCGCTGGTTATGCATTGTGAAATATGGATGATATATAATATTGAAATCGAGTGTAAGATGTGTGCGATGGAACCTTGGAAGCTTGATGATGAACTATCGAGGGGGAAGAGAGAGACTTAAATATCCTCAGAGGATGCAATGGTTAGAACAAAAAGACTGTCAACAATAAGATGGAACCTTTGTTCGACGAGAATAAAAAAGGGCCCTATTTCCATTGTATCTACGTTTCAAGATGTCATTTGTCATTGTGTGAGAGTCAAAGAAAATGTTTTCAAAGCGATACATTGTTCACTTCGGCAGCCAAATCGGGCTCCTCGAACGCAGCTGGAAGACCAACGTACTTGTTGATCCAGTTGAGCACAGTGCGATGCCACAAGAGCGAGTTCTCGGGGTTCAGCACCCAGTGGTTCTCATCTGGGAACGTCAGGAACGCACTCTCGATACCGCGCAGCTGGAGCACGTTGAACGCAGCCAGACCCTCGGCAATGGTAAGGCGGTAGTCCAACTCATTGTGAATAATCAGATGAGGCGTCTTCCAATGCTCGGTAAACCGCGAAGGATCCCACTGCGCCCAGTTCTCAGGGACCTTCCAGATCGGACCCTTCAAATCGTGCAGAGGGAAGTACTGTTCTTCACTGGCGAGCTGGCCGGTCATACTGAAGACGCCGTCATGAGTCACCAGTGCCTTGAACTTGCGCCCGAGTGGGTGGCCCTGGATCCAATTCATCATGTAGCCACCGTATGAAGCGCCAAGAGCCACTGCGCGGGCAGTATCCACATAGTCGAGGTGCTGCTCGATGTGATCAAATCCTCGGACAAGATCCTCGTAGGGCCGACCGCCCCATTGTCCCTTGATCCCGTCTGTGAAGGGCTGGCCGTAACCGGTACTTCCAGTAGGATTGGGGGTGATCACAACGTAGCCCTGCTCGGCGAATACCGCGGGGTTCCAGCGAGTGCTCCACTGGTCATTCCAAGCACCCTGGGGGCCACCGTGAATCAAGTAAGCGAGAGGGTACTTCTCGCCCGGCTTGAAATCGGAGGGCTTTACGACCCAGGCGTGCACAGGATGGTCTTCGGCTCCCTTGAACCAGATCTCGTCGACCTGCGACGAGGATAGTCCAAATGCACTACCACCACGGCCATTGGATGAGACCATCTGGACATTATCCGGGTGGGAGGGGTCAATGATTGTCCAAAGACTATTATCGACAATGCTGCTGCTGGAGACAAAGAGCTTGGGAGACTTGGCCGCTGCAGGAACGGCGTCATTGACATATCCCGAGCGGGTTAGTCTCTTCAGCGCGTCAGGCTTGGCTTTCTCAGCATTAGTCAAGGGAAGCTGATAAAGAACACCGCGGCCTTGCTCCTCGGCGTGAAGGATTAATGATTTATCATCGTGCGCGAACGACACAGACGAAGGACTGAGGTCCCAGAGACCTTCGCCATCATCAGATGCAAAGATCTCGATCATTTTCCCATCCCAAGGGTTTGGAACGTAGAGAATACGGTTCTTATCAGACTCATAGCCGTCCTCGCGCATGGCCAGTACGGCGATGGAGCTGCCATCGGAACTAAGGACCGGGGATGACATAGCTCCCTGAAGACCAGTCACTTTACAGACCTTCGCGTCCGGCTCACTCATACTTATCCAAGAGAACATGGGGGAGTAGTAACACGAGCACGATGTATGAGTTGCCGGGTTGAGGGCAGGGTCCTTTGCGATAAATACAATGGCGGACGGACTGATATCGAAGTCACCAGAACCACCAAATGGTGGAATAGGCGACTCGACACCAGTCAACCCCGAGACTTGGATTAGGTTCGTCAGTCCGGAGACGGCATATTTGCCCGCACACCTGCGAGCCGGCGTCAGAGGCGCTTGTTCCAGCAATCCATACCAGATGGAATTCTTCTGCGGCTCGACGTATGAATCCCAATGGCGAACGAATAGGGACGTATAAAGTTTACCGGTGGTCAAAGGCTTCTTCGCATCATGCGGGTTGTATAACGATCCATCGGGATTGGCCTTGCCTGTCACCGCGAAGCCAACCTTACCGGGCTCAATCACAGTGACCTTGAGGTCTGAGACAGGGCCGGGCACCGTCCCGGCGGTGTATGTACTGTCAGCCTGACGGGCGTCGCCAATGATGAAGCTCGTGTTTCCATTGGATTTGGTCTTCAGCCAGACTAGCTGGTCGCTACCATCGACCCATTGGGGGTTGCTAGCGCCAGGATCATTTGTGATCAGAGCCGAGCGGCCGGATTCGATTTCGATCACGCGGATCTCATTGGTCTTGGAGTGGGATTCGAAGGAGTAGGAGGTTTGCGTGTAGACAGCTAGGGTGCCGGCTGCGTTGGGGGTGGCTGAGGACCGCCTGGGCGCACCGAGCAGGATCCTAAAGGGTGGGTGTCAGCACATTCCCGAGCCTTGACCAATACGGGATTGGATTATTAGCTATTTGAGAGGGAAGATGAGGCTACATACTCGGGCGTGAACTTCATGGAGCGAATGGCCATATCAGATTGGATCGTCAGATAAGATAGGAAGCTCTAGGGGCAGCTTCCAAGAGTCCAGTGGAGCTGGAGCGGGAGATTTTCAGGGTCTCCAAATAGATAGGCGAATATTAGGAGCAAATGGCGGAGTGTGAGAGGTGTGGGAGGGGGAAGAGAGGGGGTCAAGAGAGAGTGCAGAAGGAAGAGAAGTTGGAGAAGGGGCTGGGTGTTATCATGCGGGGAACCCTGATGGGGTAAAGCGTGATCAGCCCGTAGTCACTCCACTCGGGCACTTAAGGCATTCATTCTCTGGACTGGCCTTTTGGTCTATTGATTCTATTTTTGGGAGATTTTATATATATAAATGATAAAATAGCTTTCATATAGCGGAAATTTGAATATTATTACAGATTGGAACCTCTCATTCCTCTTCTTCCTCACTCTCATCCTCGTCCATCCCCTCTGCGGCGTTCACGCTGAACGTAGGGGCTTGATCAACACCAACGTAGCTGTCGCTCATCAGGTAGAGCGTCAACTCATGCTCCCCGGGTGTAGGCACAACATACTCCAGGCGGAGCTCCAGCTTGCGACCGATCGTGACACGCTTGATAGCCAACAAGCTCTTGGTCTTCTCATCGCCGACAACCAGCCACCAGTTCTCCATCTTCTGGGTAGGGTAGAAGGGTGCATGGACAGTAGTGTCAACTTCTTCATCCTCGTCAACCTCGCGCTCGATCTTGACCTTGAGGTATGAGGGGTCACCAGAAGTAATGTTCTCGGGATCTTCAACCTCGAAGTCGAGCTCGATGTTGGGGTACTTGTCGTTGGTGAAAGCGGCGACTTGCTTCAATTGGGCAGCGTCAAGACCAAGACGCTTGATCAAGGCCGCGTGGTCCTTGTTCTCGGATGGGTCCATGGCTTCCATGAATTCGAAGATGTCATTAATCCTGCACGAAGAGGGATTAGTATTTGAAAACGTTGGAAGGGAATTGGATGTCACATACTTGTACTCGTTGGCGACCTGGATGACCTCTGGCGTGAAGTGAGGAATCTGCTTCAGAGGGCTATCCCGATCCCACATGGACTGGACCACCATCTGGGACAGCTCCATCGCGTTCATTGCGTTGAGACGACCCTCAGAGGAGAGAACGTCAACACATGCGCTGAGAAGGTTCAAAACCTTTCGCACAATGTCTTCCTGATCCTTGGCAAGATCGAGGGGTAGCTGCATGCGAGAGAAGTGGGCCTGAAGGAGAACAAAGGCCTTGAAGTGAGGCGAGTCGTAGGAGACCTCAGCCATCTTGACTGGGCAACGGTCATACACGCGACGAAGAATGTGGTTCTCATGACGGCGGATTTGGATAGACTCGAATTCGGTGGCCGATGTGACGATTTCCAAGATGCCCTTGAGCTTTGTCCGAGACGAAAGAGACAGCAGGAAGGTCTGCATTGTGATGAAAGAAATGTTGTAGTATGCACCGATCATGGCCGGGTTCAGAGGTGAAACACTATCGTCTTCCTCGTCGAGGTCAATGATCTTGGCTTCAGACAATTCCTTCAATGTGTTCTCCACCAGCTCAGACAAGAAGGTGCTGAGACCCTCGTGACTAATGTCACTCAAGCCGTAGAAACTAGGGTTGGCGAGAAGACGACGGTAGAAATAGGTGTATGTCATCCAATCAACCGCATCTTGGGTCGAGGAAAGAGTCCTTGTGCTAGCTTCAGTCACGAAGGCATCGTGGAGGTAAGCCTGCAAGTGACTCTCCACAGGAAGAGCCTCGTTCAGGAATTTCTTGTAGTAGTCACGCTTGACGGCGGGGACCATGAGAACACCACGACCGGCCTTGTCTTGACCAGGGCGGGATGCCTTGCCGAACATTTGCAAGATATCGCTGATTGGGTAGTCAATGTAGCGGTGCTCGCGACCGTCAAAGAACTGAGTGTTCATGACAACGACCAGATGGGCCGTGATATCTAATTCCCAGCAAACATCCCTCGAGGCCAGCAAGACCTGGATGGCACCAAGACGGAACAGATAAGTCACGATGCGCTTATCATTGGCGTTCAAAGCTTCGTGATAGTAACCGATTCCGTGAGAAAGTGAGTGAGCAAGCGTCTGCTCGTGCACACGCTCAAGAAGAGGGGTGAGCTGCTCGACATCGGCGTTCAAGAATCGGTCTTCATCATTGTCGATGGCACATGCAGAAAGAAGATCCATGGCAGTGGCCCGGACTTGCTTACGGCTAGGAACGAAGACGAGAGCAGGCTTGTCAGGCGACAGCTGCAGGATTGACTGATAAGCCGGGCGAGCCATGGCCAACATCAGGGAGGGGAAATGGGGGATGGTGAAGGATTGGAGGTGGAGCTCAAGTGGCACGGGGCGGGCGTGCGGACTGAAGTTGAAGATTGTGTGCTTGTTGGCACCGATCCACTCTCCAATGTCGCGGGCATTGGAAAGAGGAACACTGAGACCAACAATACGCATTTCGTTCTCGGTTTGCAGGGCAACGTAGTGCATGCGGGACACAATTACTTCGTAGATGTATCCGGCATACCCACCCAACAGATGGAGCTCATCGGCGATGAACAGTTGGACTGTTTGGATGTTCTTACGTCGCTGCCACTGGCGAGACAGGACGTCCCACTGCGTGGGAGTTGCAAGGACGAGATCAGCCTGCTCCAAGACCTTGAGATCAGCCGTAGTCTCGCCTGTAAGCTTAAGAATGGTCTTGCCGCCATCCACTTCAGCGAGACGTTTCTGCCAGTCGGCAAGTCTGAGGTCCACCAATTCCTGGAAGGGCGCAATGTAAACAGCACGGCCACCCTCCTTGGTGGCCCAGTGTCGAAGCAAAGCCAACTCTGCGCATACCGTCTTGCCGCTACCCGTGGGAGCACCGATGAAGATGTTGTCATCGCTGTCGAACACAGATTTGAAGACTTGAGATTGGATCTTATTGAAGTGTTGCCAATCGGGGTACAATGCCTGGTAATCCTCGCGCTTCAGGGCCTTAACTGGGGCGCGCTGCATGTCCAGCAAAGGTGTGTGAGGGGGAAGCGCTCGGGGAGAATCAGTTTCTGGAAAGAAACAGCAATCTTGGTTTCGGAGTGCATCCATCGGTCAGACACGAGGGAGATGAAGTAGTTAGGTGGCATTGGTTCTGTGACAGGAACAGTGAATTCAACAAGGTGCTCATTCATCTCAGACTTGGCGAACTCGGCGCGGAGCATGAACCGGTCATGGAACAAGATCTCTTCACCGTCGCAGTCTTCGACCAAGATCCAGAAGTCTTGAGCACCGCCGTGCACATTGTCATCCCAAACAAAGTTTGGCGTAATGGTCAGCTCGACCCGCAGCATTGAGCGTGTGATAGGTTGCACTTGAGCTTGGACATCGAGTCTGGGGAATTTGGATACCAAGTCACAGACAACACGTCCAGCCTTGGGCATGCCAAGAAGTTCACCCATGCGTGGGGGATCAAGGTCGAAGTAGCTGTTCCAGGGCACATCAATTCGCTCGGACTTCTGCAACACATCTCTTGGGCAGTGGGGGAACTGGCGAAGGGGAGACATAGTGGGCCACATGCGCTTCTCCGCCATTTTGCAGAGATCGAGAGCGGTCTTGGCCACTGAGGACCATCCCTTCTTCAAGCAAATCTCGAAAAGAGCTCGGATGATACGACCAGCAGATTGAGTGACATAGACCATATCTGCCATCAGAGCGAGACCGTCGAGTTTGAGTCTAGAGATGTAGGCCTGTAGAAGCACGTTGATCTTCGCGTGGGGCTCATCAATGGTTTCCTTCACTGGAACGGGAACCCGACCAAGCAGCTTACCAAGCTCAAGCTTCTCATCCTGGCGGACTGGAATGTACTTGAACTCATCACTGAGAGCGAAAATGCGGAAAAGCTCGATGGTGGTGATGGAGGGTTGGAGGTGTTGAGAGTAGGTCAACATCGAGTTGTGGCCAATGTAGTAGTGCGAGGAAATACGTCCAAGCTCGGTTGACTGCAGACGTCCGGTCTTCTTTTCATACTTGACAAGACCGGCCTTCTCGAGAACAGCAGCGGCGGAGTGGATAAGATCAACACGCTTTTGTTCCAAAGCGTCGTCATCTTGATAGTCTGCGCCGACGCTGTACAGACCCGGTGATCGGAGCATACGAACATAGAGGTAAGTGTAGCCTAGCCACTCCACACCATCATCGCGAGTGCGCACATTGCCAAGCACGATCTCAGCGTTCAAATTGTCCGCCAGCTTACTCATCAATTGAGACTCGATGGGCAGCTGTTGATTCAGAAGTGAGAGATAGTATTGAATCTCTGCTTGCGAAGTGATGATAATACCCTCACCAAAGGTGTCGTATTGTGGTCGACCCGCTCGTCCCAGCATCTGGAGGACATCCTGTGGGCTCAGCTCTACCCAGGCACCCTTCTCAGGCGAGTAGACCTGAGTTCCCTTGATGATAACGGTGTGGGCGGGAAGGTTGACACCCCAAGCCAGAGTCGAGGTACAGACAAGAACTTGAATACTGCCATCTGCGAACAAGGACTGCACGGAATCACGGTCAGCAAGACTGAGACCAGCGTGGTGAATTCCGAAACCGTAAGGCATAACGTCCTTCAGGCCAGCATCGTCGACGGAATCAGCTTCCTCAGCAAGGATGGCACGACTAGCGGCATCACTGCGCAGGATCTGGCCGATGGTTTCGTCCTCAAGGGCCTTGTCTCTGATGTACTTGGCTGTCTTGGCGGTTTCCTTGCGAGAATGCACGAAGATGAGCATTTGGTTTCGGCGTTGGCCAACCTGCTCCATGACCTTGGTGTAGCAGATGTCATTCATTGTCTTGAGCTGCTTGATTGCCTTCTTGTCAGTGACACCAATGAACTCCTGCTTCAGGGGGCAAGGACGGTATGTGCCATCGAAGTGGAACATGCCCTTGACAGGATCGGCACGCAGGAAGCTTCCGACATCCTTGTAGTTGGGAAGAGTAGCACTCAGACCAACGATTCGAACTGGCTCTCCGGTCTGCTCCGATCTGCGAATGGTTCGGCTGACAATGCTCTCAAGAACGGGACCACGGTCATCGTGAAGAAGATGAATCTCGTCAATGACAACTAGACGAACAAGCTTGGTGTAGCTGGTCTCCGATGCCTTTCTGGTGATGACATCGTACTTTTCGGGAGTGGTGACGATGACCTGGGTATCGGCAATTTGCTGCTTGGTGAGCTGGCGATCACCTGTAAGTTCTGCAACGCGAATTCCATAGGGCTCAAGACGCTTTCCTAGGTTGCCGACTTGTTCTTGCACCAGTGCTTTCAAGGGAGAAATGTACACAATCTTGAAGTCATCCAACATGATCTCGCCAGTCTCAGGATTGCGGTTTTTTCCAATTTCCCGAAGAAGAGTGAGCATGGCAACGTTGGTCTTTCCGGAACCAGTGGGAGCACAGACGAGCAAGTTGCCATCATCATGGAAAGCTGAGGGATAACACTTTGACTGAATGCGATTGAGCTCCTTGGAAGTTCCGAATCCAACGCGGGCCCATTCAGGCAGTTCAGTAGTCGGGATTAGCTTCTCGTTAGGGTCTTTCTTTGCCTTGGGAGGCGGTACGTGGATCTCTTCGTAGCCCTTGAATGTGCGCTTGCTGGAACCTTGGGGCAATTTAACGTTAGGGTTGGTCATGAGGTGGTTGCCCTGTTGGAAAACAAGGTTCTCGAGGTTGATAGTTCTCTTGGGCTGGAGGGGTCCGGTCGGGATTTCAGGCTTTTCGTCGGCAGATGCACCTGAAGGGATATCGACATCCATCAAGTCAAACTTCATTTTCTTCTCAGGGCGATCCGTAAGGTCCTCGCGGGCCTCTTTGCCACGGATCTCATCAAGAATAGCGCGGTGTCCGGCTTCGACCATCTCGATCTCGACGAGGTTGCGCGCATCGGCATCCTCTGCGACTCTTCGCCAACGGGTGACCCAGACGGCCTTATCGCGGTTGGTAACCAGTTTAGCAACCAGGTCAGGGTGGTCATAATCAAAGAGTTCCATGAGGTCGTTCTCAACGTCGCGCAAGGGCTTTGGTGTTCCATCCTCTTCCTTGCCGCCGAGAATTGCGAGTGCCTCATCGGTCTTTTCATGCTGAGTGTGGGCGTCGGAGTAAAGGGAACCGATTTCGCGTTGCAGCCAGTAGGCGTCAATTTCACGAGCGGAGACCTTCAGGCCGGCCTTATCTACAGCCTTTTCTTTTCCACCAAGACCCCCGTCAATGACCATCTCGTCTTCGTCTTCCTCTTTGGGAGCGGTGGCATCGCCATTTTCTGATCGCTCTTCGTCGGCTTCGTCGTCGTCGCTCAGGTCGTCGTCGTCGCGAATTTCATTGACGGTTCCCATGCGATCGTCGTCCTCGTCTTCCTCGTCGAACACGACAGCTACACCTTGACGCTGATCAAGCTCCCCGTCGTTTTCGTCGAGGTCATCGTTCATTTCTTCGTCCTCATCCTGGGCATCGTAGTCTGTGATTTTCTTGCCCAGGTTGACAAGCTCGTTGAATTCCTTGGGGTTCATCGAGCTCCCCAAAAGATCATCGATCTCTTTCTTTTTATCGAAATCCTTCATTTCCTCATCTTTGAGATATTCCAGCACCGCGTCCGCAGCACTTCGAACGACTTCGTGGGGAACATCGCCCAGAACGCTTCCGGTGATTGTGAGGATAAGGTCGTAGGTGGCTCGTGTGGCGGGTGTCCGGGGACGGTATTTGAGGCCTTCGACAAAAGCGTCGGCTGCTGATAGGATGCCCTGCCCGCGAAGTTGTGCTGGTTGCCCGCGTGAGCGCTTTTTCTGTTCGCGTAAAAGCACATCCTCGCCCTCATCGATACCGCCGCGCTCGATACCGGTAGGTGCGGTCTTCTTGGATTTGGGAGCAGTATCACGCGCGACTTGAGCGCCCATCTCCCGGATACCAATGCGACCAGCCAGAGACTCCGGGTCTCCTGTGGGTTCGTCATGGGTGCGACTGATGAAACGACGGTCCGCCTGGAGAACCAGGTTGGACATCGCCGCGTACTTGTACTGTGAAATATTTTGGTCCGCCATCTTGGTGGTTGTATGTCTGTGAAAAAGATGAAAAAGAATGAGTTGCGACACGAATCTTCCGCTCAAGACTCAGGCCGCGCCGAGACACGAAATCGGCAATTGATGTAAGTTCAAATGGTCTCACAAACCTGGCTCATCCTCCTCTCGTAAACGTCAAGAGCAAAAAAAGTAATGGGCCAAGGCTAGTGCAGATGAATAAAGCCAAGGAGAAGCTGGTCGGGAAGATTTCGGTGGCGAAGGCGGAAGGAGGGGAGCTTTTGTGGTTCTGCCGGTCCAATCGTCACTGGCGCGTCGCAACTATGCGCCTTCACGCATGGCCTTCTTACTTGGCTCTTCGTTCTACGTCAAATAAATCGTCATTGATTCGACTGTCCTACAACTGTCACGTACATCGTACAGTTTGCCACCATGCGCGCCGACCCCCCGTCCACCGTGTAGCCCCCAAGATCCACATACGAGGCGCCAAGACTAAAACGACAGTGAAGCTCAAGGACCTACCTCAAGGTGTTCTCAAATTAGATTCATACGACGATCGGGTGGACAATGCACCCCAATATCCAACGGTGGTGCAGGGGCATCGAAATAACATGCAGAAATTCCAAAATTGTGTCGTGTTGACGCGCGTAGGGGGTTTCTACGAGGTTTGAAGACCATCAATACGTGCTCAGATGATGCGGAAAGTCATACTAACATCTCCCCCTGGTAGCTCTATTTTGAACAAGCGGAGGAGTTTGCACCTTTACTCGGCCTCAAGCTCGCAACCAAAAAGACCAATGGAGGGCCAGTACCCATGGCCGGATTTCCCTTTTTCCAATTGGATCGCTTTCTCAAGATGCTCGTTCAAGACCTGAACAAGTACGTTGCTATCAGCGAAGAGTTCGCTGCCAGTGCGGAAGACAAAGCAAGCACCGGGGGCCTCCTGTTTGATCGAAAGGTCGCGAGGATTATTACCCCTGGTACCCTGATTGATGAAAAGTTCATTGATCCTTCGGAGCATAACTTCCTGCTTGCGATTTACTTCGATGTCCCCGCGTTGGAATCACAGTTGCAACAACATACAGAGAAAGATGGAGCATCATCCAATCAACATGTTCTATCTTCTGTGCCCCATCAAGTAGGGCTATCATGGTTAGATCTTTCGACGGGTGACTTCTATACCCAGCTCACGACTACTCAAATGCTGCCGTCTGCCATTGCTCGTATCGGAGCTCGCGAGATAGTGGTGGATCAAAATGTACAAGATGTTATTGGACATGAACTGCAAATGTTGGTTGGGCATGATCATCGTCTTGTTACCTTTTTCCCATTTCCCAAGCTGTTTCATCCAATATCGGAATGGGGACCAATGCTAGAATCTCCTGTTCCAGAAAACTCACGCGCCTCGTTCACCGACGAAGAAGTCGCAGCTGGTTATAGTCTTCTTGAGTATACCCGTGTACAATTGCAAGGGACAAATCTCAAGCTTCAACCACCCATCCGCCGGCATTTGAACGAGTCTATGAGTATTGATCGTAACAGTCTGAGTGGCCTGGAAATATTAGAGACCGCGCGCGACGGATTTGGGAAGGGGAGTCTCCTCCACGCCGTGCGAAGAACTTCTACTAAGAGTGGAGCAAGGCTTTTGCGGGACCGACTGAGTATGTTGAAGTGCCTGCGAATTGATGTACCGCCCGATTTGCTAACATGTCACACGCAGCCTCTCCATCTACGTCGTTGCAAGTCATCAATGAGCGTCTGGAGCTTGTCTCAATTTTCATTGAACATTCTGGACTAAGAGATAGTATCATTCAACTACTCAAACGCAGCTATGACTCTCAGCGATTGGTCCAAAAATTTGCGTTTGGTAAAGGCGACCCAGACGACCTGATATGTCTCTCCCGGGCCATTGAAGCTTCAAAGGAAGTCAGACAAGTCCTTTCTGAACATAGCAGGCTGACTACTTCGACCAATACCTCCGACTCAAACCACAGCATTTCCTCCATGATCTCCCGCCTATACCTCGATGGCCCTTCTGTCCTGGCTGAACAAATTCTGGCCGCCATTGACGAAGAAGGACTTTTACAAAAACAGCGCATCGAAGATAGTACCGCTGCCGAGGCAGCAAGTCTGGCAGAAAAGGTCACTATGGACGAAGGTACACCGAGCGATCTAGAAGCACTCCCCAAAAAGGTCCGAGCGAAGAAAGCCGAGCGCCCTGTTGCAGTCGATTCTGAATCTGGTCCCCCTGATACATGGATCATGAGACGTGACGCCAGTAAAACCTTGAATAACCTTCACACAAAACTGGAAGACTTGAGCAACGAAAAGGTGACTCTTACCCAGAAACTCCGCGAGGCAGTTGAGTCAACAGCGCTCAGTCTGAAATGGACCCCAGGACTGGGCCACATTTGCCATGTCAAAGGGGCGAAGATATCACAGCAATCATTGGAAGACTTGGGGGTCACCCGGAATGTCTCGTCGACCAAGTCCACCCGTTCATTTTACCTGCCAGCTTGGACGGAGCTAGGAACTAAAATGGACCACGTGAAGATCCGAATCCGTCAAGAAGAGCAAGCAATCTTCGAAAGTCTCCGCCGGAAAGTGATTCTCAATTTGGTCAAAATCCGCCGAAACGCAGCCGTCATGGACGAACTGGACGTCGCTTGCTCGTTCGCTGTATTGGCCGAAGAGCAGCAAATGGTGCGACCTATACTCAACGACGGAACCCAGCACAAGATCGTTGGGGGAAGACATCCAACTGTCAAGTTGGGTCTCGAAGAGCAAGGTCGCTCATTCGTGAGCAATGATTGTTTCCTCGGTGACTCTCAGCGAATATGGCTTATCACTGGGCCAAACATGGCAGGCAAAAGTACATTTTTGCGACAAAACGCATTGATTACCATCCTCGCGCAAGTGGGATCCTTCGTCCCTGCCGCGTATGCCGAGATCGGCATTGTCGATCAAATCTTCAGTCGCATTGGCGCAGCCGACGACCTCTTCCGGGACCAATCCACATTTATGGTAGAAATGCTGGAAACCGCTGCCATCCTAAAGCAGGCCACACCCAAGTCATTTGTCATTATGGATGAAGTAGGCCGTGGCACAACGCCTGAAGATGGCACCGCTGTCAGTTTTGCTTGCCTTCACCATCTACACTACCACAATCAGTCCCGCGTACTTTTCGCGACTCATTTCCATGCCCTCGCAGACATGACACAGAAGTTTGAGAAATTGGAAAGGTACTGTACCGACGTGAAGGACTTGCCCTCTGGTGCCTTTTCATTTGTTCACAAACTTCGGAAGGGTGTGAACCGCGAGTCTCATGCTTTGAAAGTTGCTCAGCTGGCTGGGTTGCCTAAACAAACCCTGGAGCTAGCTCAACGAGTTCGTGAGGAAATTCGAGGCGAAGCAACCCCGTCGAATATCGAGTGAAGAAGCTCCGCCAGGGCCGACCAACATTTCATGTCAAATACATCTTCAAACGGGCATTACAAGTTCAAAACTATAGCTTTTGCAATCTGTTCCTTGGTTGATTCATCGCCCTGGGCCGTAAAACTATTACTCATATTTTGATTGGCAACAAAAGAGAGCTGTCATCGACTTCGGGGGCATTTGTAACTTGGCTGCCTTTTACTGTCCTTCCAACTAATCATCGAGTACTTATGACTGGTCGAGTAAACAGAGGCTCGGCTAAACCGTGAAGGGAATTAGGGATTGGGGATTGGAAGGTGATTTTGGAGATGCGACCTGCATGTCGTCTTCCAAGGTTGTGGCCGGCCCAGCGTATAGGTTCAAGTCATTGCGCCTATGCAACATTGAGATGATCACACACTCCACGATGAACTCTCTTCAAGGCCTCATCCAACTGATCAAGGGTCACACCATAGCAAAGCCGAAACCATCCTAGCTCTTTGAAGTGGTAGCTTGTCCCCGACGAAAGAGACACCCCATTAGATCTGATATGACCGAGAAGCCTCTGCTCCTCCTCAAAGGTCTTTACTGGACACAACCTGGCAAAAACAAACATTCCGTACCCTCCGGATATATATTCTATCCTATGCGTCTCAAAGAATGAAGTCATAACCTCATACGCAACTTTCAACTGCTTCCCTCCATGGTCGCATATCGTCGTGATACTTTCTTCTTCGAGGACCTTGGAAGCGAACGAAGTGGACAAAGAAGATACCTGACTGTGAAGACTCAAAGCGGCACTGAGGCGAACAGGCTCATTTTGTGTGATCAATGCGCCCTAATCACGATGTCGGACGTCAGTCTCCTAAACTTTCTCCCGAGGTCGATTTGATTGTTCCTAACTCACCACTCGGATCCCACTGCAACCAAAATCCTTGCTGATGCTGTATATGATATGGGTCTTTTTGATCATTTTAGCCTCACACATCTCGAGGATCGACACGAAGGGAACAAAACCCTCGGGCGCGGGCTTATGAGCGGAGAGTGCATACACCTCATCGGAGATATAGTGCAAATCAAGACGCTGGCAAAAGTCTAGCAACGCTTGCAATGTTTCTCGCGGATAGCATTGACCCAAGGGATTGTGAGGATTACAGACCAGAACCGCTTTGATAGGGACGGGAGAACTCTCAGCGGCTGACTCGTAGTATCGAATGCTTTCCGGGGTGAAAAATTCCGAAAGAGGGACATGAACAGGGATGACTTTTGTCTGGCCGTGAATGCTGAGTGAAATGTCGAGACCTGCCCAGTAGGGCGTCGCAATCAAAATACCGTCGCCAGGATCGCAAATTTGCTCTACGAGCGCAGTCAGGGCAAAACTTCCCCCGCCGCCAGCACTATTTGAGATGGTTCGACAAGGCTCCGGGGTTTGAAGTGACAATTCGCCAAATCAGCGAGTAGGCTCCTAGTCTTGGGACAGCCGCCAATGCCCGAGGCGTATGCCAAGTCCTAAAAATCGCGAAATATCAGTGGTTGATCACACGCAACAGGAGACAACTCACATTCTCGGTGTTGTCGCCTTGCATCTCACGCAGCAAATCCAAAACGATCTCTTTGACATGCCAGTTGTCGGCTGTACTGAGATCAATGGTTGAAGCACTGCCTGAAAGAACTGCATCATGCTGTTTGAGAAGGCTTGGAATGATGGTTTCATTTCTCGAGATACAACGTGAAGACAACATGTTCGGTTCGATGACGCCAAGAAGAAGATGTGGTCCAAAATGCGGTCAAGTCAGACTGAGAGATAACAGCTACCACACTCCATTACCTGGTAAAGACCTTCGTGGCTAGCTTATTGTCTCGTATCCCACACACTTCTCCCCCGGGGCATATTGCCCGTTGAAGTAACGCCTGGACGCCCCTGTGGTGTTTAGTCGCCGAAACCTCGCAATTAGTTACCGCGTGGCCGTGGAGGTCGTGAGTCAGAACCAGCCTGGGTGTCAGCCTTTTGTGGGGGGATTTTTGTTTTTCTTATATCTTATTTCGAGCAGATCGCTGCGATTGAGGTATACTTCAACGCAAAGGAGTTATAGTGTGACACCATGGCTTTGGCATTTTGGAGTTCATTGTGAGAGCGTTCGATCAATTTGCATAATTTCGGTGACTGACAAAGTCCAGCGTTTCCCTTTTCCCAAAAAGTTGGAATTTGGAAGACAAGGTAATGAGACTGGTTCGAAAAATGTTACCCAAGGCTGACCTCTCTTCGTTCAGTCGGACTTGACTGAGTCTGTTGTCCAAGCTACCACCAACGATGATGAGCTATGGAACAATGAAGTCGGAAAAATGCTGGGTATAATGCTTGAGATGGCTGGGTACCCTGATCACTCGAGGGAAATACACTGCAACTTCTTTCACGAGTCAGTCGCGCCGTCTCTGGGTCAGCATCCGAGAGGCACTGGAATATCGCAATGGAAGAGTTTCATGACCGATGATCATACGCCCGTCGAGCTCAGTTGGTGCTGGTCAAGCTCCTTGGAGACACCTACCGTTCGCTATTCAGCTGAGCCGATAGGAAAGTGGGCTGGTCAGCCAGCTGATCCCAACAATACAGCTGCTAGCTTACGCCTATTTGGTGATGCTCTACAACTATCCCCAGAAATGGACCTTTACTTACACCGGCATTTTCAACGTTCGCTTATGGCTCCGACTATGATCGATGAAGGCGCCGCGGTGCAGATTCCCCAGTCCCAAAGTTTTATCGCCTTTGACTTGCTGGAATCCACGATTGTCGTCAAACAATATTACTTGCCCGCCTGGAGAGCACTAGCAGAGGAAAAGTCCAATTTTGCCCTTGTTGAGGAAGCCATTCGAGATATCCCCTCGCTCGGGGCTTCCTTACTGAGCTCGTTCGCCGTCTTCAGAGACTTCATCGAATCGCTTCCAATCGAAACCCGCCCAACGGTGGAGATAATGGCCATTGACTGTCTCGACCCTTTGAAGTCTCGATTGAAGGTATATATTCGATCGCAATCAACAACACTAGACAGTGCTTTGCAGATCTTGACTATAGGAGGTGAAGCACCCAAAACATCCGAGGAAAAAGCCTCATTACGGGAATTGTGGCACTCGATATTCGGCTTGGACCCGCAACAAAGCGATGACACACCCCTTCCAGAAAAGGATCATCGCACGGGGGGTATCCTCTATTACTTCGAATTTAAGTGTGGTGTGAATACTCCCAAGACGAAGGCTTATTTACCTGTGAGGCACTATGCTCGAGATGATCTTCAAATTGCAACGGGGCTGTCTGAATACCTGGGTCACCGAGGGAAAAGGCTGGATACTGGCTCTTATCTCGAGGGTGTTCAAGCATTATGGTAAGTGCGAGAGTCCCAGAATAGGATGTTCTACTCACAATACGGTTTAGTAAACATCGAAACCTGTCCGATGGACTAGGACTTCATACATATATCTGCTGGGCTTCTGAGAACAATGCTTGGAATGTTACGGCGTACTACAATCCTGAAGTCTATCATTCGAGTCGCATTTGAGATGAACGTTTCAGTTACATAGCTTATCTTATTTCCCAGTCTTAGATGATTCCAAGATTTACGACGATGTTATTCTTCAAAACCTGAAATTACCTGGTCACTATTGCCATGCCATGCTTTACTTCATGTACATCTAACCTTGGAAGAGGATCTCGGTCCCTGTTATTCGCCGATTTCAGTCTTATCGGTCACTATTTTGGATTAAACTTTGATGCATGTCAGAAACTTAGTATTGGGAATCGAAATCAAAGGAAAAGAAGCTCTGCTGGAATATTGATATATTTGAAATATGTAGAAACTATTGTAAATCTTTTCTTGAAGCGCCATCTCATGCGTTAGACATGAACCAATCAGAATGCACCTGGGCACTAAGCCACAGACCCCTGCTTTCCCATGACGCTTCTCCTTTTCTCGTTGCTCGCCCCTCGCCTGTAGCACTGATTTTCTTCAACTCCTCACATCTCAGCATATTCCCTCTCGGATCGTATCGCAGCTATGGATATCCAACGACAATTCCCTGGTGTTCATTGGATTTGGAGAGGTGGCATCTCCTTCGTTTATGAGGTCCACCCTTCCATCGTGGTCAAGGTCCCCAAGCCTGGGGAAGATGAAAGAGAGCAATTCCGTAAAGAGGTCTAGATTTACAAGATATTTTTGCAACATCCACCTTGTCATTTTGTGGTACAGTGCTTTTTCTATTCAAGCAACGGCATCTTCCTCCAATATATGAGAGGTGTGACCCCTTTCAGTAGGTGACGAATCATTCGACTAATTGCTTTATTAGATAATACCCTTTCCTTTAGAATACAACTCAATCACACCAGAAACCAGGAAAAGATAGTGACTGAAGTAAAACAATTGGAGCCTCTGCCTTTAAGAAAAGAATGGATGAACGACCTCGCTCAAGCCGTCGCTTTCCTCGAATCACTAAGCCTTGCTCATGGGGACTTACGACCGGAAAACATCTTGATCGATCGCAACCGGCTAAAATTATCCGATTTCGATTGTACCGGGAAATTTGGGACGGATTTCGAAGCTTGTGTACCACCGTATGGAAGAATTCTAAACGGCCACGAAGCAGATCAAGGAGAACGTGGAACTGCTGGCTTCCTATGCCCTCGTACTGAGCTGTTTGCTCTCGGCTCTTTATATTATCTGATCAACTACGGCTTTGAGGTTTATGATGATCGATATCTTACCGAGGAATGGAAGGAGCAGGGGCGTAAAGTTGTGCATTTGCTGCAAAGCATGATATTCCCAAATCTAGACGGCGATCCGCTGATTGATGCTATCATCGACAAGTGTTGGCACAACAAGTATGCTACGGTGGCGGAACTGGCTGCATATACAAAGGGGCTTCTTACTAAAGCGACTAGCGAGGTAATAAAGGCCGAGCTAGCCAATGACCAAGATATCAATGGCGATAGTTACGGTGATGTGGATCAAAACCAGCCGGTGGAGGATTCTCTTTTCAAAAAAGGATTATGTCAGGATTTGGAGCAGCGTGGGCTTCTTCACTTGCTTTCTTCGGATGAGCCCCAGAAGCTCGGATTTACTTGCGAGTGGTATAGGCACGCATCTTGACCTGGTCGGATCAACCAAGGCTTGCCGGGCCGGGGAATGACAGGAGATGACAACTACTCTATCGGCTATGAGCCCCGATTTCTTCGAATTCTTATATCATCTTGGATAGAATGGATAGAAGACGTTACAATTCGAGGAAAGATTTTATTTTTGAGTTTTCCAGTTATTCGTTGCCGATAAATCACGAGTGCGTTCGCGAAGGTGGATTCGGTTTTCACATTATTGACGCAAACCTCCAGCTACCACATCCGACGGCCCTTAATTCCGAGGTACCAGCATAAAGTCTTGATGAAATTTATTGCTTCCATCTTTTACTTAGGGAAAACAACAGAGGTATTGTTCCTGACTGGCCAGGCCCTCGCATAGTCGCCGAGAGATAGTCACCGACCAGAGCAATGTCCGACATGGGCTTGGTAAGAGGACCTGAACAATCATAGCCTCATTGGCAGTCCTGCTATCATAGAATGTCTATCGTCGAATTTCAATTTGTGACCCTTCGACTCTGAGAGCATACTGCTTGCCTGACCGTTCGCGCTGCAAAAGTCGAATATGGACTATATCAATGCCCATTGGGGGTTGGCGTCATTGATCGCCGTTGCTGTGTGGGTAGTTTTTACTATCAGATATCAAATAATTACTATCGTCGTAAGTTTCTTTTTCGTTCCGGAGACAAGAGTTAATTGTACTAACGCCATTCAGATCTCCAACGTGGTACATCCCATCAGGAACTTCCAAGGGCAAGCTATCCAAGGCCCGCAGTGGCAGTCCCTCGATGGTCAGTGTCTTGATAAATTTCTCAACGGGAGGGAAGTCAGTCAAGCATGGAGGAAGCATGGCTCTGTCTATCGAATTTGGTCAGGACTCACTCCAGAGGTGTATGTCGATCATCTGTCAATCTTGGAAAAGGGCGTACCAAACTGACTGCACGTAGTGTTTTGACAACACCCGAGGATCTCAAGCATTTTCACTCGGACTCTGCACTTCACAAAAAGTCACCTTCCAGCAACGGAGGGTGGTTTTTCCATCAACTGTTGGGCGACTGCATGGGCCTGATAAACGACCATCATTGGCAGGCGATCAGAGGACAATTCAACGGCGCTTTTACCCATCTTTCTATTACCAGATCATGGAGCTTTCTTCTGAGTTCCACCAAGAGCTATCTCCAGCATTTTGCAGCCGACGTCGTGGAGCTACAACCTGTCACTCACTTCGCCTCGTTCCCTTTTTTCGCCACTGCAGAGTATCTATACGGACCGTTGACTCAATCTGAGAGAGATGAGCTCTGGGGTCTGGGACAGCGAAATCTTGCTCTCATGGGGTGTGTTTTGATGGGCGGGGTATATCGATCCCAGATGTGCCGTTGGCGCAAGCCAGAAGACTACCGGCGACTCAAAACATTCGAGGATGACTGGGTCAATTTTAACGAAACAATTGTGGAAGCGAGAAAAGATATTGATGGCCCTCTATCTCCGGTGGTAGAGGGATGGAAGGCTGTGGATAATGGCACAGTGACGAGAAAAGAGGTAAGGATTGCATCCACCGCGAAGTGCTCACTTCTATCAAAGCTTATCTCTTCTAGATGATCCAAACAATAAGCGAGATGCTTTTCGCAAATCTCGACGTTTCGACGAATGTCTTGAGTTGGTTGATCACATTCATCGCGAAAGATGCAAGTGTGCAGCACCAGCTCCGACAAGAGTTAAAAGAGCACGCCGGCTCCGTCGACGAGCTGTGCAGAAAGAAGGACTCATTATTGCATTTGTGTTTTCTGGAGTCCATCAGACTTCGACCATTTACCGGTAAGTCCTTCCATCTCAGCCTGACCAATTACTGACAGCATGAAGTGTTTACAATTCCGGAATATTCGCCCAATACGAAAGTCGTCGGCGGATACACGATCCCCGCAAAGGTATGAGATATGAAGATGCGACGATGGAAGAAAGATGCTGATGAGTTATCCAGACCAGCGTTGTGGTCGACACATTGGCAATCAACTACAATCCTCACTTTTGGGGGAGGATAGTGCCCACTTCAAACCTTCGAGATTGAAAGGAATTTCCTCCACCGAGGTGAGACAAGCAAATAACCCCGGGAGTAATTCCCATTGTGCTGATGTCGTCAAGCTACGATACAATCTGTTTACATTTGGGTTTGGCTCGCGGAAGTGTCTTGGAAAGCACTTCGCGGAAGCAATGATGAAGGTGTTTATTTGCGAACTCATTTCTCAGTACGAGATTCGAGTCATTGATAAGGGCCAGCTTAATTTGACCACAGAGAAGCAAGCTACATGGGTGCCCGTCTCAGATATCAAGATACGATTTGTTCCCGTTGGCTCCGTTAGCCAGGGGTAATGTGGCATGGCAGACAGGGCATTAGTCCCGGCTTGGAGACGTCCGCGTTTAAAAAGGCAAGGCTTTAATGTTATTGTGATACTTTAAAGATGGCAGCTGAATATGGATTCGGATCGGTCAAGATGGGCATGGGTTGTATTTCTAGTTCATAACTATACGAGATGAGGAGCAGAAGTATTCCCGGCAACGCTTGATGACACCGATAAATTGGTCTATCTGCTTTTTTCATCAATATCCAATTGAGCAAGCTCTTCGTTCGATAGTCCAAATCGGGACACCCGATGCAATGCTCTTGCGACAGGCTTGAACGAACTCATTTGCTCGCTCCACGCCTTCAACTTCGGCCACTGAGTGAAGTCCAACTCAGCAGATATTGCGATCTTCTCATTTGCTAAAGGATAAATAGCAAAGTCCGCGATAGTCGGTCTATCGGCAAGTGCAACATACAATTGGCCTGGCTCACTCAATCGACTCTCGAGGAAATCATACTCAGTGCGAATGTACTTGAGCAGCACCGACAAAGACTCTCCAATGGGAACTGGTTTGGGAGCTTTCATTAAAAGCCAGATCTTGCCAGTAGCACCAAGGCCAGCCGTGTATGACATGAGCCAGTTCATGATGACGGTTCGTTCGTGTATATTCTTGCCGCGGTAGAGACCTTCGGTGTCGTATTTCTCCGCGAGAAAGGTCAGGCAGGCTGAGCTGTCAAAGACATTTGTTCTCTCTGTGGAGCTATCGGACTCAATGTCCACTGAATCCTCCATTGCTGGAACCATTTTGTAGGGATTGACCGAATGGAACCATGTTTCGTTGCTTGTTGACGTGATGAGATGAATGTGATGAGGGATGCCAAGCGCCTCGATCAACATCAATGGCTTCACAGTATTGGCAGTAGATGTTGGACTTGCTGAAAATTGTGAGAAAAGGGATTACAAGGGGTTGAAGGCGCTTGCTTGGAGATGTACCTTTTTTGACATATAGAACTAGCTTGTCATCTGGGATAGCAGGGCGAGTCTGTACGTCATCCGGAGTAGACATTTTGTTGAAGAATAGATCTGGAATAGAATAGCAATACGCCCTGAAGTGATTGGAATTTAAACCCCTCCGGCTTTGCCGTCCGTGATGCATTCATTGTTCGCGGCCCGGCGACTATGCGGACCTCGGGAGGATCCTAGCCAGCGGTTAGTCCCCGGCTAATATCCAGAGTGGGGACATATATCACGCCCAAGTACCCATGGTTCGATTGATGGGTGAATTGATAGAATATTGAATACATTGACTTCGACATGAGTGCAACAACCCCGAAAGATCCCTACCGCGGCCCGCGCCACCAAGGCGAATACGACCGCCTCAGCACCCAACATGAACTCGTCAAAACCGCTATGCACGGAAAGCTTCTCTATTCTCCTGTCGATCTGACAGCCCCGAACTTTCGCGTTCTCGACTCCGCGACTGCCCAAGGTACCTGGCCGATTGACCTGGCCCAGTCTGTGTCCCCGACTGCCACTCTCATCGGAACCGATGTTGCACCTCAGCATTTCACACCTGAAGATCAACGGCCCTCAAATGTGCACTTGAAAACACACTCCATATTTGACACTTGGCCAGAAGACTTTCAGAACAGTTTTGATGTGGTACACCAACGATTTGTACTAACAGTCTGCTCCAACGAGGCCGGGCAAGACGCGGTGCGAAAGCTTTTGGACTGCGTGAAGCCAGGCGGTTGGATTGAATTACACGAGGGAAACATGCTTCGTATCAAGGAAGGTCCTGAGCATGTGGCTTTCATGCGATTCCGAGACATCATGGTCAAGGCATGGGCTGCCATCGGAAATCAACCGAGCCCTGGGCACTATTTGGTTCCCTGGCTGAAGGATGCTGGTGCCATTGACATCCAAGAGGAGGTTCAGACAATCGAGGTTGGAGCCGAGGCCAAGGATCAGGATCAAGGCGAGAGAGCGATCGCTGTTTTGCTTCATCTGTTGGATGGAATGAAGATCATGCTCGGTGGTGAGTAAATTTTCGGCTGTATCAAGGATTGACGGCTGACTATCTGTCATAGATAAACCAAATCAACCCACCAAAGCGGAATTTGATGAGCTTCGACTGCAGTTGGATAGTGAGCTGCGGGCTGTCGGAAACACCTACTGTTATCACCTTGCGTGGGCGAGAAAGAGATCTCAATCCTGAGTATATAACTAATCCCGAGCTCGTATATGAATGATCATTCACTCTGAAAGATTTTTATTTTTTAATTTTTTTGGAAATCAGTTTGATCATCCAATTTGCTTTGGAAAATGTGGACGCGATTTTCGCCAGTTGGCGTGCTATTGGCCGAAGCTTCCCTCCTGTAGGGACTTTGTCGTCAGAAGACCGATCTCCAATTTTCTGTATTGCCACGGTGACTCAGTCAAATAAAGAGAGAGAGAGAGAGAGAAAGCTAGTAACTGATGCATATAAATTATGGGTTCTAAAGATGTGCGATAGATGTGGGAGGAAAGGGGACTGCTGTCTGTGTCCCGAGGTCTGTTTGGATGCTTGGCAAGGGGCTCCAATACAAACAATGCAAACAGAATCATTTCCCCAGCTTCAAACTTGACCCTCTCGAGACAACTCATTAGGCTTTGGTCTGCGTCGTCTCCGTGGTCTCCGTGGTCTCTGTGACCATTGCTTCTTCAATGCCTCTCGGGGTGCTCTCGACCCGAGAGGGCCAGTAACCGACAGCCACAACGAGGGCCGCACCACCAAGAACACCAGTCAAGAGCCAGAACGCATTCCTGTACCCGTCCATGGATGCCATGACTACGCCGTGGAAATTCGCCTGCTTTGCATTGATCAAAGCGTTTGCACCCGCCAGAAGAACACTCGCTCCAACCTGGTAAGCAGTGTTGAAGAGAGCACTCGCCACTGCGTGGTTATCGGCCTCAACTTGGCGAAGCAAAATACTCTGGGCAGGTACCATCGCAACTGGACTTCCGCAGACAAAGATGATGGCAACTACAATCGAGTACCAAAATCCTTGTCCATGGCCAGTTCCACCAGCCCGTTCAGGTGTTGCAAACGCCCACGCAACGCCTCCTGCAGCAGTTATTCCAAGCCCTATTACGAGCGTGGCCTTTTCTCCGATGAACTTCACCATGGGGGTTGAGAGGCCGCCGCTGACGATCGCGCAGAAAGCACCGGGCTAAGGCGAAAATCCTTGTTAGCCAATCATATCCAGAGGTGGCCGAGGGTTGGAAATACACTCAGACTGGGTGCTTACCAGGAAATAAACTGCTGTCAAGACCGGGGTATAGTGAAGCAAATTCACACAAAGCTGTGTGGTGATGAAGAACCAAGAACTGAAGCTTCCACCAAAGGCGAAAATAGCCACCAACATGAGGAAGAAAGGTAAAGACTTCCATACATATTGGGGCACGGCTGGGTTGGCAACTTTCTTCTCGACAACAACGAAGGCGGCGAGCAGACACACTCCCAGGATGATGCCAACGAGCACAGGTGGTGCTGACCATCCCAGTCTCGAGCTGTCATTCAGACCGTAGACCAAAAGCGCAATTCCCGCGGTGAAAACCGCAGCCCCCGCCACATCGATAGGTACATTCTCTCGAGAGAATTCCGGCAGGAATAGACACGCGAGAATCGTTGAAAGAGCAGTGAGAATGAGACACAGCCAAAAGATGGATCTCCAGCCCGCGGGAGAAGCTGATTGCAATTAGCCGACTAGATCAATCCACTGGTTGAAAAACGTGCTTACATGCGAGCAAAGAACCAACAACGGTGCCGATGGTCGACCCCAAAGGGGCGCAGGCAGTGTACACAGCCAGCGCCTTGTTACGAGCATCACCGTCCTCAAATTTTCGGCTCAAGATGGCCAGTCCGTTTGGGGCCTGAGATGTTGAACGGACACGTTAGCACGTTCATAAAAATGTGTCCGAGGACAAAGGGTCAGATACAGTCAACCCGGCACCAATTCCAGAAATCGACCGTCCAGCAAGCAGAGCCGCTTTGTTTGGAGCAGCAGTGTTGATGATGTTTGATATGGTGAGAATCGCCGTTCCAGCGATGAACGTTCTCTCGAGGCCATGCCTTTGACCCAATTGGCCACCGATGAGCAGGAAAGACGCGAAAGTGATATTGTAGACAATAAGCACCCAATTAATGTCCTCGGAGGTAAAGTTCAGCGAGCTTTGAATGTCTGGGAGACCAAAAAGCACGGCGGAGAGTTGGAATAGGTCCAAAAAGTTCACCAGTGTCGTTGTGAGAAGGATCAGACCCAAGTCTGATTTAAGGCTAATCTTCGCACCGAGATGGTATGGCGGCTGCCATGTTCTTTTGACGGTCATTGTTTGGTTTGATGGGATATAATCAATCAAATCAATCATACAAAAATGACAATAGGAAGAAGATATTGGAAAAGATAGACTGTGAGATCCAGTCGAAGATGAGGGAGTTGGCGAGATCAAGAGATAACCTTTGGCAGAGCAGTTAAACAAAGGTAACTTCAACAGAAGCAAGTCAGGCAATGCTAGTATGGCCAACTAAAAGAAGCATCGAGATTCTGATGCTTACACGATTGAATGGGACTAGACTTCAAGTGAGTACCTTTGGAAACGGCTGCTATTTAGGATCGACAGGGTTTCTCTCATAGCCTCGATTTGCCGCCCAAAATATTGATCTATCATTGAAAAATGCATTTTATTATAGGATTATATGCTGTTGCTTGCCTGGATGAGTCGTAGTTGTAGACTTCATTCTTGATCTCCGGGGCTCTTCCAGCATTTCGTTAACGTCCCAAAGTTCTAGTAAAATCTGAGTGGGATAATATGCACCATAATACTTACTTTGTTTTACTGTACTTTGGATTCTCAGATAATTAATTCTCAGCGCAATCCCAATGCGCTGCAAGATTTTCCGTGTTGAGGCCCATCTGGGAAAGGATTGGATCGGAGACTTTCTCGGAGACTATCTTCCCCTGCAGCTCTCGCTGACATCTCCGCTTCGATCAACGTCCGTTTTTTGAGCTAGATCCACATCTCTTTACATAGACCTGTATCAGAGAACTAGAATGAAATATCCAATAACTTCGTCACCTGGGCAGTCAGCAGAATGGCGCTGGTGGAACAAGCATTGGAGATCTTAAGATCGGTGCCCTTGATAGGTGATATTGTGCAACGAGAAATGCAACTTACTCATGCTAACTACAATCTAAGACGGTCACAATGATTGGCCTCACCTCATACGAGGATTTTACGACAATAAGCTAGATGAGCGCTTTCAAAGTGGCAAGGATCTAGTAGGACATGTCGACATGAAGCGCCTCAAAGAAGGGAGATCTGGCGGTGCATTTTGGAGTGTTTATATCGATTGGTGGGACACTGCATTTATTTTCCAAATTCAGAAACTAACAATACTCCAGTCCTGACTCAGATGAGTTCACTGACGTTGTCCATTTTGAGGTTCTCCGGGACACGATGCAACAGATCGATCTGGTGCATCGGTTATCGGAGACGTATTCCGATCAAATGGAAAACGTTCAACATTCATCGGATATCATGCGGCTTTTCAAGTTGGGTAAATTTGCAAGCTTGATTGGAGTCGAAGGACTTCATCAGATCGCAAATAGTGCCAGCGTGCTACGCTTGTACCACAAGATGGGAGTGCGCTATATTACTCTGGCACACAACAAAAATAATCTGTATGCAGATAGTGCGGTGAGTAGTCAACAACTATGTAATTCCACGCTCGAACTAATGTTATTCAGACGTCGAGCTTTCCGGCGCACGATGGCCTTTCGTTGCAAGGGGTTCAGATGATTCGGGAAATGAATCGCATAGGAATGTAAGCAAACATTCTGCGGTCCTCGTTCATAACACCCATCTTATTGGCACTGACTTGACTTCGAGGATAATTGACCTATCACATACAAGTGAATCGGTGATGCACCGAGTGCTCGACATTTCGGAAGCGCCCGTCATATTCTCCCATTCTTCGATGTAAGATAATTCCGTTGATGAAGAAGCGGTTTCTGGTGAATATACATGCTAATTTTGACACAGAGCCTCGGTTGTTCCCCATGTTCGAAATGTCCCCGATGTTATCTTGAAGAGATTAAAAGCCAATGGCGGTGTTATCATGATAACTTTGATACCATCACTCATTCATGAAGATGCTGCCAGAGCCAACGTTGACCATGTGGTTGACCATATCATGTATGCCGGCAAGCTGATCGGATATGATCACATTGGCCTTGGGTCAGACTATGACGGTATGTTCAGTGCTGTACAAGGGGTTGACGATGTGAGTAAATGGCCTAATTTGGTCGCTAAAATGCTTGAAAGAGGCATATCGCGGTCCAACGTTGAGAAGGTCTTGGGGTTGAATATCATTCGGGTTCTGGAATCAACGGAGCTTTGCGCTTCAAAGCTGAAGAGCACTTCTTCAGTAATGGAGGATAGTGTGAAACAGCTATGGAATGATAAATTCCGAGCTACAGTGGAAGGAGTCTATCCGCATGCTGAGAAGAGTCGTCGAGATGTTATCACAGAACGAAGCGATTAAATGTACGAGGCTTGAGTCCATCGCCTCTTCCCCAGACCACACTATGGAAGTAGTCGTGATAAACCCACATTGTCCATAGCAAGAGATCGAATATGATCAAGAACCATCCGGGGACATTTCCATCTCCGTCTTTGAAGCGATGCACTCCCTTTTCAATATAGATGGCAACTCTCTGCCAGAAGCTATCAAAAAGAAACTTTCCTACTTGGAACCGAGTGCTTTGGGGACGAACAAACGTCCGCTGAGCAATAAGCCGGTCTTGGTACTGCTCCGGTAGGGAATGCTCTTTCGCGCCTCGGATCAGAAGTCCCTAGATTCTTAGCATGGAAAATTTCTATTTCGGAGTCTCTGAAAAAGACTTACCATGTATCGCTCCGAAGGTAGTCTTTCGTATGATAGCGGAATGTCATGTCTCGCCACCAGCGTGATGACAGGTACAGCTGCAGAGCCACAATTCAATACAGCAATGAGAGTCTTTGTTTTATATGCGATACCACCACTGCCACGTCAGTCTCGAGATATTCCACGATTGGAGAGATCAACCGCACCCTTCGCTCACAATAACTTGATGCATATCCTGAGGCGTCAAAAGATATGCAACCCCATAGACTGGAAGATCTTCCGTTCCTTTGCCGCGGATTCCGCCCATTGCGGGATCTGTATATGGCACACCCATCACATTGAAACACAGAGTATGTGATTTTATGCTTGCAACTTCAAGCCGAACAGGACTGACCTTGCGTCTCTTGATAAACACGTCCGATAACATGTTCGAGCCATAAGCAAAATACCATTGATGGTCGGCCATCTCGAAATCGTGAGACTGCGGAACGCGGTCTTCAGGCAGACTCGCGATCCTTTCTGTCGGGATTGAAGTAAGGTAAGTGGCAACATAGCAAGGAAAATAGACACAGTTCTTTACCTTATTCCAGACTAGCCTTCCTCCGGAGCGTATTAGGTTTCCTGTTATGGGCGTTGTTCTCCAAACATCAACCTTGGTGGCCACCGGCGAATCTCCGGCTAGGACCTTGGGGACCTGCAACGAGTGTCACAATTTTCGGAAGATACCGTGCTCATTCCCCTTTGGGGGAGAATAAGCATTGCCTGTTTAGAGATCCAGATCTTCTCATCGACGCTTGCCTCCAGTATTTCTTTCCGTTTGTTCATTTCGTTGCGTGCTAGAGAAGGGTTCTAGATCAATTGATAATCCTCAATTTTTCGACTCAGGCGAGCTCTCCTGGGTCTACTCATGAGTATATAGCAAAGTTTGAGAGCGTATCTTGAAGAAGATCCATTGCTGACAGCTCACCTAAGATGGGTCTCTGCGTTCTGCACGGGCGCTCGGGTTTTGCGGGCGTTGAGATTCGCTCCACTGATTGAGCCATACCATTGGGAAGAGATAGTTGGTACGGGTGGGACTGAGCTTATTCCCTGCCTTCACCCATTGAAATTGTCCGGCCCCCACGAGTTGAGGGTGTTGGTGGGCCGATGGTTGTGGAGAAGGATGCGTTGTGGAGCAGGTACCCTCGAAGACCTCGTACATAGTCGATCCTAACAAAACAAAGAGTAAGCACAGCATGTCTTCAAAGTGTTCAAGTTGGCACCTTCTGCATTATATTGTCGTGATATTCGACCAATATGCTGTCTGCCGCAAACTTGACCAACCGCCAGACCCAAGTCCAACAGTCTCCCAGCAAGCCTCGTACGAAAGAGCAGCAAGACTCAACACTCCGGACTGCCTGTGATTGTTGTCATGCTGCTAAGATTCGCTGTAGTGGTGGCGCGCCGTGTACGCGCTGCGCAAGAGAGTAAGTCCCTTGCCTCCTGCCTATCTCAGAACTGACGTATCATGCAGCAACTTGAGATGTCACTATAGCCAAAAGGCAAAGATTGGAAAGCCAAGAGGCAGCTTGAACAAGAAGACAATTGAGCGATTACGCATGAAGGAGAAGCAGAGGCAGGCGCCGCAAACACCCCCATCGACAGCAGGTTCTGTGGATGTCGCTGAGCCTATCCCTCCTCTTCCCAGCTGTGACAGCCCTGCTGGTGTGAACCTGGACTTGGGTCCTGTTTCGCCCGATCAGCCCATGCCTACTCCTCCGGACTTTGGGTTAGGCATGACGTTTGACGACCTGATATTCCCAGAGTCACAACTGGAGAGCTGGCTCCCAGAAACAACAGAGGGCTTTCAGACTGTGAGTTCTCAGAGATGCGAATGCATTGGGTCGCCGTTAATATCAATTCAGGAAAATCCACCTAATACACAACCTCGTGAGTATAACAGGGATGCTCTGTGGCTACGCGGAATGTATGCTGACTCGACCAAGGGTCACCAGTTCAGCAAGCCGATTCACATCCTACACCTCGGCCATCGTTCTCTACGGGCGCGGCGAGCGACGATCCCCATCCCGCAAGCTCCACGTTATACAGGCCGCTTTCCTTCGACTCATCAGCTTGCCGATCACCCCAGCTCGCCGAGTCCTCCTCCTTCGGCTTCAACTTACCATTATTCACCCAACAATCAGTCCGACCTGAATCCCGACCGTGCCAATCCCCTTGCACCTGTTTCCCGACGCTCAGCCACCATCTTTGCACCTTACAAGCGACATCCTCAACAACCGAACACTCCCAAGCCCTCGACACCCTCCTCATCCAATCCCAACGCATCCTCCCCTCCATCTGCTCCCTCGCCACCTGCCAACGCTGCCGTCGCGACACTCAGACCCTATTCCTCGTGAATATGATCCTGGCCAGACTGCTGAAGTGGACCCACGCCTCCATCTGCACCTGCGAAACTCGCTGTGTCTCAGCGGATATTCGTCTGGGGAAGTACCAGGCTCCTGGGGGCATGGGTCTGATGGTGACACGGCTTCTCATCCAGGCTTATTTGGCGGAATTCGAAAAGGCGGTGCAGATGTTTGAAGGGACGGTGAGTCGGGTTGGATGTGGTGATGATGGGGCTTATCTGGCACTCCAGGCTCGGACGTTCCAGTCGGAGGTACGAGGTTTGGTGGAGAGGATCGCGAAGTACATTTGAGGGAGGCGATCTGGCGGGGAGTTAGGGCTGGCTAAGTGGGTCTCGCGCTGCGGTACATAGCACGCGTGGAGCGACCGTGAGTTTCTACCCTGAATCTCATTTAAAAGCGACAGAATGTAGATAGAAACTATAAAATTAAATCATTTGGTCGAGAAGAAGTCTATCATTCATGAATGGGTGGTTTGAGTGCCAAACGTAATAGACGGCGCGACTCGCCGGCGCGACTCGCGACGGTGTCAACAAACGACTTCCACGTCCACTCGTGCTTAATCCGATTTGTTTCAACGCGTAATGAACATTTACTGCAGTCAAGAAATAGTTTTATTTAATTTTATTACCATTGGTATTGTTGCTATTAATTATTATTGCTGTTGTGACGAACACGAGGGAATACTGTTTGAATTGAGCATACAATGTAGAGCAGAATCAATTGCTACAAGCGGAGTGAATGGCGATGGGAACAAGAACATCAAGTTTGGAAAAGTCAAGAAGTGTTGAGAGTCGAGCACATATGGGGAGAGAAACAGGGAAGGGGAAAGGGAAAGGGAAAGGGAAAGGGACGGGGACAGGGACGGGGCTACGGGTAGGGCAAGAGAAAGAGGGAATGATCAGGATCATGATACAACTACAACTACAAGAGACTAATACTACACAAGAGAGTCATGGGTAGATGGTGAAGATAGTTGGCTGGTCTTGGCTTCATCCCGTAGGACTACTGAGCCCCAACACCACGACAAGGTGCCAGCCATCGTTGGGGAAGGCAGGAGATTAGATGGCAGGATAAATCGCAGAGATGGGGGGAAGATGGGGGGAAGATGGAAGAGATGAGGAAGATGAAGAGGATGGAAGAGATGGGGGAAGATGAGGAAGATGGAAGAGATGGGGGAAGATGAGGAAGATGAGGATAGATGGCAGGGCACATCATGATAAGGCGTGATCAAGCCAGGCCATCGACAAGTCCAAGTCCAGATCTCACCCTTTCTCACCATGTCGGCTCTCGACCCGGACATCCCCAATGCTCCGGCATCGTCTTGAGACACGATTCGATGGTCGCTCCGCCCTGGCTGCAAGCAGCCAGCACGAAGACGACGACCGAACCGAGCCCAATGCGATGTCGGAACATTGGCAAATGCCAGACCCGAGATCCAACAGGGTGAGAAAGGGTGAGACCAGGACTGAAGACAAGTCGGGAGGCCCGACAAGAGGCAGATGGTCACAACAAATGGCAGAAATGGGCCGGTAAATGGAGGGTAAATGGCGCTGGAAGAAGAAGAGGGTGCCCAAGGCAGAAAGGTGAGAAGAAGAGTTGAAGAAGAAAGAAAAAGTCCAGGAGGACGGGGGCTGAAGAATCTTGATATATTCTTGCTCATGTGACCTGGCTGATCTCCTGGAAAAATGCGCAAAAAGATCAACATGCGCTCATGATGCGCTCACGATGACCTCGGTTTACCTCTGAATTGCCTCTTTGGGACATCTCAGCCAGGCAAACCAGGCAAACTGCCAGTCACGGGACGCCCCCAAGGGCCATGACAACAATGAGCTGAGAGGCCAGTTTGGGCAAGTTCGCAAGAAACGATAGATATCCCTCTAAAAACGGGCTGAAACGAATCTGCATGCGAGCCTGTAGCCGTAGGTCGTAAAATTAGGGCCGAAATCCATAAATTGAGCGTGCTGACGCGTGAAACAGCGCGAAAGCCGTGATGGGCCATGCCCCCAAGGGCATTCCACAAAAAAGCTCGTAAACCGTATCTCAATGATCCAGAACGCATCAGTACGAGAAATAAGTCATATTCAGACGCGTCACAGGCCGGGGGAGGCTGTGGTGGTGGAATGCCGATGGGGGGATTCGCGTCTCTGACCGAAGATCGACTCCGCGGAAATAGCAAAGTGAGGCTCGATTGTACCTCTCACAGGACCGTATGAGAAATAGAATTCGGGATCTCCTCGTGAATTTCGATCCACGGGGCCCGTCAGCGGAGCGTGACCGGATCTCCACAATGTACGCCTCGACCCACCACCAATGCGGCCTGTGGAAGCGCGAAAACCGCAAAATCCACTTGCACCATGTTGAGATAAGCTATCGCAACAGATCTATCTTGCGCATGAGTCCTCCGTGCCATGTTGTGGCCGAGGAAGACGCGTTTCTTCTCTGCGGCGCGATTGAACGCCGTCGATATGACGTGAGCGGGCTAGCAGGATGCCAAAAAAGTACTCAGGTATGACTGTCTGGGTGAATACAGCGTCAAAACACTCTAGTAATGGTCAATTGTCTCGAAACCGGCTTGAAACTGGGCATCGGCGTTTTTCAGGCATCGACACCTAAAATCTGAGGTAAAATATATAAGCCGCGGTGCGGCACTCACGACCAAAAAGACGACCAAAAAAACGACCAAAAAGACGATGATAGTGGTGTTTATAAACAGGAGTAGTTATGTATCGGCTCTCATATTTCGATTGGTAACGGAAGAGAACTATCATCACCTTCGGGACCTCTTTCTAACTGTCTTTCTGGCTGTCCTTCCAAGGTTCCAACTAATTGTCGAGTCATCATGATCTATTCTCTATAGCTCTACATACTTCGCGAAATTGTTTGGACCTATAAATAGCATCTTTTTTGCTTTTCAAACGTTCTTCTCTATTTCCCCCACCATTCAGCTGTGGATCCCTGGGTTTGAATCTACACTCCCAGAGCTCGCGCGTTGTCCTACTTCAGACCCCCTTGAATCACAATGCCACGATTCAAACTCTGGGGCGAGTTCACCGACTCGGACTAACGCGCCAGCAACGTACCTGGATCTTTTTCCAGGACCACACAATCCAACTTTCTGTGGAATACAATGCTACAAAAAAGATGCTTGCCCAGCTAGCTGGTGATTATAGGCTCTACTTAGAAGAGATGTCCGACGACAACTTTTCTATTGAAGACCGATCATACAAACTGTTAGCACAGATCCTTGGTCATCACCCTCTAGCACCTGAACTTCGCCACATGGAGGACTATACCCAACTTAGGGCGCCTCACACCAAAGATGAAGCTCCCCCTCCAGTCAAATCCCTCATCTCTACTAACTCCGAAGATTCTTCTTCGGATACACAAGATTTTAAATCACCCAAGAGCAACAACCCCTCCCCGCCCCCACAGCATACTCAAACTCCTGGCTGTGAAAGTGATTTATCCGACGATGAGTCTGACTCTGACTTTTCCCCCGCCTCCCCCTGACGATGAGCCTGAGCCCGCCTCCAAAAAGGCTTTGACTATGAGGTCAGTATCATCTGTTAAGTGGACGTTGAATCTATAAGCCCTTTCAAACAGGTGAAGCAGTTTTCTTTCCACAAGGTCCACGCCTCTATCATCGCTTGCCCAACGTAGGGCCAGGACCGCAACCTTGTCATACAGTCCGTGACGTGCGGCGCGAAAAACAGATTTAGAGAGTTCTCTAGCCAAAATGTCGAGGGTAGTGGTAGGGGGATTTGTTGCGAACGCGGCATCGGGGTGCGACGACGACATATTGGGCGTATTTCCGCTTCACAAGGATAGACTTAGAGTGAGTTCGGAGGTGGGATGTGAGAGGTCTCAAGAGAGTCCAAGCTCCAAACGGGACAAGGAAACCGACGAGAGGCCGTGGGTTGGGATATGGAGCCTTAGAAAGGGCACAGAAACTGATGAGAGATACTAGACTCGTTGTTCACAACCTGAATATTTTGGCGACGCGTGAGGGACAAAAGTACCACTCAAAGGCGCGAGATGGAAAGTCAGGTAGCGGAGTTGAGAGAAGGAGAGAACAAGAGTAGAGCTTTACAGATGGCAAGCACAGTCCCCAATGCCTAATTCTCTATTCACAGCTTAGCCAAGACTTTCTTTTCTCGACCATTCATGATGACTTGACAATTAGTTGGCACCTTAGATGGACAGTTAGAAAGACAGTCAGAAAGACAGTCAGAAAGACAGTCAGAAAGACAGTCAGAAAGACAGTCAGAAAGACAGTCAGAAAGACAGTCAGAAAGACAGTCAGAAAGACAGTCAGAAAGACAGTCAGAAAGACAGTCAGAAAGACAGTCAGAAAGACAGTTAGAAGGAGGTCTCGAAGTTGATGATGGCTCTCTTCCTTTATCGAAATATGAGATTAAGCTAGTACATCACTACTCTTGTTTACAAGCAACTATCGTCGTCTATTTGCTAACGCTCTGACAATATTCATGACATTAAGACTAAAGTTAGCTTGGCCTATTCTAGTCAAGGTCGTTCCCCAACTCAAGATTAGAGATAGCCGCATCTACCCTCGCGCATCTGGCCCTCAAGTCGTCCTGCTCAGCATTCCATTTGGCCAGCATGGCGTCCAGCATCGCCCACCTCTCATTCATGACAACCTGTTCAGCCTCCAAGGCCTCCCGATCCAGCTTCAACTGCTCCAGGGACGAGGTTATCTGAACGACCTCTCCACCGATTACCTTGGAATCTGGGGCAACATCAACGGCCCCGCTTTGTTCCACGTTGCGTGGCGAGGCCGGTGAGCGGGTAAGGGGGATGCTTTGCGCGGTGAAGCAGCAGGTTGGGGCGCCGAGGGAGCTTTGCGCATGGAAGAAGCTGATAGGGAGACGATGGCCTTCGGCTTTTGGGTTCCATCGACACGCTCAGTAACGGTCTTAGCCCCCTCCTATTTCAAAATGTCATTCTTGGTAAAGACATCTGTGAGGAAGCTACTCAGGTAGCGAGTGGAGCTGTTTTTGGCAGCCTCTGCCCATCGCTTGTTCCAAATCTCGAGATTCGCAACGACAATGAGCAACTTCTTCGCGCGGGTAAGCGCCACGTTCAATCGTTGGTAGCTGGCAAGAACGCCAACCTCGCTCTTGCGACTGGTACGAGGGTTAATCAATATGAATATGATCACATTGGCCTCCTGACCCTGGGATCCGTCGATGGTCAAACACTGGTCGTATTTGACGCCTTCCTGGGCGAAGCGTTGATTGACGCGCTTGACCTGTTCCTTATAGGGACAGATCAATACCACATCACTGGGGCTGATCCGATCATTGCTGGATCTATCAGCATACAGTGCGCGCAGGAAGGCGATGACGACACTGATATGTTCGTCGTTGTATCAGGACGTACTCCCTGAAGGTTGTTCTGTCGTTCCATCGGCGTCAATTACCAGTCGGCGCTTCCCAATGAGATCTGCACGCTTGAAATGGGAAAGGGAGGACACAAATGCATCCCATGCGTTCCCTACACGATCAGCCATAGCATTTTGCTCGCTGGTAGTGATCTTGTCCTTGTAGATTGCTGATGCAGGCTAATCCAAGATTTGAGGATGGCATCGGTAATTGATCTCCAGCATGGTGAGAGGATAGACATCTGAGAGACGGGACATCAGGTATTTGCCCTGGTAGTTTGCCCCTTCGTTCTCACCCTTTGACAGTACAGTGGGAGGAAGCTGCTCAGGGTCTGATACAGATACCATCACCAGTGTTCCCCCTGCCGGTTGAAGTTTTCCCTAGGCCAGCCTTATTGACCTTGTAGAAGGTCTTGATTCCTTCAGGTGGATGCGGCGTTTGTATAGCTGCGAGGATTTCAACTGTCTTTTCAGCTGTCTTTCCAGCTGTCCCTCCAAATATTTACAACCTATTAAAACTTCCTTTTTTGTTGAGCACCATCATGGAGCAAGTATGATTGGTCGAGTAGAGAAAGTCTTGGCTAAGCCGTCAACAAAGAATTAGGGATTGGGGACATGAATCTACAGGAAAATAACAGATCGAGAAAATGTATTCGCTGGTGTCCTACTATCCGGCAAAAATCCCGGAATGCAAATTTTGTATGGGTATCATGATGTTGACAGAGAAATAATGTACAACATGCCTGCGCGCAGGTCTCAGTCGCGGAGCGACGGATCAGGGTTCGGGCACAGAGCCATGGCCATGCCGGTGAAGCGCACTGGACGACCAGAAGCCTGGTGGCAACTAATGTGTCTACGTGGGCCTAGACCATGTATGCCTTCAGTCGAGGTGGAAGTGGTCATACTTCCGAAAATGTGTGGCAAGGGCCCCTTAGTAGCGGGGTGTGAAACGGCGGTTCACTTAGGCAACCTTGCGACCGACGTTGCCGATTCCACGTCCGACAACACTGACGATGACATCACCGTGCTCGTTCTCCGCGGCTGCATCCCGGATACCCCAGCCAGGGGCACCGAACTTGGACAGGTCGCGGGCGAGCTGGATCACGCTGGGGTCTGCGATCACTTCGCGACCGACTTGCAGACGACCCACGTCTTCGGAGCCCATGGTCATCAGGGTGAACATGGTGGCTGCGGCGGCAGGGGCGACACAGCCGCCCTTTGCGACGTTTTCCAACAGTTGGTAAGCACACTGCTTGCCAATATCCTCCGGGGCAGTACCACCGGAGGGTGGGGAAGCCACGTCGGCGGAGAAAAGGCAGCCAGTGGAAGACTCGGCCACCAAAGACAGACCAAATCCAAGACCGATCTTCCTCTTCGCTTGCGGGTTGGTCTTGTCGGGAGCCGGGATCAAAGGCGCGTTCGCTACGTCGGAGAAAATATAGGTGTCAGGGCTGAGGGGGTTGAGGATGCCACGAGCGGTCTCGATCATGCGAGCGTTGTTGGAGCCCGACACACCGACGGAGTATACCACACCGCGAATGCGCTTTATGCGGCCAGCGTTCATCAAGTGCAGAGTCTTCGGCAGACGGACCTGGTGGCCAAACACCAGCTGCACTTCACCACCACCACCTCGACCAGTCGGTCCAGGGTTTGATCGCTTGAGGATACGGAGCTCAATATTGTTGTAGATGCCGAATTGGTTGTACAGAGGGAGGATGGCGGTTCGGACACTGTCGACGGACATATCGCCCGTCGGGGTAGAGGAGGTGATCACACCGGGTCCGGTGAAAAGCACTTTCATAGGTGCTTTGGCGAACGGTGCCATGAGACAGAGAGGAATGAGGTAGTAGCTGAGACCGCGGTTGCAGTTGGAGGGAAGCTCGTAGGTGATCATGCCGCCGGCGGCGCCTGTGCCGGAAGTGCTACCCGTAATCAAGCCTGGCTTGTAAACCAGGATTGTTCCTGTGTATGAGATTTCCACCTGAGAGCCATTGGTGACTGCATCCAAGAGACGAATGAAAGAGATTTCATGAGGTGCGAGACCTGGATTCGTAGGCGACGTCGACCGAATTTGCGAGATATGAATTGTGCGACCGGTAAGCGTAGACAAGACGAGGCGATATACCAGGTTGTGATGGCCAGTAAACCGTAGGGGGGTTGTGAGGTAGCCATGGTGCTTTGCGACTCTGGATCGTTGCACTTTTGGAGATGAAAAAGAAAAATTGGCGCACTAAAGTTGTTCCGGGCCCGGGTCTTAAGTCCGGGATGGATCTGATATCTCCGGCCATCAGATCATCTTTTGGATTTCTAAGGGTCCAACCTCACGCGACTACTCAACCATCTAGCTTCTGTACAATATCAATAGTTATCACTTGTCGCATTACTCAAAATGCTTCTTCCAGCACTCAACATTCCAAAATGGTCAGTCGACAGCTGAACAGTTATCTATCTTCTTCACCCCCACCATGACTCGCTGCGGGACCATGTCAATGTGATGCATGCGCCTATATGACCACCCAGCTCACCTTGAAACCCCCAATACAGGCTTGAAGAGAACTCTCACCTTCTCCAACCACCCGTCAATAACTATTGTGTCTACCACCCCTCCCGGCCAGAGACAGCCGGCTACACAGTCATGATAGTCGGCGGGCCGAATGCCCGAACGGATTACCACATCAACACTACCCCCGAATTCTTCTACCAATACCGAGGCTCAATGCTGCTGAGGACAGTTGACCCTTCAACCACACCTCCCACATTCCAGGACATCCCCATTCACGAGGGGTCGATTTTCCTTCTCCCCGCAAACACACCACACTGCCCTGTACGGTTCAAAGACACCGTCGGCGTGGTGATGGAGCAGCCTCGAGCCCCGGATGCGGTGGATGCTATGAGATGGTATTGCCAAAACTGCAAGGAGATCGTGTGGGAGAAAAAGTTTGTCTGTGTTGACTTGGGGACGCAGGTCAAGGCTGTTGTGGAGGAGTTTGCTGCCGACGAAGAAAAGCGCAGTTGCAAGGCTTGTGGAACAGTCGCTGCGTCAAAATATGCAGATGGAGAGATTGTGCAGCCGCCGACTGTCCCTGTATAGTCCTGTATAGAACCGAATAAGTGTAACCCTTGGGAGTGTGTTTCTACTGGCCTACTGGTATGAGCCCCCACGTTTCTTTGATAAAAGCTTAGGCACATGTTATTTCTACCCGTCTATATCCATGAGTATGGGGTCTTCAGTAGTACGGAAAATCTATGTATTCATCCGTGGAAGAGATACATGTCTGAATTGATGGTTCATGGGATTCCAAACCAAGTGCCCAGAAGCTTGACGTTCTTCGTCATCTCTTCTCGAATCTGCGCAGCTGTCGCCGGAAGAACAAGGTTCTCCATGAATTCCAACTCGCAAGTTGTGGCTTCCTCAGTCTCCGTGAACTCGACCAGCAGAGGGAATTTGGCTCCGGTCGGTTTCAACGATTGCTCTTTGACAGACACACCAGGAAGAGATAGCGCCCTACCCACCGAGTCCTCACGCTGATTGTAAACAATCATCACTTGGAACAAATCATGCAAGCCCGCCATTTCACGGATATTCTGGAATGAGATGGCGTGGGCTAACGCTTCTCGGACGGAGATCTGAGTCGAGTCGACCAGGCTTGGGAAGGAGTCCAGAGTGGTGGACTCAACATCGAGCCGCACCGGCAGCCGGTTTAGAAAGACACCCAGCATATCTTCGGTCCCAGGCTCGGTGCGATCGACGTGAGGAATGCCAAGGACCATCTCGCGGTTTTTTTGGCATTGCGCGAGGGTCATGGCTGTGAGCGCAAGACACAACTCCGTTGAGCCTCTGAACTTGCCGTTCGTCCTCCATGAAAATGAAGTGGACTGTCCAACAAAAGTCGGTGCGTGACTTTGGAACAGCTGGGCTGGCATGTTCGACAGCCGATCCTTCCAGAACAGGGCATTCGGGCCGTCCCTGTCAATCCGGAGCTGGCCAGCCTTCCACTGCGCCCAAATTGTATAGTCTGGCAACCGCGCAGCTGGGGCTTTGTTCGTGTCGGTGTCAATAGAGCGGCGGAGATAGTCATCTTGGATCTTTCGGAGGAGAATCTGAATCCCAGCCTTGTCCGTGACGGCGTGGTGCTGCAAGATCAGAATGTCCACGCCGGAGGAATTTGAAGAAATATTGATTCGAGTCAAAGGCCCTGTCGACAGATCAAACGGGCGGTTGGTGAAAGCCTCAAGATCTTGACCCTCGATTATGTTTCGAGTGAGCTCACACGCAGACGGCGACTGCCCACGCAAGACCCGGTCGCCTGAAAGATAGAAACAACTTTTCAACACCGCTTCGTGAGATGTGACGGAAACCACCGATCTCTCGAGCTGTTCAATGTTCAAGTCACCCCTCAGCGCTAACTTGTACCCAACGTTGAAGGTCTGGGGAGGGAAAACTGTGGAAAGCCGAACAAACTCTTCCTCCGATTCCGACGTGCTGGTGAACGGGGGCTCAGTCGTTGGCCAAGTCAAACTAAATGGCACTTGGGACGACTGATCTGTGGATCGGGACCATTGTTCAATTGCTTGACTGAGCGCCGATAGCTCTGTGTTCCAGATGAAGATTTTCAAGGGGACCTTGGAGCCCAGCCTCCGTGACACGATTTGCGCCAGTTTGATTTGACTGAGAGAACTCCCACCAAGCTCCAAAAAGTCCGAGTCTGCATTGATCACGACTTCTTCGCTGATTCCGATCGCTTCTCTCCAAGCCTCGGCTACCAGTGATTGAGTATGTGTCAATGGCTCACTGGCTTTGCCCTGCGTGAATTGACACTTTGAAACCAATGCTTTGCGATCAAGCTTCTGGTTGGGCATCGTTGGAAGACTCGGTAGTGCGAATATCGCCGAAGGACAGGCGTATCGAGGCAACTTGGTGCGAAGTGCTGCATTGATCAGTCCAATGTCCACCGCGTCAGGCTCCACATATGCAACTATGTTGTCCGAGTGCACAATGGCTGCCGCTCGTCGTATCGCTGGACTTGCCAGCCGGATAACATTTTCGATTTCTGTCAGCTCTACACGATGTCCCCTGACTTTGACTTGGTTGTCAAATCGACCAAGGAACTTCGGTTCCATCTCCTCGTTCCACATAGCACTGTCTCCGGTGCGGTACATGCGTTGTCCGGCCGCAAAAGGATCCGGGACAAATTTTGTTCGAGAGAGGTCTTGACGATCTGCCCCGATATACCCATCCGCAATCTGAATTCCGCTCAGACAGATCTCACCCGGTACTCCAATTGGGACTGGCTGGTTCTGTGAGTCAAGAAGGTAGACTCCAACCCGAGGGATTGCAAAGCCTAGGGTGACTTCTTCGAGTGGACGCAAGACCTTGAACAGACAACCAATAGTACACTCACAGGGACCGTATGAGTTGTACACCGTTCTCGAGCCGGCCCAAATATCGGCTAGCACCTGAGGCACAGCCTCTCCAGCAAAGAGAATGGTGTCAATGTTCGGAAACTGGTCTGGTTCACAGACCGACAAAAAGGATGGAGTTATCATGGTTGCATCCACTTGTTGCAAGTGTTCGAATGGATCGATTGGGTCTGCTAGGACAAGCGTGGCGCCGTAGCACAGTGTCCCAAAAATCTCCGCTTGATTCACGTCGAATCCTGGTGAGAACATTTGTGCGTGGCGTCGCCCTGGGCGCGCATCCATTCGAGCTGGCCCGTATGAGAGATATGAGACGACTGATCGGTGTTCGATACGAACCCCCTTTGGTGCTCCGGTCGACCCAGACGTGAAAGTGATATATGCAATGTCTTGTGGCTCAGGCATCAAGGTGGACCGAATGCATGCTTGGGAGCCGGATTCCAAGGTCCAAGGTAGTATCTTCTTTCCGTTGAATGCATCGCCGAATCTTGCGTGACATGCTTCATTTGGAAAGACCCAAAGTTGCACCGAGGCAGTCTTCGTCATTGTCTGCATTCGCTCCAAGGGTAACTTGGTGTCTAGCGGAACGTAGATAGCTCCAGCTTTGATGACACCAATGACAGCCACGAGCCATTCGAGAGTCCTATCGCTGACGATTCCAACGGCGGTTCTCGGCGGTACTTGAGCTGAGATTGCCTGGGCAACAAGGTTCGCCTTTGAATCTAGCTCTCGGTATGTAAGCTTTTGAGTACCGGACTCAATTGCTGTCTCGTTTGTCCACTGATCAACACCCTTCTCAAAAGCCTCCTTGAGATTGGAGGGTCCACTGTATGGGCTTGTCATATCCCGGGACGCTGTAATCAGAGAGAGGGCTTCGCAAGGCTCAAGCATTCTTTGTCGAATTTGTGCAACTGTCTGACAAGTAGGGCTAAGAAGCGCGAGGATCAGATTCCGGAAATGATTCATCATTCTCTCCATAAATGGTTGTGTGTACAGATTTTCGTCGAAAATGGCGTTGAGCTCGAGACCATCGTTTGCTCGCCGGATGATGGTCGTTAGCCCAAACTCAGGAACATCACGTCTTGCGAAACTCCAATATTCTTGATTTTTGAAGCTGGGAAGATCATATTCCAAAAACAACATTGTTTGGAAAGCCTGGGATTCGGTGTCTCGCGTTGTCTCTTGCAGCGCTTCCGTTGCATGCCATTGGTGTGAAATAATCTGCAACACCAATTCTTGCACATACTTCAAAAGATCTGATTTCTTGGGGAGGTCGGTCAAGCAAACAGGTAGTGGACAACTGTTGATGAGTGGCCCCACGACCGACTCAATACCCTGCAGGGGCAAATGACGACCAGAAAACACCGTGCCAAATATCACATGGTCCTGTGCTGTATAAGACTTGAGTAGAAGGGCCCACGCGGTGTATATCACGCTCGCAGATGAAACACCCGTGTTGCGACACATTTGCTCAAATTGGCCTATGCCTAGGTTGATCATCACTGCAGTCTCGCCAAATTGAGTTTCGGTCCTCGTCGGTGGATTCGGAAGAATTAATGGAGTGGCTTCCGTTACCTTGGACATTGCCTCTCGCCAAAACTGCTTCCCTTCAGAAATTGAGAGAGCCAAGTGCTGTGGGAGCTCTCTCGCAATTTGCGGGAATTGGAATGGACCGGGAGAAAGGGGTTCTCTTTGTAGTATATCTTGAACTTCCTGGATGACGAGGCCCATGGACCACCCATCAACGCGTGTATGGTGGACAAGCCAAAGCAAAGTGGCCTTTGTTGCACTTTGGTTGACAATCATTCGGAAAGTATTGAGTGGCCTATACAAGAGATCACTGCCCTGTCGTCGGGTAGACTCAAAAAGTCGATCAGACTCGGCTGCCGCAGCCGCAGACATGTCAATATCTGGCAACGATTGATGTTCCCAGTCGTGTGAATAGCTGTCATCTATTCTTTGTTTGCCGCTGGTCATGTCGAAGTATGTTGAAAAGATGGAGTGTCTCTGCATGATGGTTTCCCACGCAGATCTCACTCGGTCAGTGTACCCAATCTCGTCTTTCAAAGACATTTCAATGATTACTACCATGTAGCTCTTTGCTCCTTGTTGAATGGATGATCGGATCATACCCATTTGGGTGGTGGTGATCGGAGAAGGCGATTGAGATTCGAGAGCGGCGGGCGCGGCATACACGGCGGGCGCGGTTGATGCGGTGGACTCGGTGGATGCGGTATCATGACGTTCATCCTGTGCGTTGGCCGACTTGACTCGTGTCGACAAGAGAGAGGGGTATCGGGGCAAGGAGATCACTAAATTGAAACAACTCTCCTCTCCGGCGTAGGGAAGACGCAAGTTTGATGGCCAAAAGGGAGTTTCCTCCGAGCTCCCAAAAGCTGCACTTCATCGCCACTGCCCCGGCGGCAATGCCCAAGGTCTCAGCAACAGCTTCCTGCAATTTTGAGCAAGATGAATTCAAATCCCTGGTCTCTGATGACTTGAAAGCTTCGGAAGAAAAGATGCTCTGCAATCCCTTCGTGTCCACTTTGCCATTTGGTGTGCGACAGAACTCGCTGTGAGCAAATATTTGATCAGGTACGACGAAGGCATCATGCTTTTGAGAGAGTCGGTTGCGCAGCTCTGTCACATCCACACTCTCTGGTGTGACAGCTCCGATCAATTTGCCTTCGTGCATGAAAGCAGCAGCTGAATGCACTTCCGTGCAGGACTCCAAGATGGGGATGACGTCCGTTTCCAGGTTGATGAGATAGCCTCTGTTTTTGACGATACTGTCAAATCGGCCGCAGAAGACGATGCCTTCGGAAGTTCTACAGGCTCGATCGCGAGTCGCGAAGACTCGCAAACCTTCCCAATCGAAGAACCTCTCATTTGTCAACTCCTCGTTTTTGTAAAAGCCAATGGCGAGGCCGGGTCCGCTGATGTGAAGCTCGCCGTCATCGCAGACTTTGAGCTGATCATCGAGGATGAGGAACTGAGTATTGGACATTGGTTCGCCCAGGGTGATTGGATGGTCGGGCCGCAGGCTAGCCATGCTTGCACAGATGGTTGTTTCTGTGGGCCCATAGCAGTTGTATATCGACCTTTCTTCGCTCCACCATTCTTGCAGAATTCTCTGTTTTGGAGACTCTCCGCCTAGAAAGACGGATTTGATCTTCGGATATTGCGCAGAATCTCCTAGAGTCACCAGGAGCGAGGGCGTTGCCGGAAGAATGGTGCATTTCTTTGCGTCTTCTAACACATTTGCAGGCTCCGAGAGTACAAGATGTGCGCCATGGCAGAGGGCACTGAAAAAGACACCCCAAGCGGCTGACATCGATTCGATTTAGTATTTCCTTCTGTTTTCTCTGCAGAATGGAGAAAGAACTTACCGTCAAAAGCCAACGAGAACAGAAGTAGCACTTGGTCACTCTCCCGGACTCCCAAGTTGAAGGGCATCCCATGGTCGGTGCCTTGAATCACATAGTTTTCAACCGATGCACGAGATATCACGACGCCTTTTGGTGTCCCAGTTGTTCCAGACGTGAAGATCATGTAGAGTGGTTTCTCTGAGGCTTGGGTGTGATTAATGTTCACCAGCAGATCGTGTTCGACATTTTGCTTTTCATCAAACATGCTCTGCACATCTTTGAGAGAAATAGTGGGGATATCATTCGTGTTCAGCTCAGTGTACTGGGCTACAATCACAATCTTGGACTCAACAGCGCAAAGTACAGAATCGACTCTGGACTGACTCCAAGATTCTCCGTCGATTGGAACAAAACAGGCACCAATTCTCAGAAGTGCAATGATTGAAACCACACTTTCTAAATCTCTGGAGACAAATACTGGCACCGTGTGGCCTCCACTGATTCCCCGTGAAATGAAGAGAGAAGCGAGGGACAATGAGGCGGACTGCAATTGACCATAAGTAAGGACTCGATCATTCTTTGAGCAAGCGACGGCTTCTGGTCGCTCATTGGCATGTTTGCTGATCAGAGACCAAAGGGGGAAATTGTCTCCTTGTGTCATCGAGAGTGAATGCCCAGGCGAACAGACAAGCAGTCTGCCCTCAAAGTCGAAAAGCGAAAAATTGAAAACCAATAACAGAGGTTCAATGACCATAGGGCTGCTATAATGTTACTTTGTTCAAGTCCTCCAGGGCTCTCATTAACCTTGGGAGCTAAATGCCGGGAACTGCTGTGGTCGGTGACTATCTCTCGGGCACTATGCAAGGCTGCATTGGTTCAAACCATGGCTGGTCCCGGTCCTTAGAACCTACAGCAAATAGACTGAATAGCTATTCTAGAGCATTTCACGTTGAAACAGGTGTGTATGATGCTCATTGATTTAAAGAATATAAAAGTTGCATTCGAGATGATCTTAAGTAAAATCGAAATTTGCTCATCCAAACAATGACTGCTGTCCTAAAAGTTCCGCCGACAGCTGGAACGAGGCTCCCATTCCAGCCAGAGAGCCCGAGAAAATAGCATTTGGTGCGTTCTTCATCATACCACAGCTATCGCCCGCTGCGAAGACGCCCTTGGCACTGGTCTGGAAGAATGGAGGGCCCGCTTTAATATCGCTCTTGGGTGTCTGTTCCAATGCAAGATCCTCCACGAAGCAGCCACGGGGCTTTGTCTCCGGGGTGTGTGCTAAGAAACCCTCCACCAAGCTTGTCCCGTCTTCCAATTTGACAGACACAGATGCATTGGGGTTCACCTTCTCAAGAGAAGCGATTTTCCGGTTTTCGACCTTGAATTTGGTTGTTTCTCCGAGAGAAGCTTTAATCCCTTGAGCCAGCTCCTCTGAGCCGTTTGTATAGATTGTCACTGAGTCGCTGAAAGCAGAGGCTTGACGCGCGACGTGGAGAGCCAGAGGAGGGTTGGCGACACCGCCGATGGCGAGCACTCCGACTGAACTAGCACCTTTTTCTTCGTATCCTTTGCAGAAGAGACAATGGAAGCTTCGATTGATTAGCTTAACGCATATTACACAGCGTTATCGAAATGAGAGACTCACATTCCTTTTCCCCAGGCCCCGGCATATCCCTCAATGTCAGGGAAGATATCCTGAACACCGTTGGCCAAGATGAGTTTCTTTCCGGACCAGCTCTCGCCATTCTCATCAGTGAGAGTGATGCTACCAGACTCGGAATTCTCAGCTTTGACCACAGTTGTGTTCTGAACAGTGATCTGAGTATATCTGGCGAGAATATTTTCCAAAGCCTTTCCTCGATACTCGGCGGGCTCCATGTGGTCAAAGCCGGGAATCAAATGCATGAAGCTGGCAGCGTCACTGCGGTAGGTTTTGGAGTCGAAGATGGCGGAGCTGAAGTCTTGACGTGCAAGAGTCAGAGCGGCTGTTAGACCAGCAGGACCACCACCCACAATGAGGGCATCGAAGCATCTAGTGGCGAGGCTCATTTTGAATGTTTTTCGGTAAAAATAGAGGTTAAGTGGGAATCCGGAGTGTCTCAAGGTGGGATAAATGGAAGAGAAGAGAAGGCAGGTAATTAAATAAAATGAATCATACAAAATTATCAGATTCAAGTCCAAAGGGTCCTCAATCTGTTCTATCTCGAAACATCCCAGTGGCTTATAGGTTGAGATCCGTGACTTTTAGTAGCCGACATACTCTCCGTACCTGAGCGCCTCCCTTTCAACTATGGAAAGACTTGAATACGATTGAATTCATTAGAATGTGAAATTAAATGCTTCAAAATAAAATTGGAAACTATAGAAATTTCTATTGGCCTATCAGGCACTTTCTGGCTTTTGTCCCCAGACGAAGTAGACCCGCAGCGCGACTTTGTGCTTCTCCATTTCCTCCGCAAACTTCTGGGGCAACTCCGCCCACTCCTCCTGTGTCAGCCCAATCATCTCAGGCCTAATTTGTTAGCATATACTCGATCATCGGTGGGGACAAAACATACTTGGCAACAGATTGGAAGAATCCAAGCACCGACAACATGTTACGAGCACCTCGCTTGCCCATTTCGGGATCGGCATTGGCCGAGCCAGCGACCATATCCACAGCCTTGTATCCAACATTCACGAATCCATTCTCACTGAGTCGGCCAGCAAGCTTGGTGGCAGCGAGAGGGTCCGACACCACCCCACTAGTCAACTTGTGGACCGTTTGAACTGCCTTGCACTCCTCGATTGGCTCAGAAACCGGGGTCTGGAAGTCCATTTCCACGAGCTGAATCCATCCACCAGGCTTGACGCATCCGGTCAGATTGGACAATACCAAAGGTACTTCTTCGGCCTTGAACAATGGGATGACGAATCGCTGGTGGACAAAGTCAAACGCATTGCTCCACTCGGTCGGGAATTCCTCTACCAGACTTTGCTTGACAATCTCAAGGGGAGGGTTTGAGTCCAGCGGCGGGTAACCTTCTGGTCTGGTGATGGTCAATTTGCGAATAATAGTCTCGATGGGGATGACTTACGCGTTATCGAATCCTAGGAACTCGGTACCCTCCGGAAAGACCGGTCTCACATCTTGCATCCAGTACCCTGGATCAATGTCAGTGTCGTTTCAATTAAGATGAACCATTCTATTCTTACCATCGGCAGTAGCGGCATCGAGAACACGCATACCATGACGCTTGAGGTCAATTGGGGCCAATACAAGACCGTCAGCACCACCTTTCAGCCACTCGTGCTGGTTTTGCATGCGCTCGGCTTCTTCAACATTGCGAGGCAAGAAGTATCTTCCTGTAGCATCGGCTTTCTCTTCAGGAGACATGGCTGGGCGTATATCTTAGTTGGGATATTGTGGATTTATTTGAGTATATTGTAGAACAAGGACTATCGCACATCTTAAGAGGGTTATCTCCTATATACTGTTGACTCCCAAGGTTCAAAGGTTCCGAAAACACAACCTTATGTCAAATCTCAAGACGTAGCACGGAGACTATACTTATCCACTCAATTCCGCCATTATTTTTGGCTATGCGGCGAGTATGTTGGTGGGGACCTTTGGGGCGTTGACTGAGACTTCCGAGGCTCTATTTCCACGTCTCTAGCGACCATCGGGCAGGGTCAATTTTAGTATTTCCGATATAACATTTTTCTATTTGGTAACAAGCCTGTAGAGTCCTCCCTTAGGTGTGATACTTGCCCCTATCACATGGTCTCTCACATCGCATTCTTTTTGCTTCTATGCATTTGCTGCTTTATTGCTTTGTTGTTTACTTACATTCTTCTGCATGCTACTTGGCTTGATCCCTTGCTTGCTTGCTTTGTTGCTTACCTACTTGCTTCTGCATGCTAGCTGGCTTAATCTCTTGCTTGCTTGCTTAGCTTTGCCTACCTTGCTTGCTGGGTTGTTGGGCTGCTTCTTTGTTTCTTTGTTTCTTACTTGCTTGCTTGCCTCTTCGCTATTTATACTTGCTCCTGCTCCATAGCTGTTCTTGCTTCTTCTTTTCCTTCCTTACCTATAATTAGATTCTTCGTCGAATTGGACCTTCTTGCTATTCTTGCCTGCTCAGAGCTATGTCTGCCTCTCAGGCCGTCTCCCTATTTACCTAGGTCTTGTCTTTCCGGGTTACCGTATATACCCTTGTTCGAGAGGTGTTTGCCCTACCTTCCTTCTCAATTAGGAAGTGGGGCCTCTCCCTCTCTTGTTTGCCATAAGCTGGCTCTTCTCCATTCCTCTCTCTCTCCTCTGTCACCATCGCACAGGCTTCCATGGCTCAGCTACGTATATCACTTCTTGATTTGTGATTGTTCTTGCTAATTAGTCCCTGAGACCTGCCTTGCTTCCTAAGAGCCCTCTTCCAGGTGATCCTCAGGCCGGAACGGTACCTGAGCAATTGAAATCGGCAGCCGCTATCAACCTACACAATTTGCCACGATGACAGTGAATCCCCGTGAACTTTCTCATATCCCAGCTGGGGATCACCACGGTCTAGCAGCCTTCAAAATTTGCGAAGTCCCAGGTTACCATCTCTCGTACAGGCCCCTTCACAAAAGCGAAAATCTGCGAGATTGCAGGCTCCGTCATGCTGCATCTATACAGCTGCAGGAAGACAAACAGCTATACTCGCTTATATAGATCCTGCCAGGTCCCCTTCTTCTTTTTTCTTCTTCTTTCCCTAGTTCTGTTATCATCGTCGCTTCTGGACCTTTATCTATCAATAGAGCTTGCCTTCCTGACACTGGGGGCAAGAGAATCATTATGATCCTCCCCCAGTCACTAAACTTCTGCGAAGAAGCCCTCTCCCTCTTTCCTTCTTCTCTTCGGCTCGAATGAATCTATCTCATCATAGTTTATTGCTTTCCTGACAGGTTCTGAGCAACCTTGGAACTGCGCTGATTTGGACCAGCAACTTTGTTTACTTCTGAGCCAATCGGGTAAACTCCTTCTACCCCACATCTCGGTAACCAATCATCGCCCTGCATCGTACCCAACAGCGGCAAACCTCCCGGCTGCAAGCAAGCGTGAAGCAAGATCGAACCTTTGATACTCCGCACCCCTCTATGTTCTCGTTTTCTCGACATCTCACCGTCATGAGTGCCGCTACGACTCAAACTACATCCGCAGAACAGGATACAGAACTCACAACGCTACCTGAAGAACGCAAGAACGTTGCTGTTCAAATACAATTGTTATGTGAGGATTCCGATTTCGACAGATCATTTTGGTTGAGGGAGCACTGCTTCCTCATATGTTTGGGACTTTCGTGAAAACCACGCTTTCGCCTCGGAAAGAGACAGATCCGATACCCAAAAGCAAAGGTGGATGCACACATCAAGCGCCGAACCAGAGGTGATGCGTTACGGGCTTCGGGATTCTTTTTCGGCATGGTTGAAAGCTCGCGTGCCCGGAAAGAATGTCTGGCTTGTTAGAAAACCAGGCTGGAGCAGGAACCCTCGTCTCGCCCGCTGATGTTCAATATCCCTCCTTATGCTGTATGAAACAGGTTTAAACTGGGTTTCCAAGGTAGTTGTTGGTCACCTAGACCATCTTTGGCTATGTCTATGGATTGAATCGATATGTGCAATTTCATGCGATGGCTCAATGTTGCCGGTGGGGAGCGGTATCATGGGTGTACTATCATTCAAGATACAAATTGGAACCTCATTAACGGCTTAGTCCAGAACTGTGAAATAGATTGTTCTGGTCGCACATTGGCGAAGTAGGCTCAAATACTAAATATACATGCAGTGATGACACAAAAGATCGAAGCTTTTCTTCCCGGCCATGGACGCAACAATTGGTGCTGTTTCAAGTTCTCAGGCCTGGTCCGGACCTGGAAAATGGCGAATCCAGCGTTTGATAATGTCCATGTCTTCCGCAAGTTCTTGCATTTGGATGGCTTGGTCTCTCTGCGCCCGCTCTTGGCGCCCAAGTCGCTCATGCAATTGATTATTGGCCAATTCTAATTGGTCAATCCTCTCTTTCTTTCTCTCCCAACTATCAACCCGAAAGCCCATGGTGTGCGTACGTTCCTCTTCGTTGAGAGTGTTCAGAACCATCCCGGTTTTTGTACCTCGAATTTGGACTTGCTTGCGCCAATTTTGCTCCCTACAAAATGCCAACTTGGTCGCGTGCGTCAAGGTGTAGGTCTCGGTACTGCATATTAATATGCTGCAGGTATTGGCGTTCTGTCTCCATCATATGCTCAAGAAAAGGACCAAATTCAGAGAGCAATTCGGTGCTCTGATCAGCTTCATATTTACTGAGTAGTAAAGTGAATGAAAGTTCTTGATCAGTCCGTTGGTAGCTGATGTTCCTCAATTCAGACAAAGATTGTCCAAATACACCCACGTATTGGTCCTGCTTTTCGACCCTTGATGGACCACGGACTGTCCTGAGAAACAAACACTCCCAAGCCGAAACACGAACTGTGCGGTTTCACTGGCCGCGTCCAGGTATTTTGCGACCGTCTCTAACTTGGCCAATTGGTCTCTGGCTTTCGCTAGCTCTACTGGTTAGCAATTATTCATGGTCGGGTGTTGTGTTGAGAGCGTACCTTTGTACAGGGCCATCACCTCCAACAAAGTTAGAGGGTGTGGGTTGTCCGGTGATGGGACATGAGGAGGTCGTTTTGTGTCAGAGGATTCCATGTGGTGCTGGATCAGAGGTGCCTGTAATGATAATTGATTAGGAATTGTATCTTTCGGAGGCGGCATGAGATTGCGAGATACTTACCAAGAGGAGAAGAGAAACAGGGTATGAGAAAACGAGCAGGATACCACATGCATGATTTTGTCAAGAAGTTGGGAAAGTTGAAAGTGAAGTTCAGCAGCGACGTGGATGTTAAGGAAGTCTACTGGGATTAAGGGCAATTACTTCAGGTCGCCCTTTCCATGGAGTCAATGCCCCTAGGGATCTTCACCTTGGAATATCTCTGACAAAGCCCAGCCAACCGTTGTACGAGATGCCTTTGTCTTTGTTGATTTGTAGCTTAACGTCACAGTCTGTCAAACCAGCTCTGTCTGCCGTGATCGCTCAGTGCTGAAGTTCTTCACACAAACCGTTGCTTTCATATCTTGCTGGTCTTGCATTTAGCTGGGTGACTTATGTTAGAATTTGCTTACTTGCAGGTCCTATCAATGAGAGTATGAATAGGAGTGCTGATCCAAAGAGTCTTGTTTATTGCCATGCGTCGCTTCGCAATTAAACCATAATATAGTACTAGATTGTTTGAGGCGACTTCCAAGGTTGCTTTCAAGGTTACTCGGGGACTTTAGTGAGATAACTGTCTAGCAGGCAAGCACAGTAATTGACTACAAAATATTGCACTACATCAGATTGGTCGTTTCTTCTACGGGAAATCTCAGGAATCCACGATTGATAGCTTGAAAAGTATGTTTGGAGTCTATATCTATTGAACTCTAGAACTATGAACAATGTAAGAAGGTGGCGAGCCGAACGCCAGCGATACGAAAGAAACAAAACCGCAAAGTATGAATATGAAAGTCCGCTCAGGAAGGGGGAAACAAAAACAGATGCTTGAACGCTTTTCAGACAAGGAAACAGAGGTAGATGGTGTCAATGCCAGCTTTGGCATGGAAAAAGTGTGCAAGAAAGAAAACATTCAAACAAATCAAGGGATCATGTGCAAGAAGGTAGGGTGATGATCATAGTAGCGGCTGAAAAAGAAAGAAAATGAAGGAAGGCAGGAAGAAATTTAGTCGGAAACATCCTCATCCTTTCCAGGATACATGATGTCCTGGCGATAGACAGCCCGAATATGGCTGACAAAGACAAAGAGGAACATGCAAAGAATGCAAATAGACATGGCCGTGCCAACGCCCTTGATAGCAGTACTGGAGAATGCATTGCCAAGGGTAATAGTGGCAAGGGTGAAGCCGGTGTTGGGGAAAACCATCGCCCACCAACTCAGATGGAACGAGGTAGGTGGGGAGCGGATCACAGCAATAGCAGCAATGAAGAAGAACCAGAGACTCAAAGCCCACAGGAAAGCTCCAGCGGCAAGGGCTAGAATTTCTAGCATGCGCCCGTCGGCAGCGGTATCTTGGCTGTCCATGATGGTGAATGTCGATGGCAGACCGCGTGCCATGCCGACGAGAGCAAGCGCTGTGAAAGCGGGTGGGCCGACACAAATGAACATTCCTGGGCGGTGCTCACGGCAGGGTAGACCAGATTCCATCAGACGGCCGATGTAGTGTGAGTACATCATGAAGGAGATGCAGAAGCCGAGGCCTTGGAAAGTAATGCCGGCTGTGACGATGGGTATGGCGGAGCGGTCTGGTTGACGCTCGGCAATGACAGATGCAATGGTGCCGCTCAGCATGACTGGGAAGGCGGGGAGAATCCATGAAGGCATCATGGTTTGTAGGCGGTATGAGTGTGCAGAGAAGACGAAAGAGTATTGAACCACGGCAACAGCGAAGGTGCAGGCACAGTAGATCCAGAAAAGGACTTCGAGGGTGGTGGAGAAGGACTTTTGAGGGTTATCTCCGAAGTATTTCTCCAAGCCCGTGATTATTGTTGCGACGGACAGCCAAAATGTTGGGAAGAAGAGGCCCTCGCGCTCATGAGTGAGAGAGCTAATCATTCCACCGTGTATAATGAACCGGGCGGCCATCAGAGAGCAGACTAGAGCAAAGAGCAGAATGTTGCAGAGGTAGACTGCAAGACCGATCTCAAGCAGGCCTTTGAAAGAATTGGGTTGGTTGGCTATTAGGAGGGCCAGTCCTCCTGCACTCATAGTGAGAGTGTACCAGGCCCAGGTGAAATGGCGGAGGCGCTGGCGGAAGTCCAGCGGGAGCTGCTTTTCTGACTTCTCGGGATGCATGAAGGGCGTTTCGGAGTGAGAGGAATTTGGTGGTGGTGTCTGGTAGCCATTGGGGTAGGCCTCTAGGAGGATAGGGTTGGACATGATGCGATGCAAGTGTATGTGGATGCCCCTGGAGCAAAAGATATAGAACAATGTATAGAAAGAAGAAATTGAATTATAGACCAGTCGGTCTGACCAAATATGAAAGAATCAAGGCTAAAATTGAAGCTGGGGGGGAATAGTGAATTGAATGAGTACCAAAAGCGAGGAGATAGGAGACGTTAATATAGTTCAGATGGGCAGCAATAGCATCAAAATTCAAATTCACCATTGCCTGGCCGCACGCTCGACGATCAACCAGCCAAGAAAGTTCCAAGACCACCGTGCTTGCCAGAAGGCAGACCTAGGATATAGACACAATGAGCAGTTTCCAATGGACCTACCAGCGGCCTGAACGCTATCAGAGACCCATAATTTCGGCAAAATCCACAAGAATAGATCGGCCCAGGGTGTCGGGGACGATGGAAGACTGCATCAGGGGTGAAGCGCAGGGGGATCCGCGGGAGACGAGAGATCTACCGAGTCTGGGCAGATGTGGTATTCACAAAACTTCGATGCCTGAGCTCCCGTACGTGGACATTTTTGCCAAGCCTGAGGGTTGGAAGCGAATGCGTAACCCTCTCCCTCCGTGCCACCCTGAATATGATCTACCGAGTGCTTGCAGATACACAAGACCGGTTGTGAATCAGTATCTGTGGGTGTGGGTGTGTGTCTGTGTAAAATGCCGTCATTCGAGTCCGTCCGGACCCGTCCATCGATGTGCAGGTTGTATGGGTGCCCGTGAATCTCACAATCGGGCCGACTTGGTCCTCCAAGCCCTGTTCACGCAGCCCGAGAGCTCCCGATAGGAGACAGCAGAAAGTCTAATGCGCCAAACGCCAAGACGTTATGATCGACAGCGCATCATTGACGGTCCGCTGCCAAGCTTCCACTCGGGTGGCTGTGAGGGCGCAAGCAGCGGTCGATCGCCAGGTTACACCATTGCGTGGAAGCTGGTTTGTCAATCCATCCTGGAACCTTCATGCAACGTATCCACGTAATCCACGCAATGTGGCGAAGAGAAGTTAAGAAAAGAACATTCTGACGGAGGAGGTTGAGGAAGTCAAGAAGTTGAGAGGTCCAGAACCCGTTTGGGTCTTGGCACTTCCCCCTCTTGCCCCTGAACGTTCTCTTATCTTTTTTCATCTTCACAGCCTCTCTGCCAATGTTGACACTATTGATATTGGGTCTTCGCCAAGGCTTCTGTGCTTCTGTTGATCTGTCTGATTCAATGATTCTATCATTGTATGGAGTATGGAGTACGGAGTAAAGGGGCAGTTTCATGCTTATTTTTTGGTCTTTGGACATTGGACATCACAATGATGTGATTCTCGTCTCGACCCTCGCCAAGATGCCCAGACTTTAAGACTTGATTGTGATGTTTTGCAAATATGTGCTGAAACATCTCAAACATGAGCCGATCGTCTAACTTTCAGATCAATGTCACCTTGTGCATCTCCACTCTACAAGTCCACTCCAATACACTCTCGGCGGCTGAGCAGTTGGACTAGTCCTCAATACGGAGTACTCCATACTATAGTATCAGACGATAGTACGGAGTATGGGGTAAGGAGAGCCACTGTGGATAGAGAGTACGCACAGAGAACCACAAGTCCGGGGAGAAGCTCGATTAACCAAAAAAAGCAAAAACTGTGACATCCAGATTCAACAAATTGCAAAGGGAAGAACCCTCATCCGGTCGAAGATTCGACAAAAGCAAGATTATGCGCCTCGGAAATGACAAATTCAACATATGCACAAAAGTCTCAGGGTAGCAATGCAGGAAAACAAACTTCTGCAGCAAACTTCTGCAGCAAATTTCTAGGCATTTCCCCCGAGCACACCCAATCACACTCGCCCATCTCACATCATGCGATAAACCAGATCAGACGCCAACTCCGTCGTCATATCCAACAGGCCCCGGAGACTCTTCGGGGCATCACCCCCACTTTATCCACCGGCCGAAGCTGAGGCGTGCCCGTCGCGGACTCAACCCGGTACCGTGCCAATTCCTTAACCTTGCACGCTGCATAATGCACGACCAATTTACGGAGCTCGTTCTCCCGCAGCTGCGTTGCGGACGTCGGTGAGATGGGCTCCAGCCGGGCCGTTTTCGTGTATGCATAGTGCACCAGGTCGAGAATGATCTGGGCCTGGGCGACGGGCTCGTCTGGCAGCGTGAGGAGGTCGGCGTGGAGCTTGCGGAGACAGAGCTGCGCTAGGGCCGGGATCAAGTAGCGAGTGGCGAAGACGTAGACCTTCGCGTGGAAGGTGAGGTACGGGAGGGTTGGGAACGTGGGCGGCTCGGGCTCGCTTTCGTCGTTGTATTGGAGGGAAGCGAACTCGTCCCACAGGCTGAGGCCTGGCTCACAAGGGGAGACGGCTGCTTGCTGTTGGGCGAAGGACATGTCGAGCATTGGTCTTTGGCGGTTAGCTCGGTCTTGGATCCATGAGTCTTCCATGGGTGCCGCTGTCCTTGGCGAAGCTTCGGAGTGCCAGTCCTCAGCTGGTGGCTCGGGCTCGGGCTCGGGCGCGGGCTCTGCCTCGGGCTCAGGCTCTGTTGGCCACGGTGTTTCTGTCTGCCATCCAGCGTCTGCTTCTGGTTCAGGCACTGCAGCAACTGGAGAAGGGGTGGATGGCGGCGTCAGGTTGACTGGCTCGCACGAGGGCGGTTCCTCTACAGCCGTCTCTTGCTCAAGATTTGCATTTTTGCGCACTTTCCTACCTTTCCTACCCTTCTTGCCTTTCATCTTTTTGCTCGAAGTTACCGGAGCCTCTTCTAACTCCCATTGAGCAGGCTCTTCGGGTGGCACCGCACTCGGCTCTTCAGACACCTCAGGAAATTCTTCAACGCGGGCTTCGCTCTCAGCTGCTGCTGGTGCAGTCTCTGCCTCCTCATATACGGTGATATCGTCCTCATGTTCTGGCGTCGCTGGCTCGGCCTCGGGCGCAGGGGCTGGAAGCTCCTCCGAATTTACCTCGGGCTCGGGCTCAGGCACTGGAGTGGGACACTCTGGTACCAGCGTGTCGGGTTGTGATTCTTGGTAGGCGGATCCCGAGACTGAACCATGGGTGCTGTGACGGTGCTCTGGGGGTGGTGATGGAGCAGGCGGGGGCACCGTGGAGGCCACCGAACCAGTTCGGTATGCCTGCCTCCATGTGGCGTTGCTGGTTGCACTCTCCAATGTGGGTTCTTCCTCCGGCTGCGGCTCCGGTTCGGGCTGGGGGACGCTATAATCGCCGGTATACGCATATTCGCAGAACGCAACAAAGGTCTCCACATCTTCTTCTTCCAGCACGGCGATTCGATGTTTGGATTCCCTCGTGTGGCCGTTCATCAAATTATGCAGGGGCTTGGAGACATGCTGGGCGAGACCCGACTGGATGGTCAGCTTGGTATGCTTTGGGCCGACGAGAAAGGTGAATGACGGTGAGTGGATGATACTATTGCTGTCAGCGGAGGGGGTCTACGTGATTCTCTTCGGTTGGTTTGATTACCTGCTATAGTCGCGAACGGCGGCCATGGTCTCGCTGCGAGGAGAAATTTCACTCAGAGGGAGGTCGCCATTAAATAATCGCAGACGGTGTGTGTATCGCTACGTGTGCCGCTCCGATGGGGAACGAATTACTACACTAACACGAGATAGGATGTAGTTCAGACAGTTTTTAGCCAACTTAGCCAGCTTAGTTGATATCCCAGCCATTTCCTAGAGCGTCTAAAGAATTGCCACATCCGCTATCGCCGAGATAAAATCAGTTCGCTGCAGTGCTGCAGCTCTTGCGAACGTCGGCTGACGGTCATTTGTGCCCAATCCCAGCCTGTCCACAACCCAATCTGCGGCCTCACTGGTTGATTTGCTCTCGGGCTCCATACCCTCTTTGAGTGACATTTGAAGCTTCACTTTTTTAAGGGCCTCCGTGTGGATGTGGGAATGTGGCGGTCAACAGTTGTCGAAGTAGATAGGCTGGGATGAACGGGTTTTGACGACATCGTGAATGGCGCTTCCCAACGGCATTCTGATTACGACTGATTTCAGGTACACAGCACCGTGCTCATCTCTGACTCGCTGGGTATTTTCGGGCCTTTAGATCTTGTCTTCTTTGCTCCATACTTGCAGGCTTCTCATCATCGATAGTACAGAGTGGATATCTCGAATACAAACGGCCACATGGCTCGGCATATACTATACAGAGAAGAGTTGAATTCTATAGACTGACAGAGAGGTATTGTACAGATATATGCTACTAAATCAGCTCGTATGCATCAGACGAATCTCCGTGTTCCCAGGTTCCCACTCGCGCAGCCCTTCCCCAACGCTGTACCAAAAGCGCAGTCGGATACACTCCTTCCTCGCAGCCTCAAGTTCACCGCTCTCAAACGCCTTGCTCAGGGACTCCACACACTCAAGCACTCTGACCTCATTCTCCTTCTTCAAAGCATTGATTTGTCCCTCTCCTTCGGCGGTAGCGCCAACCTCTTCGATCGTCTCCTGCACCTCCATGACTTCCATCAACGTCTCAGGGTCCAGCGCATGCTTGGTGGCTGCATCCTCCGCTGTCACGTCAATTCCATGCCATTCGCGAAGAATGTACTGCGCCCGCTGGAGCGGGTCAACCAAGGTACGGTAGGCTTCATTGATCCGAGCTGAGAGGCCTTCAGCATGCTGTTTTTCAACCCCGTTGGGGTACTTGTCTGGGTGGACCAGGCCTTGTAGTTGGAGGAATTCGCGCTTGAGATCTGCGGTGGGGATGTTGAACGGGGACGCTGGTGGGGGGGCCGCTCGGTATCGTTTTGGCAAAAATTGTGTAGTAGTTTGTGATGTCTGGTGCGCCAGCGAGTATCACTCCGCTAGGCTCGGTGGAGGACTTGGTAGAAGCGTAGCGCGTGCATGGTCGGAGTGTTTGGGTAAGGCTAACTTGCACCGGTCGGTGATACCGGGCGTGGCTTAAGGGTGATGACGGGCCAGTCCTTGTGAGTGATCCCACTGGGCCACGAAGATGGGCAATTCTCTGTCGTAAAGCCATGGTTGTGAGGTATTAAACAAAGCACCGGAGAGAGCAAAAAGCTCTCGCCGATAACTTTACGTCATCCCCGCATCTTATCCAGCACGTGACCGGAAACGAAGTATAAAAATGAATGTGCTTCAACGGCCAGCCAGGTCAAGGGTTTGATTCAAAGCTGTGGCCATTGGGAGAAAATGACTAAATGGAGGGTATTTGGTCTCATAGTATTGGATCATAGCATGTATTAGAGTACTTGTACATAAGCCGAGGGTTGAGGAACGCGTGTCCAGGAGATAGACAAGAGTCTCACTAGACAAATCACTGCTGGATTTCTTGGATCTTCAGTGTCTCGAAACGGCGTTTAAAAGTCGATGCCCCATAGCTTCACCGTACGGTCATGACCACAGCTAGCAATCCACTGCGCATCGTGACTGACATCCGTACTCAGGACATTGCCGGCATGGCCACTCAGTGTCTTCACCAAGGACCAGTCATCCGCACTGAAAACGTTGACATTCCTGTCAAATCCACTGCTCACAAAGAAAGTGCCTGATTTCTTCGGCTGGAGAGGCTCCTTCTTTTCAGAGCCATCAATGTCCATGCTATCGCCAGAGGGCAAGAAGGACGCCGATTCAGCACCCTTGTACCACCGGAGATCGGAAACCACACTCTTGTGAGCGCCGATGCCACCGGTGCTCTTCACCTGCCGCAGATCCCAGCATTTGACCCAGCCATCACCGGCGCCGGAGAGTACCCGGTAGCCGTCCACACCCCAGTCCAGACCGAAGATCTCCCGGATATGACCCTCCAGGATCATCACCGTTCGCCCTGTCCGTAAATCCCAGATTCGCCCATTGCTGTCAAATCCACCGCTAGCAACCAGAGAGCCATCATTGTTAAAAGCGACGGTATAAACTTCTCGTGAGTGACCTTCTTGCAGCAAGAGCTCGGTCTGTTTTTCGATATCCCACAACCGCCATGTGGTGTCGAAAGAGGCAGAAGCCGCATATCGACCTGAGGGATGGAATTCTGTACGACACACCCGCCCAGAGTGTCCCGATAATGTCGCCAAGGGCGTTTCCTGATCCAAAGACCAGAGATTGATAGTTCCTTCGCCGCCTCCGGAGATCAGGTTAACATTAGATGGCGAAACATTGGAGTCGGGCAACGTAGCACCGGGAGCCCATGACAATCCACCCACGCGATCAGTGTGAGCTTTGAGATTGGCGACCTCGTCCAAATTCGGCACAGAAAGCAATTTGATTCCACCGCTCCAATTTCCAGTCGCAAGTGTTTTTCCGTCCGGTGCAAAGCGACAGATGCTCACAGGTCGGTCTCCGGCAATCTGCGACCCGAATAGATCGAACTTTTCTAATTTTTCCCGCACGGCCTTGCGGTGCTTGACATGTGTTCGAAGGGGAATTGTCGACTCTTCCTTCAGCCGGGCGACTCGGGCTTTTGCGCGCGGTAAAGAGAAATGCACCAGGTCCTTGCGCGCAGCGAGCAAGTCGTCTGTGCCCACTGTATAGAATTCTTCTTGTTGCTCCACTTCGTCCTCGGGCTCGGGTTCCTCCATTTCGATATCTCCGCCTTGCTGCTCCGTCATGTCGGTGAGTAGCTCGCGAAGACGATCTCGTCGCTCTGAGGGCCCTTCGCCGAATAGCGTAATTGGTTCGCCAAGCTCTCGTAGTCGTGTGCGCACTTTTGTATCGTCTGTCGGCACTACCATCGCTGCCGCTCGGCGTTTGCGCTCGAATTGTGATAGGATAGCTGACGCGCGCGAAGACGGAATACCAGCTTCCGCATTTGGCATGTCATAGTCGCGATTGACCGCTGGATTTCGTGAGCTGGTTAGCTGGGGCTTTTGAGGGGAAGGTGTTGTCGCGACTCACGGAGATCGGCGAGGCTGACACCCATGTCTGTGTCTTCTTCGACATAGGCTTGTCGAGAAGGGTGCATCATCTTGGGTGTTTGGGAAGCGTAAGCTTCAGACAAGACGTGCAATTCCGAGCTAACTCGATGATTAGATGCGAATTCGATGTATGGAGGAAATGGGAGGATCGGCAGAATTGATAGAGGTTTGCTGGCGGTGTAGATCGAAGTATACAAGGCCGAGAGATCTTTGCGCTCGTGTTTATGCGATTTCAATGACTTTAGTTTCTGGTCAGATGAAAAAGAGAATACGTTGCAATGAAATAACCAGCAATTTTAAATACGCATAAATATAGTAAAATATAGAGATCAACCACCAAAAATAGCCAGCTGAGCAATTCATGCCTCAACCCTCAGGCATCCAATCATCAAAAAAATCATGACGCCAGGCGGTCGGCGATAAGAGAGCGGGTACTGCGTACGTCTCTTATCCATTCAACTTTCTCTTGGCTGCGGGTTTTTCATTGCACCTTCTTTGGGCTTATTTGACCTCAAGCCCTTGGACATTCTAGACATACGCCATGCTTGCGCCAAGTCTTTCGTATAGAGCCTGCAGCTCTGCCTGCAGTAGTCTCCCAGCCCACGGGCTCTCCACATCCAAATTCCTCCCCCAACACTTCCGCCTCAACCTTTCACGAACACGACCCTTCCACTCCACCCCCTCCCTCGACTCAAAGGTCTCATATCGCGTCGCCGTCTCCTCCACCGGCAAAGGCCGCCGCTTCCACCCCCTCAAAAATGCCTACAACTTCGACCCCGCCGGTCCAGCCCTCGGCGTGACAAAAGAAACCAACTCCGTCAGTCGCCGCCGTACCCGTCCCGACAGCGGTGAAGACGCTTTCTTCGTTAGTCGAATCGGTAATCGCATCTCAGACCACCAAGAAGGTAACGCCGAGGCCGTGGCCTTCGCAGTCGCCGATGGCGTAGGCGGCTGGACCGAGTCTCGCGTTGACCCGGCGGACTTCTCTCACGGCCTGTGCGGATACATGGCGCACACGGCGCAAACGTGGCACGAACCTGCTGAGGCACTAAGACCGAAATCACTTTTGCAATTCGGGTACGATGCGGTGGTCGATGATCCGACCATTCGCGCAGGTGGCAGTACTGCATCAGTAGGTGTTGCGTTGCCGGATGGTCGGGTTGAATTGGCGAATCTGGGTGATTCGGGTTCCGTGTTGCTGAGGAGAGCGGCGGTGCACTCTTACTCGGTCCCGCAGACGCATGGGTTTAACACGCCTTTCCAACTGAGTGTTATTCCACCGCGTATGCGCGCACAAGCCAATGTCTTTGGCGGTGCATTTTTGGAGGATTTCCCCAAGGATGCTTCGGTTACCAATGTGCAGATGCAGCATGGAGATGTCTTGATGCTGGCTACTGATGGTGTTTTTGATAACCTGAACAATCAGGATATTCTGAAGCTCATCACCAGTCGCATGGTGATGACGGGTGCTTGGACAGCGACGGAGTCCGGCGTTGGCGTTTCGGATAATCTGCGGGCTCTGGCTGCCCCGGGTGGGTTGGCGGATGCGCTTCCCACGCCGCCGGGCTCACCGATGAAGGATTCGGAAGATGCCCTTGCAGACGGTGTCACTTTGCAGTCTGTCCTGGCTGCGACCATTGCTGGCGAGGCCAAGAAGGCCAGCGTGGACTATCGTCGCGATGGACCTTTTGCGAAGGAGGCCCAGCGGTATTATCCTGGGGACTATTACCGGGGCGGAAAAGTCGATGACATCTGTGTTGTGATTGTTGTCGCTGTTGATGATAGCGCCGCGGCCAAGATCTGAGTCCATCACTTACATCGAATCTGTTTTCTTTTGTTTTGGGGACATAAAATTGCATGGAGTGCATATATAGGGCGCCGGGATTTGGATTTGCATGAGCATCCTGTACTTTACCTTCATTGATAGACTTTTTATAGATAATTTAACCTGCATGACATACTCAGTTATTACTTACCTGCTAGCTTCGCAGGAGCAGCCACGTTCATGTCAAAATGCAAGGATCCTCTTGCACTTCACACTTCGCACTCCAATCATAACAAACTAATACAAGACAGCCAAGCATAGATGTATGCTGGACAACTTCCAATGGTACAATTGCCAAAGGGTTCTAGAAATGGAGAGAACAGAGAACAATCACATTTTTCATTCGAAGTAGAGTGGCTGGTTGATCCAACCCCGTATCCCAATATTGCATAGACAAGTTACAGATAAGAATGTGAGGGGAAAAAAGAACATAATGTCGAAAAGCGCGTAGATCAAAACAGAGTCAGAGGGAAAACATTATTGAAGCGCAAAAGGACTGAAACAAAGCAGATATCGCAATCGTGAATCTCAGACTTAGGCCGCAACCTCGGCGTTCTCTGTAGCAGGCTCTTCAGCTGACTTTGCCTCGGGCTCAGAGGGCTTTTCGGTGGTCTCTGTCGACTCCTCGGTCGGCTTCTCGCCCTCGGCCTCCTTTTCAGGCTCTGGGGCCTTCTCAGCATCAGCATCCGGCATGGGTGAGTCGACCTCATCCTTAGCAGACTTGGTCTCCGGCTCCTTCTCCTCCTCGGTCTCCAGCTTGGGGGTCTCGGCACCGTCATCCTCCTTGGATCCGTTGGTAGTAGGCTTGTCAGTCTTGTCAGCGGGGCCGGGAGTGTCAGCGGCATCCAGAACGTTCTTCCAGCTGGAAAGGATGCTCATGGCGCGTGAGCGGATGTTGAACTCTTCGTCCCGGGGGATCGTGTTCAGCTTCACAATCATCTTCAGAACCTTGTTAATCTTGGTTGATCGGATGATGGAGACTTCCAAGTCGGCGTGCTTCTCCAACTTGTCGAAGTAGGTGGCCATGCTGGCCATTTCATCTTCCGCGGGAGGGGTTTCGCGGGAAATGAAGCCCTTCTGGAGCTTGTGGCGGAGGAACAGAACTGAAAGGTATAAGTGATCCGGGTCGGTAAGGGGCACATGGACTGGGGGCTTGAAAATGGGTTCATGCGTACTTTCTTTCTCCTTTTTCTTCTTGAGCTCCTCGGGGTCAACCGGCTTCTCGGATTCCTTAGCATCGGCGCTGTTATCGTCATCGCTAGGGGCGGCGGCGGCGGCCTTTCCCCTCTTGGCCGGGGCCTTTCTCTTGCTGGCCGGGGTCTTTTCCTCTGCGGGTGCCTTGGGGGTGGTCAACTTCAGCTTCGTGTTGCTCTTGGGGGTCTTGGCGGGCTAGGAGTTGCAAATGAGCGCGGTCAAACAGAGTTAGAATTCAATCACCTACCTTCTCAGCCTCAGCGTCGGTGTCGGCATCCTTCTTGCGCTTTTTCGAGGTAGGCTTGGTCTTCTTGGAGTCGTCGGCATCCTCCATTTCAACATCCGTGTCGGCTGCCTTGGACTTGCGCTTGCCCTTCTTGGATTCCTTGGCAGCTTTAGCGGCCTCCTTTGCGGCCTCCTTCTCGGCCTCCTTGGCCTCGATCTCCGCCTCTTCTTCGTCAATAGCGGCTTGGTGGTCGCTCAGGAGCTTCTTAAAGTACTTCAGATCGTGTCCTTCGGATGCGACCTTCATGGCATCGATAAGCCCCTTGGTCTTTCCCTTTTCCGAAAAGTCCTCGGGCATGGCGGACAGATTTGTGTTGACAATCCAAGCACTTTAGACACCAGGTTAGCTGGAGAATCGCACGACGGGTGTAACAAAGAAAAAGACCCAACTTACAAGTCATTGCTGCCGAGGAACATAACGGGGAAGGTGCGCTCGTGTGTGCGGCGACCACCATCGGCGTACTCACCCTTGTAGGAGCCGTCCTTCTGCATGGCCGTCACCGGGCGGCTCTCATTGAAGCTCTCTGACAGGATCTCATCGTCGCAGATGATCGCAGGCCAGGGCGCAAAGCTGCGCAAGCGCGCCATGTAATATTGTCCGGGCTTGGCATCCAGGTGCGTGATGCGGTTCTGGGACTTTCGTCGGTTGAGCTTCTGTGTAGCACCGGTGGAGCTGCGGCGGTTCTTGGAGGACTTCTTGGCGGAAGCAGGAGTTCCGTTCGCCTCAGCGGGCGCGTCCTCCGCAGTCGCGGCCTCACCCTCAGCTTTGGCAGGGGCAGCTTCGGCGGCCTCGCCCTCGGCCTTGGCCTCAGCCTGAGCTTCCTCCGATGCAGGTTTCTCTGCTTCGGCTTCGGCAGGCTTGTCGGTCGCAGCTGCGTTCTCTAGAGTCATGTTTAGCGACGGTCGCACAATGGCGGGGAGGCTCCTCCAGCGCTTGAACGAGGTGAGGGGGGGGACAGGGACAGTGTGCAGCGACACTCACCGTTCTGTTCGGCCGTCACGTTCTCGGCGTCAGTAGGCTTCTCGGCGCGCTCGGACTCAGCGACGGGCGCAGAGACATTATCGTCAGCCATGATGAGATGATAGAACCAAAGGGAAGCGATTGGGTGATGGTTGGTGTGGGAGCTTCCAGGGGAGATGTGGAGAAGAAAGAGCGAGTCGCGAAACGGGAACTTCAGAACGCGTCTGAGAACGGAGCATCCAATGACGCCACTCGGACCTCTTCTTCTTTTTCTTCGCTTTTGCCTTTTCTTTTCTTCGCCTTTGGATTGTTTTAACGAGTTCAATGGCAATTCTCGTCTCTTCTCTATTCATCTCTGCTCATTTCTTGCTCTCTTTTCATTGTTCATTTTCATTGTCGTTCGCTCTTTGCGAGTCTGAGACCCGCACAAGGTCGAGCACCCGGTCAACCTCAATAGATCATCAATAGAGCAACACAATGGACGGGCTCTGAAAGTCCGCTGGAGGAAAGTCTGATTGAAATATGGAGCATTGAGAGTCGAAGAGTCCATGTCAAGTGATGTATCTCTTTTCTGGAGACCGTAGGCATCCCCCCCTGGACTGGCAACGCTGGCAACGCTCAACCATGCCACTTTGGACCAAACGTCGACATATAATTCACCGAGTAGTGAGATCAAGCGTCTCCGTGGATCATGACGTCCTTTCTGTTTCTGTGTACTCTTTCCTAATGGTATGTCGGTTTCTCTCCGGCATGTCTGGCCATGGATATATATACCTCAGTGGGGGAGACAAGTATGGGATCAAAACCCTCCCCAGTCTCCCATATGACAAAAGTTTGACCAGGAGACTTGTTTGTTGAACACTACAGGAAGTGATTCAGCGTTTAAAGCTCTTTATCGAAGCAGCAAAGAAGATGCTGACAAAACTTAGGTTATTCAATATGAGAAATTCTGTACTCCCCAAGAAGTGGGAAGTTGATACTATCTATGCTTGCTACAAAGCAGCAAACTAAGGTTGCTTCCATAGAAGAAGCCAGAAACTGGCTTCTTCATTGAACAGAGGTCTTATCTCCGCTATTTTACTTTGATTAAAAACGATATAGATCAATTCAGCAAATAGTATATGAAGCTGTTTCAACTGATGGGAAACTGTATATTTTAGTGCTAATGAGGCTTGGTAAATTAAGAATGATATTGCTAATTGCTCAATTGACTCGAGGGGAAGAATAACAACACTAGGTACACGCGAGAAGAATATATTCCATCGAACCGTATGCACAAATCATCGCCCGGTGTGGGTTCATACAGGGTATCAAGTTCTAAAAGCCTAATTTGAAGACCATTTATGGGTTACCGTATTCTGAACCATTCTCGCTGGGAGTGCGACTCTCCCCGATCTCCATGAGCGAAGGCTCCGGCTTGTGGATACGCACCAGGCAGAGGAAGTAGTCCTCGAGTGGGAGGAGGTTCAGCAAGACCCCATTGAAGCACCAGCCCAGCCCGCATACCAAAGCACCGGCAACCGCATCGAGGATAAAGTGGTTGGCGGTAGCGACAATGGCGACGAGGATGGTGAAGGGGTACAGGAATCCGAGGGCAAGGCACAGCAGACGACGCCACGAGGGAATGGTCAACCGTACGGACCGAGTCAGTCGAGAGCGCAAAACGGTGCGTCTGTGCTGCGGGGGGGAGAGGAATGGTCATGATGGTAAGGCCAATCATGAGAGAGTAGCCGAAATGCAATGAAGGCATTGCCGCTGTTTGAGGGTTAGCTATGGCCCTCCAGTTCGAATCAAACGCTACTTCAAGGAGGCCACTTACCGTACTGATTGCAGAAGCGGTTCTCTGTCCACACACTCCCGGCTCCATTCTCACCATGCACAGTGTCGATGAAGCCATAACTCCGACCCACTTCCGCATCACGCCCTTCTGGGGCGGGATCACTCAACAGTCGAGGTGGCATGCAGGGCCACAGAGTGAAAACCACAAAAGCAAGCAGGTTGCACACGGCCAGTGTTCGCCGACGGGCTTGGTAGAGCAGCGGACCAGCAGGCGATCCACTCACAACGCCCTTGGGTTTCCCAGACTGGGTCTCGTCGACCCGGTTGCGCACCGTGGTGTAGTAATATAGCCAGACGAGAAATGCGATGGTGCCGGGGATGTGGATGAATGAATATATCCAATTGATCCACACCATTCGGGTGGCATGGCGAAGGAAACTCTGTTGGATCGCGGTCTCGAAGAAGATGCCCAGCTTGACCTCGATGTTGATCAACTGCAATGCATGTTTCCTGGCAATGTCGACGGTATCATCCTTGAGGGTGACGGCGGTGAAGGCGCGACCAAGCTGGTATGTCTAAACAAGAATATGTGAGCCTCGTGATTCTTCATCTGTGGAAACATCCGGGAACGATAGCATTGAATGTGATCCAGTCGAGACTTACCCAATACACTAATGCCCAGTACCAACACTCCACCAAGAATGGGAACTTTCGCAGTACACGACTCAGCAGTCGGTCTTGAAAGACGATCGTGTTGGGCGAGGGCACTTCATATTTGAATCCCAAGAGGCCTACTTCTCGCTTATGCCAACGATCGTCGGGCAGCGGGGAGTGAGATCGGGAGCCCAGCAGGCCATCCTTGGTCGAGGTCGAGTAACCAGACTCCAACGAGTCGGACGAAGCCGTCCGTGGCAGATTTGATTTCCGCCGACTATACGAGGAAGGGTTCACGACGCGATTAATCCATGTTCCGCCAAACAACAGGACCACGACGATGAGCGGTTCAAGGATCGCTCCAACTCCCATGGTAATTAAGGACAAAAGATGATGATACCGATATACAAAAGGAAGAAGAAGAGGGAAATCTCAGCTGAAGCATCAGCTGGCCCTGTTTTGAAGCAGGTGCCCAACCAGAGGGCAGGTGCCAAAGGGCGGCAGAGAGGCCTAGGAAGGTCGGACCCCGTTGGCTCCGAATGAGACTAGGACGAACTAACAGGATTAACAAGACTAACAGGTTATCCACAAGGCTGGCCTTATCCTTGGCATTTCATACGAGCATACGAGTACGGAACATGTCGCGTGCTCCGTTTAGCTCCGTATAGAGCGGATCTTCTCCATATCGGAGGGAAAGATACAGGGAAAAAGAATGGACCCAATGATCGGAGACTCAACAAGCCAAAGAGGCAAGGTGTTCCCACCAAAAGCAAGCTGCATAATCTCTCGAATTGGAGCCAGTTGCGAGATGTGCCAGATCAACAAAAAAACTCGGGGCTTGGCGTTTGCCTCGAGGAATTAGTCATAAACTTCATTGACATTCACTAAAAGTTATGCTGGTACGGTACAGCGTTACGGTAATCTGATTATGAGATGATATGATAACCAGTAGGTACCTTGCGAGTTACGTGATTGTGAAGTAAAACAGTAACTAGTGATTAGTATACTTCCAAGGTTCAGCCCTGGCGCATTTGACTCAGCGGCACTCGGATCCATGGGTCCGGGCTGACGATCCGGTATCCGGCAGCCGGTACTCCGTACCATCGGTATTCTCGGAGTATCTTTGGTATTGATACAGTCTACCAAAGATACTCCGTCTTCCGAACTTTACTAGACTGGTATACTCTACGATACTGCTATACTGCTATTCCCGGGGTGATGTCGATTTGACGTCAAACCTCAGAGCTTCGGGTAAAAGCATGTCCTCCTGGGACCACCATTCCAGCATGTCTCAGCACTCTCTCTGTGTGAAGGATAATCATGGCCATGATCACTCGATCCTGTAACTACCGACGTGCGATAGGTACCGCCTCGCAGATGCTGAAGATTGCTTCGGCACAGACGAGGGGACTGTCAGCTACACCGGCAATGAGCTCAGGGGTCACCCTTCTACAAGACAAAGAAAATGGGTTTGGTTTCGCGAGATCCAACCCCAGACCTGCGAAGCCTCGGTCCAAAGGGGTCACGGAGATCAGAGGCCCATATTACTCGGTGAGTAGTCCGTACTGCCATGTTCTTCCTATTTGGATGTCCTAACTTCACCCAGGTGATGGGTAAGAGATATTTGACCGATGTTCTGGAAACGTAACACTCCCCCCTGTTTCACCGAAACCAGGCAACGGGTTTTCTTAACAGCGAATAGGATGGGTGATCACGTTGATGGTCTCAAATTTGCGGGAGGTCAGAAGGATTCCCACCCGTTGCACTCACTGATCCGGCTAAGACATGATCAGGGTCATTCTCTCTTTTCCACGAGAAGCCATTGCGTGAGTTGATCAATTTGGCTCACAGTCATGGCGTGTATGTGTCAACGGTAGGGCCACCCCAGATTTAAGTGTCATTGGATGCAACTAACGCGCACGATGAGGGCGGCTGGGCCGAGCACCTCCTCACGCATCCCGATCCCAACGCCGTCTTTGACCGCTACTTGGCAAAATGCAAGGATCTCGGGCACGTGCACCCCTCCAAACCTGGATCGATCAGCGGGTCTGACAGATTTGTTCAGTCTCGATGTGATAGAGCTGTCATCGGGGTTCTTATCGATCCCGGAAGATGACTGGCTCCGCCTGGTCGATAAAGTCCACTCGTATGAATTGGAAGCAAAGCCGGAACTCGGGATCCAGTTCGGAGCTGGCGGAGACACCCCAGCGGGTGGACTCGAAGCTCTTGGGACTTCTGATCCCGGTAAGTTGGTCAATTTGGGGAAGAAATTCCTCGACGCTGGTGTAAAGCGTCTGATGATTGAATCGGAGGGGATCACGGAGAACGTGACATCCTGGCGAACGGATGTAGTGTCTAAGATTATGAAGGAGCTTCCCTCGGAGCAGGTGATGTTTGAAGCTGCAGACCCCAAGGTGTTCAATTGGTATATCCGGGAGTTTGGGGTCGACGTCAACCTATTTGTAGATCACAGCCAGATTGTGCAGCTGGAATGCTTGCGAGCCGGGATCTGGGGGACTGCCGACACGTGGGGTAAGATTGTTTCATTTCGTTGAGTGTGCTGGCAAAGCCAAGATCGAAATGTTTTTGTGTGTGTGTGTGTGGTGTGAGAGAGAGAGAGAGAGAGAGAGAGAGAGCTGGAGGTGTACGCAGTACTCAAGTAAACTAGTGGCTGTGTTATGCGCCGAGGCAAGATTAGCTAAGCTTTTTCGAGTCCCCCGGACCCACCGAAAGGCTGCCCGCACTGGGAACTCTTTGGTTGCTTCTCTGCTTCAAAGCCCTCAACTCCGCTTGTTGGATGTGACCGCCTCAATGATTTCTGCTCGATGAATGTCGCATAACGAGTGATCCTCCTCCGAACGCGAGATGCCTCGCGCTAGCACTACCCCGGGAGCCCGGCTCCGATGTCGACGAGCCTGCGACAGCTGTAAGCGGCGAAAACAGAAGTGCAATGGCGAGCAACCCTGCACCATCTGCGTGCAGCGAAATAAAGAATCAGAGTGCCATTTCTCGGATCGCCCGGCACGTCTACTCAAGCCCGATGTGAAGGACACAACCATGCTGCTTAGTGAGCGCGTGGTACCTTCCCCGCAGCGCGACACCGCCATGGACCGCCTCTTGAATTCACTGGAAGACCAAGGAATGAACATGGAACACCAGGCCAAGGACGAGAAGGAAGGAACAGCCCCGGTACCCAAAGTCGCGCGGCTCTTGCGCGACGGCCAGGGCAAATTCATGTACATCGGTGACTCGGCTAGTCTCTCGTTTTTGCAAAGCGTGCGCCGGGTAGTGAATTCTTCTATTGGCCGATGCGAGTTTACAGAAGACAACTCCCGTCATTCTATGCTCGAGGCATTCCAGAACAATCCCGGCAACCAACCCAGTTCTCTGGTTGAGCCTCCGCCCAACGAGGAAGCGCAACGACTGGCCCAGCAATTTGTACTTGCTACCAGTCCGCTGTTAGATCTGTTCGACCTGCAAGAGTTTCACCCTCGACTGGCTAACTGGGTCGCAAACCCTGCAGGTGATGAAGACACCGTCAGCTCCATCTTCTATCTTGTCCTGGCTATTGGAGCACAAGTCTCGAGTATTGACCAGACCGTGGCTGAGCAATACTTTGGCAGCGGTCGTCAATTGGCATTTTCAGCTTTCCAGGAAACCCCGAGCATCCACACCATACAGTCCTACATCCTGGTTTCCATGTACATGCTCGGCGCATGCAGGCGCAATGGCGCATTCATGAATTTAGGAATTGCCCTGCGCGCTGCGTACGCGGTAGGCATTCACCGCAAAGATGCCAATGCATTGTTCTGCGGACGTGAGCGTAGGGCTCGAGAGCGAGTATGGAAGAGTCTTCGGATGATGGATCTGTTCCTCAGTGCATCTCTAGGACGCCCTCCTGCGACATCCGACTACGACTACGATATCCGTGATGATGCTCTTCTATCAGGAGAATCAACACAACACCTAACGCCAGACCAGCAACTTTCTGTTGCCGTGACCTCGCTATGTCGAATATTCGAACGCATTTTGACCGACGTCTACATGAAACAAGTCATTTCGATTAACGTCGCAGAAACAATTTCAAATCAACATCGCGCCTGGGTCCGCACCCTACCCACTATCCTCAAGAGGCAAACCGAACGACTCGAACATAAATCCATGGAGAGCAGCCTCGCAGCAGCCCACGTTTTCGGCTCGTATTACTGGTCAATCATCCTCTTGACCCGGCCATTCCTCATATACCGTGTCGCTCAATACGTCAAAGGCAAAATCGACCCCTCCTCGTCTGAAACCCGGACTGGCAGCTCTCGTATCGCCCTGTTTGCCGATGCATGTGTCTATTCTGCACTCCGTGGCCTCGACGTAGTCAACGATCTCACCCATTTCACAGCCCTCCCGAAACGCCTCCCATTCCTGATCAATTCCGTCTTCAACTCTGTCATAGTCCTGGGCGCTGCTTTTTTCGCCGATTACGATAACCTTCTGCCCCTGGAAGAGGGAATCAATAAAGCCGAACGTTTCTTGGCCCTCTTCGTCCCGCATGATCCTCACGCTTGCCGGTTCGCCCAGATCATCAAGTACCTTCACACCGCTATAGCAGAGTACGTCTCTCGGCGCAATCGTCAATGGATGAACAGACGAAGCAAGCAGGTCGATCAACTTTTCGGCCAAGTGAGTGTGGGTGAGGACCCTAACCCTCTGACTCCGGGAGCTCCCTCTTCTGCTCCTTCTGTCGCCGCTCCATCCCCTGCCTCTCACCAAAAGCTCTCAGACGGAACACCGTCCTTCATTCCCACCCAGTCTCAATCGCTACCTCAAACATCTCAACATATTTCGACGGACAACGATATCTGGGAAGCTATATGTAACGGTTCAGAGGGTACAGGTACTTTGTCTTACGATGCCGCCATTTCTGCCCTCACGACATCTGGTATCCCGGTAGGCTGCTCTCCTGGTGGAACAATTCCCCCTGGCCCACCTGCTTCTGGGCCATCCCCACTTTCCGATGTCATGTTCCCGGATAATGGTCTACTGTATATGGCGGAGGATCTACCGGTGTTTGGAATATGGGGGAAGAAAACAATGGAATTTTGTAATTTGGAAAGGAGATTTGAGCGGGTGTTTGGTGTGAATTATTGTTGGTCATTTGTGATATCCTAGATGCGATGTAATCCTGTTTTCAGCTGTCTCGACGAGACGTTTTCATATACTATACCCCAACAGGCGGATCATTTATCTCAAACTTTCAACATAATGACCCATGGACCATGATAATGGACCCTATTAGGTAGAGATGAACAGTTTAAACTTGATACTTCATGTATTCGATTCGACGTCTACACCATAGATACATCATCCCCAAAGGAAACATTGCAGATGCCGACAAATCCATTATGTATGAGTTGATAAAAGGGGAAACTTCAGGGCCATCCAAACAAAAGAAAAAAGAAAGAGAGGATTCACACAGCATCTTGGGCGGCGGAGCTGGGGAGAGGGAAATGCATAGAGGCATCAGAGGCAGGTCAATATGGATGAAAAGGAAATTCGTGGCACGCTCTCGGGACAAGGATATGTACGTGATTGCTCTGGCCGATATGGGAAATTTCCAATTATCATCCTGATGCGTGGAATTATATACGCATGGGTGAAATGTAAATCAGAAGCCGAATGGATTATTGGGAGCTGGTGGATTGGGTTAGATGATGGTTTCATATTTCAGAAGGATCGCGGAAGGCACTTACTAGCTTGCGAGAGGTTGGCTCTGAGTCCTGTGGCCTGTGGCTCAAGCTTCTTGGGGCCATCTGGTTTGACACCAAACCGGATGGAAGGAGGTGGGCCTGTTTTCTGGGGCGATAGAGGGGTGGCAGTGGGCTGCTGGGGAATTGGGGGTATAGGGGGTGGTGATGGGTGGAACTGGTTGCCAAACCCATTTGCAGTGGGCTGAGGTTGCAATGCAGGAGGAAGGACAGAGTTGATTCCGGTCTGCATGGGTTGCTGAGGCTGCGGGTATCCGAACCCAGTGGGTTGTGGCCCAAGACCTTGGAAACCAGTCTGCTGCGGGGCCATTTGCTGGGCAAACTGCGGCTGCTGCTGCTGCTGCTGGATGCCGAATTGGGACTGGGGAGTGAACCCGGTGGGCTGGGGCGCCAATCCATTCTGGAATTGGTTCTGTCCCATGTATCCCGTTGCTTGAGGCTGCATTTGAGGCTGGTAAGGTTGCTGGTTCATGCCCATAGGATTTTGCCCAGGAGCTGCCTGAGGAACTCCTGTTAACTGGGCCTGCAAAGGAGAAGGACCGAAGGCATTCTGCTGTTGCGAAAAGTTCTGTGGCGCAGAGAGTGGACGCTGCGGAGGGGGAGGCAAAAGTGAGTTCTGTCCCATTGCCTGAGGAGGCTGAGGGCGCTGTCTGGCTTGCTGGCCAAGCTGCGCTACCTGGGCAAACAAATTGGCGTTGGCCCCCGTTGGCTGTGGCTGCTGTGGTGGGGGTGTTTGAACGGCCGTTACTTGTGGCTGGAGAGGAGGCGCGGGAGGGGCAGCCTGTGACACGCCGGTAGGTTGAGCAGGGGTCGGCTGCAGAGGAGCTTGAAGCAAAGACAAGTCGGCGATAGCCCCAGTGACCTGTGGAACTTGGGCTGCCGCGGGAGGCGGGGTCGGGGTCGCTGCGGCGGCGGGCCTAGCTGGCTGCTTTGGCTGCTTCACCTCCCAAGCGTCGTCATCAAACCCACGCGCAGCGGGTTTCTCGGGCTCTGCAGCAGGTGGCTGTGGGCTGGCCGGAGTAGCGGGCGAGCTGGGTTCATCCGGCTGTCCAAACGCTTTAGCATTGACTTCACCCACAGTGACGTTGGGTGTCGGTCTGGTTCGTCCAGTGTTGTTTCGCAGCACACCACCAGGGCCAGAGAAGAGTCCACCCTGTCCGCCATCGCCATTACCAATGACCTCCTCCCCGCCGAAACTCACGTTTCGCGGCTTGGATTTGTCAGGAGCACGGCCATACTTGGCATCCAAAACCTTCATCACACGTAGATTATCACCCTGGTTCAGACCCAAAGTCGAAAGAATCTCAGATGTGATCTCAGGTAAGATAGACTCATCCATCGAGTCCTTGTTGAATGACTGTGCATATCGTTCACATCGGTGTGGCCCAACACCAGCCTTCAAGAAGAAGTCAAACCAGTCGTAATCATTGTTCACCGAGGCCCCGGCCTTGGAGCTCTTCTCGGCGGCCACTCGAGGTCGGATGCTAGAGAGTGGCTTGTCCTCATCCAGCGAGACACCAGCGATCTTCTCCACATACTCCAAGTCTTCCACGGACATTTTCGCAACAGGAACAGCAATCTTGATGCCGTTCACCTTGTGGAGTTGGATTTTTCCATCTGAAAGACCGATAAATTGGGCCTCAACAGTGAAGTCTTTGGACCGATCGGTCCATTTCCGCACTTTACTGGGATCGGGCTTCGACTTGATCTTGCTGTCGCGCTTGCCTTGACGTTCTGATGAGTCCATCGAGTCCGTCCGTGACTTGCCTAAAGCAAGTTTGCTCAGCCGCATCTCCTCTCTGCGGTTCTTCTCAACAGTGGACAGACCAGGCTCCGCGGGCAGAATGGGTGGCTTAGGAATCAGCCCTGTGACTTCAACATAGCTGCTCGGGACAACACCCTCTTCCTTGTTCTTGAGGCGTCGCACCATCCACCATTCCTCGGACTTGGTATCATCAAGGACAATAACTTCATCTCCGACAGCCACCGTTACCTCATCGTCGCCTTGGGCCACGAAGTCATACAAGATTTGTCCTTTTCTGGGACCATTGCCTTCGCTTGCCTCCAGCACCTCACGCAGTCCTCCGGCGCGGTAAGCCCCCGCAATTTCGCCAAGTGCAGCGGCAATCTCATGAGCGGTATCCTTGGCTCCCGCATGGAAGTCAATGCTCTTGCTGGGTCTGACAAGATCAACAAAAACGTGCTTTCCTTCGATCGAGTAATTGCTCAGCTTCTCCGCACTCCATTCCTGTTGTCTGTCGTCGCCTTCGGGAGACAGGAAGATGATGCCAGTCACCATATTGATTCCCAAAGTGGTGGGCATCTTCTTCCTCTTTCCCATGACCTCCACCATCTCATTGATATTGTAGATATGATAACCAGAAGGTGAGCGCGGGGTCATCTCGCCCGCCCGGTTGTAAGGGGGAGATGCTTTGACGCGTGTTGCGTCGCGGTTGAGTGTCGCAGGCACGCCCTGCTGAGGCCGAGGAGGAGGAGTAGGATCAGGTGAGTATTGAGCCATTGGCGGCGTCGCCTGTGTCGAGGGAGGCCGGCGGGGCATGGGCGGTGGGGAGTCCTCACGGTCCTGGTCGTACGATGGCCGGACAGGAAGACTTGGTGGTGGGGGGCTCGTCTCTGGATGTTTCGACAGGTGTATCCGCAGGGGCATGCTGCTTGTGGATGATGCTGGCAATTGCGGCGGCGGCGGGGTTGTGAGACATGTCGATTGGAGAACCGGCGGGTGACGCTTCCTCGGGCTCTTCCGGAGCCTGAGGCGGCCGCTGTGGAAGTGAAGGCGCAGCTGGCTCGGCCGGAGCAGATTGAGGGACTGCGGCTGTAGCGGATGCATCGTCAATAATCTCAATATAGTTTGACGGCGCGAATCCGTATTCCGAGTTGGTTCCGACTAATGTCCAATCGGGGTCGGAAGTGTCGAAAACCATCAGCTCAGCATCTTCCGAGAATGACACCTCCTCGTCGGTCTGTCGCGTGTAGTCGAATAGAGCCGTGGCTCTGTGCGCGGGTTGCGCCTGTTTGATCTAGATCAGCCAATGTCCCCCGTGCGCCGTCGGCGCATTGTGAGATTCGCAAGTTGAGAGACTCACCTCCTCAACATAATTGTTGGGAACTAAGCCTTCGGGCTCATCGTCATCTTCATGGTCGGACTTGCGTTTCGCCTTCCACCAGTCGTCGTCCGCGTTCTTTTCCAGGATATAAAGGAGGTCGCCCTCGTGGATTTCGAGTTCGCCTTCTCCTTGAGGCTGGTAGTCGTAGACAGCCGAGTAGACTCCGAGGAAGCCCATTCTGACGATCAATCAGGAGCAATGTATTGGCTGGGTGCGCTGCGAATGGCAGCGGTTCGAGATTCCAGCTCTAATGGGGGGTGTCGGAGGGCACGGATAATTGGTGACGGTGGCCGGTCAGCCTTGGCGCTAGTGCGCAGTAATTAGATCGGAACGTGCCGAACAACCAAAGTCCAGGGGGAAAATAGCCAAAGGAGATAGCGAGGATAGGGAGAAGCGGAGGTTGGTTTAGGGACAGGGAGAGAGACAAGTGAGAGAGAGAGTGGGAAGGTGGAGCAAGACGATCGGGGAGTCACGTTGCCTACGTATGCTTCTCTACGACGTTGTGTTTCTTGACATTCCCTCAATTGACTTGACTCTTCCTTTTCTCTGAGATACTTCATTTATTTTTCTTATTTTGTTGGAACTGTTTGAATTCTCTCTGCTACTGTACATACTCCCCTGAAGAGTGCGCCCCCACTCGGGTCCCCGGCAACTGGGGCGACTGACGTCTTTGGGCATGAGGCTATAGCTTTTGGTTCCTGAAAATCTTGGCCCTATACATTCATTGTCATAGCTCATCTTTGAACGTTTCTTCGCTTCCTGGCTCCTCCGAGTAATCTGTCTGCTCTTTGGACTTGCGTTCGGGCTTGCGTTCGGGCTTGCGTTCGGGCGTCTGGGGTTCATCTTGCTTGGGCCTTGGCTTGTCGGCCGGTTTTTGGCTTGGTTTCTCTTGGGACGAATCTTGGGTATCTTCGTCTTCGTCCTCTTCAAGCACACCCTGGAACTTGATCACACCGTTGCTTTCCACGACCTCTAGTGTCCAATCTTTGCCATCGGCTTGTTCCTCCAGTAGCTTCTTCATCTCTTCCACTTTCTCCGGGTCAAGGTCGTACTTCTTGACAATCTGCTTGGACATCTTGCCAATCTCGCCATTAATCCGTTTCGCAACAACATCCACTCGCTCCTCGCCAGTGGATGCCACGCGTCCCTTCTCAATGACCTTGCCCTCCATGCCAACCAGTTTGCGGCCGCCAACTTCGATCCCGCCGATGATTGGAAGCTCGGGTTGAGTAGCATCAGCACTTGCTGCAGCTTCGGCTAACTGATTGGTTGTGTACCATTCTTTAATGGCTTCCCACTCGGGGACCTCTTCGGGCATCAGGATTTCCCGGCATTCGATGCTGTGCACTTCATCCTGCTGCGGTGGGAGGAAAGCGACGTCGTCACATAGACGGGGCGTGTAGATGACCATTAGGTAAGAGCACGTGGTCAATTCCTTAATCCACCCAATGTGATCTGTCGATTGCGGGTGGCAGTGGAACTGCACTTCGACTTTGCGCTCGCGGCCGGTCAGATCGCACTTGGTGCCACCGCGGAGGTGCTGCACCAAGTACCGCGAACCACCCTTCGTATGGAGCTCAGCCACGTCTGTTTTGGGGGAACTTTTGGGCTTTTCTGCCTCCTTCTCATCGATGAACTTCCCTAGAACGAAAGAATGCGTAGTACTATCCTCAATGGGCGGATATGAGGGGACGCCACGACCAGCGGGAAGAGCGTGGAACTGTTTGATCTGCTTTTGATAGCAGAAGGAATAAGACCACCAGCCCGAGAAGTAATACATGCACTGTCCTTCCATCTCACGGAGCAGTTCGATGCCGCGATCGGTTGCACGTGCTAGCTCCTTTTGCTGCTCGGCCTTGTTATCCCCCTTTGCTGTTGAGTTGTGATCATCTGGTGTCACCCGTGGGATTTGACAGAGAAGTCGCCGGTCCTCGAGGATCATTTCTTCGTATGTATAAGGAGATTCGACCGTCTGGGAATGGTCGGTGGGATCAGCTTGATCTTTGCCCGTGTAGACCTGGGGGTTATTCTGGTCCCGAACATCGGGGCTGGTCTGAGACCGGAGGAGAGGTTCGGCGTGTAGCTCCAGGATGTATTCTTCGGGGAAGGTCACTTGATACTATGGTTCATACATAACGTCAGTGTTCGTGTTTAGTCGAGGTGGTGCTGATTCAACCCACCTGGGGGTAAGCAAGGATATCGTCATTGATGTTGAATGGCTTCGGTTTTGCCCATGCGAGGGATACCACACATGCCAGTGTCAGCCATGGCGCCAGCCGTGCTGCTGGCTGGCCCATCTTGGTGAGATCACAGGGCAGCTCAGGCTGGAAGTGTTGGAAGCTTCTCCGCCGAGTAGCTTTGGCTAAGATAGATTAATTGAAGAGGCGAGATTGTCGCGCATGAGGTATCAGTGAAGAAGAGTGCGAAGGCGACAGGTCAAATGGCAGCTCCCTCCACACCGTTGGGAACACTGTCGGCACTTGGCAGTGGAGAGGAGCTGCTCCGTGGCCTTATCTGATAAGGGGAATTGTGGCCACCGCGAAATAATTGTATACTACCGGGTTTACTACTTTGCGACATTCGGGTGTCTTGTGTCTCTGCATATATGAGAAAGGAAATTTGCCCAAGTACCAACCTCCAGGGAGGTCATGTTGACCACTTCACTATGGCAATTTTGAAATAGTACAAACATTATTCTTGAATACATGTTATATTTGACTGTTTACAGAGATATTGGTCTGGTACAAACTTGCCCCAGGTGATAAATTGGGCTGGAATGATTCGATGAATATACAAACAGTATCCATGAGCTTCAGCTAACATCCCATACTCCGTACATAGCTGGATATTCTGTGCAATCGAGAAAGAGAAGAGGAAGTATGAAAATTGGTCATCTGATTTGACATCACATGACCCAGATGACCTCAGCAAACGATACTTGGTCAGCGCTAACCAGATTCAGCCTAGTGGCATGCTGACACGATCTTTTGTCATAAAGCCGACCCGCCGAGCCAATCACAACGAGTCAATTGGGTGACTGATGTCTTTGCAAGCAATTAACAAGCCGAAGTACAAGAGTGGCATCTGCTAGACTCAACTTGTATTTAGAAGATTGACTAACGCTGACATTCTATGGACATTCGGAACTTAGTTCTGCAACTACAAATACTACCGTTCTCCTCCATGAATCTGCTTCTTCCACTTTTAATTTGCATCACAGCAATCATCTTTGGCTACCCATCGCTCAAAGAAACACTCCTCAGCTATACCCCACTGAGCTTATCCGAGTACTTCAAAGAACCGGCTCAACTAGTGCCAACCTCCAACTCAACCTTCCCACCCCCAATTCCAATTATCGTCAACCCCGTCACAGAGATGTCCGTTCCACGTGCAATCCGCCAGGTTTTCCTTGCCATTGAGCAATCTGAAGGCGCAGGCGCTCGCGTTCGCCGCTCAATTGGCACAGCCAAGCTGCGCAACTTCAGTCCCTTCCTCATGCTCGACCACTTCACTATCGGTAAAGGTGCCGGATTCCCAGACCACCCCCACCGCGGCCAGGAGACCATCACATATCTCCTCTCTGGCGGCGTAGACCACGAAGACTTCGCGGGGAACAAGGGCACCATTGGACCCGGAGATCTACAGTTCATGACCGCCGGCAGAGGAATCATGCACGCGGAGATGCCCCACGAGAACGAAGACGGAAGTCCCAACGTGGGCATGCAATTGTGGGTGGATCTGCCCCAAAAATTGAAGTTCTGCGAGCCGCGCTATCGCGATCTGCGCGCGACTGAAATCCCCGTTGCCAATGTGGATGACGGCCGTGTCGAGGTCAAAGTTATTTCTGGACAGTCGCACGGTGTCGATTCGGTCAGGGATCTGGCCTATACTCCAGTCTGGATTTTGGATATCACCATTAAGCCTGGTGGTCGGATTTCGCAGCCTCTTCCGAAGGGGTGGAACTCCTTTGCCTACACCCTGGCTGGCGAGACGGTCTTTGGCTCGAGTGATTCTACTCGCATTGTGAAGGAATTCCACAACGTGGAGTTCCAGCAGGACGGAGATTTCGTCGAGCTTTCCGTGCCGGACAATGCGGAGAAGGATGCGCGCGTTTTCCTGGTTGCGGGCCAGCCGCTGGATCAGAAGGTCGTGCAGTACGGTCCGTTTGTGCTCAACACCCAGGAGGAAGTTTACCAGGCTATGCTTGACTACCAGACTGCATCCAACGGGTTCGAGCGCACGCGCAACTGGCAGAGTGAGATTGGAAAGCGCATGGGCTGACTACTTTGGTGACGAGTGAACTTCATTTTCTGGTTTAGGACTTTTGATCGGTGTTTATATGTATATATCATGGTGTTTGGAGTACGGATTGGTAGTATTAAAACAATTGATGCATTTCAGCAGGATTTCCTAAAGATTATGTGCCAGGTGCTCAGTAGACAAGAAGCTTTGCTACCTAGTAAAAATGATCGCTCAAATCGACAGCAAGAGGATACCTTGTCCCGCTTTCATTAGATAGTCTCGGTTTGAGTAATTCCATCGATTTTGACCGTGGCACCCACAGTACCAATGACAGCAAGCCCTCTTGGGATATGAATGTCGCGGATCTTGAAACAAGCAAAGACAATCAGTCTTTGGAGGGCTGGACAGCATCGGAAGATGCACATCGTGAGGTAATCGTCAACTGCCGGACTAAACGAGATATCAAGATACTTCAGCTCGGGGTAGACTTTGCCCTCGGCGAAAACCTGCTCGAATGCCTGGTATGGAATGTGGCGGCAGGAGGCGATATTCAAGTGTTCAATCTTCGCACCCGAGTGCTCCATCAATGCGATGAACCCGGCTGACGCAAGCCCAACAGGCTCCACTGGGCCATTTGGATTGGTCATGTCCACGTCTCGAAGGGAGTTCATGTCCACAAAGGTGAGTGCCTTGTTGGGCCAATCTGCGAACAGTGCGGCCAGACCTTTGTCAGTGACGGTACAGTTCTTGGAGAGCCGAAGCTTTTTGAGAGAGTGACACTTCTCATGGATGAGTTGAAGGAGACTGTCGTCGGCGTTCTCAAATTCCTCCAGAGAAAGGGTCTTCAGTCGTGGACCAGCATTAGTAATGATGGTCAGAAGATGTTTTTCGTCAATCTCCGTCTCTTTCAAGAAATGCAAAGATAAATGCTCTAGAGCCTTGAGAGTTGAAATTGCCTCCAATGTTCCATTGCCGGTTCGGTGGAGGAACTTGAGCTTCAGTCGCTGGAGATTAGGACAATGATTGCACATCACCTGGGCGGTTTCGTCGTCAAAAGCAGAGTTCAGATTCCAAAGCTTCAAGCTCTGAAGTCGAGTGCCAAGTTTCATGAACAGCTGACGCCAGCAAGCATCGGTGACCAAGTTTGATCCGTCCAGATGTAGGTCTTGGATTTGCATATCCCGATCCATCATGTAATGCAATATTTCATCCTTCAGCGGAGTAGTGAACCGCAGGTTGACTCTGGTGAGGTTCGGCATCGATGCGAGAATTTTGTGGTAGTCTTTCGTGTCCAGCTCTGTGTGGGGTTAGTAGGCTTGCTCTGCTTTTTGATGTGGTATAGTCCCTTACTAGCACAGTCGAACAGATCTATCGATTTGTATTGGGGCCGTAAGAACAGATCCAAAGTCTTAGGGGTGACCGCTCGCCGCCGGGACAAGATCTGGCCCAGACGTAGCAGTACAGAAGGAGGCAGATCACCGAAATCCTCGACGTCATGGATGTAATCCGCGACTTTCTAGTAAAGAATGAGTATGCACGCTCTTCACCACGATGGCAGCAGCACCTACCTTAATGCATGTCTCTAACAGACTCTGAGTGCCATGAGGGGTCAGGCCATCGAGCAAGTTAGCCTGGTTCTGTCGTCGACGAATATTGCCCGTGGCTCGTTTCTTGGCCGGAAGTTTCTTCTCCTCGGCTTTGTGTTTCTTCGAGCAGTCGGGGCAGAGCAGACCTCCATCCGGGCCCGATTTACAGTAGGGGGTCACGGTGAAGCGCTTCTCGCAGATCTCACAGTTCGCCAGCTGACCCGGTTGCGGCCTTTGACGTTCCTCGTGGATTTCGTTTGCCAGGAAGTCATCGTCATAGTCCGAGTCATAATCCCCGCTGAGGCGTGCCTTGCGTTTGGCAAATTCTTTGCTGTTTTTAATTCTTGCAATCGCTTGCTGTCGTTTGCGCTTTTTGATCAAATCTTCTGGGGAGTTGGGCTCGGATGGAGACCCATGCGATGCGGACTGTTCTGCACTGGGCTCGGCCGACTCGCGCTGTGCTTCTTCGGCGGCCTGGCGGCCTGCCTCGGCCTGGCGGTTCAAGTAGTCATCCTGGATCTGCTGTGCTGAAATATTATTTGACTAAGAGCCAGTCAGCAACAAGAACACCCTCTCAGTCAAGAAACACAATCCATACCGCAAGGAAATCGGTCAGGGCGGAGCGCCTATCCTGGTCAGTTTCTGGATCTCATTCAGGGAAAAATAGAACATACGGGCCCCTAATTCCTCGTGCCTGTCTTCGGTTTGCCCTGGAAAAGCGTTAATAGGTACCATTGCACGCGAATAAAGGGTAGTGGTACATGGGTCAGAAATGGCCGGGAGACGCGGATGACTTCGTGGCAATTTCGCGTTTCACTTAACGCGAGACGCTTATCTGAGATAAGTGATAACACCGCCAGCAGGAAGTAAGTGGGAGAATGAGAAGATGTTACAGATGCGAAAGAATATCGAAGAGAATTGGGGGAGCCAAATAAATTGTAGAACTTGCCACCAAATTGGGGGGATGGAAAATTTCTGGTTCAGGCACCTGTTTCCCTTCGGAGCATCCGATCGATCAACTTCTTCTTCTCACTCGCTTTCTCTCTTCCCACCCTCTCTCACGTCACTCTGGCACCTTATTTCTCCTTTCTTTCGTCCTCATTAATTCAAATTCTGTCCTTTTAGTCCTGTGTTCTTTCGTCCCATCTTTGCCCTGTGTCGTCTCCAGACACCGTGATACCCTCGCCGCGTCATTAGCGAACTGTATGACAATCCAACTTCTCATCTATATCAGGTTCCTGATATATACCAAGGTCTCCCACTGACATATGGATTATGATAGTCAAATCCTTACACACACACACACGCTCGCTCGCACACGCTATTCCTTTACCACTCCTTCCCTTCACACTCGCTTCAGTTCAACATGAACCGACTCAGACCCAGGGCCACAATCCCTGATTCGGACGATTCACAAGTCAGTGATACGTCATTGAAAAATTCCTCATACCTTCGTCGATCGAGTCGATCGGGACCCCTGCGAGCAGGTGGGTCATCCCTTTCTCAGTCTCGGCCCCAGCGCGTCATACAGGATTCTGAGACTGATGGGGATGACTCCATCGATCGATCGGACGTGTTGGCGGAAGAAGTGCCTGTGCCGGTGGAGAAGCCTGCGGTGGTCATACCGGTGAAGAAGTCACCAAGTGACTCTGTTTCCCAGTCCTCGGGGGAAACCAATCCACAGCTTACAGTACACCAGCCACGAGCGTTGGGCCTATCACCACAGACTCAGACTCCAAGGCCCCACACGCGAATGCTTCTCAGCGCGCGAAAAAGACTCAGGCAAACGCGTCGTCCACGAGAGGGTCAGCCAAGGGCAATCGAGCCGTGGAGGATTCGACGGATGATGATGCCTCTGATCTGCCGCTGGCCAAGAAAAGACCAACGAAACGATCTACTGCCAATGCCCAGGCCTCAACCCGTGTCAATGCCTCTCAGCGTGCCAAAAATTTAAATACCAGCGCGATGTCGCTTGGAGCGTCAGGTTCCAAGAGAGGGACTAAACGAGCCGCAACTAACTGGTTAGATGACGATGCGTCAGCTTCAGATGCACCGTTGGCCACCAGAAGAGGGACAAAGCGGTCCGCTGCTACTGCGGATGCTCCAGATGCCGATGCCGAAGATGCTGCGTTGGCTCATGCTCTCCAGATGGCGGAGTATGACGTGCCACCGTTCAAACAAGTGAAATTCACACCCAAAGAGGCATTAGGCATGGATGCTGACTCCGACGACTCTTATATCTCGTTACTTGCGTACTCATCTGAGGCCTCGACCTCTGATGACGAGCTGGATCCCTTGAGCGTCCCAGCGGGGCGCCAATCTACCGCTCGGCCGGCTGCTCAGAGACCGATTGGCGAGGCAGACGGTGACGAGTCAGAAGAGGATCTTCCTCCCAGTTGGGAACAGCAGCGAAAGGCCAAGCGCGTAGAAGCAGATCGCAAGAAATTGGAGAAGACGCACCCAGTCCTCAGCACCATGTGGGAGCTTCTGAAAGCACAGCCTGTGCTTCCGCCACAGGCAGCTAAGCAACCCACCTCGATCACCCGCAATCTCAAACCCTTCCAGCTCGAAGGGTTGAGCTGGATGATCCGGCAAGAACAAACCCAATACCGGGGTGGCTTGCTGGGCGACGAGATGGGCATGGGAAAGACAATCCAAGCCGTTTCACTCATCATGTCTGATTATCCTCAGCCCGATCCCACGCTCGTTCTGGTGCCTCCTGTCGCTCTGATGCAATGGGTGGCCGAGATCAAAGCATACACCGACGGCAAATTGAAAGTACTTGTGTTTCACAATTCAGACCCCAAAATCAAAAAGCTGACCGAAGCCGACGTTCGCAAATACGATGTCATCATGGTGTCCTACTCCAGCCTGGAATCCATGTACCGAAAGCAGGAAAAGGGATTTGGCCGTGGAGAGGACCTTGTCAAGTCTAACAGTGTTCTCCATGCCGTACACTACCATCGCCTCGTTCTTGACGAGGCACATAGTATCAAATCGCGCACTACCGGGGTTGCCAAAGCCTGCTTTGCTTTAGAAGCCAATTACAAGTGGTGTCTTTCTGGCACACCGGTCCAAAACCGCATTGGAGAATTCTTCTCCCTGCTCCGCTTTTTACAGGTCAAACCTTTTGCGTGCTATTTTTGCAAGAATTGCCCCTGCGAGCAGCTTCAGTGGACCCAGAACGCGGAGGGAAAATGTACCGCATGTTCCCACACGGGCTTCCAGCATATCTCCGTGTTCAACAAGGAGATTCTCAACCCCATCACCGAGGGTCGGACCCAGGCCCAGCGCAAGGCTGGCTTGGACAAGCTGCGTCTCATCACGGATCACATCATGCTCCGTCGCATGAAGGAGGACCATACCGGGTCGATGGAGCTGCCGCCCAAGCGGATCACGTTGCACAATGAGTTCTTCGGGGAGATCGAACATGATTTCTCGCGCAGCATCATGACCAACTCCACGCGCAAATTTGACACCTATGTCAGTCAGGGTGTCATGTTGAACAACTACGCCAATATCTTTGGTCTGATCATGCAAATGCGCCAAGTGGCCAACCACCCGGATCTCATCCTCAAGAAGAAGACGCAAGCTGGGTTCAACGTGGCGGTGTGTTCCGTCTGTGACGAGCCTGCCGAGGACGCGATTCGGTCCCAGTGCCGCCACGAGTTCTGCCGCCAGTGTGCCAAGGACTACATTCAGTCATTCCAAGATGACAGTCAGCATGTCGATTGCCCCCGATGCCATATTGCGCTATCCATTGATCTGGAGCAACCGACCTTGGAGGAATACGAGGATTCGGTGAAGAAGAATTCTATCATCAATCGTATCTCCATGGAGAACTGGACCTCGTCCACCAAGATTGAAATGTTACTCTACGAGCTCTTCCAAGAGAGGAGTAAAAGCCATACGCCGAAATCGATCATCTTCTCGCAGTTCACTTCCATGCTGCAATTGGTGGAGTGGCGTCTGCGGCATGCGGGATTCAACACGGTGATGCTGGATGGATCGATGACCCCGGCCCAGCGACAAAAGTCGATTGAACACTTCATGACCAAGCCGGAGGTGGAAGTGTTCCTCGTGTCGCTCAAGGCCGGTGGCGTGGCGCTCAACCTGACGGAGGCGTCGCGGGTGTTCATCATCGACCCCTGGTGGAACCCCGCGGCGGAGTGGCAGAGTGCCGATCGGAGCCACCGCATCGGCCAGCAGCGGCCGTGTGTGGTCACACGGTTATGCATTGAGGACTCGGTCGAGTCTCGAATCATCCAGTTGCAAGAGAAGAAGGCCAATCTCATTCGGGGTACCCTGAACAAGGACCAAGCGGCGGCGCTGGAAAAGCTCACCCCGGAGGACATGTCGTTCCTCTTCCGGGGAACTTGATCATTCTCATCCTGATTCTTCCGATTCTTCAGGGCTTCTTGTTCACTCGTTATGCAAGGAAGCCTTTGAATCGAACCATATGACCTCATGAAAAGTGTAATAACATAATGCAATCCAGCCTTGTTTTTTTTTTTGTCTTTCTTCAATCATGTCAATTATGTCAATAATTCTTTTCTTTAATTAATCTGTAACACGTCAGCCCTGGAATCTTGGAAGAGGACCCTACAGGGCTGAACCGAGTAAGATGTACGGAGTATAAGGCTGAAAGGGAAAGCCAAGAAAAAGCCAGGCACAAAGAGGAACCAGCCCGAACGAACCGTGGCACGGGGTTATTTGCGATGAGGTCATCCGACGAATCTCTGCTGCCTGAGCCCATCCTTACCTTCTTCGTCCTAGTCGATGGGAGTACGCATATCTTGTCTCTAGCGCTGGCGTACGACATCTTCCCTAAGGCTGAACCCTCCCCCCAACCCCCATTTTTATGGGTTTCACTCTTCCTGGGATTCATTTCATTCGGTCTATCCTTAGATGATCGCCTCTGAACTAACCTTGGGTCCGCGCAGAGTATTTTTATCCTGAACCGCAAACTCGGAGATTGCCCTTCACCATCTCGCTAATACATTATGGACGATACACCCAGGGCCTTGCCCGTCCATCCAATTGACAAATATGGTCCTAAACTCGTCGAAAAGGCTGATAAGATTCATCGTCGAGTCACTATGAATGAGGACTCTCAACCGGCAGGTGGTTTCGATGCCACGCCCATCCCACCTGCCCCTCCCGGGTATACCCTGAAGATTACCTTCCATCGCGCGGACGACCTGCCTGTCGCAGACTTTGGCAGCTTCTCCTCCGACCCCTATGTCAGTGCGCACATGGTCGTCGACCTCCCGAGGCGTCATAAGCAGGACCCCGCCGTGCGCTTTCGTACCCCGACCGTGCGCAAGGACATGAATCCAACCTGGGACTGCGAGTGGATTGTCGCGCATGTCCCCGCCTCCGGCTTCCAGTTGAAGTGCCACCTCATGGATGAGGACCCCGCGGATCACGATGATAAACTCGGCATCGCCTTCATCGATGTCCCGGCCCTCTCCGATACCTGGGCCGGATTCAAGGAGAAGCGCTTCAAAGTGAAAAAGCGCTTTGGGAGTAAGCGCGTTTATGTCTTTACTAATGTGACAGCCTTTGCGACGGGTCACCACAAGGAATCGTGGCTGACGGTCAGCATCGAGTGCCTCGGCAAGACCCCCGGGAAGAATGGCGGCCAGATGTACACGATTGGACCCAATCACTGGTTTAAACACTTCTCTCCGTTGATTGGTAGGCTGGCTGGTATCAAAGATCAAGTTCAAAGTACCGATGGCAGTGGCAAGTCAATAAGTCGTTACAAGTTGGTGGCCCCTTTCGAGTTTTCTCTTTCTCTCTCTCTCTTTGTCTTTCTTGCTCTCTTCCTCCCTGCTGTCCACTAACCCCCCGTATAGCTTCCAAGCTATCCAGATGCAGCTCACAGGACCCGTTCCAGCAGAACTATATCATCGCTATGTAGAGTTCAGACCTTTCGTGGCAGGCATGTTCCAGGCGCAGAGCCTGCGGGGACGAATCCTACATAAAGCACTTCATCACCAACACCAGCGCATTTACAACTTTGATCGTACCACCCTGCATGGGTCCTTCCTCACTCCGTGTCGCGAGTTTTCTCAGAAATTCCTCGAATTTGCGCACTATGGCCAAGGGGGACGGATCTTTACTTACGTGCTCACTTTGGATGGCCAACTCCGCTTCACTGAGACCGGCAAAGAGTTTGGCATTGACATGCTGAGCAAGCACACCATGCACAGCGACGTGTCGATCTACATCGCCTACTCGGGTGAATTCTTCCTGCGGCGTCGCAAGTACCGCCATCGCCACAACTCCCCCGAAGGCCGCGCGGAACGCGCCGAGGCCGAGTCCAGCACCGTGCCGACGGACGAGTACCCGGTGGAAGAAGACCAATCCCAGTTGGAAGAGGGGGATTTGGGTCGGAGTGACGAAGGGATCCCGATTTCGACCAACCCCGCCGACTACGAACTGTTTATTGACAACGACAGTGGAACCTACCGCCCCAACGCGGAAAAGCTGCCCCTGTTGCGCGAATTCTTCTCCCTCAACTTCCCCGAACTTCACGTTACCACTCTCGACTGCCAGGCCGATGCAGAGCGCATGGGCAAGCTTAAGGAAGAGCAGCGTGAATTCAAGAAAAACGAGGGCAACGTCATCACCTTCCTTCAACAGAGCAGCGTCTCTTCCTTGTCGATTTCCAGTTCGGATGAAGATGAGCTCAACGAGCGCAGTGGCCAACCCAAGCAGCGCGGCGATCTGGCTCGTCGCGTGCACGAGATGCGTGATCTGCGCGGGCAGGTGATGCGATGGGTGGAGGCGGACGAGAAGCCCGACGGACACAAACATAAACATCGCTACTTCTCGGGGCGGGAACGTGCAGTGTCCACGGGGGCCATCCCAGCCTCCCAGCGTCCTGAACCTGATCGTGCCGTGACTGATCACCCTAGCCTGGCGACGTGATGTCTCTTCTCCTTTTCTTTTGTTTCCTGCTTGGTCTGGAACCAAGACGATGTTTACGACCGTTGATACCATTGTTTTAGTTATTAATCGTCTTTTTGGCCGCGCGTGGGCGCGGTACTGAGGCTTGTCCCCAATCCTTAATTCTCTGTTCACAGCTTAGCCAATACTTTTTTTACTCGATCAATCATAAATACTTCACGATCAGTTGGAAGGACAGCTGAAAAGACAGCTGAAAAGAGAGTAAGGAAGAGGACCCGAAGTCGATGATAGCTCTCTTCCGTACCAATCGAAATATGAAATTAAGCCAATACATAAATACACCTGTTTATAAACAACTCCTAATAAATATATCTCTTGTAACTCGCTAGAAATGGTGATATCACCATGGAGTGAGGAAGAAAAGAAGCTTTGCACTATACTTCGGAGTGGTTGCCTGAGTGCATTTCTCCGAGATCTCGCCCCCCCTCCTACTTAGCTCTCCCTCTCTTCCTTTGATCACAACCTGGAACTTCACTTTGAATGACGAGTCACTCCTCGGCAATCCTCTCAAGGCCATCCGTTGTCTACACCGATGGCCATTGGTCCCTCTGGTCCCTCTGGTCCCTTTCTCGTGCCGTGACCTGATCCCCTTCCGCCATCATGGGGAATGTCGCCAGCCGCCTCGACGATGCGGGGAACCTGTTCTTCAAGGATCAGAATCGCTGTAGGTGAAATCGCATCGCCCAGGGATGCGGGTACTGATAAAATCTCTGTAGTCTCGATCGCATCGGTCACGATAAGCACCCCCGGCGTCGACTTTTGACGCTGACCCCTAACGCGTTCCCTGCGGTGAGATTCGCCGCAAAGCGCGATGTCGGCGACGACACTCCCATCGAATATATTCAGGTGCGCATGGCGAAGATGTCCGGATACTCGTGCACTGGCTGACCATGACTCAAATAGGACCCGGACACCCCCTCCTCCGCTTCGATCCCGACTTTTATGCTGCGCCTGTCGAACGACGAGGAGTTAATCTTCAACTTCACCTTTATCATCCGTCAGACACAAGTCGGATCCGGCGCAAGTTCTACCGTCAATGGAGTCGCAACCTCCATGCCCGAGGTGGCGGATACCAACCTCACGGGGCTGACCTTCGCTCATGCGTCCAACTCCAAGGAGCTGGATAATTTGATCACGAGGGAGTTCCATGCGAACCCAAACCTCCAAAATAACTCTAATGTTCAGTTGATCGGAGACTACTCGACCGGCGGGACCCCCTCCGTGACCTTCGACTGGTCCTGGGCCTGGAAGCCCCCTAAAGCGATGGAAGACAAGGGTGGCGGCTGGCGCAACAGCTGCAGTTTTCTGGACTACGATCAACGAACAAACCGTCTCAACACTCTCGCCCACTTCTCTTTCTGGGTGCATAACTCCCCGCGCCTGCTCCCGAGTCCCAGTCCTCAGCTCAGCTCCCCAAAGCTGGAACTACCCGTCCTCCCGCGCTCTCGCATACCATCCACCCAGTCCGTTTTGTCGCACTATAGCGACGCAGAATCAACCTATAACACCGATCCCACGTCCCCTGAGCCGACCGAGAAGGCGCTCCCTCCTCCACCGACCGCACCCCCTCCCCCGCCACCGGCCAAGGTGGATCTCCCGCATTCACGGGCAGGCGACGAGATGAGTGGAGTTGAAGATGGGCCCCTGTTCCGGGCGACCATGAAAGCTCTCGAATCGAAGACGACCAATATGCGCGCGAAGATCAAGAAGGTGCTCAAAAAGGCCGAAAGTGCCCAGCAAGCGCAGGCTAGTTGCAACGAAGCTGTGGAGGCGTTCCTCGGTTCGTTGAACGATGCGTCCACCTCCAACGCAAATGCCATTCAACCCGCTTTGGACCACTACTTTGAGAGAATCGCTCGGCAGATTTTGAAATATGAGCAGCTCAACACTCTCCAACTTCAAAAGCTTGTCATCGAACCCCTGATCAAGCTTTATCATAATGATATAAAGCAAGCAGATGCCAAAAAGAAAGAGTGGGACGAAGAGAGTCGTGACTACTATGCATATGTTAGCCGATATTTGGGTCAGCGCCAAGATTCGCTGAAAGAGAAGAAGCGCGCAGAGAGCGATTCCAAGTATCAGGTGAAACGACGAAACTTCGAGCTTCGGCGGTTCGACTACTCCTCTTTCATGCAAGATCTCCACGGAGGTCGCAAAGAGCAGGAAGTTCTCTCTCACCTCACCAAGTACGCGGACTTCCAAGCCAAGAATTTCCTAGCAACTGCCAAGAATGTCGAAGACATGACCCCTCAGTTGGATGCCCTCATTCACGAGGTAAACCAGGCCGACAAGGAATTCCAATTCCAACGCACTGAGCGTGAAGAGAAACGCCGGGCTTTGGAAAACGGCAGCAACCCGTACCTTGAACCTGACGCGGTGGCGGGTGCTGCAGTTGCGTCTGTCGTGTCACCTGGACCGTCCAATGGGGGCACCTCAGAGGTCGAGCTTGGCCGTGCTGATAGCACAGGGTCTCAGCTCCGAGGTGTGATCAGCAATTCCTCTTCGGTTTCGTCCCAGGCAAATGCAGGCTCTGTCGCATCCGCTGCAGGGACATGTGCGCCTGCATCTAACCCGGCGGCAGCAGGAACTCCGAATCAGAATCGGTTCAAGGGAATCAGAGATTTGGAGGAACAGAACAGCTTCGCGTCTGATCGTACTGGCGGCCAGCAAAGGAAAGAAGGTCTTTTGTGGGCGCTGTCTCGCCCTGGGGTCACATATCGATCCCAAGGGCATCAATAAACAGGCATGGCATAAGTAAGTGGCAACAACGGCTCATGGACCCTCTCTGTTAAGTGTGAAGTGTGCGGTGTACTGATCTTCGGCAGATTTTGGATCGTCTTGGATCAAGGAAAGTTGTCTGAATACAGCAACTGGAAGCAGAAATTAGACCTGCACATGGACCCAATCGACTTGCGTATGGCTTCCGTGCGTGAAGCTCGCAATGCTGAACGTCGATTCTGCTTTGAGGTGATCACACCTCAATTCAAGCGAATCTATCAAGCTACATCCGAAGATGACATGTCCAATTGGATCAGGTCCATCAACAACGCACTTCAAAGTGCGGTAGAGGGCCAGGGAACGCCACCACCTTCTTCGTCCAAGAACGATACCACCAGTCGAGACATTGGTTCCGCTCTAACCGGAAAGAGCTCGTCTGTGTCCGGACATCATGGTTATTCCAACTCTAGCTCCAGCAATAGCGCTGGCGTGATCCGTCGAACAACGGTTGGTGCACGCCCCAGCTACGTCCGGCACGACAGCAACAATTTCGAAGAAAATCCTGCCAAACTCCTCCAGGTCATACGTGATTCGGACCAGGGCAATAATTGGTGTGCGGATTGCGGGTCATCATCCAAGGTTGAATGGGTGTCCATCAACCTCGGAATTGTGCTTTGCATTGAATGCAGTGGTATTCACCGTTCTCTGGGCACGCACATCTCCAAGATTCGCTCACTTACCTTGGATGTCCATTCATTCTCCAATGACATTGTCGAGATCCTCCTGCAGATCGGTAACCGCGTCAGCAACATGATCTGGGAGGCCACCTTGGACCAAGCCCTCAAGCCAAATGCCGCTTCCACCCGCGAGCAGCGTCTGAAGTTCATCACGGCCAAGTACGTCGATAGAGCTTATATCGAGGGTCTTCCATCTCCACGCTCCAGCTTTGCAACACCCGACGAAACCCTTTTGGCTTCCATCAAAAAGAACGACATCACAGGTGTCTTGTACGGTCTGGCTCTCCGCGCCAACATCAACATCACCGATCGGTCCCGCAACACCCACGCCACTTTCCTAGCCCTCGCTGCCGCAGATCCCGCCTCCCCGGGCTCGGTTTCGACATCTACCACCTCTCTCTCCCGGGCATCCGCCAAAACAATACCTTTCCCCGTCGCCGAACTCCTCGTCCAAAACGGCGCAGAAATCCCTCCCCAGCCCCCTTCTATCCCCCTCTCACCCGCCGCCCAACTCTACCTCAGCCAACGCACTGCTCGCACTTCTGCCTTCAGTGTCCCACCCCCGCCTTTGGGCGGCAAATCCTCCGCCAACGATACCCTGGGCTCCCTCCCCACCATCCGCAGCAAGGAACCGGCGCACACCCCCACTCTTGCGGAAAGCAGAGACAAAGACCGAGAAAAACTGTCGAAACGGGGAAGTGCCGGGGCTCGGTTTGCCGGGAAGGTTGCTTCCCTTGGCATCGATCGCTGAATGGCTTTTGTCTATATCCGCCTCCTAATCGTAATTATATTGGGCTTAATGAGCTTTGCATGAACGTTTTTTTTTTTTTACCTTGAAGACCCCCCCTGGAGATGACCTTTTATGTTTGATCTTTGACTCTCTTTTCCTTTTGTGTCATTTTTGATACCGACCTTTTGCTGGTCTTTCTTGTCGCATAAAGCAAAATTCAACTATGGGCTTGGCTTGCTGTCCTTCCCTTTTGCCAAACAAATTCCTTGGTTCTATGTAGTATGTAATTCTCTTCGGCGTGGAGTTAACTAGTAAATGAGGAAACGGTCGGTGTAAGAGATAGCCTCAATGGACAGTTTTTTTCAATATCTACTACCTAATCATGTGCTATAGATTCCTACCTGTTGAGAGAAATGACATTGGGTGTATCCAATTCTAGACCTTCAAATCATACATATCTGCAACCTGAAATACAGTGTGTACGATATGTCGGCCCGCGTCCCTTGTTGCTCTTTCTACTCTATGCAAGTACTTACTTTGGGCAACGTTAGGCTTCGGCGCCGCGGGAAGATCTCAGCAATTCACCTCACATTCCACCCCCATGCTTCGGACCCGAGGCAGGTTGAAATGAAGCTGCCTGCCGGTGGCGACAGACACAAGCCTCCACCGACCGAAGCGAAGCTGACGATAGTCTCATATGACCCATTGCACCGCCGTGGGGGCGTGGCGTCTGGCGGTGGCCGAGGAAGGGCAAGACCTGCACTTCCCCAACGGTATAGTGGCACCTAGCTTGTCAATCCTAGACAGGGTCTCCATCCACCATGCCTCAATTGGTTCTCAGTGCCTCGGAGTGTAAGGATGTGGTGGCTGTGTGCCCTCATGCAATTGACTCACAGTGGGAAAACCCTGCTGATCTGCGAGGGATACACCTCATAATGTACATCTTGCGCCTTTTTTGGGGGGCCACGTAGCGCGGGCCAGTGAGCTTTGGTGAAGACCGCCAGTCCCAGGATCTGATATCGTGTGTCATTCTCCCTGGTCCAATCAGATGTCGGGATATCGATCGATTGTGCCAGATAGGGAGCACTGCCATCGGCGGACGAGTGTCTGATTGGGAAAGGTGGTTGCGAGACTGGTGGAGCAGTGCAATGATCGAGTGAGTATGCGCATGCTTCCAAGGGGTCAACGCGTTTGAGATGGATCCCCTTTACTGTATCCAGCTAGGCGGATCCGAGCGGTGGATTTGGAGTGAAAATGATATTGGGATTTGCTCTCATTGGAATACAATGTATAGGGGTCCAGTTTGGGGTCAAGCCCCTCATGTCAGTGGACTCCATTCGGGTCATTGATCCTCACAGACGGTAGATCGTAGGATGTGGTTGGTGAAGAGAGTCAGGAACATCGGAGCTGGTGGAGTGGAGGCACGCAGCCATGACGTCATGATTCCACCATGACGCCTGAGGTGTCACTGTGGCGCCTGATTCTGCGGGTGTCTTTCCGTTTCTGTAGGATCGTCCCCGTCACGTATTGTAGTGGGGGGACCGCGCCACTTCATAGGGGCGGTGCTGTGGCTAATTCTGGCGTCTTATGCTCGCGATCCCCTAGCTTAGCAATTCAAGGATCTACACCTCTCGCAAGAACAGCATCTCTTTCCTATTCCGGTAGTCCTGGGGGCCTGCGTAGCTCCCCGATCCCGCCGAGCACTGAGCACCCCCGTCGTCTTGTCTGCGATGTCAGACCGCCAGCGCGCTCTTCCCACTTCAGTATGTACCTTTTCGTCGCGGCTGGAGTGATGTACCCTTATATCATAATATCCGTTGTCATATGTACAGTAGGTTGTAGGTCGGATTAAACTGTGGATCTGTGAACTTGTAGTGTTGTGCTAGGTATAGGGACAATATATGAAATGTCCCCAATCCTCCAGTAAGTATAGCAAGAGTATTGACTTGTGTAGTTGTACACAAGTAGAATGTATCGACTTGTTCGGCACTCTGTACTTCGGGAGATCAGCTGACTCGGATAAGTACTCCGGTAATGGTTCCACCAATCAGATCACTCAGGTTAGCATGTCCCGAGTACTTCGTTCCGTGTTCAGTGCTTGTCCATCTTCTCACAGCAATGTCCATTGAACAAGTGTATGTTCCATGTATGCGCAAGTACCCAGTGTCGTTGGAGAAGTGAGGATGCTGGCACGTTCGGGTTTGTCAGATGCAAGGTACACGAGCAATGGGCTCTACTGGAGACTGGAGACTGGAGACGACATGAGATCAAACAGCCCAGGAAGACCACCGACTGGAGATTGGAGAGGTTGGAGAAATGATCGAGTGACCGCAGGGGAGACATGTGGCTGTTGCTGACCGTTCTGATTGGCGTTGACGGGGGGCGTTTGGGTGGAAGTGGGTAGACATGCTTGAACTAGAGTCGTACTGTACATGTGATTACTGTACTGTACATTGTAAGCTCTGACAGTGTACAGGACAAAGGACAGAACAGCATCACCATTGGGAAGGTCAAATATACTGTATAAACTGTGTGTGGTTTATGAAGTCCAGAGTTGAAGTTCAACTGCCCGGTCTCTGATTGGCTGGCCTGAGATGCCGGACTCTTCAGTGGAGTGCCGCTGAACCTCCCTTCTTTTCTTCTTTTTTACCGTTCTTTTTCTTTTTTTTAATTCCCAACCAATTCCAATTATGGATCTGTGCATTTTATGATTGGTGCGTTGTTTGCAGAGTGTGTACGAAGTACTCCGTATGTGTACTCCGTACTTTCTTTGATCTGCGCCAATGATCCACTGCGTGGAAAAACCCAACTGTCACTGCTCGAAATTCCCAGCAACTTGGGTTGACCCTCTGCCTCGGGATTGTCGGTCTGTAGGTACATTGCTACACATGTACCTTTGATGAACCGTTTCGACATGTATGAGCTCATCTACGTCACAGCCAAAGACCATGCCCAATCACTCACGTTGAAAACTGCAACTCAAGGATGCAGACGACATACTCCATATTCGGCACTATGTGTATACCCAGGAGACACATCTTCACCTGCCCAAAAGAGGTGAACGATGGGGTTCCCCGTTATCATTGGCGGGATCATGATCGAGTCTAGTGGGAGTGTAGCCAGACCGGCTCCATCGGCCCAGAGCTTCCCCTCTTGGTTGAGAGGCGCTGGATCCAGAACCCGCCCCTCCCCCTGATAGGCCGTCCCGGGAGCCTTATGCCAGAGGTACAGCGGGCGTCTTACACACTTCTGCACGGAATTCATTCCACACACGGACACTTCTCGATTTTCTCTTTCTTTCGGTCTCCTTCTAGAGTCCCGGTGCTTTTCTGTCTCGGCCACTCGTTACACCGTTATTCCGATTCTCCGTGCTCCAAGGGTTCTTCCCCTTGGTGGCAACATCTGTCATGCATTGCTGCCACAATGCACGATTGGCCCAGTCCTAAAGAGGCTCTCCGGGTAATACAATTTCTCACAGGTCTTCACCGGCTCCACTGGGCCCATCCGTACCCACACAGTAAAAAGGATTCTCGCGATCTACAACGCACCTTTGCCACACGCAGATGGCACGGTACTCGGACCACGCCAAATGATTCATGTCTCCATGTGGCTTGAAAAATTAGAGTCTCTAATTTGAGCATCCCTTGCGGTGGTGCGATATGGACCCCAATGACAAATTCTTATACTCTGGTCCTTAACGAGTCCGATCTTCTGTTCTTCTTTTCAACGTCGGGGCTTCCGAAGGCTCCTCTCGCTCCCTTTTCCCTCTAGTGCAGAATTAGCCTCAGCGCAACCTTATCCCTCTCGGAAGTACCAAACCGTTTTCATTGTGGTACAATTGTACCTTGTCGTCCCAGGGGGAAAAGTCCTTCCTACTAAAAGGAGACCCACGTCGAGATCCATTGCCGAACCCATTCCAGGTCTGATCTCTGCCAATCGGTTCAGCCCGTCCCGTTTCTTTATTATTTTCTCCCCCTTCCTCGTTTCTATTTCAGTCTCCCTTTCGTCAAGATCCTGTGGCACAAGCCATTGAAGGTCTCCAGCCACACGAATTGGTTCACGTTGAGATCTGCGTCTTGTGTACGGTACAACGCCACCGTCTCCATTCTAATTATGCTGTAGCCTTATATATAGACACACGAGCCCTCGGATCTTCCCTTCCAGGCTCATAAGGCTCGGGGTATAACTTGAGATCAGCCCTCCGGGACATTGGCTGTGCACACTTCAGCCACAGCGTTTCTCTCCATCTGTGTCTAGACCGAGCAGTACGGAGTAGCACGAGTGCAGAACTTTTGAAACAAACAGGTATGTCATGTCTTTTCCTAGCCCTACCCAATCCCACATCCCGTGCCCTGTCTTGTTCTCTCTCGCTCTTCCCTGTTTATATCTACTTTGTCCCACCGTCTTTTGTGTATGCTTGTTTTTTTTTGGGGTTGTTTTGTTTTTTTCCGTTTTGATTTCTTCATGGGCTTAGGGGGGTTTAGTGCGTGTCACTTACCCTCCCCTCCCCCCTTCATTTTCTTCCCACAAACCCCGTCTCCGGTCTGACCGATTGTGACTAACATATATCTAGCGCTGGCTGCTTCCCCGAGGAGCTCTCATCGATAGAGGATTATAGACTTGGCACAGGTGAGAATAATAGGTGGTACTCAGCAGTGAGACGCTAAATCTTGTAGACTCCAGCCGCAACGACCCTCATGGGTCATGTTCCTTCGGACAAGACAACTGATGGGATATCCCCAATATCAGGAACGCCGTGCAGTCAGTCAAATGGGGTCAATCCCAAGCCATCGACTCACCTCCCCACGGCGTCTTCTGCCCGGCCCCCAAATGACAGGCAGAATTCCGGCTTCACAGGGAGTAGATATGGATCTCCCTCACCATTGAACATGGGCAACATGTCTTACGCATTACCCGGTCATCACCCTCAGTATGATCAATTGCAATATCCCCCAGGTCAAGGCATGATGTATCCCATGCCAGTGCCATATATTCACAATGCTGGAATGGCTTACAGTGTGCCATATCCATATCCGCCTTATACGATTCCACCTCACGGCCCCCATTACCAGCAATATGGAAATCAGCCCATGCAGAACATCCCTCAACATTCACCATACCCTCAAGGCTATTATCCATATGCCGGCTATCCTCTGCACCGAGGTCAAATGCCCGCGCCCGCGGTCGGTCAGGCCCAGACAGCCTTATCGAACCCGGACACCCGCAAGGAAGCTGACAGACGAACCGGGCAACTCGAATACGACGTTTCCAAGACCATCGTGGATGGTTCCAATCCCATGAAACTGGTCACACCTCAACCGTTCCTCTCTGGTGAGTATCTTAAATCCTTGTACTATCATTTTTTGCTAATATAGTCGTGCTCCTCCCCTCGCAGACAACAATTCCCATTCACACTCCGCACCGTCCGCCCCGAGCACTCCACGAGGACCCCCACGAAAACCCAAGCAATCAGGCCATGCCCTCTGGGTAGGCAATCTCCCACCTGGAGCCAACGTCGTGGATCTCAAGGATCATTTTTCACAAGATGCAACCCTTGACATCGAAAGCGTGTTTTTGATTTCGAAGAGTAACTGTGCGTTTGTGAATTACAAGTCAGCGGCAGCTTGTGTCGCGGCATTAGCTCGTTTTCATGATTCTCGTTTCCAGAGCGTGAGGGTTGTCTGTCGACTGCGCAAAGGATTTACTGCCCCAGGTTCAGGTGTTGCTGGGTCGGTTGGCATGGTCGGGGGTAGCCTTCCTTCACGGGATGACGCGACTCCAGTCACGGCTGATCCACCTCCTGCTTTGGGCGTTGATGTACCGGAGCTCAGTCTGGCAGCTCCTGCCACAGGTCACGATCCTCCTCCAGCTCGGGTGGTTGATCGATATTTCATTGTCAAGAGCCTGGCGACCGAAGATCTGGAGCTGAGCAAGATCAGCGGGATTTGGGCCACGCAGTCTCATAATGAGGCGGCGATGAATCAAGCATATGAGGTGAGGATTGTCTCTACTCGACTTTTGCACATTAAATGCTAACTGTTCTTATGATAGACCGCCGACTACGTTTATCTGATTTTTTCGGCCAACAAATCAGGCGAATACTTTGGATATGCACGCATGATGTCGCCGATCAGCGACGACGACGACCTCGCCCTGGAAATGCCCCCTCGTCCCGACCCGCCCGCCGCCGAAGACCTGGATGTGACTCTCACGGCCGCGACCACCACTGCCCCCCAAGGTCGAATCATCGATGACTCCGCCCGGGGCACCATATTCTGGGAAGTCGAGTCCAACGAGGATGACGCCCGCAGCGAGAAAAGTGTGGAACCCGAGGATCCTGAAGAACAGACCTTTGGGAAACCTTTCCGCATTGAATGGGTGTCGACCGCACGCGTGCCCTTCCATCGAACTCGGGGACTTCGCAACCCTTGGAATGCCAATCGAGAGATCAAAATTGCTCGTGACGGTACCGAGATTGAGCCCACGATTGGTCGGAAATTAATTCAGCTGTTTCACGCTTGATCCTGGGGATCGACTGGACTTCCGACATAGTTCTGGCCGTGAGAGGCGACGAAAAGCAGGGTCTTCGGGGCCTTGTACATATATCATATTTATGGGAAACGAGCAATACACGATGTACGTCCTTTTTTTTCTCTCTCTCTCTCTTTCTTTTTTCCTTTCCTGCTTTATTTTTACTTTCATTACTCCGTACTCTACCTTTGAGACGTGAACACGAATGCGAGTTCCCCTCTTTTTTGCATATGCATGGCGCATGTGTTAGATACCCTTGGAGCTGCTGATCTGTTGGACCGTATGTACGATTGACCCTACTTCTGTGTTTAGTGTATATTGAAGAATACTATGGTTGCCGTTCCCGGTATAGTGTGCAGCAGAGCACGAGATCTTATTTGTTGATCGGGATGTATGTAATTGGACATGAAGTCACTATGATCGACCTAGCATTCCCACATTCCCAGGTTCTTCAGATATTGTCCAATGGCGGAGAGTAGACCTGGAAGAGGTAGATGATGAGACTCTTTTTCGAAGAGATTTTGGTATAATGTTGAAGAGAATGCATACTGTATAAACCCCTGGAACCGATAGATATACATTGTGTAGTAGTCAACTGCTTTGGGAGAAGGGGTGACTCAGCGGATGAGTAATCATCGACATCATCACTCCACTTAGCGCCACTTTCCCCAGAAAATGCGAGAGGCTTAGTTTACTTTAGTCTTCTTTCCTCCCCCCCTCTCTTCCTCTTTTTTCATCTCGGTGAGTAACCCTCGTATGACTGGTGGCACCATTCTGATCTTCCCCCTAGTGCTTTCCCCCTCTTCATCTTTCTGCAACACTACACACTACTGCTACCTTGCAATCCTAGTCAGGCCATTATCTGGAATCACCCACTTTATTTTCTTTGGTTCATTTTCTCTCTCTCTCCCATTTTCTTTCTCATCATATGAGAAGGGCGGCTAGTCCGTCCGAGTTTCTCTCTTGCTCTCAACTCAGATCAACTTGATCATGTCGAACGATCGCACATCCCCTATCTCGGTCCCCAATTCGGAGAACCGCCAGCGTCGAGGTTCCATCGCCGACCTTTTCTCCCGGTCAAATGTCAATCAGACACCCCAGAACCAGACCAACCAGAGTACCCAGGCCAATCAGGCCAATCAACGCCGCATGTCCATCACCACCCTAGGTCTCTCTGGCTCCCCCACCCAAACCAATACCTTTGGGGCTCGCAACGGCAGCCTCCGCCGAGGCAGCCTCTCCAGCTCGATCGGATCCATCCCCAACGAGGACGCTGTCGAAGATACCGAGGGCACTTCCCCCCAATTCGCAGTTCGCGAGACGGGTCTCCTTTGGGGCCCAAGCCCTGCGTGATGCTCGCGGAGGATCCATTGGCAATGGTAGAAACCACCCCCCTCCCTCTGTTGTTGGACCAAGGCGGTCTCCCCCACCTGGCTCGGCCATTGTGTCTACCCGCTCTCCCGCAAGTATCTCAACCTCTCCTCAGGATGAGAGATCTAACGCATCCCGCCAAATCCTAGGCGAAGGCTTTAACTGGTCCGAGGCTCTCCGTCACCGTGCAGAGCGTGCCCCCTCCATCAGCGGCCCCCCGCGCCAAACCGGCCACCAGCGTGCCTCCTCCATTGCCTCCATGGAGACCCCTAGCCGGGAGATGCCCCGCCAGCCCAAGCAGAACAAGCCCGACTTTTTCCAGGAGAAAATCCTGAGAGGTGACTTCATGGATTAGTCGAGGTCGAGGATTTTCCTATTGTACTTTCCACTTTTTTTTTTTTTTTTTTTTTTTCCTTTGCATTTTAAAAAGTCTCTTCGGACTTGAAATTCTGGGCTTCCATCCTTGAGATGTGTCTTCCCCCTTGCAAATAGAGGAATATGTATCAACATGATCGGATCATATTTCTCGAGAACTCATTGGCGTTCTGGGTTATTATTCCGTCCTGGCGACGTGGATGTTCTATTCTTATCATTATATAACTAAATTGACACCGGAGAAGACATTGGAATCACTATATGATTTATTTGCAAACGGTCTATGGACCCTTGATCTATTGGTCTGATCACAATCTTTCCTCCCCTTTGTATATGTGATATACAAAATATACATACAGCCCTCAATCTTTCTAGAAATTGGAGGGCCCAGCGGCGTCATTCGCATCTTCGGCATGCGAATGGCCCGGAGCTCCCTCGGACACCTTCTTGTTGGAGGTATCTTCCTCCTTGTCATACTTCTTCGCCACCTTGCGGTCCATCAACTGATCCGTCGTGAGTCTGTCCTGCGGCGATGGAGGCTGCCACTTGCTGCTCTTCCATGGTGGCACCCGCATGACATACATCATGTCCATCTCCTCAAGGGTTTTGTCCTTGCCCTCAATGACAAAGAAGTAAACAATAATCACCGAGAAGAACAAACACCCCGCGAACACGTACCCGTACGCAAAGTCAATATCCCCCGTGATGAACGGGGTAAAAAACCCAATCAAGAAATTCCACAGCCAGTTGGATGCCGTCGCCATCGCCATCGCCCGTGCTCGGTATCGTGATGGGTACAACTCTGCCACAATCGCCCACACCATCGGTCCCCATGTCATGGCAAACCCAGTGATGAACAGACACGCGAAGACAACCATGGCAGTACCCGCGGCTGGTGTATTACGAGGTGTCTGAATATCCAGGGCAAAGTGACCTACCGATGCAAAGATCAGGAAGCAGCAGAACATCCAGATCCCGCCGGTAATGAGGGACTTGCGTCGACCGAAATGTTCAATCACATACAATCCGCCAAAGGTAGTGCCAAAGTTCACGCCGCCAAGAATCATCTGTGTCACGTATGTGTTGTCGATTCCAGCGCCGTTGAAGATCACCGTTCCCTGTGTCTGGTTAGTATACCCCTTGCCTGACATGACGCGCCTATGTTACTCACGTAGTAGAAGAAGTAGTTGGCACCGGTGAGCTGCTGGAGGGCCTGAAGCACAACCCCCAGGACAATTCGATACGGCATGCGCGGCGCTTGGAACATCTCAACCCATCCATATATACCACCTCGTGAACCTTTCTCGGCGTCCAGCTGCTCTTGGATCTCGTTGACTTCTTGCACGATCACACGGTGGTTTTCCGGCACACCATACAATTTAGCCATGGTCCGTCGGGCTCGGTCAACTCGGCCATGTCGGAAGTCAAATCGTGGACTCTCTGGGAAGAACAAAATACCAATTCCAAGGATCAGACCCCAGAGGAAAGTGATTCCGAGCGGGATTCGCCAGGATGCAGAGCTGTCCATGCTCTCAGTGCCAAAGTTGATGCAGTATGCCACGAATATGCCCAGTGTGACGAAGAGTTGGTAGGAACTAGTATGTTAGCAGGCGACATGGCGCACAAGGGTCGAACAAAACTTACCACACCATTGCACCTCGGATGTGTCGTGGTGCAATCTCACCTTGATACATCGGGACCAGGAGTGAGCAAGCGCCTACTCCGAAGCCGGTGACGAATCGACCCATCATCATCTGATACCATTTGCCCCCAGGCGACGAGATCTGAATGATCAATCCCACATGAAGGATGATGCACCAGAAGAAGATGGACCACTTGCGACCAATTCGGTCTGTCAATGGACCTGCGAGCAAGGCTCCAATTAGGGTTCCAATGGATAGCTGAACGTGTTAGAGACAAGGTGCCTATATCATTTCGGGTCAGGTTCAAGGTCTCTCACCATCGACACGATCAGTCCCGATCGAACATTGCTGAACTTATACGTTCCATCCGGCTTCAATTGCGCGAATCTCTGTTTGAAGTTGTGCATTTCCAGGAATCCCGAGATCTGTCCGGTGTCATATCCGAAGATGATACCACCAATTGAGACGAATGCACCAAGCAATACAGATCGCCATGTTGCCCAAGGCACGTCGGATTCGTCTGAAAAACTGCCTCGCTTTTCGCGATCGGTGGAATCATTTGAGATATCGGTCAATGGCGGAGATCCGCTTTTGCCCTTAAGTGAGAACTTCATGTTTGCGTGTACTTAGGCGGACGTGGACAAGAGGATTTCGAATGGGACAGCCTTATAGGGAATGAGACTAAGCTTCGTCATAGCGATTGCCACCATCGGAATCTCTGCGGAGCTCAAGGGCCGTCATAGATCGATGCGCCACCCCGAGCCCTGAGCTGCGGATAAGTATTGCGGACCATTGTAGTTGGGTTTCCTATACTCCCGTGTCCAGCCACCATATAGCTCTTATATCCTAAGCCCTACAGCCTTACTGTTTTATCTCATTCTCCCTGACACTGTTATATAGCTTAGTTTAGTCTCATTTCACTCATATTACCGCATAGTCCGGGGTATCATCCGGGGTATTGTCCGGGGAAGAGGGTCCGTCACTATGCCGGAGTCGTGACGTCAACCAAAAAGGAAACGACGGAGGAATTGAATTTAATGTATAGCTTCGAAAAGAAAATATTACAATTGGTAGAGAGCAGAAATCGAAAGAACTATCCAAAACCCAAAAACCAAAAAGATGCTCTAATAAGGAATGCCGTTGGTCATCAGCTGGAACTGATCGTAACCCTTAGTCGATACACTCATGTACGACTTGCGCACAAGTTCACGCATGTACTCAGCAGCATCGCGCTCGCTCTTGTCAAGCACAAATCGATCACGGAAGTTCTTCAGAGTCTCAGGCTTAAAGCAAGGAAGGCCACTATCCAGCATCAGGGAGACGATGTGAGCCAACTTGGTGCTATAAGGTCGCGAGGCAAGGAATGCCTTGACCACCAAGGATTCAAACCATTTGTACGGTTGCGTGTTGGTCGGGTTGTGGGAGCTGCCGGGGAGGTTAATGCCCGAGTTGCCTCCCTGGTGGTGAGCTGGGTCATGGGTGCCGCTCATGACAGCGACCATCTCAGAGGTCAGCTTGAACGGAGCGCGTTCGAATCGAACACCACCCGGTGCGATATCGAAGCAGAATCCGAAATCGATGTGGATGATGTGGCCGGCGTCGTCAATCATGATGTTTCCGTTGTGTCGGTCTTTGAATTGAAGCAGATAAGAGATGACCGAGTAGGCAGCCATACTCTTAACGAAGTTCGTTCGTGCCTCTTGGAACCGAATGGAGTCTTCGCCTCCATACTTCGACACGAAGTAATCATACAGACCATTGACGGCTTCACGGCCGAGCATGTCGCGAGAAATGGAGTTGGGCAGCACGTCGATCACACCGCAGCCAGGTGCCGTGGAGGTCACTCGGTAAGGGTAGACCCAAACGTCCAGGCCTACACTGGTGAAGATGCTTCGGAAAGCTGCGATCATCTGCAGCGCAAGCATATCCTGGCGACAGTCATCGCCAACCTTGAAGATCGCGGACTGCCACACTTCATACGTCTCCTGCTCGGGCTCAGAGTGATTGGTCAACTGACGTTGGTGTCTGTGGTGGTCACCAACATGGACCACGGGCTTTTGAATCAATCGTGGTCTGGTCTTCTGGATCCGGAATGTAGCCATGTAGGGGGCCTTGGCGTGACTTTGCAAGGGCTTGCCAGACTTGCGATCAATTCCCACAACTACACCGTCAGGGTTACTGGGGAGATAAACTCCGACCTCAACCTTGATTTTGCGCAGCTCTTCCTCAATCTTCTCCTTCTTTTCAGGCTTGCTTCTCTTGATATATGGGCGCAGCTTGCCTGAGACGTCCGTAACCTCGTTGAAAAATGAGAACTCCCTTTCGTAGAAGGCACGCTCCTCGTCCGAAAAGCTTGCAATCAAATTATCAAGGAATCGATCGAGGGTCGGCTTGAGATCATCCGGCTGTCAAGATTAGTGTGTTAGTTGTCTGTCCTCAAAATCTGCATAGAGACAAACTTACAATTTGAGAATCCTCGTCCTTGTAGGAGTTGGCTTTCATGTTCCAAATCACTTGATGAGCAAACAATTGAGACAACTTGGCTGTTTCGAGAATGTATCGTTCAACATAGCCCATACCATCGTAGCGTAGAGCCTGAACCAGTTGGGGCACAAAGTAGAACCGAACGTCCATTGAGTAACTCTCCAGCGCCCGCATGGCATATTGCAAGATGTAGGGGTGATTTCCATAGGCTGGCATGAAGTATGTGATGGCTTCAGTGGGGGTCACCGGGGCCCAGTATAGCAGGTACTTTAGTTGAGAGTTCACATCATCGGGTAGAGAGTTGTCAAACATAATCTCCAGGGCGCTGGGCTCCTCGATGACCTTCTCGGGGAAATTGAGGATCAGTGCCCTCACATCATCCTGCATCTTAAGCGAGGGGAATCGGGCTGCCATTTGAATCGCCAACCCTGCGTTCTCTGACCAAGCAAGTCTGAGCAGAGATGCAGGAACTTCGGCTTGGTTCTTGTTTCCTCCAATCATAGGCATGTGATGCTTGCGCTCTGGTTCCAGAGGGAAGAGCCAAACCCGAAGGCGCGAGCGCTCGTTTTCAATGAGAATATGGAGCAAATCTTGTTTCGACTGTAATGATTTGTACGAGCCTTGCGATTGAGCGGCAATGCTGGTCACAGAGCGCAAGGTAGTCGCCACCTCGTCAAGGATCTTGTCTTCCGCCTTGATTTGAAGTCGGTTGCCACCAAATGACCACCTAGGAGGATGCTTGAACCAGCTCAGGGCAGCAGACAAAATTTGATCTTTGAGCTTCCAGGACGCGCCGGTGTTCCGGGGACTGAGGTGTCTAAGCACCTTGAGACCGAGGAGCACAATGCGGAAATGGATTTCTCTGGCCAAGGGATGACACTCTGTCTTTGTGAGGTTGACGACAGTGGTACCAATTAATCGACAGAACAATTGCTGATCTTGCAGGTTGCCCAAGCGAATCGCATTGAAATGACTCTCGAAGAATTGAAGAACTCGCAAATGCGGCGAGAGAGTGTCTTGGGCCTTCTGCTGCATGCGAAGCATGAGATCTTTGTCAGTTGGCAAGAGTTCAATTTTGGTATGCAGTGGATCAAGGTATTGGAAAGAAGGATCAAATAGACCTTTGCGTCGGTTGATGCTTCGCTCCCAGGCCTCAATGACCTCGCATAAAATCCGTGGTTCAGTGCTTGGGTTCTCGTGGATAACGCCAAGCCAGAGGGAAACACCAAGTTTGATCGTGTCTTTTGTGAAGATTTGGAAAGGCAAGGCAACCAAATAGTGAATAACTGAGAGGCGTGGTCTGCTGCTGCTGCAGATCAAACCCGCAGCCTGTCGAAGAACATCTCTAACTTCAACAAGAGGGATGTCCTCGCCGTTGATGCTTCTTCCAAACAGACGACCAAGTGTTTCCTCCAATGCATCGGCAGACTCTGGCAGAGCATTGATTCGCGGTTGAGCCAAATAGTCTCTGCCATCCAGCCCTTCAAGAGCAGGCATATCAGGACGGCGATATTTTTGGCGTGTGGTGTAAAGAGCCATGAAGTCAGATGCAACATTGAAGTCGTTCTTTCCGTAGCTATCGATCGACCCGAGGCGTGGGTCACTCTGAGGAATAAGGGAGCCCATTTCTAGGGCGAATGAACGTCCCATTGCAATGTGTCCGTAGCCCCCGTCGTCATCGTACTCGGAGAGATAAGTTTGGAGCAGTCCCTTGATATCTAACGGGGCGATGTTCAAGACAGAGGTAACCCAAGTCCTCGCGCGTTCATGGAATCGATTCAGAGTCGCCCTTCTTAAAGCATAGTTGTCCGGTAGTTCAACACGGACAATTCCCATGGGGGAAAGCAAAGATGGCTTCCAGTCAAACTCATCAAGTTCTCCCTGGAGACAAGAAGACCACATGACGGTCAGAATCTCAAGCAGGGCAAAGAGAGAATGCTTCTCGCATAGTGCAGATGGGCATTCCCGAATGATCTTGTCCGCGCATTGCGCGGCAATGCTTTGAACTCGCTCGATGCGGTGACAGCAAGATACTAAGAACTCGGCCAGTTGTTTGGACAGATAAGGTGCCGAGAAATCATCATGTTCCCCAGAAAGCGTCAGAGAAAGATAACAGGTAACCACCTTGTCCGCAGCAGCGTTCATGCACACAACCATTTCCGATGTGGCCAAGGCCGGATCAAGGAAATAATCGAGGATCTTGGTAGAATCACCGGAGGAGGCACGCAGGCTCTCGATCAGGATGACAGCGTTCAAAAACACTGCCCGGGAGTAGTTCAATTTTTTGATGTCAGATTCACGGCCCGGAAGTTCAGAAATCAATGCTCGCTTCTGCTCTGCCATTCTCTGGGGTCCCATGCCCCGTCTGAGCACTGTGTTCAGTTCAACGTCGCTCTCCAGTGATTCCATGTGAGTTCCGGCGACCAATGGAGGAGAGTGGTGTGCAAGTAAGCGAAGTTCCTTGTGCTGTTTCTGGGCAACGCTAGAACTGAGATGTATCCCGTGAATAGCGATGTTGAACCAGGCGTCACGGAACAGAGTCAAAATCGACTCATCATAGTCCAGGACTGACCAGGGAGCCCCATTAGAGTTTCCCTTGGAAGATACAAGCAGAGCTAGGGGCTTCAACAGGGGAGTGATGTCTTCGGCAGCAAAGAAAACCTCCCGATGATGATCGTTTTCAAGATCCGGCACATCGCCCTTGTTGATGATACTTTCCAACAAGTGAACCAAGTAGATCCTGTGAAGGGGAGACTCTTGATCCAATGTGATAGAAAGATAGGCCATGGCACACTGAACAGCATCCGAGATAGTGTCCAGTCCCTTGTTGATTCCATCAAGGTAGATGCGGGTGTAGAACTTCAAGAGAAGCTGGAATTCTGCATGTCCACTGCTGAGAGCTAGAACGGCAGTTTCCTGGATGATAAAGGCATCTACTGCCACATTGATCTTGCCAATCTTCTGAAGAAGCATCGACTGGGCCAGAGCACTAATCTTGCCATCGTTACAGTTGGTAGCGATGGTCACAATAGCGTGAATTACGTTCCTGTAAGTCAAATTGTCGCTCTCGGCATTGGCAGACAGGGAAGTCTGGCTTGCGTTCCTGGGGTACGCTTCCAAATTCATCCCCGGTCCGGTATGATCCCCATTAAGTTGGTCTTGGCTAGACTGGTCAACATTTGCGCTTGGGCTCATTGCGTTGCCTAGTGAGTAAAGAGTTGTGATGACAGCATCCTCCGAGAGGATGGTCAAAACCTGGGCCAGGCACCGCGATGCGACGGAGACGGTTGATCGTGCCGAGACACCTCCCTGGGCGAGGAATCTCAGGAGACAGCGCCTACCGATGGATGCACCGTTGGGTGACATCCTCGAAAGGATCGCAGTACATTTCAAAGCCGTCACAGCCAACTCCACATTGGACATTTGCTGGGGATCGAGAAGTGTATCTTCGAGCCAGGATAAGAGAACATCGTTGTTGTTTGCATCCTCGCCGAGGATCACGCAGTTCAGGAAACCAATGAGGGCATGTCCCTTGACTGAGAAAGCGAGGCGCTGTTGCCAAGGCGAGCCGACTTGTAGGTAATCGGAGCCATCTTCAAGCAAGTGAATCTCTTCACTGATGATGTCGGTAATTCGGTCAATGAGAGACACGTCGTCATCGTCGTAGCTTTTCGCGATGCCAACGCCAGTCATGTAGTCATCCAGCAGTTGCTCGTCGGTCATGTGTTGGGATCCGAGCAGAGAGGCGGCGCATGACTTGACAAACCGCATGAACCCTTCCTGGACGAGCATGGCACCCAATGGACGGCCATGGGCAGCATACCGTCGGGAGTACTTTTTCCAGTCCCTGAGTGCATACTCGCCAACAGGCGCATTGCGAAGAGTAGATGACGCTGTCTCCACGGCAATGATGAAGTTCTCTGACAGCATCGCACGCAGGAAGTCCACAATTTGCAACTTCTCGCTGGCATGCCAAATGGCAGTATATTCAGCGGAGGCCTCCAGGAAGCCGACCAGGGATACGGTGATTGACAAAATGGTTACCGACTCATACACAACGCCCTGTCGTCCCGATTCGGACTTGGAGTATTGAAAGGGTGTCACCGCATTAATGGCCTCAGTGCAGTTGTTCAAGTATGCGCGCACCGCTTCGATGGCGAGTTTCCGTATCGCCGGGTACTTGGTGCCCAGCGATAAGAGTGCCAAAGTCAGGTTGTAGGTCAGGGTCTCCCATGGTGATGGCTTCACACTGTGTAGGAAAGGCGACGGCCGGAACAGCTGGCTGTGGGATTCGGGCAAGTAGCGAGATAGTTGCGCGGCCAGCTGGGCCGCATTGTCGGGGTCGTTCACAGAGGACGCTGCCTTACATAGGGCCAGGAGAACATCTAGTTCGCGGGTTCCCTGCGTGGAGGGTCAGATCATACACTGTTGAGACATTGAGCGGGCTACACATACCATTGGGACCCGAGATGTTGGGGCCTGGTTTCGCAAGACTCCATTGAGGGCACCATCCTCACGAGTTGGTCGAGAGTGTTCGGTGAGGTCAGTGAGCTCCGAGCGGGTCTCAACTGCCAACACCGCGAGCTTTTGAAACGCAAAGCGTCTGATCCCACCTGATAGACTGTAATCCATTAGTTCAGACTCTGTTCAGGTCAAACAAGTACATACCCGTCCATGTTGGTGGAGTGAAGAGGGAGGTCAGGGGCACGTGTCGGGGACGCGAGCCTAGGTCCGACCCAACATACCACGTTTGTTTATATGTTTGTCCGGCTATACATTTGGTATTGATTATCGAGTATGGGGTATAGTTGTATATATTTATATGCTCTCAACAGTATAGATCGAGATTAACTTGACCTATATATTCTATAAAATGTCCTGTATACACTGTCGACAAAAGTGGCAATGCCACCCCTCCGGGACGGTCTTCTACTACTTAGCTCTCACCTTGGAATAGAGGCTCATACAGCATTGGGTGAGCCATTCACATATATATATATATATATATATCCATGGAGAGATAGCATGGATGATTCACCCTCACACCTGGGCAGTCCTAGAGAGGCGGTGATATCATATTGCGACTGGGCGGAGAGCGGCCTCGCTTTCCTCTTTTGCGCCAGCCGAGAAGCCTCGCCGTAAACAACCCCCATTGGACCTTTTGATTGGCAGCGTTTTCATTGTTAGCATTTACATATACCGTCTGCCTCCTGAGCTTTCTCGTGAGGATCTCCCTCGTCAAGGTCCCACCTCTTACCTCTTGATTCGTCTGACTCCTATCGCCAATTGGTCTCGAGGGAATATTCCCAGGGAATATCACCCGCTCTTATGCCTCCCCAGGAGAAAAGCTCGCTCAAGCGAGGACGGGCAGGTTTCACCCGGTCTCGGGCCCTGTCATGTGCTGACCAGCTTTACTTTAGGCTACCGCCACTGCCGATGCAGACTCGCAAAAGAAACCCCGGCGCTCTCAGCGAATCTCCAGCCAAATCGAACCGGAGACGCCCGTTGATTTGAATTATCTGCCGACGCCGCAAACTGCGGCCCAATCGACGACCCCAGAGACGCGCAAGGAAGTGACCGCAACACCTCCGAGGAGCCCTCATGAACATCCCTCCCAGCCTGGTCTATCTCACAATGCGTCCTCCCCACCTCCGGAGGATACCCAGGCTCTTTCGCAGTTTGTGTATCCACCCCGAGCATTTGCAGACGAGGTCGAGGACGAGGATGCGGAAGGGGTCTGGGGCTATTTGCTGCCATTGGATGAAAAGGGCAATGGCCCCCTCGTGCTGAGGAAGCGCGATGGCTGCGATAATGCCTGTGATCTCGACAACAAGACAAAGCCCAAGACCAAGTCTGGCAAAGAGCCACAGTCATCCAAGAAGGCCCAGTCCCCTGGTGGCTTTTTGGTGGGCCGACATCCGGAGTGCGGTAAGTGAACAAGCTCTTAGTTGACTAGCAAGATCGCGTTCTGACCGTCAGCAGACCGCGTCCTTGAGATCCCTACGATTTCAAACCGCCACTTCTTGATTTTTGCCGAGAATAAAAGAGGCGAAACAGTTGCTGTATTGGAAGATCTCTCCAGCAATGGAACCTTTGTCAATGATGCCATTGTCGGACGCAATAAGCACCGAGAACTGGAGGACGGTGATGAGGTCTCTATCCTGAACGAGACCCGATTTGTTTTCCGCTACCCGCGCACTCGGGAAACCCATGGGTTCCGCCAGCAATACCGCATTATACAGCCGCTTGGTAAAGGACATTTCGCCACTGTTTACCTGTGCGTCGAGAAATCCACTGGCGACAAATATGCAGTCAAAGTCTTTGAGAGACGCTTGGGGGATTCGCAAAAGTCACAAACCGACGACGCTCTGCAGCAAGAGATTGCGCTCTTGAAGGGAGTGAACCATCCCAATCTACTGTGCTTAAAGGATACCTTTGATGATCACGATGGCGCTTATCTGATCCTCGAACTCGCTCCGGAGGGAGAGCTCTTCAACATGATTGTGGAGAAATCAAAACTGAGTGAAGATGACGCTCGACATGTCTTCCGCCAACTGTTTGATGGGTTGAAGTATCTGGTATGCCATCTTGAACACACCCACCACCTTCTCCCTTGAAAAGACATAGTATCGCTAACACACGCTTAGCATGAACGAGGAATCGTGCACCGTGACATCAAGCCGGAAAACATTTTAGTTGCTGATCAAAATCTCAATGTGAAATTGGGTGACTTTGGACTGGCTAAGATTATCGGAGAGGAATCCTTTACGACCACACTGTAAGTCAACCCGTATGCCCATTCTCCACATCAGGTCATCACTAACATTTTCCCAGATGTGGTACACCAAGCTGTGAGTGGGAGGTTGCAATCCCGGATTTTTGAAGATGCTAACCTTGCCAGATGTGGCACCCGAGATTTTGCAAGACACACGTCGCCGGCAATACACCAAGGCAGTAGACGTGTGGTCCCTGGGCGTTGTCCTCTATATTTGCCTGTGCGGGTTCCCGCCTTTCTCGGATGAATTGAGGACGAGAGAGAACCCCTACACCCTCGCCCAACAGATTAAGATGGGCAAGTTCGACTACCCGTCTCCGTACTGGGATTCGGTTGGCGACCCAGCACTGGACCTGATCGACCGCATGCTTACCGTGGACGTTGAAAAACGGATTACGGTCGACCAGTGCCTCGAGCACCCTTGGATGACTGGTAAATACCCCAGTGTCAATGACAGCACGGACGGCCTCACGGGGGCGCTGGGGAACCTGGACTTCTCCAAACGCAAGATCCATCGGGAGCGCACTTTGCTCAGCAGTGTCAATGACGCTCACTTTAGCCAGCACGCCGAAGGCAGTGAGGCACCGGTCAAGGTGTTCAACAAGGAAGCCGGGAAGCGTGTCCACAATCGCCCTGCCAAGGCCCGGGAGGTTTCGCCCAGTGGCAACAGGGAGCCCAAAGACTTTATCAACATTGGCGAACGGGGAGATCCCACCTTGTATGATGACTAGGTGAAGTGATGGGGGTGTTTAACCAGTACTCCGTACTGTGTGGGATTTTGTTATTCTTATTGGTTTCGAGATGTATAATGGGAGGGTTTGGGCAAGGAAGACATGTATAACAAACAGGACAGGACCGGACAGGACAGGATAGGACAGAGAAGGAAGCTCACAGTGACATATATTTAATCACACTGTTCGTGGCATACTATCGTGTCTCAATAGTACAATAGTCCAATAGTACGGAGGAGTACCTCATCAAACCCCGGATCCTCGACCGGAAGCCCCTTTTACCGAACAGTCTGGAGTGGCGTGACCCCGTTGCCTGATCTCTTCCATATGCCATACTAAGACAATATCACTTCGTATATGACCAATCTGTTATTCAAGAGGACATTGGATAGTCCCAGTAGATATAGTCCGTAGTGGTTATGCAGTCCGTACGTGCATTAAACTTAAGGGGGGAGCGGGTCTCCCTCATCTCGTCGAATGACAGTCGACGTAATTATTTTCTTGCCAACTTCGCCTCCTGTTTGCTTCCCTCCCTTGACTCTCTTTGAATTTCTAGATCTCCAGGGCTCTTTCTTCTTTGCCACTGGGTGTTCTCTCTGTCCTTTCCAACTGATTGTTCCCCAACTACTTTCACCATGGGCTTGTTCGCAAGTTTCCTCGACACCTTCTGCGAGCACTGCTCGACCCAGTCAATCTACACCCTGGCCACCGTGGGAGCGCTGTCATTCATTGCGCTGTCCATTGTGATCAATGTGCTCCGTCAATTGTTCTTCAAGAAGGCCCACGAGCCCCCCCGTGGTCTTCCACTGGGTCCCCTTCGTGGGCAGCACCATCAGCTATGGCATGGACCCCTACGCCTTCTTCGATCATGCCCGCGCAAAGGTGAGTCTGTCGCAGAGGTCTCGGGATGAGGAAAATGCTAATTGGAGGTCCATTGCAGTACGGCGACATCTTCACTTTCATTCTCCTCGGCAAGAAGACCACTGTTTACCTAGGCACCAAGGGAAACGAGTTCATTCTCAATGGCAAGCTGCGCGATGTCAACGCCGAAGAAGTGTACTCTCCTCTTACTACCCCCGTTTTCGGTCGCCACGTTGTCTACGATTGCCCCAATGCCAAGCTCATGGAGCAGAAGAAGGTCAGTCACAAGCCGCACTGCAGTCCCCTCGACAGACAGTCGCTAACACCCCACGTAGTTTGTCAAGTTTGGTCTCACCTCCGAGGCACTTCGCTCTTACGTCCACTTGATCACCAACGAGGTTGATGACTTTGTCAAGAACTCCCCCGCTCTGCAAGACCCCAAGGGTACTTTCAACGTCTCCAAGGTCATCGCCGAGATTACCATCTACACTGCCTCTCGCTCGCTGCAAGGAAAGGAAGTTCGCGACCGTTTCGACTCGACCTTCGCTGAGATGTACCACGACCTCGACAAGGGCTTTGCGCCGATCAACTTCATGCTCCCCTGGGCTCCTCTCCCCCACAACCGCAAGCGCGACGCCGCCCAGAAGAAGATGACGGAGACATACATGGATATCATCAAGGAGCGCCGCGCTGCTGGTGAGAAGAAGGATTCCGAGGATATGGTCTGGAACCTGATGTCTTGCAACTACAAGAACGGAAAGCCCATCCCCGACGAGGAAGTGGCCCACATGATGATCGCTTTGCTCATGGCTGGCCAGCACTCTTCTTCCTCGACCGCTGCTTGGATTGTTCTGCGCCTGGCCACCTGCCCCGAGATTGTGGAGGAGCTCTACCAAGAGCAGCTTTCAGTTCTCGGCTCTGACCTCCCTCCTCTCACCCACGAGGGCCTGAACAAGCTCGATCTGCACGCCAAGGTTATCAAGGAAACCCTGCGTATCCACGCTCCTATTCACTCTATCATCCGCGCTGTCAAGAACCCCATGCCTGTGGAGGGAACTAACTATGTCATCCCTACCACTCACAACGTCCTTTCTTCTCCTGGTGTCACTGCTCGTTCCGCTGAATTCTTCCCCGAGCCCCTCAAGTGGAACCCCCACCGTTGGGACCAAGTCGAGGCTCCCAAGGACGAGGAGGAAGAGGAGAAGATTGACTACGGTTATGGTCTGGTCACCAAGGGAACCAACAGCCCATACCTTCCTTTCGGTGCTGGCCGCCACCGCTGCATTGGTGAACAGTTCGCCTACGTGCAGCTTGGCACAATTCTGGCCGCACTGGTGAGACACTTCAAGTTCTCCAACCCCAGCAGCGAAACTCCTTTCCCCGAAACTGATTACTCGGTAAGTTTTCTCCCACGCCTGTATGATTAAATTGCTCACATCCTCTCTAGTCTCTGTTCTCTAAGCCTGCCGGACAGTCATTTGTCCAGTATGAGAAGCGTGGAGTCAAGGCATGAACGGAATCACCTTTTAAGAACCCAAAAGATCCTCATCTTACCTTGGATCCCATTTTTAATGCCCCGTCTCGATGCAATTATGGCCTAGCTAGGTGCTCACCAGCTAATAGCCGAGTGCATTTCTTTTCGCTTTGAAACGATTGAATTCCATGTAAATTAATCATCCTTTCCGCGACATTTGGCTCGCTCTTGTTCTTTCCGTGTTCATATAGATCAGTCATATCAATTTAATTGCCCTAGTGCTCATTCACTTGATTGGATAGGTGTGGGAATGAAATAAAGCAAATCATAGTTGCAGGTAGTATGGCAAATAGTGTACATTTCAAAACGATATAAAGAAAAAGCAGTGGCTTGAAGAAATATGCAAAGTTCAAGTTCCACACTCATGCCTTGTTCCGGGCATCCAGTCTCTTCTTGTTCTGCACCTCTCTGCGTCGTCGTTCACCACCATCGACCTTGTGTCCTCGCTTGTCCTCCCACATACCCTCCTGAACAGAGATGAGAGCAGCAGCGCCTTTGGAACCCTTCATGGGCTGCAAGTATGGGCCCATGGGTTGGTATCCTTGGTGAATTCTCATCTCGGCGAACTTCTTAATCGCGGTCTTGCCGTTGTGGAAATATGTCGTGACATCCGGTGCCAGATTAACGAGGGTCTTCACCATACCAGGTGCCAGGGTCGCAGATGAGGTAACAGCTTCGGCATTGACTGTCTTCTGAGGGAGACCTGGAGTATCGAAGGGCACTTCGGTCACTCGCAATTGCGCAACTCCGTTGACAACGGTGTGCAGGTCACCTCCAGGTCCGTACACTCCGTTACGGAACTTCTCGCGCTTCCGGATCAAGTACCGCCGCTGGCGAGCGGGCTCAACACCGGCTTGGCGGAGTTGGTTGGAGTTGAGGTTGAAGAGATCCTCCCAGGAGGGGATCTTGCTTGCTTGCTTGGACATCTCACGTCCGATCAGCTTCAGGAAGGTCTCGACATCGGGGACGAAAGGGGTTGGGGCTGGGACAGGTCGAGCGGTTTTCGAATGGAGTGATCGAACACATTGATTGGAGATGTGAAGGGTTCGGAAAAGACGCGATGAGAGACCGCCTAGCGGTGAGTTGCGCATGGCCATGCTCATGCTGATGTTGCGGGTGGGTTACCGCAAACTCCCAATTTGATCGTGTAGATGTGTGATAATTTGCGCGAATTTCCGATCGGTAAGAGATTTCAATTGAGAGAGCCGAGCGTGCACTGTGTATTGAATCGATAGTCCCCGGTGCCGTCGGAATTGGACTGGTTGTTGATTGACTCCGAGAAATTTTGGCGGAGGCCAGCAGAGACCGGGATCAACGATACTCCGATGACGGCCATGCTCTCTCCCTCTCTCCCTCTCTGCCTATAGTTACTTCTCGACTTAGCGAAATTTCGTCATCTTATTAGATACCCTTGGGCTAACAATGATCTCCTGATGCTTTGTGTGGCCATCGAGACCCCGTGGCTGACTTGACTTCTCTGGTCTCTTTCATTCGAAGCTCTCTCTCGTGAACTTCGACTTCATATCCACTCAACATGGCCCTTTCTCCCTTCAGCTCCCGGTCGCCGTCCATGACCGTCAATTCACCCAACACTGCGATTCGGCTCCGAGCTACGGCTGCGCAAAACTCGGCTGCTGGGACGGCCGCCGTGGCAGTTTCCAAGCCAGTTCAAAATGGGGATCGTGAACTCACCGAGCAACTCAACATCGATGTACGGGAAAGATATGTCAAAGGTATGAGAGTCGCTTACGTTCTTTCTACAAATTGAAACATTGCTCATCAAATCAGACAAGAAGGTTGGAGAAGGAACCTACGCCGTGGTCTTCGTTGGCCACCTCCGACAAGACCCTACATCCCTCGTTGCGATCAAGAAAATCAAAGTCAACGCGGAATACAAAGATGGACTAGCTATGGATGCGGTTCGCGAGGTGAAATATCTTCAAGAATTGAAGCATCCGAACGTCATCGCCTTGCACGACGTGTTCTCCTCGAAGGATCAAAACCTCAGCTTGGTTCTGGAATTCCTCCCGGGCGGTGATCTGGAGATGCTCATCAAAGACAGCGATATCCAGTACGGTGTGGCGGACATCAAGGCTTGGATGGGTATGCTTGCCCGCGGGGTCTGGTGGTGCCATGAGAACTTTGTCCTCCACCGAGATATCAAACCCAACAACTTGTTAATCGCAGCGGACGGCGAGGTGAAGTTGGCCGATTTTGGTCTTGCCCGGTCATTTGCCGATCCCGGGTTCAGGATGACCTCTCAGGTCATTACACGTTGGTATCGCCCGCTGGAGCTTCTCTATGGGGCGCATCATTATTCCGGCGCCGTGGACGTGTGGTCGATGGGCATGGTCTTCGCAGAGCTTTTGATCCGTGTGCCTTTCGTCGCTGGCAACAGCGATTTGGACCAAGTGTCCAAAATCTGCGAAGCGTTCGGTACGCCGACGGAAGAAAATTGGCCTGGGGTGAGCAAACTCCCCCACTACATCCCCACGGATAAGAGCCAAGTGGTACCGTTACAAGGGAGGGAGTTCTTCATGCGTCAGTTCCCGACTGCAGGCCCTGTGGGTGCCGATCTGCTCATGGCAATGTGCGCTCTCGACCCCCGCAAGCGTCGGACGGCGGTCCAATGTCTGCAGCATAGTTGGTGGACCGTTGACCCGCGACCGACGCAGAACGAGAATCTCCCGCGCAAATCGGGCGGAACTAAAAAGATGGGGGAAGATCTGGCCCGGCGTGATGACCCGGAGGGCCTTTTCAAGGGTGCTGCCCGACAGCTGGACTTTGGAATGAAATAACGTGATACCCTCCAAAGGACATCGGAAACCACCCAAGGGCCAATGGCACGGTGTGAAAGGACTTGTTCCAGGCGCCAAGCACGGGCTAGAGCTGCATGGCATTCAGCTCTGCAGGATACTATTGGATTGTTATATAAATGTATCTGTAGTCGAGATTGATAGCTCCATTCGCGGCAAGTGGGACTGAACGTCAGCGATGTCTCCCCACGCGCACCTGTCATGTCCGCCAATTGAACTCAAATTGGGCTTGAGTTTCTTGTCCTCCGTACATGTATTGACTCTCCTTGCATATGGGAGATCTTTTTTTTTCTCAGAAAACCGGCTTTGGAAGACCTGGGCGGCAGGACCTGAACTCCTCGCAGTGAGATCAGGGATGGCTCAGGCTGCTCCGGGGCCTTTTATACTGTCGGTGCCCAACGTGAAAGTACTACATAAGTCCCCGTGGACTGTATAAAGGCTCATCCCGGCGAATGGTGAATGGCGAATGGCGAATCACACGGGATCTCCATAACCCGTTTTAGACTCAAGCCAGTGGAGAGGTCAATCTTTACTCCATTTGGGATTATCAGCCGTTATCTGGAAGTACTCCGTACTGCTCTGGACAAGGGGGCAACAGTGAAGCAATTCGCTCGCTCGACTCCCTACCTCGTGCTCCACGTCGAGAGTCTCGCGCGAACAGCGTACTCCGTCCTCGGTCCCGATCTCGGGATCAAGGGTTGTCCTGCGGGAACCTCCGTGACAGAAGGATTGTCGAAATAATGGGGTGAAGATAGGGAGGTCCACAGTAGAAAAAAGAGTGGCCGCCCGCGCTCTCATTCGTCCCCCTTTTTCCCAGGGAGATGAAACACCCACTGGCAGGCCCATCATTGGACATTCGATGCTCCGAGCTTGCGATGGAGGCTAAAGGCATTGGCCCCTTTTCGGGGGGTAAAATGGGATCACGAACCTTGATTGACATGGGTAACACACCTCTTATATGGTTCATTTGACGAGAGCGCGAGAGCGCGAGAGAGAGTCGAGGGTGAAAAGGGAGAGAGATGTAGGACGAAAGGATGAAAGGATGAAAGGATGAAGGGGCAGAGAGGAAGAGTAGTCCAAGAAGTACGAAGTACAAAAGAAGTACAAGAAAGAGCAAGGCAGTCTTGGTCATCGACCACATAAGCAGTGCCCAGCGAAATATAAACAACTCGCGTCTAGCCCCATCTCTCTCTGCGGGGGACTTCTGGATCGTTTATTTTTTGTTATTGTCTTTCGATTTTCCTCTTTTCCCTTCCCTTCTCTCTTGTTTAGGCTTGGATCTCGAGTAAGTTCCCGAACCCTTCTGATCTTTTCTCTCATGTCTCACAGTTCCCCCGTTTGGCTAATTTCGGGATATAACAGACCTTTCCACCTCGCCCGCATGGCCGTCGCGTTGACTGCCTACTAAATCCCCGGCATTCAAGCTCAGACGTCTCGGTAGTCATGGCCTCAACTTCAACTTTACCACAGCCCTCGCGGTCCAACCCTCCGTCGGGATCATTACCGCCCCTCCCCAATCCGAAACCGAGAAAGACCGCTCCCGACACACCGAGGGCCGCCTCCCCGTATGGACCCTCCAAGCTGCGGACGCCATCCAGCCCCAAGCCCTCCCTGAAATCTCCCCTCTCCGGTTCCAACTCCACCTCCAACCTCAATGCCAGTCGCTCATCCTCCGGTGGGCGCCCTCCTGGAAGTCCCGAAAAGTCCTTGCGCCGCACAATCAGCATCGCATCATTTCCCCAACCACCCAAGGCTGGAAGTCGCCCGTCCACTGCATCGTCACTCTCGGGAATTCAAGGAGCCACAACCAGCATGCGACCCAAACGAAGCTCACGGTTGAGCACGGGAACCACCAGTAGTTACCGAAGCTCCAAAACTCCGTCCTTATTGAACGGGAGTGGAGAAGGAAAATTCATTTCGAGCGGAGATGCGCGGGACCCGGATGCGTCCCCCGGTCACAGCAGGAGCTCGTCGGCGCAGGGGTCTTGCTCCACGAGTGCGACCACATTCGAGGATGGAGACGACGCCACCAAATCCACCGCCAAGCCCAAGGAGATCAAGGGAAATGTGATTGTCAGTGTGCGCGTGCGCCCGGACAACAACAGCGGAGGGGACACCCCTCGCAACCATGGAGAATGGTCGGTCGACAGTCGGCAAAGCCTGATCTCGTATCGGGGAAAAGAAGGAGGCGACTACATTTATGGTAAGTCGACAGAATGCGACTGACGGCGAAGTCACACTTCAAACTAACCTCCGGACAGATAATGTCTTTAATCCCCAAGAAAACAACGCCAAGGTGTACGACTCCGCCGCCAAACGACTGGTTCGCCGGGTGATGGAGGGCTACCATGGAACGGTGTTCGCATATGGTATGACGGGAACGGGAAAGACCTTCTCCATGCAGGGAACCGCGACTTCGCCCGGTGTGATTCCACTGGCCATCACAGATATCTTCTCCTTCATCCGGGAGACCCCACACCGCGAATTCCTGCTGCGGGTCAGCTATCTAGAAATTTACAACGAGAAGATTCATGATCTTCTGTCTGCGTCCGCCGCAGGGCCCGGGGCTGGTCCGCAAGAAGAGATCAAATTAAGAGAGGACAGCAAACGCGGCGTCTATGCGACCCCGCTGAAGGAAGAAATTGTGCAAAGTCCAACGCAACTCCTTCGTGTGATCGCTCGAGGAGACCACGCCAGACGAACGAGCAGCACACAGTTCAATGCCCGCAGTTCTCGAAGTCATGCCGTCGTGCAGATTGTGGTCGAGAGTCGAGAGCGTGTGCCCTCGGGGAATCCAGACAAGCGCTCTGCGATCACACCCGGTGGTGTGCGAGTGTCGACCTTGAGTCTGATCGATTTGGCCGGTTCAGAGCGTGCGGCAGATGACAAGGAACGCCGCACCGAAGGTGCACACATCAATAAGAGTCTACTCACCTTGGGTAACATCATTTCGGGACTCTCAGACAACAAGGACAAACAAGGCAACCCTTCTGACCGGGATGGGAGGCATTTGCCTTACCGCGACAGCAAATTGACCAGACTGTTGCAACCGGCCCTGTCGGGTGGCTCCCTCGTGAGTATTTTGTGTACCATCCAATTCGCCAGCTCGATCAATTCGCACACGGGTGAGACCTTAAATACCATGAAGTTCGCTGCTCGAGCGAAGAACAACATTGTCAGCCATGCCAAGAAGGCCGAGGAGGCATATGGCGGCGGTGGTGGCGATTCTGGGAGCAGGGTGCTGTTGGAGCGATATCGCATGGAGATCCAGGCCCTCCGCGGCCAATTGGATACTCAGGCCAAGTCCCAGGCCGAAAAGGAACTCAAGTGGGATGAACAGCAGTATGAGAAGGAGGCCCAGGCTCGCCACGAGGAACAGGTTCTGGAGATGCAGTTGGCTCGCACTGCGCTCAAAGAGCGAATCGAGCATCTCAACCGTCTGATCCTGAGCTCCAAGTCCACAGGTGTGAACAACCATAACAGTCTGAGTGCATTTGGACGACTATCCCGTATATCTACCACCGATTCTGGGTCTCGATCACTACGTTCTTCCGCCAGCCAATCTACCCTTGGTGTTGGTCACTCGTCCATCCGTCCCATCTCGTTCATGTCGGTGAACAGCAGCGAGCCTTCAAGCGCAGTCCACTACCCCAGCGGCTCATATGGGCATGAGGATGAAGAAGATCTGGGCGAGTTTGGCGACGGGAAAGCCAGCTTACAACGTCAAGTCACTGCCCTGCAAGCTGATCTGGGCGACAAAAATCGATATATCTCTACCTTGGAACGCCGACTCCTCCAGGCAAGGCGATCTAGCCATTCCCGCATGTCAGTCGGGGTCAAGCCAGCAAACTCTACGATTTCCGAGCACCCTGATGTCTCGGCTCTCGTCCATGAAAAGGATTTGGAGATCAATGAACTCCGACTTCAGCTCGATGATAAGGATCGCATGCTCGCTGCACTTCGATCTGCGGCCCGGCATCGAGATCTAGCTGCCGTGACCAATGACTCCCAGTCACCAGATCTCGGGGGTGGCTCGGTGGCGGGAGACAGCCCGGCAGTCAATGGCTTTGGCAAAATTGACAGTCCAAGCAAGCGTCCCTTGTCTGGTCGAAGTGAAAAAGAGGATCAAGGGAAGAATATGGATGAGGTCTCGCGAATGCTGGAAGAGATGATCCAGGGTCGAGGAGATGGCCCTGATAGGAAGAGTGTTGCCAGTGACAACCGGCGAGTTTCCACGTCGGCGCAAGTGGCCGGTCTCAATCCAAGTGCCCCCTCGTGGGATCCGAGTCTCAGCTCACCGGTCCGGGAATGATGATGATACCTCAATGCGTCTGTCTGGTCTTTTTTTTTTTTTTTTTCTGTATTTTTTCAGTGCCTGTGGAAGTTCCTGGATGTGCTTCCCTTTGATTTTGTTTTTCTTCTGATCTGATACCCAATTCATAGGTTTACTTTCTTGCGTGTGTATTTAATTTCAACGACTTGTTGGTTCTTTTGGATTTGAATATGTGTGAATCCATTGCTCAATACATCTTGTAAACTATGCCTATCAAATGACAGTCGACCGCTCATTGATAATATTCACAACTTAAGAGATGATCTCCAACTCGCCCTCTCTATCCTTGGCATAGACATCCTTCCATTGATCCCATAATCGCTCCAATTCCTCCACATACCGGGAATGGAGTTCATCAATGTACTGGTCATCGATCTTGTCACGGTTCTGCTGCTGCATGACCGGAATGGGTCGTCCGACCACAATATTCAAAGGGGTGCGGTAAGGCATCAGGCCGACATCATAATTGAAGACGCCTCGTGCATGGAACAAAGGAACCGTGAAGCCCATTGTCTTTTTGATGAACATCTGAAGCTTGTGGATGAAGGGATGTTGATCCGAGTCGACCTGATCGTAGAGGTCATTCTCTCCAAATGCCAAGACAGGCACCAGATCAGCCCCTGTCCGGATTGCAAGCTTGACGAACCCTTTGCGCCGCTTCAAGACAAGGCGCAGGGTATTAGGTTGGGCGTTCAGAGATTCCCGCGCGCCTCCAACGACAATCGTGATGGCTCTTCCCTGGCCTTCTCCATCACTACCCCCCTTGGTGAGAATGTTCTCGCAGGATTCTCGAGACACGCTAGCAAGACCCATGGCAAATGCATACTCGCGATAGAAAGGAATGCGGAAATTCGCATCCAGCGTCAGAAGCGTGTTGGTGATCCCCGGAAATAGTTTCGAGAAGCCTAGAGCTTCTGTCCCGAACGCAGCAAATGCACCATGAGAGATGATACCGTGCGGATGATAGCCGAAGATGTACTTCTTCGTGGGTGGAAGCTCCTCCTCTCGGTGCAGACGAGCAGGAAAGTAGGACGCATACAATTTCCAGATGGGCAGTGAGCGCAAGAATGGGCTGCGGCCTTTCAGATCCCCAGATGTTGCGGCAGTGGAGAACAGAGAAATATAAACAAGATATGGGACCAAAAGAGGCCAAAATATCGGGATCGCACAGGTGAAAAAGAAGCCAGTCAGGAAAATGGCGATGGTTAAAGTGTGGCAGAGCACAATGAATGTCTGGAGGCGCCGCTCAAGGCCGATATTCAATGGCGCCCAGTGGATTCTGTATTGTCAGTGAAAGGTACGACTGGAAGTGATCGATCTGGCTTACCCTCTTCTTCCACGGTTGGAGTGGGATTTGGAGGTCGATGTACGACCCCGAGTTTCTCCGTTCATATTGCGGTGTGGTTCTGTACAGCTTCTCGCTGACTACCGAATTGACAGGTTTCACGAGGCCAACAATCTCAACCTTTGCAAGAACCGGAAGAAGTGCACCCGGGAAGGATGACTCGGGATGTCAAGACAGAGAGGCAGGAGATATGACGTTGCCAGTGGATCTATACTAAGCCCAATCTTGATTAGGTAATATTTTCTTTCAATTGAGCAATCTGCGCGTCTTTACGTTGCGTTGGCTGGCCACGCAGAATAGATTTATTATTGAAGAACCTTGGATTCATTGGGATATATCTGGAAAGCTGTATGTATATATAAAAAAGATCAAAAACCCGGGGACCCATAACTCCTTTTGGTATGCGCTTCAGATGCAGATGAGGATTACTCTATGCTTTGACCATAAAGATCTAGAAGTGTGTTAGCAAACGACCTGCGCCATTCGATTTCCATGGCTATCAAACTGACCTCGTTGAGGGACTTGTCATCCATGATGGCTTTCCTTTTCTGGGCGATGTGACGAGCACGGGTGAATTGTCGGCCCATTGGGAGATGCGACCTGGCGACAATAGGGTTCTTGACTTCTGCTGCCGATTTCTGATCGGAGTCCTCAGTGTCGGTTTTTCTCTTCTTGGACTTCTTCTTCTCCTTCTTCTCCTTCTTCTCCTTCTTTGACTCTGAGCCTGACTCGTCCGATTCCTCGCTAGAGCGTGACTTCTTGGATTTGGTTTTCGACTTGGACTTGGACTTCTTGGACTTCTTGGACTTCTTAGATTTGCGGGAATCAGAATCGCTTGAACTCTCGTCGTCGTCATCGGAAGGCTTGGATCGTTTCTTCTTGTCCGATTTGGAGGTCTCTTCGGCTTTGGGTGGCGTGCTCTCGGGCTCTTTTTCTTGTACCAACAATCCAGCACGAACGAATCTGACCGGTGGGAATTTCAGGGAGGCGTAGCGTGCCAGTCGGATTTCTTCGAGCTTAGTCTCATCCTTTTTCAATTCCTCCTCGCTCTTGCCGTTCAGTCGGCCAAGGAGACCTTTGAAGGCATCGAGACCGGTCTGTTCGCCCTGTCGTCCTAAACGAGCACCCAAACCGAGAGTATCGTCCTTGAGGGAAACTTTGATGTGGGAAGCGCTGGCGGCAGTGAGCATGTCGGCATGCGCGGCATTCTTGGCTCCCAGGAGACTTCCAGGAGTCCAGCCCTGAGAACTCATGATCCGATGTCCGAATCCAGTTGTGGACCGGGTCCATTTGGTGTTGTTGGGATCATTGCCGATCTTGGTCTTGCTGTTGGGGGATTAGAAAAGGCATCTCGGGGACAATTTGAGGGCGCATACTTTTTCGGCGCTGCTAAACCCATGACGACAGCCTCGGAGTGTTCGAGATTGGAAGAGAATCGCCCAGTCCAGAAAGAAAAGAAATCGAAAAGAAAAAAATTCCCTTCCGAGATCGGCTGACATAAGCGCGGCTTATCGATAAGGGATGAAGCCGCGGGGATGCGCCGTCTCAGCCCAACTTCCTACGGCTTGACTTCTTTCAGGTCTATTTGTTGTTTTTCGTGAATCTTTACTTTTCTTGTCTCCTCTGAGTTGTTCCTTTTTCTTTTTCTTGCCTCCGTTCCTTTTTTTTCCCGTTAAAGTTGAACAAATAGTAGAATCTGGGGCAATGACACTGCTTTGATATTGCTATCATGTCGAATCTTCGGGTGCTCTGTCGAGACCAACCTCAGCGTACAATTGCACTGGTTTCTTCAGATCATGCCTTAGTATTTCATCATACTGCAACCGACACGAAGGACAGCCCCCGCTGCCAGGTTGAATTCTCGGACCTGGAGTCGGTCGATCTCCAAGGCTATCAGCCGCTGGGGGCCGGACAGGGAACCCTTGGCCTTGTGACGCTAAATGAAGATGTCTTTGTCTGCGTGGTGACAAGCTCTTCGCAAGCCGCCATTGTAAGGCCCGGCGAAACTGTATCAAGAATCGACAGTGTGGCCTTCTGTATGGTTCCTCCACACGCAGTACATACTGGCAATATGCTAACCCAAGCGCAGACTGCCTCAATCGGTCAGAATATGAGTTCGGCTTGGATTATGAAACCGGAACTCAATTTGCCGCCGAAGACCGAATTGGCTCGGATGGGAAGGATGTAGTCACAGACCATCCTTTCCTGGCCCTGAAGAAGCTATTGGGAGACGGAAGCTTCTATTACAGCTTGGACTTCAATCTTACAGATCGCCTGCAGGACCGGTAAGTTCTCGAGAAAATTGAGATCTATATACCCCTTATCCGGCGACCCATTACTAACTTCCCAAAGGGCCGACAAATCAGCGGCATTCGATATCGACACGCTGGATGAAGACATGCTCTGGAACTCATACATGATCAGTCCTCTTCTTCTGTTCCGCAGCCACCTGCCGCCGTCGGACAAATCCAAGTTAGATGCATCACAGATGTTGACTTGTGTCATTCGAGGATTTGCAAGCACCCTCAAAGTACCTGCCACTGTATCAATTCTCCCCCACGTGCGGACTAATTTCCCCTCAATGTTGACTATCATCTCTCGTCAATCATCCCGTCGTGCTGGTACGAGGTTTAACTCGCGAGGTATTGATGATGATGGAAATGTTGCCAATTTTGTGGAAACCGAAACGATTCTGTGGGTATCACCAGGAATCATTTTCTCTTATGCCCAAGTTCGTGGATCGGTGCCCATCTTCTGGGAACAGGCTCCTGGGCTTATTCCTGGCCAGCAAAAGATCGAAGTAACCCGGTCCGGCGAGGCAACGCAGCATGCGTTTGACAAACATTTCGAAACTCTGGAGCTGGAGTATGGCGCTGTGCATGTGGTCAACTTGTTGAGTGAATTGAAACCGGGAGAAGTAGACCTGTCTGCGAAATTCCGAAAGCATATCGGCCGGAGTTCAGTCAGGCAGAAAGAAGGCGCGGGGACTTCTCCGCGTCGCAGCCTTTTGCGCATGACCGAATATGACTTTTTGGCAGAAACTCGAGGGCCAACAGGATATGAAGCCAGTTCTCAAATCAAGCACGAGCTGATCAACTCACTGGATGGCTTCTCGTATTTCTTGTCTGAAGATTCTGGTCGTCCTAACAAAGTCCCATACGACAGAGACGACGCAGTCAACAGCTCGTCGGTGATTTTACAACAAGAAGGCGTGTTCCGGACAAATTGCCTAGACTGCCTGGATAGAACGAACCTTGTTCAAACCATCATCAGTGCGATGGCATTTGAGTCTTTCTTGTCGCAACAAGGGGGTAGACTCAGCCAAGACATGCAAGTACGACATTCGACTATCTGGGCTGATAATGGTGATGCGCTCTCCAAGATCTATGCCGGAACCGGGGCTCTCAAATCCTCCTTCACTAGGCATGGAAAGATGTCCCTCGCAGGTGCACTTGCAGACGTGCGGAAGAGTGCCACCCGACTTTACGTAAACAATTTCACCGACAAAGCCAGACAGCAAACGATTGATCTACTCCTGGGACGCCTTACAAACCAAATGCCTGTGTACCTCTATGACCCGTTGAATGACCTAGTGCTCGATGAGCTGAATCGTCGGACTGCAGAATATTCTTCGCGCAAACAGGTTCGGTTCTGGGTTGGCACCTTCAATGTGAATGGGCGAGATGAAGGCCCTGGAACTGATCTCACGCCGTGGCTTTTCCCCGATGCCGATGAGTCTGATGAAGATCCGGCGGTGTTCGTCGTGGGCTTTCAGGAAATCGTTGCTTTGAGTCCACAACAGATCATGTCAACTGACCCCAGTACCAGGAAGGTTTGGGAAAGGGCTGTTCACGAATGCTTGAACACTCATTCAAAGCGGAAAGGCACTGGGAAATATGTGCATTTAAGAAGTGGCCAATTGGTCGGTGCTGCTGTTTTACTTTATGTGAAAGAAGATGCCCTCAAATACATCAAGAATGTCGAAGGCAGTGTGAAGAAGGTAGGAATCCTGCTCTCTTTCTGCTGCAGTGTTGGACTATGCTGACTTTTCAAGACTGGTCTCTCTGGAATTGCTGGCAACAAGGGCGGCTGTGCTATTCGCTTCGACTTCTCAAACACGAGTGTTTGTTTTGTTACAGCTCATCTTGCTGCTGGATTTGCAAACTATGACGAACGAAACAGGGATTACGAGATTATTGATCGAGGACTACGCTTCCAAAAGAATAGGTCAATTGCTGACCACGACGCCGTCATCTGGTTGGGTGATTTCAACTATCGAATCGGATTAGGCAACCCGAGTGTCAAAGAACTGATTTTGCAACGAGATTATCACAGGCTATACGAGAATGACCAAGTAAGTGAATCGCTCTGGAACTATGGGGGAGGACTCTTCTAACAGGACCAGTTGAACCTACAAATGGTCGCAGGTAGAGCGTTCCAGTTCTACTCCGAAGGGCCTATTGAATTCCCACCCACCTACAAGTATGATGTTGGGAGGGACACCTATGATACATCGTAAGTACTCAAGGTAGCCTCTTTCTGCTCCAGGCTAACACATTCTAGCGAGAAAGCACGTATCCCGGCCTGGTGTGACCGAGTGCTGTGGAGAGGAAACAATCTGCGACAAACCCACTACCAAACCGCGGATTTGAAGGTGTCCGATCATCGTCCCGTCTGGGCAACCTTTGAATGTGTCATTGATATCGTGGATCATGCACAGAAAGAAAAGCTGAGGCGGTCAATTTATGGGGGAAACAAGACTCGGACCAAGTTTCCATTGCGAAGTCCATCTCTTTGTTGGATCTAGACGAGGATGAAATCACACCGGGCGTGTCTATTGCACCAGGGCTGCCACCGGCCAGCTCTGATCGAAGCCGATGGTGGCTAGACAATGGTGAGTGCTCTCTCAGTTTGGAAATTTCAACAATATGCTAATGAATAATAGGAAACCCAGTGAAAGCAACCGTGCAGCCACCACAGGAAGGATTGGTTGCCAACCCCCAACGCAAGTCAAATCCTTTCTCTCCCGATGTCGACTGGGTAGCACCCGCTCAAATCCAGCGAAAGCCGGTGCTACCTCCACGGCGAGATACCCTTGAATCACCCTCATCTACATCTCGTCAATCCGTGGAGTCTGTGAGGCTAGCACCAGCGGTCCCTCGGAAGCCACTCTCACTGAGCTCCAAATCGCACACCATGCCTGTGTCCAATCAGGAAAGGCAATCGGTGGCGGGGGCTGCCAGTACCAGCTCACCCGATCTTCTGGATTCATCGAGTGAGCAAATTGGATGGAAACCACTTCTCCAGTAGAGAGAGAGAGAGAAGTTACGGTACAAAGCATCGTTGAATGCCAAGAACTGATGTCATCTCATACCGCCTTTGCTATCTCTCTCCGCCTTTGCTTAGCTGATGCACCTTCACCTCGAGGATCTCTCAGACTTCTGGATACTTCTTCGGATCTACAGGACCTACTCCGTTTGTATATACAAAAATACCAAATCCGTACCTGCATCACACCCAGGCAGGTGTCAAACATGGGGTATGACACCCTTTGGCGCATTCATCGCGCTTCTTGGAGCTGTATAGATAGCATCGATCGTGGCTACCAGGATACTTGTAGCTATTAGATTTGCAACTGTAGACGGAGAGGTAGATAAAAGCGGATATCAGGACAGCCAGTATATTGTTTCAGTCAAAGCATTGTCGAGACAGAAGATTGAAGAGTCAGGGGCTTCTCCAAAACCTGTCGCAAAAGGACAAAAAAACAACGTGGCCTTTTTTTGCCGGCACATGCACTTTCGGGGCATCTCTCCAACGTCAACACCTCTCCTTACACTCTCCCAATTGTCAAAATGGTATGCGCTATCCTTTCTGCTATATCTCACTCCCACTAATCTATCTCCAGGCGCAAACACCACAACAACGACGAGCCAACGATCGGTTCGCAAAGACCGAGGCGGCCAAGCGCGGCAAAGGGCCCGTCACCGTGAAGCCCAAGAAGAACACCAAGTCTCCCCTCTCAGCAACTTGGGTCGGTATGTCGGATCTCTAGGAAGCTCCCTGAGGTTGCGCATAACGCTGATTGAATTCCAGTTCTCCTTGCTTTTGTCGTTTGCGGTGGTCTCCTTCTGGAGCTGCTGCGGGTCATCCCTGACCTCTGGTCCACCGTGGCCTCATGGTTCAGTCAGATCACAGGCTAGATGCGCAGCCATTCATCTATTACAATACCCTTTTCATCGATATGTCTCAAAATCTGAGGCACTAGCTGTTCCTATCCCCACATCCACACGGGATCGAGGGGAATGGAGCCAACTGCATGTCAGCATGGTTTGCGTGTTCGGTTTCTTGTTTCTTGTTTCTGTTTCTGTTTGTTTGAATATGTATGATTTATATTGTATCTCAGTGCTACCGCTCAAGCCAAATACCATTTGCGTTGCAAGATTTACTGGAGAGCCGAGGGAGGTTCGTTCTCCCGCGCTCGCTTCTCGGGGTCTTTCCTCTTCTTCTTCTTTTTCACCGCGGTAAGCTCCGATGTGGGTTCATCCGGGGCATCGAGAGATCCGGTACCAGCCTGCTTCTTGGACTTCTTCTTCGTCTTTTTCTTGACGAGAGTTCCTTCGGCGGGTGTTCCATCTAGTTCGATTCGTTCTGATGCTCGTTGCATTCGCAGTCGTACCTCCTCGACCTGCTGCATCGCCTGAGCCATTTCTGTCTCTCCTTGGTCTGTCGGAAGATGAGAGGGCTTCTTTGCAAATGACAAGCTTCCCAGGTTGCTGGAGTCAACTTGAAGCACAGACCGTTTGGGTGCCTGGGAACCATTGCCACCGCCATAGGCCGCAGGGGCGTCGGTCGCGGGGCTTTCGGTATCAAATGTTTCCTCGCCAGCGACTGCCAATTTGCTCGGAGCTCGACGAGTCCTTGAGCGGTCGAAGTGGATATTTGGCTGGTCATCCCCTAGCTTCAGATCAACGATAGGGATGGAATCAAGGTCCAAGCCCTCGCCATTAGAACTGTTCAGGATTTCGTGGAACGGTGTAGATGTACCAGATGAGTCTCCAGATGGGGCAATATAGAAGGGGTCATCCTTAAAACGTTCCCTCCGCTCCAGCATTCTTCTGTGAACTGCGGTGGAGTCCATCGGGGCACTGGAGTTCTGGTAGGAGTGAGGCGCATCACTCGGAACAACACCATGGGCTTGCTTATTCACATACGTAACTTCAGGGGTATGATAGAAGTCCGATGCTTCCCAAGATTTGGAGTCGGTCAACGACAAGTCGTTCAGATTTTGGAAGAGACCAGGTAAATCTTGGCTGAACGCCTCATCCAAACGAAGAGTATCGGGCAGAACGACTTTCCGTTGGGCACTGACGGCAACAGGGTTCAGCTCTAGCCCCGTAAATAGATTTGGTATGACTGAGGCGAGAAGGAAAGGAACCTCTTGGGTTTCAGAATGCAATGCCTCGGCGGCCAGGCGTAGGACCTCTAGGAACTCGATAGCTCGCTCTTGGACGTCCAAGTCGGGATGGGAAGCTAGAGTCTCCAGGAATTCCACGACACGCGCAAGCAGCAGCGACATCTCACTGTTCCAGCTACTGCCTGATTTGTTGGTCTGGCTTATGTGAACGAAAATTTTGGGGATAGCTTGCAAGAACAGAGAAAGCGTCCTTGGTGGGAGGGATGAGTTCGAAGAATCGATCAATGATAGAAGAGACCGCTGGGGCGACAGCAGAGACTCGGCATATTCACCAACGACCCAGGAGACAGGGCCTAAAACACCTTCGCCGATGGTGGAGCCGGGAGGGAAGAACGTCGATCGATTGTCAACGAAAATGAGCGATTCGGCAGCTCGTGTGGCTTCTGTGCGCACGCCTTTCACTCGCACAGCAACGTTACGAATCTCCGTTCCTATTCGAAGCGCAGCGTTCGATCTCAAATCAGACGTGACGTCTTGCTCTTTGAGTTGACCCCAATCCTCATCATTCTCACTCGGTGGGAGAAGACTGACCAACTGCACCAACACAGCAATATACCACTCAAAGTCAACAACCTCAGCGTAGTTGTTTTGTGAGCATAGATCGAGGATCCGGTGGACAACTTCTGTTCTGTAATCATTGGGCCAAACGACGGGGACATCGGGGGTCTCAGCCGGATGCGCAAGTTCACCTGCGGGGACTGAGGCACGGCGAAGTTGATCCAATAGGCGATTTACGACTAGTTGAAGAGTATCACTGTTGACCATTCCAACGGCAAGCTCCAGAGCTTGCAGTCGAATAGAGACGTCTGCATCGTCCAGACAATCCATGATGACATCCTGCTGCATAGAGACCAATGTTGGATGTGTGGCAACAATACGATTCAATGCAAGAAGGGCAACGTATTTCACTGTTCATCGAGTCAGTGATAAAACTTGGATGTGGTAAACCGACGAAAAAACTCACAGTTAGGATCAGAATCCATCACTATCATACCGCGCAGTTTACCAACGCAGAGGGTGGCGACTTCGTCCCTTTCTTGAAGGCCATCTTCCCCGTCCAGAATGCCACCCTGAATGATGCCATTTATACATTCGTATAGCAAAGACATTGCGGAGGTGGTTTGGATTATATTGGTCAATGGACGCAACAGCTTGCGCGTCAGTCGGGGTTCTAATTGGGTCAACGTTGCAAACTAGTGATGTTAGAGGATACCTTGAAGCCGACTCGCCGGGTCGGGAGGAGGAAGGGGGGCTCACTAGCTTAATGATCTTGATAGCCATCCAATTATTCCCGCTATCAACCAGGAGTTCAAAGAATCGGGGTGCAAGAGGCAGGAAGTCATGGGGTCGTCGCCATCCTAGTTCACAGACAACATTGATCGCTGCGGTCGTCACACTCGAATCTTCTTCTTCATCCATCAGATGGTCCTTTATTTTGGGCCATGCCAACTTCAAAGCTTCGGGATAGACCAACGCAATCCTGTACAGGCATACAATTGTTTTCTTGCGAACGACTGGGTTGGAGTGTGACAGTCGAGATAGGATGTCCGGGAGCAGGGACATGGCCAGAGAAGGTGTGATGACATGCGGTAGGGTGATCAGAGGAAGCGACATATTTGGGATACTTGAAGTGACGACATCCTTCTTCAATAGGTTTGTCGCCAGCATCAGGACTTCCGTATCGGGTCGGAAACTTTGCACCGCTCCCAAATATCCGACTCGCTTCTGGAGATATTTGGCTGATGACATGACCTCGAGAACATGGAACGACGCCCAAGACATGTCATATCCAAACATTTCAAGATATATGAGCTTGAGGAGAGCGGTGGCCTTTTTGTCTGCTTGGGGTCAACGGTGGACAGGTCGGCCGGATAGCTTGGAACAGTACCCATATCTTGTGTCTTGATCTCAACCTTGCACTCCCGGAGAGCATTCTGAATGTATTCATTCTCTCCCCCCTTGTGGCCCCGGAGACCTTTGATCAGGTCATAGAGTGATTTTTCGAACCTGGGATTGGTCACGGTCAGCTGTATGCTTCAAGATCCTGGAAGGTATGTCGTATGCTCACATTGTGGGGAGTTATCGGGGCACCACAGCCCCGGGGTGGTTAAAGGAAGATCCGGAGAGTCGTGGAGAGTCAAGAGTACTGGTGAAGGTGCATGATCCAGGGTAGCTTAATCGCAATGGTGCTGAGAGTGAAGTAGCTCCGCGGGGTGGAGTTTGGGGATGGCGATAAGAGAATCACGAATCACGGGACCCGTAGATTACCAACGTACTAGTGAAGTCCCCCCGGCTGGACCTTAGCTCTACTCCGTACTTCTTCAACGTCCTCATTGGCTTCTGCTTTGGCTTTTACACAATTCCCGGCTCACCTTTTATCTTGCGTACCCTGGAATTATTTGAGGTGTAACTTCGATCGCGCGTCGGCAATCGCGCTCTTCACGGACTCCGTTCTCCTCACTACCATGGCCGGCACTATTTCCGATGTCCGCGAGATCAGCGGGACAGATATGATCTCAGCTCTGCATCTTGCCCAACAAGCACCGGCGATCCTGGGTCAGGAATCCGGTTCCGTCTCCGCCTCGAAGGATACCGCAGATTACTATGCACGGATAGAGCAACTCCTGCTGGCATGTCTCCGAACCGGAGATGACCAGACAGCACAGACCTGTTTGAATCGCCTGAGTCTTCGATTCGGACCTTCCAATGAGCGGATCATGGGACTGCGAGGCCTGTACGAGGAGGCCACTGCCAAGGATCAGGCTGCATTAGAGAAATGCCTGCAGGAATACGACACCACCCTGTCACAAAGTCCCGTGAATGTGGTCAGTACCGGTCCCGGGGTGGCCAGGTGAAGAACTAACGCCGACATATATAGCCCATTCTCAAGCGCAGGGTTGCGCTGTTGCGCTCCCTCAACCGACCCACCGACGCGATCACCGCTCTCATTCAGCTCCTCGATGCGATTCCCACGGATGCCGAAGCCTGGTGTGAACTCGCCGACCTCTACCAGTCTCAAGGGTTAGGCTCCCAGGCTATTTTCAGCTTGGAGGAGGCTCTGCTTATCGCGCCCAACGCGTGGAATGTATGCATGACGCACGTTACCATGCGGTATTCCGGTCATTAACTGTCTACCTAGATCCATTCCCGGCTCGGGGAACTCCTCTACATTGCATCCTCGGATGGCGACGCGCCTCGACTCCTTGGCAAATCGGTGCAGCATTTCAGCCGAAGTATTGAACTCTGTGATGATTACCTGCGAGGCTTCTACGGGTTAATTTTGGTACGATCCCACCTGCGATCCTGCCCTGAATGACTGCATGACCTGAATGACTCACACCCTCTTAGGCATCGACTCGCATGCTCGAAAATAACTACACCAGCCCACCCCCCCAAGACGCTGGAGCGGTTAAAATCATTTGCGCTCCACCAGTTAGGGAGATTGTGAAATCACGATCGGTCGATGACCAGCATTGGGCATCGAGTCGCAGTGAACTGATTGCCGCCAAGGAGTTATTGAATCGATTCAAATAATCAGAGGCAAAAGCCACCCTGGCTCATTAGGAATGTTAGGAGTGTCAGTGTTCGGGGAGTGTATTGGGCATTTTTCGGGCATCAGAAAAATAGTTACACACAAATGCCCAACCCGCCTAAGTATAATAGACCAAGGGCTTTGTTGATTTTTTTGCAGTTACTTCTTTTTTTTTCCTTGCATTTATTTTCGTTTGACATGATACCCTAGGCTATTTCGCCCTTTTTTTTTTAACGATCTATTTACGATTCTCACGATACCCATAGACCCTGGCTATAGACCCTGGTTCTCTTGTCCAACCCACCACTGTCAACCCTGTCAACCCTGTTCAGGGAAAAAAAAAAAAAGAAAGGTTTAAAAAAAGGCAGACACGCAGAGAAACAGAGCAAGGGGGTTGAAGAAAGTGATCCCAAGCATACTCGAACGTGTGTATTGACAGGGAAGAAACGAGGGCAAAGGAGAAAAAAAGGGAGTCAATGCGCAACAACCCCCCGCGTCCGCGATTTTCCCAAACATTCTTCCTCCCCACCTACGGGTATTCTCTCCAAAAGTCACAGAGAGAGAGAGAGAGACTCTCTAGTCTATTGATTCGAGATTACTGGTCTCTATGACGTACGTTGACTCTATTTATGTGACCCGTAACCCATGTCTAACTCCTGGTCTCTATAGGCTCAGTATCTCAATCAACTCAGACCACGGTTCGGATTCTTACTCCGACGACGAGGGATCGTCAGGTGTACATGTCACTGCGCCTTCGATAGGAGACCATGGGTACCAGGACTATGATGAGTGGGCGCATTTGTCTTATCCGGATGAATTGAAACCATCTGATTCCGCCTCCCGACCAAGAACTTCCCACCGCAGTCGCCCGCCCCACGGTTCAAGATCCGCTTCGGGCCGTCGCCCAACCTCGCGACGGATGCTTCCAGACCACCAGTACGCCTCTCGAGGCCCACGACAACCCTCGCCCGAATCCCCGGAAAGCGAGGGCTCCGCCGACGAATATGCTCCCTATGGACGGGCCCCGCCTGACCGGCGACAATGGCAACAACCCATGCCGCCAGCAGCGTACCCGCCCAGCCAATCCTCCGGCCCCTCCTTCAACCAGCCGTACCCTCCTCCGCCGGGACATGCCCCGTACCCGCACAATGCCCCCGTTACCTCCGACCTCATGAGGATCGGAAGCGGTCCACAGAACCCTTACGGGCCCGGTTATGGGTATCCTCCACAGTTCCCGCATGGCTCCCCCTTTCATCCCGATCAAGGTCTACAACATCAACGGCATGCGCCCCGTCAACCACAGATGCATAACCCAATGCAGCCGCCGATGGGACACCCAATGGCCCCGCACCACGGCCCGGGCTCTCCGTATGGGGGATATCCCCACGAGTTAATGCCCTACGGTCAAGCCCCCGCGTATCACCACCCCGGCTATTTTCCAGGGGCCATGCAGGGGATGGTCCCTCCCTACTGGCCTCACTATCCTCAAATAGCGACACCCCCACAGCCCGAACCAAAATCGCCCCCAACGCCAGCCCCAGCCCCAGCCCCCACGCCGGCGCCAGCTCCCGAACCGGCCCCGGCCCCACCGCCAGCACCCCCTCAACCCCCGGGTCCCAGTCCAGCGGATATCGCCAAGGATGAGCAAATTGCCCGGCTCGAGAAGCTGATCCTCGATGATCGCAATGACCGCGAGGCAAAAGAACTAGCGAAGAAGCAGGCCATCGAGCGCGCAGCGGCGGAATTGGCAGCCCAGGAAGCACAAGATGCCCATGATAGGAAAATCACTCAGGAAGCGGCGGCTCTTGCTCGAGCCGACGCAGAGAAAAAGGCCGCAGAGGATGCAGCAGTAGCCAAGGAGGAAGCAGAGAAGACTGCCGCCACCAGAGCTACCGAAGCTGCAGCTGCGGCCACAGCAGCTGTCCATGAAGCTGCAGCCAAGGCCCAGAAGGAGGCTGATGAAGCCGCAGCCAAAGCCCAGAAGGAAGCCGAGGAAGCTGCGGCCAAAGCCCAGAAAGAGGCTGAAGAGGCGGAGGCCAAGGCTAATGCACCACCTCCACCCCCAGAGAAGAAGAAGCCTATCAAGTTCAAAGATGCCGTTGGGAGGAAATTCAGTTTTCCCTTTGAGCTGTGTGCGACCTGGCAGGTAAGGATTCCTCCCCTCTGTGTTGGATTATTTCCATCTATTTTCCCCCTTCATGTGCTAACATCAATTGTAGGGCATGGAAGAACTCATTCGACAAGCTTTCTTGCATATTGAAGTCATTGGACCGCATGTGGCCGAGGGGCACTATGATTTAGTGGGCCCAAACGGGGACATCATTCTCCCTCAGGTCTGGGAGACTGTCATCGAGCCTGACTGGGCAATTACCATGCACATGTGGCCGATTCCCGAAAAGCCCAAGGAAGAACCTGCGCCACCACCTGAGCCAGCTCCCGAAAAGCCTGCCGATCCACCACCCCCCGAGCCAAAGAAAAAGCCAGACGGTAAGATAATTGACGACGAATGTTCATTGAAGCACATGCTGACCTGCTCACAGGGCCAAAGAAACCACCAGTTCCCGGAAGCTTTGCCATGTGGATGTTAGGTGGCACCAATCGACGAGGCGGTCGAGGCGGTGCTAAAGTCGAAAAGAAGGCCGAAGCCCCGGCCCCGGCCCCGGCCCCGTGAGGGAGTGAGTTTGTTTTGTATCTTCTATCCTGCTTCAAACTATGCGGTGAATGAAAACTGCTTTGACTTTGCGTTCTGGCTGTTGTGAATGATAAACATGTGGACTACGCGGACGGATCTGATTTGAGATCTAACTATTGCTTGAGATATGACGATTAATTATTTATATAACCATTTTGATGATAAAACGATTCTATATTCGATTTTTTACGATCAGTTGGCTCAATGCAAATAACAGAAAAGACCTCGGGGCATCTGGGCAAGATAGGGCTACACAAAGCCATTACTTTCCAAGGTTAGCCGTAAGAGTAGATTGTCACATAATTATTCTTTTGACTGGTTTTTTAACATTTTCTTTATAAATTCGGTATGGTATTCTTTGCAATGGTGTTTTTTCAGCATCTTTGTCTGTAGTGTCGAATTATCGTTGAGAGTTCGTGGTCAAATGCTAGGCAGGCGTTGCTGCTCTATTGCTTGGTGCTTTGGACTGCGTCCAGGGCTCTTTGGAACCTGGCACGCAGATCCGGCACCTCTTCTAATCCAACGCTGATGCGCACGAGGTCCGGATCGACGTTGAAGGATCTCGCCTGATTTGACGTTAGAGATTGCTCCAAAGGGTGGGCGGGAGAAAATACATACCCAGTCTAGTTCTCCATAGTGGGCCAGGAGGACATATGGAGAGCTTATATAGTTAGCAAAATCCCTGGAAATTGTCGGATCAACTCACCTGAGAGTGAAATTTGTCCCGAGACTGGGTCCCTTCAAGACCTCCAAGGTATCATAGAAAGCAATGGCCTCGGCGTTGGAATGGAATGTGACCGAAAAGAGACCGCCATATCCTCCATTGGGGGTACGGAAACTGTCGTAAAGCGGCCTGGTGGGGCTATATTTGGGGTAGTAGACCTCTTTCACTGTAAAGTCGTTAATGGTGACCTCTCATTTGAATAACTGAACTTACCTAAAGGTGATTCCTTCAGCATAGCTGTGATGTTTTCGGTGGTAGAGTTGATCTGTTCAATGCGAGTCACAAAGTCCCGACTGTTTCGCTCGAGGAATACTGCATCCTCAGCCCAGTAGATGTCTTCATACTCCCGCTCATATGTTTGTTTGAGGGCTGCGTAATACTGTGCATTAGGGTTGAGGACCGCACTTCCTCCCATGACGTTGCTGTCTCCGCTGAATATCTTGGTCAAGCTACTGACGACGATATCAGCCAAAGGCAAGATGTTGATATTGAGGAAATTACTGATCGTCTCATCGACCACCACGGCGAATCCATATTGATCTGCCAAGGCCCGGATTCTCTTAAGGTCCGGCGTTTTGAGGAGAGGATTGCCTGGAGCCTCAGTGAAAAGCCCCAGGAAGCGTTCACCGGATTTCAGGCGGGCTTCGAGATCATCGAGGTCTTCGGAGGAGCCGTGACCGTAGAACTGACAACCTGGCCCCCACTTTTGGAGAATTTTTAAAGTATCCGTATAAGGGAACCCAAAACAGATAGATGGCAACTCTCCTCGAGTGGCCAATAAAGTCTGATGAGCATTGAAAATAGCATTCATGCCGGAAGGATAGAGCAACACATCCTCCTCTGAGATGCCAGCCACTCGGCCTTCGGACGAGGTCACTGCCAAAGCCTCCGACAGATCAACATCGGCGGTCAAGACACCGGCAATGCGCTTGCGAACAGCTTGCTTGGCCTGAGTGGCAAGGGAAGTGCTCAGGTTGCGTCCAAAGCGCTCCTCGATGAACTGGGCGTAATCTCGGCCATCTTCGGTATTCTCCCTTGGAGGAGAATCACCGACGGAGCCCTTTCTGGCGCCATTCTTGCTTTGGTATCTCCGTGGCCCTTTGCAAGGGCGCTGCGAGATCGATTCGGCAGTTGCAGTACCTTTATCCTCCACCAAGAAACCGTCCTCCAATGCACCGAGACAGAATTCACCACGTCGGCTGGAGATTCCATTTCCAGAATGCTGCCACACCTGCTTGGTGAGAGGGGCATATTCCTTCGGGTAGATGACACACGACAGAGAAGACGTCACGGTCGATCCGGCCTCGGTGTGCGGGGATGGAATGAAATTCACGATGCGCACTTTGTATGCCTGATCCGCTGGGATTTTACCGAGGACGAACGTGTGGCAGATCCGCGCAGATTTGATCGATGCGAAAAGAGTCGCTGATTCAAGGTCGGGGTTACCGGTGCGACGAACAATCTCTTGGGCGAGCTTTTGAATAGTCGGGTGAACGAAGAATCGGGGATAACCGCACACCATTTTCTTCATCACCCAATCCTCTCCTTCCTCATAGCCGACGTTGGCCCTCCATGTTGGTAAAGATACACTGACGGCCTAGAATGGTTCAGCATTGAGTCATAGAGGGGAAAGGCATATCGCGGGGTTATCTCATACATGGTCAGTGTTTGGAGGCACTGATCCTCCCAATGCTTGCAACATCTCTCAATTGAGACAAATTAATATTTGATAACTCTTCAAAGACCAAAGTGAAACTTGGATCGCTATGAAAGAAGAAGGAAGAGAGAAAAGGGAAAAAAAGTAGATAGTCAACTTTTGGAATGATGTGATGCGATCTCGGCGATCGTACCTGACAATTACATAAGTGTATATAATACACGATAATACACATTACGATACCCGGACTAATCGCCCAAAAAAAAAAATTGATTCGACGTTTGAACTTGCTACATCCAACCAACATGTCGGACCACTCATCCAAACGCAGGAAACTCAGTCCTCCTCCTAAGGCTGCGCCGACCCCCACAGTGACCGACCAGAAACGAAACGCAACCCGAAACAAAGATGAGCGCTCTGCAGAGCTTGCAATGGCCAGCGGCTTTTACAAGTCCAGCTTTTTCAAGCTGCAGATGGACGAATTATTGGAAGGACTGAGACCCAACCATGCCAACCAACTCTCCAAGGTCCAGGATCCACTTCATAAGATCAAGGGTGCCATTGAAAGCCTTTCTGAGAAACCTCCGCAATCTGTGGCCGATGCGGAGAAAGAACTGCGAGCCTCTGGCCTGGTGGTGCCGTGGCCTGAGCCAAGGCCGAGCAAGGAAGCGAAATATAGTATGGCATACGCGAAGCCTGCCAATATTAATGTGGTGGGCAGCTTTGCGTTGAAAACGGGGTGCTCGCGCGCTGGAGTCGCGCCCAATCGACCTGGCTGTGACCATGCCAAACTCACTGTTCCAAGAGAAGGACTACGTCAACTTCAGATACTTCCACAAACGAGCTTATTATATGGCATGTCTGGCAGCTGGAATTCACGATACCGCCATTGAGCTAGGATTTGATGTCAAGTTTAGCACCCAGGATGGGGACAGCCTCCGGCCTCTGATCCTACTTGAGCCCCGGGCCTCAAGTCTCTCGCAGATCCGTATTCTGGCCGCAATTGATCCCACTCTGTTCCCGACCTCGAGAACACTCCCAATGAAGAGCAATATTCGCCAAGGCTCTTCTGCAAACTCGGAAATCGGCGAGCCGACCTCCTTCTACAATGCCAGTCTGCGCGCAGATGCTACTGTGTCTCTATACCACAAGTCGATTTATTCAGCTTCGCAAAAGTGCGAGTCTTTCAAGGATGCATGCATTCTTGGTCGCACCTGGCTTCATCAACGAGGCTTCCACACTGCCTTCCAGAACGGAGGCTTCGGCGGCTTTGAATGGACAGTGCTTCTGTCTCTGCTGTTTGAAGGTGGAGGCCCCACCGGACAGCCAGTCTTACAGCCATCATACAGCTGCTACCAAATCTTCAAGGCTACGATCCAGTTTTTGGCTGGTAGGGATTTGACAACCCCCTGTTTTTCGGACAGGAAGTTCCTGTCCCTTCAGGCGTACCTGTTGTCTATGACGGTCGTAGAGGACTGAACATTCTCTACAAAATGACACCTTGGTCATACGCGACACTGCGTCACGAAGCGTCCACTACGTTAAAGATGCTCAACGAGTCCCGAGAGGACAACTTTGACAAGGTCTTCATTCTCAAGGTCGACGAACCCGCCCTTAGGTTTGACCGCCTGATCACAATCAACTCATTCACTGGCGAAACATTGAGGTCTCTCCAGGAACAAACAAAGTTGTATCACGTCCTTGGTAAGGCGTTGGGTGATCGAGTCAACCTTGTCTCGATGTCTTCGAGTCCTGTGAATGCCTGGTCGATCAAGTCAAAACAGCCCAAAAAGTCGAATGAGGGTGTGTCTGTGGGGATCTTGTTGAATGCTGAAAGCGTCGGACGCATTGTGGATCACGGTCCAGCCGCCGAAGAAAAGGAGGAGTCCGCTGCGTTCCAAGCCTTCTGGGGTGAGAAGTCTGAGCTGCGCAGATTCAAAGACGGCAGCATTCTGGAGAGTCTTGTATGGTCAGAGGACGCGGAGGAATCCATCATTTACCAAATTCTGGAGTATATTCTTCAGCGACACTTTGGTATCGATGAGTTTGATTTCCTCGGTGATGAGTATGACGATCATCTCAAACACCATGGCGACAATATGCTGGCATACTCTAGCCCTGCTTTCCAGTCAGCCAATGAAGCCTTCAAGGACCTAGAGACATCTATCCGTGGAATGGACGAAGTGCCCTTGGAGGTTCGTCATTTGGCTCCAGCCAGCTCGCTCCTCCGTTACACTGCGGTGAGGCCAGGCGAGCCTGCCGATGTTGTTCTCCAATTTGAAAGTTCCTCCCGATGGCCGGATGATTTTGCGGCCATCCAGATGACCAAGGTTGCATTCCTCCTCAAGATTGGAGACGCTTTGGAACAAGGGGGCGCTACTGCCTCGTCTTGCCGTGTTGGCCTGGAGAATGAATCATCCAGAATCATCAATAACGCCTATTTAGATATCCCCCACTCCTCTGGCGTCTTGTTCCGCCTGAGAATTCACCACGACCGTGAGCAGACATTACTCGAGCGCAACCTGAAGGATCGAAATTTGAGTCCCCGGGAGCGTGAAGAGGCTGCATTCGCTCTCTTCTCCTACAAGAAGACCTTTGTTCAGACTCCACGCTTGACACAGGCACTCCGAAGCCTGTGCACTCGTTTCCCCTTGCTCTCGCCTACCATCCGTCTTACCAAGCAGTGGTTCAATTCCCACATGTTCACCGCACAACTGAATGAAGAGTTGATTGAATTGCTGGTCATTCGAACATTCACTCAGCCAAACCCTTGGGAATGTCCTTCAAGTGTCATGACCGGGTTCTTGAGGACTTTGCACTCTCTTTCTCGGTGGGATTGGCAACAAGAGCCGTTCATCGTCGATTTGGGGGGCGATCTGACCCCGGAAGTGACCGAAAATATCCGCACTCGCTTCACGGCTTGGCGCAACATCGACCCTGCAATGAACAGTGTAGCCCTTTTTGTCGCCTCTGACGTTGACCCTGAAGGCGTCACCTGGACTCAGTATGAAATGCCCTCCAAGGTGGTTGCGGGCCGATTGTCCAGCTTGGCCAAGGCAGCGATCGGTGTGGTACGATCCAACCCCCACGATCTGGATATATCTGAGCTTTTTGATACCTCACTTGCTCCCTATGATTTCGTCATCCACCTCCGTTCCAAGCTGTTTGGCGGATCCGCCTCTACCCCCAAGTTCAAGAACCTGGCAGAATCTCGCGTGTCCATGGGCCCAACTATCAAGTCGTTTGTTTGTGACGTCCAGTCTTGTTATAACCAAAGTCTTCTGCTTTTCCACGGAGACGATCGCTGTTCAGTGATTGCCGGACTTTGGAACCCGATAACCCTGAAGCCTCGCAGCTGGAATTTGAAGACAGCGTATTCGACTGCACCAGCACCTGGCTCCCAGGACCAGGTGTTGATCAATCGGCCCGCTATCATCAATGAAATCGCACGGTTGGGTCATGGGCTCATTGACCACATTGAGATCCATGGCAATGGAGAATAATAGCACCTATCCCGAGGTCCCAGCGTTGAAATTGATCACATTTCTTTTATTCATGTACATTTTACCTTCCACCTAAGTTCGAGGTTCTTGTTGATGTTGCAATATGGTCTATATGAGGAACATACGGATGGGACTACTGAAATACGATGCCTTTCTGGGGGACCACGCAATCTTTGATACCCCATCTGATAAAATACTACTCTGAGATTTCTTTGTTATATTCTTTTCCAAGAGCTTCCGTCCAATTAAATCTCCAATCCAGCTGTTTGACACTGTGAGCACACTTAAAATCCGCTCACATAAGCCGTACTTCTTTGTCACTCTTTGTGTGCTGGTGTCACACAACTTGGACTACTCCGTACCTCCTCTCTTTCTCTTTCATATCTTCCAGCATAAAGAAACTAAACAACATCTTCCTTCTCACCACTTGCTCTCTCATCTCTTGTAAATCTTGAATCCTTCAAGTCATTGCTGCGGAGAGAAAATACCCTCTTTAGGGCTGCCCCGGATTCTTTTGATTACTAAGAGACGCGAACGCGAACGCGACAATCGTGGGGTTTCGAATTACCACCGGATCAAAAGTGCCACGGCGCCCACAATGCCTTCAATGAAGCGCTCTCAGGTGTCCTCGGACCCTGAAGAGAGTGATGGATCTATGAGCTCGGTAGGATCCCCGCAGCACCCTCCTCCATCACCACCGCTAACAGGTTACAGAAGCGACAAAGGACAAATTCGGGCTCGTCGGGCTCAGGCTCATCGCCTATAGCCGCGTTGGACTCGTTAGATGTTCAAGATGAGGAACTCTCTGATGATGAGCTCGAACTCCGACAGACGCAGATTATCCAAGAAAAATACTCCCACCAGATGGACGAAGTCAACGTGCCTGCAGAACACGGAATCCTCGAACGCGTCGAGTGCTACAACTTCATGTGCCACGACCATTTCAACGTCGAACTGGGCCCTCTCATCAACTTCATTGTCGGAAAAAATGGTAGTGGCAAGAGTGCGATCTTGACAGCGATTGTTCTTTGTCTGGGAGGCAAAGCGGCCGCGACAAATCGAGGCCAGAGCCTGAAGAGCTTCATCAAAGAGGGCAAAGAGAACGGCACGATCATTGTCCGCATCAAGAACCGAGGCGACGGTGCCTATTTGCCGGACGACTTCGGCAAGACTATTATTGTCGAACGCCACTTTTCCAGAAGCGGTGCTAGCGGATTTAAGATCAAGGCTGAGAATGGCCGAATCGTCTCACAAAAGAAGGCCGACCTCGACTCTATCACAGATTATTTCTCGCTCCAGATTGACAATCCTATGAATGTGCTTTCTCAGGACATGGCTCGCCAATTTCTTAGCACGTCTAGTCCAGCCGAAAAATACAAGTTTTTCGTCAAGGGTGTTCAGCTTGAACAGCTGGACCAGGATTATCGACTGATTGAGGAATCGGTGGACGGGATGGAAGAAAAACTGAGGCAACAAGAGGAGGATCTTGTCAACTTGGAGAACCGCAAGAATGAGGCCAAGAAAAAATTGGAAATGTCCGACAAACAAAATTCTCTACGAGACAAACTCAGGAATATTCGCAGTCAAATGGCCTGGGCTCAGGTAGAAGAGCAGGAGAAGGTATGTTCCCAACCCAATCTTTGTCTCACTCCGTTATCTAATCCTCTAGATGGTCATTGATCTAGCCGATGCCATCGCAGCGGCTGACCAAAAGATTGCCGACGCGGAATTGGAGCTTTCTCGATTTGATCATGCGTTTGAGGCCTTTGATGAGGAAGGGAGGGCCGCGGACGAGCATTCCTGGCGGGCTAAATTGGCCTTTGAGGAAGCACAAGACGCTCAAACCCGGATTGAAGAACAGCTCAGAGAGGAAATGAATCTTCGATCGGAGCTCCAGGTATGTACCATCCCTCAGCGTTTGTTTCGCGTTCTGTCTAACGACATAGTCCCAACAACGCACAATCAAACAATATCTTCAAGATGCAACAACCCGAGTGCAGGAAACCGAGCAAAAGATCAAAGACGAGAAAGAACGTCTCGCCGAGGCCAGTAATGGAGGCTACGCTCGCAAACAAGCCGAGTGCGAGAAGGCCGTCAGTGACGCCTCTTTGGCTAAGAGCAAGCTTGAAGAGCATCGCAATGGCGCCGCCAACCTACGAAGCGACAAAGAAACTGCTCAGAAAGAACTTGCAGAGGCAATGAGACCGATTGACCCGAAGAAGGAAGAGATTAGAGACGCCGAAAACCAATTAAGAAACCTCAACAGGGAAGGAGGAGCCAGGCAGACTGGCTATCATCCCAACCTGCCTACCCTGCTCAAAGCAATTCAAAATGAGACTTCTTTTGGTTCTCGTCCGGTTGGGCCAATTGGGCACCATGTGACTCTCTTGCAACCGAAATGGTCATCCATATTGGAGAGCATGTTTGGTGGGACACTCACAGGTTTTATCGTGTCCTCTAAGAGGGACTCGGACATCCTGAATGCCATTATGCGACGGGTTAATGTGTAGGTCTATCCCCTGTTGTACTGTCTCTACGTAAGCTCACAATTTATAGCCATTGTTCCGTATTCATTGGCACCGGTGGTCATCTAGACACGACGGGAAAGGAGCCAGACTCTCAATTTGATACAGTTCTCAGAACGCTTCAGGTAAGTCAATCCATGTTTTTCCCCGATGGAATCAATATTCACCAGTCTCTTCTAGATTGATAATGAATTGGTGCGACGACAATTGATCATCAACCACGGCATCGAACAGATGCTGTTGATAGAGAATTTGGAAGAAGCTTCCTCTGTCCTTTTCGACGGCGACCGCCCGAGAAACGTCAAACGCTGTTATTCGATTGATGCGAGGGATCGACGACGGGGTATTTATCTCACCTACAGCCGGGCAGGTGAGCCCAGCCAATCACCAGTGTCAGGATGGTCGAAAGGTCCGCGAATGAAGTCTGATTCTGCCCTTCAGATCAGGTGAGTCAAATTGGCATCCTGCAGCTTCTGCAAATACTAACTGGGTAGTGCGCAACGTGATATCCTTGCCGATTTGAAGCGCCAGCTTGAAGACCTTAACAGAGAGGCAACCAACGCCACTTCACGCGCGAGGACTTGCAAGAACGCATTAGCAGCACACGAAAGAACGGAAAGCGATCTCCGGCATCAGTTCCAATCGGCAGAAGATTATTCTGAAGCGCTCAAGGAGGCGCTCGAGAAAGAGAATGCTGAGGATGAGATCAATGCGCTCCAAGTTACGCTCAAGGAAGCCGAGGCTGAAAAAGAGCTCAACGAAGGATCGTTCAAGGACAGTGAGGCCGCAATGACCGCCAAAATGCAAACGCTTCTCCAACTGAAGCGAGAGAAACATGCCAAGGATTCAGACCTCGCCACTTTCAAAGACAAATTGCAGGTAGCGGAAGATGAGAAAAAGCTGGTTCAAAGCAAACGGCGAACGGTCCTCGACGAAAAAGCTGCGGCCCTGGCACTGATTGAGGAGGACAAAGAGGCAAACGCCAACGTCGTTCGAAAACTTGAACAAACACGAGCCAAGGTCGCTAATTACCACGAAAAAGCCGGTATGGTGTCCGCTCGAGTTCCCGTGGAGGAGGGGGAGACCCCACGAAACCTTGAAGCCAAACTCGATAGGTTGGCCCGTGATTTAGAACGTTATACTGCGCAGTAAGTTGCCGCCATATTGTTCAATTTTTTGCTAACTTGTCCAGGTTGGGATCTTCCCGGGAAGATATTGCGGATGCAGCAGCAAGAACAGAGGCAGAGTATTCAGGAGCGCGAGGGCGAGTGGAAGAGGAGTCGTTCGTGGCTAGGGTAGGTGAACTCATTCGCTTTTCCGGTCCCATCTAACATCATCTCGACTAGGCCCTCAAAGACACCCTTCACAATCGAAAGAAGCGGTGGGAAATTTTCCGGTCCCATATCTCATCTCGAGCCAAGGCCCAGTTTACCTATTTGCTCAGTGAGAGAAGTTTCCGCGGCCGTCTGCTCACTGACCACCATAATAAGTTGCTCGATCTACAGGTTCGTGCCCCATTGGTTCATTTTGCGTGTGATTGTGTCTAACTGGTCAGGTTGAACCGGATATCACCAAGGACGATAGCACTGGACGAGGTGCCAAAACCCTCTCTGGCGGCGAGAAGTCATTCTCTCAAGTGTGTCTTCTTCTGTCTCTATGGGAGGCCATGGGCTCCCCAATCCGTTGTCTCGATGAATTGTAAGTCGGGCTGCTCACTTGATAGAATTTTGCTAACACCTGCAGTGATGTCTATATGGACCATATCAACCGAAAGATGGCCATCGACATGCTTGTGAGTGAATTCCCTTTCTTTTTGTCCTCCTTGTTGACCTCTCTTGCTAATAATACTTGCTTCACTAGATGAGTGCTGCCAGGAGATCGATCGGGCGACAATTCATTCTCATCACGCCTGGAAGTAAGACAGACATCACCATCTCCCCCGATGTCATAGTAAAGGAACTGGCAGCACCCGAACGAGGACAGGCACAAATCAATTTCCGGCGTTGATCTTTTAGCATAGCGAAAATACCCATCAATTCAATCTGGTTGTAATGTAACACGTGACCCGAACTGAACCAGCGGGACCAAGCTTCCCTTAACCTCAAACCTCTTCTCTCCCCGCCATAATCATCAATCCCAACCAACCCCCCTCTATCACTCTGCCGTGAACCTATCTGGCGTCGGAGACTCTATTTCGCGTCCTACTCAGGTCTTTATCTTTGACAAATCACATCCGTCTCAGCCCTTACCCACTTCAAATCGAACAGCGCACCTCCATCCTCTCTCCGCCCGTACCCTTTTTACCTTCGCAATGGCCGACGCACTTGCTGCACAACTCGGCAACACTAAGCTGTGAGTCGATCTCGTGTTCCTTGGCCTCTCTCAGTACTAACTGGATCAGGGAACCTACCCAAGAACAAAGACTGCAGGACTCATTGAATCTACCCCCCAAAGATGCCCGCCCACAAACCGAGGTTCGTCTCTCTGATATGGCTTCGCAGCGCCGCCCATCCAGTCTAACCCCTCTAGGATGTCACTGCCACAAAAGGTCTTGAGTTCGAGGACTTTTACATCAAACGCGAACTTATGATGGGAATCTTCGAGGCTGGATTTGAGAAGCCATCCCCCATTCAAGAAGAGACGATACCAGTTGCTCTCACCGGCCGAGACATTCTAGCTCGAGCCAAGAACGGTACCGGAAAGACGGCTGCCTTCGTTATTCCCACCCTCGAGCGCATCAACCCAAAGAGCACAAAGACCCAGGCATTGATTCTGGTTCCCACACGAGAGCTCGCTCTTCAAACATCACAAGTTTGCAAGACTCTTGGCAAACATCTTGGTATCAATGTCATGGTTACCACTGGTGGAACTGGCCTGATGGACGATATTATGCGATTGAATGACGCCGTTCACATCCTCGTGGGAACTCCCGGTCGAGTACTGGACTTGGCCAGCAAGGGAGTTGCTGATCTCTCTGAATGCCCAACTTTCGTGATGGATGAGGCAGACAAATTGCTGTCGCCGGAGTTTACTCCAGTCATTGAGCAACTCATGTCATTCCACCCCAAAGATCGACAGGTCATGCTCTTCAGTGCTACTTTCCCTCTCATCGTGAAGTCATTCAAGGATAAGCACATGCGCAACCCATATGAGATCAATCTTATGGATGAACTCACCCTGCGTGGTATCACACAATACTATGCATTTGTCGAAGAAAAGCAGAAGGTTCACTGCCTCAACACTCTCTTTTCCAAGCTTCAAATCAACCAGTCGATCATTTTCTGTAACTCGACGAACCGTGTTGAGCTGTTGGCCAAGAAGATCACCGAACTTGGCTATTCCTGCTTTTACTCCCATGCTCGGATGCTTCAACAACACCGCAACCGTGTGTTCCATGACTTCCGCAACGGTGTTTGCCGCAACCTGGTCTGCTCTGATCTCCTGACCCGTGGTATCGATATTCAAGCTGTGAACGTCGTGATCAACTTCGACTTCCCGAAGAATGCTGAAACGTATCTTCACCGTATCGGTCGTTCCGGCCGTTTCGGACACTTGGGTCTCGCCATCAACCTCATCAATTGGGAAGATCGGTTCAATCTCTACAAGATCGAACAGGAACTGGGTACTGAAATTCAGCCCATCCCTCAGAACATCGATAAGAAACTCTATGTGTACGACTCTCCCGAGAACATTCCTCGGCCGATCTCCAACCCTCCCCCTCAGAGTGGTGCCGGATCAGTGAACACGAACGGGGACCGACAGCCCCGACGTCACAACAACCATGGCCAGTTCCAACAGGGCCAACCAGGTCAGCATTATAACAACAATCGGGGCCGTGGGTCCTATCGTGGCCGTGGCCAAGGTCAACGTCGCGGACCGTCCAACGACAACCGGATGGCTTTCCAGCAACCGCCACAGCAACAACCTCCTCAGCAGTCCTAAATTCCCTGCCATGAGTCTTGCCTTTCTTTCTTAATTCCTCTTCCAAGTCTCTTCCTTAACTGGACAGGTGCAATTCGTGTATCATATGCTTTTCTCTCTGTTCCAGCCAATTTTTCTTTGGGTCGTTTGAATGGGGATGAAACTCATGCATTTTCGGCGCCTGCTTCTTTTCTCGATCTGCTCGGGATGCAGGGCAAATGGCGTTCATGTTTGAGTCTATTTTGAGTAATGGCGTTTCACGGAATTTTGTGAAGCGCTTTCTGTTCCTACGCTCTCAACGAGTGACGATTCACCTTCACACGCCAGACCCGTTTTACTCCTGGCCCCAATCTCATCCACACATCTGTTTGAGTATCCCTTCACAAACACACACACACACCTCTCACCAAAAAACGAAAAAAACAACCCCGAAAAAAAACCTTCTGGAGGAGCAATAGCTACATGGAACCTACTAGATTAGCTTTTGAATTGACAAAAATCCCTCCAGATTGTGCTACATGGACTTCCGTACTTTGTCGGACAGGAGTACTGTTGGGCGTCATAAAATCGTAGATGATCTGCATAGAAGGCACGTGCAGGGTGCCGTATGTGCGGACCTCCGAGCCTCGGAGGTCACTGCCTCTTCTTACCACACTCACGATGGCGGCTGTGAACAAGGATCAGAAGGCAAAGGTCAGTCCACTCGGCATGAGAATTGATCACTGCTCACCAATTGGCAGCCAAGTGCTCTCCGTTCCATCATTGCGGGAGCCAGCGCCGGAGCCGTGGAGATCGGTAAGAGCTTCAATGAACGTTTACCCAGACGCTAGCTAACCCTAGACGCTGCAGCAATCACATATCCGGCCGAATGTATCGATTCCCATTCTCACTAGCTCCTATGCCCACTAACATCTTCAGTCGCCAAAACCCGAACACAGCTCAATCGCCAACTGGCTCACGGCCAAAAGCTGCCATGGCCACCCTTTGGAAGCCAGTGGTACGCGGGGTGTACGACACTGATTATCGGAAATTCTCTCAAAGCTGGAATTCGTGCGTTTCCCGCAAGATCGAATCTGCACGGACGTTGACATATCTATATAGGCTTCGTCGCTTTCGATGCGATCAAGTCGGTTCTCCAAGATGAGAACGGCAAGATCTCAGGACCGAGAACTGTGGTCGCTGGATTTGGTGCTGGATTCACCGAGTCCCTGCTTGCTGTCACTCCGTTTGAGAGCATCAAGACCCAATTGTGAGTTCCTCGATAATTGGCTGCCAACAGCTCTGACAGAGCAGGATCGACGACCGCAAATCTGCGAACCCTCGGATGCGTGGCTTCTTACACGGTAGCAAGCTCATCTTCAAGGAGGAGGGTGTTCGAGGCTTCTTCAAGGGATTTGTCCCTACGACGGCTAGGCAGGCTGCGAACTCGGCAACCCGTTTCACGGCCTACACAACTCTGAAACAGCTTGCAGAAGGCTACACGGCACCAGGCGAGAAGCTGGGCACTGTCAGTACCTTCGGTATCGGAGGTGTTGCCGGCCTGATCACTGTGTAAGTAGATTCTTTTGAGCCCCAGAATTCTTTGCTGACCGAGGCAGTTATGTGACACAACCGTTGGACACGGTCAAGACAAGGTATGTATCACCTCAAAAAGGCACTGGTCGTCGTTAACGATGTGAAAATCTAGAATGCAATCGCTTGAGGCTAGCAAGCACTACAAGAACAGCTTCGTCTGTGCGGCCAGAATTGTCAAGGATGAGGGCGTCTTCACTCTGTGGTCCGGCGCTATGCCACGCCTTGCCAGACTCATCATGAGTGGAGGAATCGTGTTTACCATGTTCGTAGCATCCTCAAATTACCAGCCTGTGGTTGCTGACCATTTTCCAGGTACGAAAAGGCTATTGATGCTATGGATCTGGTGGATCCACAGCGTAAGTACATTTAGAATTAGAATAATGGGATGGTCTATTTTACATCGTTTTGTTTCGCCATGTCCTCGGCGATCATGCCTTCGACTTCGCTGTTGTCCATCCAAGTCCGCACGCTCTCCATGACAGTGTCCAGACCGTCACCTCCGTCCATCACACTGTCCAGGTTATGGATGGTAACGCCGGTGCGATGATCGGTGCAGCGGCTTTGACCGAAATTGTAGGTCCGAATCTTGTCTCCTCGTCCCATCTTCGCCACACCGCCGAGGATACCTCGTCTGAGCTGCACGAGCTCCTGTTCTCGAGCCTCCTGGCGGGATTCGGCCAGCTTTGCGCGCAAAAGCTGCCATGCTTTTCTGCGGTTGGCCTGCTGTGACCGCTCATCTTGCATGGAAACCACCGTGTTTGTTGGAATATGGGTCAGTCGAATAGCGGACTCTGTTTTGTTCACGTGTTGTCCACCAGCACCTCCCGCCCTCATCTTCTCAACACGCACCTCTTGAGGATCGATATAGTAATCACTGCTAGGATCTTCAAAGTTCAAGGCATTGTCCATCTCACTCGCGGTCTCCGAGAAACTTGGTAGGACCATCACGCTGACAGCGCTGGTATGGGTGCGGCCCTTGGTCTCGGTTGCAGGAACTCGCTGCACCCGATGTACTCCAGATTCTGTTCGTAACAGATCATATGCCCCGTCGGCTTCGACTTCAAGCACCGCTTCGGTGAGACGGTCATCGGACGCCCCAACTTCGGTATCCTGCTTCAAAACGTTGGGGCGGAGGCCCCGGCGGGAGCAAAAGGCAATATACATCCGTAGCATTTCAGAGGCGAACAAGCCGGCTTCGTCTCCACCTGCACCAGGTCTGATTTCAAGCAGACAGGGAAGATTTGCAAAAGGGTGTCGAGGGATAAGGGACTTCTTTAATCGGTCCGAGATTGCGGGCAATGTACCATGGCTGGTCTCAAGATCTTCTATTGCCAGAGATCGTAACTCGGCATCGGTACTGGGGTCTTCCAGAAGGGATTTGAGTTCACCAATGGACTAAGCAAATCAGTGAATGCCGAGTGAGAGCAGAAGCTTTCCAAATCATACCTCATTGGCATTAACCCATTCCTTCAAGACATTGGCAATTGGCGCCAATTCCCCGGCTCTCTTTGCGGTTTTTGCGTCAAACGATTCCCCCAGTCGATCAGCTAATTTGGAGTGTTCGGCAGCAAGAAGGCGAGCTCTCGTCAACAGAGCTGGAGATACAGTGGAATCTGAAGCTGTGGCTGGTCAGAAACGATGACATGTAGCCCAGGGCTTTGGGTCTCGCGGTCCCTTCGAGCTTACCGGTGTGAAGTGCGCGCAGAGGCGACCAATTTGCAAGCCTAGGCCTCAGACTTCCACATATTGACCTGAAGCCGAGCATATTCCGAGTATTCAGAGGATCGGTCGTCGGGGAGCGGAAGCTGGTATTGAAAACAAAATGTCACATGACGGTATCGGACCGTTACGAGGCCGTAAAGGCCACGGAGTATGCGACGTCGACTTCTCGCTCTCTTCTTCTTGTTGATCTTTTTGATCCTTACACTTTGATTGAACTTGTTATTTGCGTCCAGATTATGTTTCTGCTGTTTCACTCTTAGGGAGGCTCTCGTTTCATTCCTCACTTCCATAATTTAACTACTCCACTACCTCCGCGACCACTCCGTCATGCTCGTGTCCTTAGAGTTACTCACGGCCTTTTTGGCTTGCTTCTCCATTGGATGTGCCGCCCAGATCCCTCCGGATACCCCTCTCTCTGAACTACTCGCTTCCGCAAAAGCCCACCTTGCGCAAGGCTCCCCCCGAGACGCTGTGACATATTTCGACGCCGCAGTATCGCGCGATCCAACCAACTATATTACTATCTTCCAGCGTGGCGCAGCTTACCTGTCCATTGGCAAGAACTCGCAGGCATCAAGCGACTTTGATCGAGTCCTCGAGCTGAAGCCGGATTTCGAGGGCGCACTTCTACAGCGATCTCGTCTAAAGGCCCGTTCTGCTCACTGGGAAGAGGCCTTGCAGGATCTTGAACGGGCAGGGAAAAAGTCTACCGATGATTACAAGGATATAGAGGCTGCGCGGGATGCAGCCGCTCTGGCACTCGATGCCGAGAAGCACAATAATTGGGAGACTTGTGTCTCGGAGGCAAATGTGGCCATTCTCAAGGCGAACACTGCGCTTCCACTGCGGCAGGCTCGAGCTCATTGCCACTTTGAAAGAGGCGAAACAGAGGAAGGACTGAGCGATTTAGCGCATGTCCTTCAGATGTCTCCGGGCTTAGTCGAGCCCCATTTGCAGATGTCTTCTATGTTGTTCTATTCCCTCGGCGACAGCGATCGTGGTCTTGCCCAAATTCGTAAATGCCTTCATGCCGATCCCGATTCAAAACCATGCAATCGGCTCTATCGAAGCGAGCGGAAGCTTGCCAAGCGCTTGGATAAATTACACGCTGCTCTGGAAGCGCGCAAATTCAGCAATGCGGCGAGTCTGTTGGTCGGTGATAGTGAGTCGACCGGTCTGATCACAGACATCAAGGAAGACGTCGACGGAGCACGACAGGCCGGCCATATTCACCACTTGGCGCCCAACAATCTTTACGCAACTCTGGTCGAAAGGACCTGTGAGTCTTATCGCGAGGTATGTAACTTGACGGTTTCATTCAGCCTTCTCTGCTAACATTGGTAGATGCGGATGATCAAAAAGGCCGGCCCTTATTGTGCAGAGGCCCTTCAGCTTGTCCCCAACTCTCTCGCCGGTCTTCTGTATCAAGCTCAAACCGCTATCGATGAGGATCGATTTGAGGATGCTATTCGGACGCTTGACTCGGTCAAGGAACACCATCCGGGCTCACAGGAGGCGCAGTCTCTTCACCAGAAGGCCCAGACCCTCCTTAAGCGTTCCAAACAAAAGGACTACTACAAGGTCTTGGGTGTGAGCCGCGATGCGGATGACCGCACTATCAAGCGGGCTTACCGTCAGCTCATCAAATTGCATCATCCGGATAAAGCTCATTCTCAGGGTGTGAGCAAGGAGCAGGCCGAAAAGAAGATGGCGTCGATCAACGAGGCTTACGAGGTTCTGTCTGATTCTGAGCTCCGGACTCGGTTCGACAACGGTGACGATCCCAACGATTCTGAATCACAGCAACGCGGCAATCCATTCCAGGGAAGTCCTTTCGGCCATGGTCAGCAGCAGTTCTTCTTCCAGCAGGGCGGTTCACCGTTCCAGGGAGGGTTCAAATTCCCTGGTGGATTCCGATAGCCACAGAGGAGTACACAATGGTGTTAGGAGTTACATATGTATCAATTCGATCAGAAATCACATTGACTATTATCTTCCGCGTAGTTGTATCATTTTGGGGCATCTGTCAGAGGCACATAGCTAACCTGGAAGACCCTTTCCTTCTGGATGGATCCGTCCTCCTTCTTATCCACTACCCAGATGTACTGACCCTCGCTGAGACTACGGTCGTTTGCTGTTTCCACTGGGATGAAGAGTCTTCCGGGGGCACGCAGCTGGTCGATCAAGGTTGGGTGAATGGACTCGGCCGCCGCGCCGACGTGAATAGCATCATACGGGGCACCTTCTTTCCACCCCAGGCGACCATCACCCGTGATGAATTGAACTTTCGACGAGGCCTGGAGCTCGGCGCCTTCCTCTGACTTGTTCATGTTCTCCCGGGCCAGGTCTGTCAGCTCGGGGACATGGTCTATGCCCACCACTTTTCCGTGCACTGCATTACCGGAGTCATTCACCAGGTTTGCTAGCACATGAGTCAAATATCCAGAGCCGGAACCAATGTCCAGGACCCGAGCACCGGGCTTCAGGTAGTCAATCAGATACTCGCAGGCATGGCCATGCATATGCGGTGCTGATATAGTGGCATCATATCCAATGGGCTGAGGGGAGTCAGAGTATGGCCTTGATGGCGCATAGTGGGCACGATCAACCTTTGGCGATTAGTTCCTGTAGTTATGTGTGTAGTGAACGGCACTTTACCCCAAGCATGGCCTCTTTCACTCGTCCATCCTTCACCAATCCCGCCTTGAACAGGTTTTCGATTAACTCGGTGTTGGTGGATCCTGAACAGTACCACGCCATTGTATAAGTGCGTGTGAGCAGACGAAGCATCAGACGTCTGACGTTAGCTGTCAAGTACAAGTCCAAGTCCAAGTCCAAGTACCACGGGGGTTTAGGTGAGGTACATTGAGATGTGATGACGACATACCATGCGCATATATCCACGTGACAAGTCGTGTGTATGCAGTCATACGAAGTATACGAAGTATGCGGAGTATACTCCGTATAGATCTATTAAATACGGGGATACAACCTTGGAACGGTGATCATAGATGTATATATTCATTGGGTATACTTGGATATATCACATCATTTCATATACAATTACTTCAGAATATTCACCAACCAGGATACTCCAAGGTTGTAAAAACAAGTGAGCTCGAAGAACAACACCGGAAAGAGATCAATATCATTTCTATAAACAATAAGCCCGAGAATCCCAGTTGTACTTTGAACGGTCTGATCGACAGTGTAGGTAGGTACCTAGTGGAGCACGATGAGTCAGCCAGCATGAAGGCTTCGGGATTATCAGAACATCGCCGACTAAGCGCGATGCAAACACACATCATGGACCTCTCCAGGCCCCTGGACATTCCTTTCATTTGACACATCTGACACACAATGGATCATCTCAGCGTTCGCGCCACTGTGGACCTGATGATCCTAGACTACCTGCTTGCTCTGTCCATCAGTGGAATAGTCTCAGTCATAAAAAAGGAAAAGACGCATGAAGAGGTGAACTGGATGGTAGAGTCGGCTGAAAGTGAATCTCACCGTGATCTCCAAAAGGGAACATACTAACCGCACCAGACTTCCGTGGACTCATTGCGCTTCACCAGATCCGATCTCCTTTGCCCTGGGATTTGGACATCAAATTGCGTATCTTCCATGTCGTCAACCTCTTTCGCTTCTGGGAGCCCCCCAAGGATCATGCCCTGGATAACTTCGTGCCCCTGTCTGATATCGGTGTGAAGTTTATGAACCTCTGTCGATTCGCACGCGACAATGTCTCCTGGACCCGTTGGTTCGACCTCGGAGCCCGGTTCATGATCCATGCGATCATTGAAGAAGGGGAGCGATTGCCAGAGCCTCTGAACAAACTGCGCAACTGGGAAACCAAGACAAACCCCATCGATGCGCACTGGGAGGTTAGTCGTACCTTGTTTCTGGAACACATGCCATCCCCGTATGGCACCACAGGTCCAGCCACCCGAGAGCAACTGGATACGCTGTTCCCTCTCTCGGAACTCGACTCGGAATTCATCGGGTTTGTGGAAGATTTTATGGACATACTTGACGCGCCGCTCTTACTCCAACTGGAACAGGGCCAGCTGCAGGGATGGACCCCCGAGGAGACTCGGCGCATTCGACTGGAGTGCCTGCGCACGCTCTAATTGGGATTGGATGCACAGGGCTTCCTGACCGCGCTCCAGTGTTTAATGTGACATTTGAAATGTAATGACAACCGTATTCTAATGTTCTAATTCTCTAATGCTAAAATGACAATGACAATGACAACAGTCCATTGAAAAAAGACCTATCTCCTCGATATGTGGCATTTATATCTTGGAACCTAATAATTTACAAAAAGGGCGGCGGCAGACCGCTCTAGGGTCAGAGAACAAAGACAGAAAAACGACGAAGCTCACGTCATTTAGCCGAGCAGCATACGGCGGGGGTCTTCAATGTACTCCTTGACCTGTGATGGTGTTAGCGTGGCGACCGGGACAGGGGAATGCGGAAAGTCATACCTTGACAAGGAAAGTGACGGCCTCGCGACCGTCGAGGAGACGGTGATCGTAGGTGAGAGCGAGGTACATCATCTAGTGACATCAGTATTTGATCTATCGGTCTTCATAGCGGGTGTCATACCGGGCGGATTTCAACCTTGCCGTTGACAGCAACGGGCTTGTCCTTGATAGCGTGGAGACCAAGCACAGCTAGGAAATGTTAGCCCAACATATCATCAAATCGGAAGAATAGAAACTGACCAGTTTGGGGAGCGTTTATGATGGGGGTACCCATCAGCGATCCGAAGACACCACCGTTGGAGATGGTGAAGGTACCGCCGGCCATATCCTCAATGGTCAGCTTGTTGTCACGGGCCTGTTCAATGGTTAGTGACACGAAGCCTTCATAGCATGTGTGCAGTGCTCACCTTCTTGCCAAGGTCGGCAATAGCCTGCTCGATGCCAACAAGGTCCTTGCCCTCGGTGTTGCGAACGACGGGAGTGACAAGTCCCTTCTCGGTGGCGACGGCGACACTGATGTCGACATAGTCACGGTAGACGATGGTGTCACCGCCGTTGGGGCCTTCGATGGAGGCGTTGACGGCGGGGATATCCCGCATGGCAAGCACGCAAGCGCGGGAGAAAGCGCTCATGAAGCCAAGCTTCACGCCGGTCTTCTTGAGAACATCGTCCTTGTAAAGCTTGCGGAACTCCATCAGGGAAGACATGTCGACCTCATTGAAAGTGGTGAGAGAAGCAGCGGTGTTCTGGGACTGCTTGAGGCGCTCAGCGATGCGCAGACGCATACGGTTCATCTTGACCTAGATTCCCACATGTGTCAGTTTGCGCCTGGTCCCAACGATCTAGTTTGACTTACACGACGTTCCTCGCGGCTACCAAGAGCTGGCTGAGCGGCAGGTTGGGGCTTGGACTCAGCCTTGGGGGCCTCCTTGGGCTTCTCGGCGGGGGGGAGGAGCAGCCTTCTTGGGCTCGGCCTCCTTAGGCTTCTCAGCCTCGGCGGGGGCAGGCGAAGACTCCTTCTTCTCGGACTCCTTGGGCTTCTCAGCGCCTTCGTCCTTCTTGCCGCCTTCGGGTGCGCCGCCAAGCTCAATCTTGACGAGGTCCTGTCCAACGGTGACGGTATCTTCTTCGCTGACAAGGAATTCCTTGATAGTGCCAGACTCTGGGGCGTTAACCGAGACATCGATCTAGAAAAGATTCCAGGTTAGCGACACGTGAATTTTGGACCACTTGTTTTTCTGTCTCTCGACTTCGTTTTTTTTTCTCTCTAAAAGAGAAAACAGGCTTTCTGGATCTTACCTTGTCGGTCTCAATGGTGGCAATTTCCTCGTCGCGCTCGACGAAGTCACCGACCTCTGTAGAACAGTGAGTAAGCTTCAAGAGCCAGATCGCAAAAAAATTAGCGACATACGTTTCGAGAACTGCTTCAGAGTACCCTCTGTGATGGACTCAGCCATGTTGGGGACCTTGACGATAGAATCGGCTGAAAACCCATGAGCAATTGATCTTCAAGATTGGCGCGAGCAAAACAAACCATAGGTTCTGATCTGGTAGCCTCCCAGAGGAGTAAGGTTAAGGCGCGAAACATTGCTGAAGGCGTAAGCATTGATTGCGACGAGGACTATATGGAAAGCCTACCTGGAAGACTGCAGAAGTCCCGAGGCCTTGGTGCGCGTGAGAGTAGACAGACCCTTCACACTGCGAAGCTGGAATGAGGCCCGGGGAGTAGTTCTGGCCACAGCCGAGAGGCGCTGGGCCGAAAGGCGCGCGATGGAGATTCTAGAGGCCATGATGTGGATGAGGAAGGGAAAAGAAAAGCAAGATGGAGTACCCGGGAACTAGGTCAACCGGATTATATAGAACTGAGAGGAGAAGCTTCTCTAAATAGTTCTAAAGTGAGAGAAGGAGGGTTCCAAGCTCGGATTAGATCGGGACTATCCAAGTCAACCGGGCACTTCTGCCGGCAAAGGCGGACTCTTCCTTTTCTACGGCGGCGCATACGCACCATTCAAGCACTTCAACGTCGAACGAATTAGGAAGCCCAGAATAGTCACCCTGGAACGACCTTCGGATTTCCCAGGAACCCCGGACACACCTACGTTGTCTCTATTCCCAGATCTTCTTCTTGTCAGCCTCCACTTACCTGCGCCTGTCCGTCGGCTGGAATTGGATCCGGAGCAAGTTTTGAGTGCAATATGTCTACCGCTGTTACGTGGGTACCACTTCATCCTCTCCATGGATCAATTGACTGATACGTGACAGGTCGCTTTACCGACGCTCCTTGAAGCTGTCGCTTGACTGGGCTGTCCACCGCCAGATCTGGCGCGGCCAAGCAGTCTACATCCGGTCCCTGTTTGAGGCCAACAAGGACGTCCGTGACCCTCGCCAACAACAAGTACGCTACTGCAAATCCTTCGGTTACACGCACCGGCTAACACAACCCCTCAGGTCTTGTTGCGCGAGACAGAGAAGCTGCTGGAGACATGGAAACACCCTGATCCCTACCGAGCCCCGACTGCGCCCGGCGGTAACAAGTGGGAGCGCAACCTGCCTGCACGAATCCTGCCTTGTATGTGCCAATCTTTCCGTTTAATTATATATTCTAACATCCGCCTTAGATGCCCAACCCCCTGGTGCTCACTAAATCAAATGTTTTCAAAACGCGCGGTATACTCCAGATGAATCTAGCCCTTACAACATGTACTACAAATGTAATTTATTGTAGAGTACAGAGTGCTCCGTGTCGAGTTTAGAGTATCAAAATAATATCTACAACAATGAGGAGCGCCAATGTAACTGGTGTCTATACTCCGTGCAAACTACGTTGATACAGGAAAGTAGAGTGAGTGTTTGAAGTACCTGGAGGCTTTTTCATTGATTTGGGCTTCACCCACGGCTAGTATCCGAAAGTTGAAAAATCCCTCAAACGAGTTAAGGTCGTCGGTATCATTCCATGTCCGTAGACATAATGTACAACCAGGATATTGATGAAAAAATAAGAAAACGCAGAGCCATAACGTGCCCGTCCCATAACCCCATTATCGTGTCAAAGAACCAATCCGCGCCGGAAAAGAAAACAAACAATTTGTGAAAAAAGAGACACCCTTACAGCTCCTGGCTGCCCTTTCCGGCCTTGGGGGTCTTCTTGGGAAGAAGGTCTAGAAGACGCGTTAGTATGATTTGAAGTGCGGGGCGCGCGGGGTGGGAATCGAAACGTACTCTGGTGAATGTTGGGGAGAACACCACCCTGGGCAATGGTGACGTGACCCAGGAGCTTGTTCAACTCCTCATCGTTGCGGATGGCAAGCTGGAGGTGACGGGGGGATGATACGGGTCTTCTTGTTGTCGCGAGCGGCGTTACCAGCAAGCTCAAGAATTTCAGCAGCGAGGTACTCGAGGACCGCAGCGAGGTAGACGGGAGCACCGGCACCGACACGCTGGGCGTAGTTACCCTTGCGGAGCAGACGGTGAACACGACCAACGGGGAAGGCGAGACCGGCCTTGGAGGAACGGCTGAAGCGGAATCGGTTAGCATACAATGCAGAGAGAAAAAGACGCGAAAGTAAACAACTTACGACTGCGCGTTCTTGGAACCGCTGGCCTTGCCGCCGGACTTTCCACCAGTCATTTTGAATAGATTTGGGGTTGGAAGTGAAAAGGGGGAGAAGAAGAGTTGAGTTGAGTTGAAGAGAAGCTGGAAGTTATGGTAGAAAAGTTCGCAAGAGCAGGTGGGAGGAGCGTGTGGAAGCGGAGGACCTTTATAAGGACGGTGAGGGTGACGTTGGGCGGCATCAACCACTCCTCCAGATCACGGACTCGCTTAGTCGTTGCAACCAATGATCAATCAGATCAGACATTCCATTTCCGGTTAGCCTGTGTAATATTACGCTGTTACCAGCTGTGACACCCCGAGTGGGTCATCTGACCGTGTTGATTTGCCCCTTTCCCCACCTTAAGACGCGTCCAGCTCCGTTTAATCATACAGATCATACGGTCGTGTGACCGTATTGAAATTCCGTCTCCTTTGCACCCCCTCCCAAGATCAACTGGCCTTTGGCACACGAGTATAAAGACGCCGTCTCCCCTCGTCACCGCGTCTCTCTTACTTTCACTTCCCCATTCCATCTCTGCTTCCCACACTTCTTTCATCTTCAACTCTTCAACCTCTTTTTCCAACCCTTTCACCTTTTTTCAACTACAATCAAAATGCCCCCCAAGGCCGCTGAGAAGAAGCCCTCCACCGGTGGCAAGGCCCCCGTTGGCGGCAAGGCCCCTGCTGAGAAGAAGGAGGCTGGCAAGAAGACTGCCTCTGCCTCCACTGGCGAGAAGAAGAAGCGCGGCAAGACCCGCAAGGAGACTTACTCTTCTTACATCTACAAGGGTGAGTTTGGACTTGTGAAACTTTCCCAATATGACGCGTTGGTTCTAACTTTGTTTTGCAGTCCTCAAGCAGGTCCACCCCGACACTGGTATCTCTACTCGTGCCATGTCCATCCTGAACTCCTTCGTCAACGGTATGTCTCTTCCCAAACAATTTTCAGAAAGACGCGTCTTGACGCGTCTTTCAACATCCCATATAAAAAAACACTTTTTTCTGACTTCAATCTCCAGACATCTTCGAGCGTGTCGCTACTGAGGCCTCCAAGCTGGCTGCTTACAACAAGAAGTCCACCATCTCTTCCCGGGAGATCCAGACTTCCGTCCGCCTCATCCTCCCCGGTGAGCTGGCCAAGCACGCCGTCTCTGAGGGTACCAAGGCTGTCACCAAGTACTCTTCCTCCGCCAAATAAGCGGCTTCTTTACGTTTTCTTTCGAGCTTGCTTTGTTTTTCCTGCCTCTTGATCAGTGATGGGCACTGAGGCGGTCGGTTATGGGTGTTTTGCGGGTTTCTAATGCGTCATGGGATGGCTTGAATTTTCTTTTCCCCGATGGGTGATTTTATTTTTTGAAAGGTTACCTCTCAATACGTGAATGCGGTGTAACATAACTCGGGTCTGGAGCAGGGCATGGATTGACCTCTCCTACTAGAACGCGAAATTCCAAATGCTTAATTGCATTGCATCATGATTCTATCTTCTCTGTTTCCCAATCGTAAACTAACTTCGCTTGCTTTATTCATCATCTGAATCGTCCAGTGCTTCCACCTCATCCAGCGCGCCAGCGCGCGGTTCTCCCTGTGTGGCCTGCTGGCCGGGGAAAATGTGCACGATGGGTTTTCCCGGTGAGGCTCGAATTCGAGCCTTCCAATCCGCCCAATCATTTTCGTTCCTAATCAAAAATCCAATGAGCATGCTGGGATCCATGTCTTTGATGTGAATCCTGCGCAATCGCGTGGTGTAGTAGCTGTCCAATTCTTCTGGGGTATAAAGCTTCTCTGGTTGATGGGCAGTTGTGGGTCGGGTCGTGTGGGGGTCCAGAAAGAAGAAATGAGAGTCTTGGACCCCCAGGAAATAATGTGACGCGGAAGGGCGTCCCCTGGTCCTCGGTCAGCATATTTGTCTGGCATCAGGGGATTGTCCCACTCACCCCGCAACACCCACGGACTGGGGAAGTTTCAGGGCGGACTGAAGTCCATCCCAGTACACAGGAGTGACTTGATCGATCCCCAGTCTAGTTCCGATCAGGATCAATGTGGGTTGAATCTGGCCAGATCTGTCGCGAGCCACTTGGGTAAATCTGTCTTCGTAGACATCTGAATCATTGGTCGCGTAGACTCTCAGGTTGGGACACTCATTCTGGGTTGACAGTAGCCTGCGGCATGTTGAGCCCTGATCTGGGGAGTCAAAGCTGGAGACTCACTGTATACACTTGGCAGTTGCCGATGGCCCAAACCACTCGCCTGGGTATTTCCCGCATGATTCTGCCCCACGCTGGACAAATCGATGTATCGAGAATGGAGCATCTGGATGATCGGCGAACAGCGATAACAGGCGAGACTCCTCCTCCACTTTTTCCCCACGTCGCCAGTCTGGGATCCAACGGTTGGTTTGTGTTTAACGGATAGTGGACAGGCTACTCACCTCGTCCCAGTAGAAGGATTGACAGCGTATTTGCCAGGAGGGCTTGTCCTGATCTGATCATGCAACCCCACCCCGTATCCGATGTGAAGCCTTGGGAGTCCATTAACTGACTCCTCAAGCGTACGCCAAGAGTCATGGAGGAGGTTGCTTCTGGGGTTTTAGTTCGAGGGATCGGCGTAAAATTGGAACGATAGGTGATCCAGATTCGAGACCCAAAATCAGAGATAAATTCCTGGGGCCAGGTCGTGTCATTTGACATGCTGGCATTGTCCATCTTGGTAGGCGCATACTCTCGACCCAGGCACCATATCACAGTTGCAGGGTCGTCATTTCTGGGTTCTGGGTCCCAGAAGTATTGTACTATGCGTTTGCATTTTTCCATGTCTACCGTCATGACTGTTGGGTGGTGGTTGGGTAGTGGTGGTAATGGCGATGATCGGTGAGGGAGAGAAGGTATGGGGGTTGTGACCGATATATATCTAGGCACTAGGGTGTCTACAACCCGAAGAGTAGCCGGATGATCACCATACCAGGACACAAAATCTCGAGGGTAAACAGATCAGACACCAGAAAGCACAAGAAGCGAAGTTAGGTGAAAGAGAACAAATAAAAAACAAAACATACGAGTATACCCCAAACTTGATGAGGGGGTCACGAGCCAAGACGTCACCGAGTCAACTGGCTGATATATACTCCGTACAAAACCATCTCCTTTCAGATCTACAATTTTACAGTAGCCCAATACATAGGAAGAATAGAGTATAGATGTAGATATAGATATCGATGTATTACATATGTCTTATTTCAAAATTACGCATATACAAACATCAACATTGTAAAGATCCGTACGGAAATAGAAAGATTTGCCATCTGAGGATGACATAACCCCCAAGTCACCGCCCGGCAGCCCATAAGAAATCCCCGCTGCCGAATTAACTTCAACAACATCTTCCAGATACACCCCATGGCCCGCCATGGGAAGTTCAAGGCCCGTACCAGGCGGGCACCTGTGGCCAGAGGTAACGCTCTCGACATCTCGCCTACTTCGAATGCTAAGTCAATATACACAGACCCAGCGCCGCACTTTACGATGCAGCAAGAAGCCCGTAACACGGAAACACATGGTCGGTCCTGGACGGATAGTAATCTTCGCCACAAAGCCGTGCTCTTCGTCAGTGCAGGGAGATTAGAGCCGACCCGAGAGGAAGAAGACAACCGGATTGAATCCGACTCAGCACGAGAGGATTCGACACCCGCAGAGGCCGAAAAACAAGCTGAAGATGGCGACAGCTTGTTCTTCTTCGACACCAAAGGCCAGACTGTCGCCAATACCGGGCTTCTTAACCCCACCGTACCGTCCAACTTGTCAGATGCAGATGACTCCAGCGAGGACGAGGTGGTGTTCACCGGTCGCAGGAAGAACACAAAACCGGTCACCATCCAAACGTCCCAGAATGAGATTGAAAAATTTGTTCAGAGTGTCTCCCAACCGCTACAAGAAGCACCGGTCGTTGTTCCCGTTCCACGGGAACCCTCACCGATTCCCATGCAAATAGAGCACACGGAACTGCACACGGAGAAACCAGCATGGCCACCCGAACAGGACACCGATCCACTGGCTGATTATATCGCCAACATTGACAATGATTACTATGAGGAAATCACGGGCATCAGGCTTGACTCAGGCGATGAAATCGACGTCGAGAAGGCTGCAACGCAACTCGATCTCTCAGCCGCAAGCCCAGCAGGTCCCAAAAGGCAATCAAACAGATCAGCAAATGGTCACGGGGGCGAAAGCGCAGTGGACGGTACGCTCCTTCAAAATCTATTGCAGCCCATAAGAATACTGACTCCCTTCCCAGGGCTAGCACATGTGCAAATTGACACAGAGCAAGACTCGGTGTCTGCATCGAGCGACGACGACGACGACGATCTCGCCTTTTCCGGATCTGACGACGACGCCCTCGAAGATTTCATCCTACTCGAAGATCTAGCTAAGGGATATTCTAAGTCCGGCAAGAAGGGCCACCGGTTCGAAAAGCCCTCCTTCCCATCCGCTTCAGCGTTCGCAGATGCCCTCGAGGCTGACCCATATTTCGGGTTCGACATTATGGACTTTGACCGGCCAAGCCTACGAAACAAACCAAAGGGCAAGCAGTCCATTCCCGAATTGGAACTGTCCGACAGTGAGTTTGAGGTCGAACTCCAACAGGCATGGCAGAATGATCGGACCAAGAAGAAGCTGCGCAAGAGGGAGCGAGAAGAGCTTCGGGCCCAAGGCATGCTAGGCCGAAAAGCAGGAAACCCAGACCTGAAGGTCAAATACTCCAAGGAAATGAATATGGAGCAGTTTATGACCGAGCTTCGATCATTCCTCCTGTCATCTAAAAACAGGTACATCTCGAACAATGGCGATGTGTTTTTTTTTTTCTCGCTGGATACAACTAACTTTATCTAGCCTGTCCCTACCGCCCATGACCAAACAGCGCAGGAAGCTCATACACGAGCTGGCTAATAATCTCAACTTGAAATCACAGTCGCGCGGCCATGGACTTTCTCGTTTCCCCGTCCTCAACAAGACTGCCCGTACCCCCAGATACACCCCGAAGACCATCTCTAACGTGGATGAGCTGCTATCAGGAAAGAAGTTCAATCGGCGATTGTTCAAGTCATGGGGCGCAGAGGCGCCCAAGTCTTTCAAATCAAGCCGTGGGAAATCTGGTGCCGCCTCTTACATGGATGGCGACGTGGTTGGAGCCTCTGCCCCGGAGATTGGAGCTGAAAACCGAGGACGGGCCATGCTAGAGAAGATGGGGTGGAGTACAGGCACTGCTCTGGGAGCGGCCGACAACAAGGGAATTTTGCAGCCCGTTGCACAGGTTGTCAAGAACTCACGAGCAGGGTTGGGTTAGTTTCAGATGCTTTGAGACAAATATTCAACCAAGACATTTTTGTCCCATACACGTGCTTCACACGTAGAAATTGAACCGTACGCCCTGGTCCAAACACACGACGCTAGTGTTTTTTCCCCTTCTTGGCTGGTTTCTTAACGGGCTGTGCGTGATCAGGTAGCTCTCGGATGTGATCAAATAGTTTAGACTTGGATGGGAAAGACTCCTGGCATCGTGCGCACGCGAAGCCACTGGGTTGATTGGCCTCCTTAGCGGCCTTCTTTGCTTTCTTCTGCTTGGCCTTGCCCAGCTTAGGTGCCGAAGAAGCCTCAGCGAGACCTGAAGGAGACAATTCATCACTGGCAGTTGTGGTGACCAGAGAATCCATCTCAGTGCGCAGTCTGGTCTCAACGTAGTCCCTGGAGGCATAGTCGTCCTCCTCCGACGCCGAGGCAACGGGATGCTCGTCTTGACTGGGAACTGGAGCTGACAGTGGTCGATCCTCAGATATCTCACCCGGGACCGGTGGGCTTTCATTGTCGTCGAAGTTAGCACCAGGGCGGAGGGAATGTGATGACCCATCAGCTTCGGACGACGTCTTGACATCATCTTCGTCGATTTGAGATGTCTCAGATGGAGGTGCGACCATCTCAACATTCGAACGGCCCACGGATTCCAAGTCCAATTCCTCGTTCTGCATTCGCATCTCCCAGCACAATTGTTTGACGGCTTTCTGATGCTTCTTACTGCGTTCATGGGCCTCGGATTGCTTTTGACTCTTGAAAAACTTGTGGCAAGCCACACACTCAAAACTCTCAACTTCGCTCTCTTCACTCTCCTCGTCGCTCACCGCCGGTTGCTCCGACTGGGCCCAGTCTGGTAAGACATGGTCTCGCATCTTGGCTTGGTTGAGTGCTCGTGATCTGGCCGCTTGCGCCGCTACGGATTGACGGAGAGTTTCCTGGCGTTGAGCTTCACTCTGCGCATTGAACTTGTACCGCGGATCACGCTTTTTGACAAAAGCCACGAGGGATCTGACCGCATCGTTAAATTCGCGGATACCCTCATCTCGCAGGCGTTTATTTTCCTTCTCCATCATTCGTCGCACTCGACGATCTGGCGCTTCGGAATATCGATGAACATCCTTCCATGCAAACGACTTTTGAGTGGAAAATCCGCTCCATGCAGCATAGAATGGCCGCACTACGGTTTCGAAATCCCCGTCACAAGACCCAAAGGAAGGATACTCGAGAGGATCCTGGTTCTCCCACTGGCAAGCCAGTCTCTCCTCGAGCGCGAGCCGATCAAATTGCTCTTGTAAACCACCAAAGAATCCAGTTGGGGAGTCTGAAAACTCCATGCGAGGACTGAACTTGGAAAATAATTTGAGGACATCTTCGGCGGTTGTGATCCGAACGTTGTACGAGTGTTGATCCCCAGCACCTCCGTCGGTCCCCAAAAAAGGCCTCGCTGTGAGAATCATACCATGCTCGTTCTTGGGGGTCGGCTAAGACTTCGTATGCGGACTGAATTTCGGCAAAGAGTTTGGTAGCTTCGTCGACATTTCCATAATTCCGATCTGGATGCAGCACAAGTGCTTTCTTTCTATATGCTTTTTTGATCCTAATGAGAAAGATTAGGCATTTGTAACATGATAAGGACATAGGTATGTATAACACTTACTCCTCGTCAGTGGCGCCGCGTGCTATGCCCAACAATTCATAATAATCAGTCTTTTTGTCTTGTTCTGGAGCAGAGCTTGCCTCGCTTGAATGAAATTGTCCCATGACAGGGAGAAGTACAGGAAAATAACCAAAGCCAAATAAGAAACAGAACAGAAACAGAACGAGAGCGTAAGAGACCGTCAATGTGCGCGGGGAGAGAAGAGAGGAATGGCGGGGGAAAAAGCAGAAAAGAAAAACATCCAAGTCCAAGGCTTGGCATGCGTCAATTTCGGACCGCTTTGCTCATTTGCTCTCTTCCTCCCTTCCTCAGTCCCTCGCCTCCTCTTGTCTCTCGCCTGTTTCATTGAAATGATGATTCATTGATTCTCTTCCTCTTACTTGTTCCCACATCTAATTTCATCCTCAGGAATGGTTCGATCCCTCATTCATCTTCCAGACGAGATCCTGAATTCTATACTATGCTACTCCTCCCCTCAATCCTGTGCTGCTGTCGAGCAAACCCACGCGCGATTTCGAAATGTGACCAATGAGCCTCTGCTATGGCGTCGCTACTGTCAGTCGCATTATAACTACTGGGATGAGCGACACGAGATGCGCCAGAAGTTTACCAGACCTGTACAATCAACCGACTGGAAGGCGATCTTCGTAAACAAATATTTGGTTGATCGTTCCGTCACTCGACTTCTTGACAGTATTCTCGGAAGCCAGACAGGTCGCATCGAGAAGTCCCGCTCGGTGGTTGATTTAGGATACGATGCAAAGGATACCCTCCTACGACATAGCCGCGTGGAGTCTGGTGAGGATGTATTGGCCAGAAGGTGGGCTTGTCTCCGTGAAATAAGCATGTGTTACCCACAGGTTGACCAATGCTTCATGGTAAAAGATACTATGCGCGCGCTCTATTGACTTGCCTTCATCGGAGTATTGCGGTGCCAGAGTGGGCCAAACTCAGGCGCGGCGAGTCTGTGCAACTTGAAAGAGCCCTCGGATGCTTTGATCTCTTTGTGCCGGGGAGTGGAGACGGTGATTTGAACCAGGTGAGTGTACATTCATATTGCTTTGACGTTAATCGATCTAACAAGCGCCCTCAAAACACTTAGATTCAAGAATCCCTCGGTAGAATTTTGAGGCGATTTGCTGCCTCTCGTCCCGACGTTGCTCTTCTTAGCCCTCGGGACAAAGCACTCGCTATTGCATCTTGGCTGGGGGCCAACGGTCTCACGGGAATCGAACCAGGGCGGGAATATCATTCCCTGGAGCATAACTTCTTGGGCATGGCCCTCAATAACACAGGGCACAATTCCTTGCCATTGGTTTCCGCCGTGATCTACTGCTTTGTTGCACGAGGCAATGGCCTGAATGCACAGCCATGTGGATTTCCATTTCATGTCCATGTCATAGTAACACCCCAGCCGGGCTTGGACATGAGTGGCAACCCGTTGGCCGGGGGGACGCAAGGAGAGCCTATGTACCTGGATCCATTTCGAGGAGCTAGAGAAACTCCGGTCTCGGCATTACGCAGTCAATTGGCTTTCTTGGGAATGCCAACCCTGGATCAAACCACGACATTGAGCAAATCTGATACCTCAGCTGTTGTTTTGCGTTGTGGCAAGAACATACTGAATTCTGTGCGGATTGAATCGCAGCAGCCAGAGACACCAATCGCCTTTGTGGATGTTGTGGGTGCAAAGTACGCCGCGATCTGGTCCAAGATGCTGCTGTCCAATGAAACAAGACCGATGGACCTGCGTCGTGACTTGCCGCAGCTGATGGAACTGTTTGCTACCGAGTTTCCCACAGACATGTTCTTAATGGAGCAGTACATCGTGCCTTTATTTCAGGGACTCCCAGAACACAATCATGTTTTGGAGAGCCTGCGTATAATGAAGGCTGTGGATGAGATCCCCAAATCAAGGCGAAAGCGCAGTGGTGGTAATACAAACATACAATATTCGGTGGGTCAAGTATTTCGTCATCGTCGCTATAACTACACGGCTATCATCACCGGATGGGACTCGGAGTGTGGTGCGGGCGAGCAGTGGATGATGCGCATGGGTATTGACCGATTAGAGGCTGGCAGACACCAAAGCTTTTATCATGTCCTGTGAGTGGGTCATGTTTCTGTGTGTTTGGTTCTAGACTAACAGAGCGGCGTGCGTAGTGTGGAGGATCGAAGTGTCCGATACGTGGCAGAGGAAAACATTGAACCTGTACTGCTTGATTTTGCCGACCTGCCGAGCAGCTTGACTTCGATTGCAGGTAAACATTTCAAGCGTTGGGATGAACATAACATGAGGTTCATAAGTAATATGAGAGACGAATATCCCGATGATTAGGGGGATTCCGTTGGTGTCTATGCTTGGTGCTGTCGGAGTTGTGTAAAGAATATCATAATACTTGTCACCGGATCTTCATAGGTACGGTTGATATGATTATGATCGTTGAGTCAACTGCTGGGCTTATTTCGTGTGCTTCCTATATTGAGCTCATCTTCCTGGAAATAATTATGAGGGATTAATATAGAAACATCCCTCTAGCGCAATTAGGAAAGTTGATATCTGATACTCTAGGTATAAGAGACTTAGCCGTTTTAAGCTATTAATAATAGTGTGTTAGGGATCCAGCCTAGTCGTACGATAATGGGCAGGGTTCTTGAAGATCAAGAAGGATTCGATGAAGAAGAGAACCTCGGAGCAAACTAGACTAAAGATAGATATAGGGGGATCCTTAGTAAGCAAGGATGACTAAGTATAGTGTAATAAGTAACTCTAGAGGGATCTTTTGTAAAAGAAGATCTTATAATACTATCTCTTTATTTAGAATTTTAGTTATTTTTTTTATATAAATATATATATTTAAATTAGATAATAATATGATTTAATAATTATATATCTATGAGTTTTAGAATATATAAAAAGGGTTTTCTTTTTTAGAGATTTCTTTTTTTTTTAATTTTAATTTTTAATTGAAATTCTTTTTATATTAGATTATCTTTTAGAGATTGATATAAAAACATCTATATGTGGTTTATGTTGTTAGGTGTAAGGCTTGTTAACCCGGTAAGAATAAGGTACGATTTGGGAACGGATGGAGAGAGAGGAGAGGTTAATAGTATTTAGGACTTAATAATAAGACTAGACCTCGACACAACCCGCGGGTTACCCGTTACGGGTTATCCAAAACCCGCCAAGAAACGGGTTTACGGGTTACCAACCCGACCCGCGGGTTGGGTCACGGTTCTAGTTTTGAAATCTGCTGGGTTATACGGGTAAAATAGGTTGGTCAAATAAGATAAATAGGAAATATATAAATTATATATAATTCAATTATATTTTTATATATTTTATTTATATATTAAATAAAAGATATTAGGATTATTTAATAATTAGAAATTTAGAATTAGATTAAGATTTTAATAAAATACTATTAATTTTAAATATTAATTAATACTTTATGAAATTATCTTTTCTAATTTGTTTATAGGTTTTTCTTATTTATTATTAGGATTATAAAAAAAAAGATAATTTAATAATTTTTTTATCTTTTTTTTTATATATAGTTTTATTTAATAATAATAATTAAATATCTTTTTAGAAATTTTATAGATTTATTTTCCTTTTTTTTATCTTTATTAATAGGTTTATTAGTTTTTTAAAAAAATTGATCTTTTTTTTTCTATCTTATCTATATATCTTATTTAATTAAATATATATTATAAAATATATATTATAAAATATAAATTTAATAGATTTAACTTTAAACTTAATAATATATTTTTAAAATATAAGATTTTTAATAATATTTATATTTAATAAGTCATATTAATAATAATAAATATTATAAACTAAATTAAATAGATATTTAATCTTAGTACTAGTTATAAAGATTATAAGAATATTATAAATAAGATTTATAAAAATTAGAAATTTAGTTTTATATTCTTTTTACTATTAATAAATATTTTTTAATTTTATTAATCCTAATATATATTAGTAATATTAAATTTTAATAGAAAAAAGATATATATTAAGCTAGATATATTATATAAATTTATTATTCTTTTTTTAATTTAATATTTAAAGCTAATTATTAAATTAAAATCTATATTAATATCTTTAATAAGATTAAATTAAATAAATATCTTTTTTAGTCTTTTTTATAGCTATTATTAATATAGTATAAAAAGAGTTTAAAGGTTTTTTTAATATTATTTAGAATAATCAATCTTATTTTTTATCTAGTTATTAAAAAACTAGAGTTTATATTATATAAAATAAAAATAGTTATAATTATAAATAGATTATTATAAATATTTTTAATATTATAATAATAATCTCTAAGTTTCTATTTAAAAGTTTTTAAAACTTTAAGTATTATTTTCTTTTAAAAAACTTTCTTTCTTTAAAACTAATTAATTAATTTCTTTAAATAATTAAAAAGTATATTATAAATATTAAATATAAAATAAAGAATAATATCTTTTAACTTTAAAAATATAGTTATAAATTTAAAAAAAGGTTATATAATTTATAATAGATAATTAATCTAATATTAATATTTTTAATCAAATATAAGATTAATAAGATTCTTTTAAAGATAATATTAATTAAAGATTAGTTAAAATCTTTTTATATAATATAATATTAGAAATATTAAATTCTATTAGATATATATATCTTAAATAAGAATAAACTTTAATAAATTAGATTATTATTTATATAAATAATAAGCTTTTAGATAGACCTCAATAAAACCCGTTTTTGAACCTGTTTTTTAAATCCCTATGGGTTTTAGAAAACCTATGGAGGTGAAAGTGTTAGAAGGAAGTTCCTATCGTTAGTGGATCACGTGACTATGACCCTCCTATCTATTAGTTCTCACTCTTCCATAGCTTCTCTCTTCTTCTTTCTTCTCTTTAGACACACAAATACTATTCTCCGAATAGCCTCCTTTTCTTCCTGCCTATGATCTTATAGACCTTTTAAGAGGTTATAAGTCCTTTAGCGCGCTATTAATTAACTATTAACCATTAAAGCTTTTATTCTAGCTCTATATACCAAGCCAACCAATCAACCTCGTCGAAGCTTCCCTACTTTAATAACCATCTCGACAAATCAAAAGGATCGTCTATTTATAATAGTCATCCCGAGAGATTGTCTTATTACTAAATCTATCTTTCTAATCTAGTAATCTAATAGCTTTATTTATTGTTGCTAATTCCTCTTGTTTTAACAACATCTCTCTCTATTATCATTAATTCTTATAATCCTTACCGATACTTCATTGCCTTACTAATTCCTTACGTTTTACTATAACAGTATTCTCATCGCTTCTTTATTAAATCTGCCGATTCCGCTATACTAGTAATCCCTATATAAATTGAGAGTTAGTATAATAACTATATTCCCTATATATTATAATTACAAACTCTTCTTCTAATAAGTAGCTTTTACTAATAGACAATAGCTAGGTTTCTATTATGATAGTCTAGCACGATAACAACACCACAATATATTTGTCAATCCTTATATATATATCATATAGCTATCCAAGGCTATATCTAGTCTTAATACTATAGTGTTATTATATAAATCACCGTATATCTCGACAACCTATTTCCTACTCTTAACCCCTAATTTCAATCTAATTATATAGTCTATATCTATTAAAGATATATTTCTATCTCTTAATATATCTAAAATCCCTTCTTCTTTTATTAAATTATCTGCTAGTAGTCATGAGCTCTATATTAACCTAGCAAATGAAGAGCTTAAATCTATTAAAATATAGACTATATAATTCAAAGTAAATCTTTTTACTTCCTCTACTAATATCTATTACTTTAAAAATATCTCTAAGTTTTAAAGAAAGTCTAATTAGACAAATTAGTAGATTAAGTTTCTAGATGTTTTAAATATGTAAAATAACACGTTTAAAAGTATTATACTAGGTATTATTAGTCTTCTTATATAGCCACGTTTTATATCTATTAACAATGATATCGTTAAATGCAAATACTTCTTTAAAAAGATAACTAAGCTCTAACTTATTAATTTTAACAATTCTAAAAAGGATATTGATACTCTAACTATATCTAATCTCAGTAAAGTTTAAGAATCCCTAGATAAGATTAACGATAAATTTTAAAGTGGTTTCTAGCAGAATCAAAGTATTTAAATCATCGCTTATTCCTAAATTATAAATTATCTTAATATCTATATAGATACTAATATAAAATTAGTAATTTTAATATATAATATATCCTTTAAAATCTTTATTATCTTTAAGAAACTCTATAGATAGAGATCATTCTAAGCAATTATATAAAGATTTAGAATATAAAATAAGCTTTATTATAAGGGTAGTAATATTACTAGCTTTATAAATAAATTCTAAAAAGCGTTTTATAACTATAAAGAAACTATTACGCTAAATAAGATCTTCTTTAAATAGGAGTATATAGCTTTTATAACTGTAATTATATTAAATCTCTGCTATAATATTTTTATCTAGATATTTAAACTAACGAATATATATACTATATATCAGGAATTCTATATTTTTAAAATAACTAATAAATCGATCTAATACGTTTATTCTAGTAATAATAAGTTAATAAATCTTTTTTTTGAACTTAATAATCGCTAGGATCTCTTCAGAGAATATTTTGTCGTCTTTAGATACTTCTTTATCATCTAAAGATAATAAAAAGGATATTAAAAACAAGGGTAAAAGATTAATTTCTCTAAAGTCTAAGAAGTATAAAAATAATAAGAATGCTTGTTATTATTAGTATTATAAGTCTTAAAGAATTCACGAGCTTAAAGACTACTATTTAAAGAAGAGTGGCTCTAGTAATTTAGCTAATTCAATAACTACCTTTACTCTATTAACTAATACCCTACTAGTGTATGATATATAGGCTAATATAATAGTTATTAATCCAATATTCACTTATTATAATAACCTTTAAACCTAGTAAATTAATATTTAGATATTAAAAAATATTATTATTTCTCTATTATCGTCTATTAAATTTAATTAGATAATTAATTCTAGTACTTCCAAGTATATGATATCTTTCTAATCGATTTTTACTAATTTCAAGTTTTACTATATACCTATTATTACTATAACAAGTTAGTATTTCTTTATTAAAAGCTTTAGTAATATCGTTCTATCTGTTTAAGATCTTATAGCTCAGGATCTCAAAAAACTGCTTCTTTAAGAGATCTAGCTTATCCTAGAATTAAATAATAATCTAATCTCTATCTTTATATTTAATAAATAGGATTACTAAACTAGCTTTAAGGCTAAAAAAGCTATTTTCTTATAT